AATTGTAGTTATTCAGGATCGCTTCTCTACTATCAACTAGATAGGCATATATAATGATTAATTTAGCTGCTATATATATGCACCTACTTGGATAGGAGGATTTTCCTGGTCAATAGGTCTCTATTTTATACAACACTTAATAGTATATATAGGTATGGATTGATACGTTTAGATAAAGTCAACCCCAGGATTCAGGCCTCATCATATCCTTCACATCCTTGCCTATTATTCGCACACCTCTATTGAAAATAACTACGATGAGACTTGTCAGTATAATTTATATATAGTACATATGATTCCCCCCTCTTCACCCAGAATAAAAGAAGATGGAGCCTCTGTGAGCGACATTCAAAGCATGTTGGAAATGTTCAGTTGGTAATGTATTGCTGTCAGTGTTAGAAACTGGGATAGTTGAATGTCTGAAAGAGTGAGGTATGCAATAAACATCTGTATGTAACTATATAGGCGCGTATGATCAAAGACCTATGCAGTAAGAAATGGACACAAGCTATGAATGGCCTTAAAATTAAATACATCAACAGTCGCATACTTCAGAAATCGACTAAGTCTAGGTACCTGCTCTGATTATCTATGTACTATTAGTGAGACTCTATCGGTGGTCGGTGATGCTTTAAATGAAGTAGTTCCACAGACATTGAAAGGAAATAGTTAGATGTATATCTTATTGAAGACTATATGTGTAAGACTGGAAATAAAGCATGCTGTTATTTAAAAAACTTTACTGTATTGTATGCACGAATATGGCTCTAGGTAGTTATAACGCTAGAGTGGTGCATATAAGCATTTACCATATCATGATATTCTTTTGTAGGTCATACGTTCCATACATGTATGTTATCGTCAGGGTTATCTACAGCTATACCATTAGCACAACCACTTTGCTGGTACCAGGAGAACAGGTTGCTTGTAAGGCTTACGACTTAAAGCTACTATGAGTATCTAGTTCCCTCGTATCTATACAATATGTATGTGCAAAATGCTGTCTGGTTTTAAGACATTAATATGCTTAGGAGTAAGTGAGTTTAATAGTCAATTCAATATAAAGTTCTATTAACCTGTTGTAGCCCAGATATATAATGTTTAGCTATGCATGTGCTTCCCAATGAAGCAAGAGCTTGAGGCCTTGGACGCCATATGCTTATGAAAGCAACATAAGAAAGATAGTCCATAGGAACAGTCGCCGTATTGCTGTATATAAAACACCACTAAATTGAAGAGCATCTCCCTCCCATCATGTTGCGTGAGGCCTTCTTTGCAACTATTGTTGCACCTAGTACTCTGCGTCATTATAAGTATTATTTTTTATGGGGTCTTATCTCACCGATTTCTCCCCGCGTTTTTTGGGGATTTATACCCATCGTCTATACTTTTGGGATGTACTTCATTATTTACAATAAATATATTTGTCGATGTATAAAGTGGGATTTTATTCCTGTTGCTGAGCTTAAATTATGCACTCCGTGTCTTTAACATAAGGACGAAGAATTGCTATATATCAAAAGTTATCATATTCTTTTACAAATCCTGAAAGACTAGCCGCTATCAAGAAGAGCACAATAATTTCTCTATCACTGTGTGTAGTACTGAGTATCCTCAAGTATATTATAGATCATAATCGGAATGGATAAAAATATCATCACGCAGTTGTAATCAGAAGATGCAGTAGATATGAAAGTAAGAATCGAAAGAGAAAAACCAAGCTAGATACTAAAGAAAGTATAGGAATAGTGCATTGAATTTGATATTATCGCAAGATTGTTAAGTATTTCAGGAAGGTCACTTCAGGCATAAGCCGTATATCAAGTCATAGGAATTGCATGAGAGTAAGAAATGGCTTGACAACCATGGCTTTGACTTCAAAATCTGCACGTTCTATAGATGGCAGCAGAAAAATTCATACATCAAGGAAGCAGTACTGAAGTTTGTACTTTGTTAAGACTGACTAACCTGACTTTCAGTCATGACTTCCACGTCTGTACATGGGAGCAAATGTACCTGCCAGTAATATCAGTGTACTGCGTCCAATGTTGAGCTGCATAGATTTTAGTGTTCCAGCTCACGACGATATCTTGAAATGTACGCTGGCGCTAAACTCAAAATGTATATCTCAAAAGGGGTTCGACTTTGCGGCTGTATTATCCACTTTACCTCGGGAGGCAAATCTCTTCGGGAGTAGACAAAAATGCCCTTGGTATTTGATTTTGAGATTCATTAATATATCTCTAGGAATAGTTCGCGGGGTACATGGGTGTCAACGATCTAGTGGAGTATGCAACCTTGGCTCTTTAGAGTAGTATAGCTTTAGATTTTACTCAAAATTGGACCCTAGTATGTATAATTCTTCGATGTGATACTGGGAGAGTCCAAGATAAGGAAACCTACATCATGCTCCTAGAAGTACTATATACACTGTATACACGTGGTAAGGGAAAAATGTAAATGGCTCCTATATGAGGAGCGTCGTGTACCTTGAATTGGGACTATGGAAGACCCTGTTTAGGCGTACCAAGGGCAGGAAGAATATAGGGTAGCAGATAATAGTGTCCAAATCTTTTCAGATCTATTCAAGAATCATTGATTTAGTGCATGCTATTACTATCCCATGAAGACATAAAGGGAGTGCCCAAATGTGAGCCAGTAAGACAGCTGCTAAATATTCTACACTACGTAAGACTTTCCATGGAAGACATTTGGTATTTCTAGTGAGCTAGCGGATAGAGATCATGCTCTAAAGTCAACACGAATGAGGCCCACTCTACTAATGGGTCCTTTGTCCTTGGGTCCAAATCTGGTCTGAATTTTGAGACCATTCGTAGTTTACTACCACTACTTATGGAAAGGCTTTCGATGCTGCCATTGTGATACCTCAATCAAGTAGATGAGATAAAATTAGCAGTATATATTGATCACTGCTTGTCTATTGAAAGCGTGACGCGAGAAAACCACTCATGTAGACATGAGAGTGAGGGAGAAAAAATTTAGAGTTGGGCCTTTTGTCGGGTCAGGTGACGGCTCAACTGACTGTGCGGAAAAAGAAAGCACACTGTCATTGTTGATCTCGTTCTTATGGCAGCCTCAACCGACCGAGGACTCAAGGTTTCCCCCGCTCCCATATGTACGTCTCGGCGAAGAATCTGGGGCCAAGCTGGTCCTTTCCTTTCTCCCTTGCGGATCACAATATTTTCATGATAATTATTATCGATTCCGAGCATCCCCCGCCCATTGGCGGCCCCAGAAAATCCCGACCAACTGGGTGGAGACAAATATAATTCATTCAAGCACAGTTCTCATAATCTCTCAGGTTAGTTACCTCATCAGGTAGGGATGAAGCTGGCGATTGTTTATCCAAGACACAAATAGGGAGTGCAGATGCATCTTGCGGCTACGTAGCTTGTACGTACGATAATTCTCCGAGATTGACAAGTTGATGAAAGGTCTCTCGTGAACACACACACACACATGAAAAAGAAAGAAAAAAAAGCCTAAAAATACAAATCCCCAGCTTTTACCTTCCGATGTTGCATTCTTAGCGAGAAGGACCATGTAGAGTCGTCGAATGGATGACTCTGGGTGTAAATCAGTGGAGCAATTTATGGGACAATATACGGGGATAAGCCACGGTCGGACAACGATGAGCCGTTTTTCCCTTCCTACCCCAAGAGAAAACAAGACTTTGACCGTGGTCGGAAAGGGCCCTAGGCGCAAACCCCGCTTCATGGCCACTGTTGATCACCACGCTAAACTAAATTAACCCCGAAATGGAAGTAGAGAGGATATGCATCCCTCGCCAATTGCCATGTTCTATTATTTAATCTAAGCTGCTCTCCGTCCTGATATCACATGTTACCGAGCTGAAGCTCCGAGGAGCCGGCCGGAACACTTACAACAGGTGGGTTTGCTTCCTTCCTTGCATTGCTGTTCTACGCCCAACATTCCTCCAGGTTCGGCTGATGCGGATGGAAATATGGAGCCGCCGTTTCCCCAGCATATATCGATAATGACTGCCGATGTCGCCTCCACAGCTGGGGACTCTCTTCCTTGGGTGACATGTCGTCTCCGCAATAAGTGGTTTCAGAATTCATTTCTTGACATCCCTTAGCCAACAGTGCCAGATGAGGCGAAAATCGTGAAAGCTGGGAGGAAAAGTCTGGGACAGTGGGTCCCACCCCGGCACACCAGAGCTCGATTTAGACTCTACTAGGGTCCGTACCTCAAAGACAGGCACCCTAGCCAGGGACTAAAATTTACTACCAGAGCATGTATCCAATCACCGCAACCCCTTTAGCACAGATCGACTAGGCAATTGGACTACGCCCTTATTATCCCAGAGGAACACAGTGATTGTCAGATGCTCAGCTTGGCTCAATACGATAGGTACTCTTGCCGATCACCGAGGTATGGTGGGAAAAAAAAAAAGAGAAAAAAAGAGGCCCCTATTGTAAGTATCGCAAAAGATCTTCTCATGCCACTCGCAATTTCCCGGACTCCTCTTTCGCCTCCCCGCAAGACTAAGACACTCTAAGGCAACGTGGGGTACGGCTTAGGCCGAAAATCAGTGCTTTCTTTGGACCAAATGACACAGTCTATGGAGGCTGGCAGGAATCATCCTCTGCCGCGGAAGCAATGAGCGCGACTTAACGTCATTCATCACGCAAGAGCAAACGATCAACATGTCGTATTCGAACGGAAACTAAAGAGGAATTACCTCCGCTAGATCGGACCCAAAATACTCTGCCGCTGACATCAGTAGCGTACTCCGGAGTAGGAACGACACAAAAACCAACACAACCTAGTTAGTTCACATGTGGGGAATATTGGATAATCCTCGGTCTGTTCCAGTGGTTGGATCATTGAGGGAGTAGATAGGCTCCGGGCACCTGCAGACACATAAAAGGAGCCTTGCAGTCACCGTAGATCTGTACTTGGGCTCTTTAGTCGTCGATTGCTGGCTGTCCCCCTGTGAAGAGCATAGACCCAGCATGCGTTTCTCATATCTATTACCCGCGCTCTTGCTTTCCAGCACCTCGCTGGCATCCCCTTCACAGGCGTCTACAGCAGTGGGCAATGCACCATCACAGGGGAGTACTCCACCGGAGGAGCAGCCTGTAGCTCATGCACCCGCCGCGACCCCCGAGCCGACTACTCAGCAGCAGCAGCCGGATGTCCAAGTCAACGGCCAGCAACAGAGTGCTAATACCAACGATGAGAATGCCGACGCCAATGCCAACAACCAGAACGCGCCAAACCAAGCCGCGCAATCAGAGCCTGCTTCCGGCTCTCAGCCTAGCAACAATGCCGCAGCACCACCACAGGCAGACAGCTCGTCTGTCCCAACAGGCAACGGAGGCTCCCAGAGTGAGGGAAGTGTTCCTGGCCCAACTGCCTCACCAAAGGAGTCTCAGGGTGGCTCCAGCTCTTCTTCTGAAGGGTCTTCTCCGTCACGTACAGCTCAGCCAAAGGGACAAACTACTGTTACATCAACTCCCAAGTCCGGTAGTCAAGATACCAAAGTTTTGCAAGGTCTTCTCGAGGGCCTCACTGGAGGAAGTCCTTTGAAAGATCTGGGGAATCTTATCGATGGCCTGCTGGGCCTTCTAAACCCAACTTTCCTCAAAGATGTTGAGTCTTTCTTCCATCATTTTGCATACCTATTCGACGACAAGACCACGGAGCAGACAAAGACAATGATCGACACTGGAAGCAAGCTTCTTAACTCGGACATGATGAAGGAGATCCAGGGTCTCCTGACCAATGCCAACAAGCTCCTGACTCCTGAGTTCGTTAACGAGATCAACAAGCTGATCAAGGGACTCGGCCCACTCCTCACCCCCGATCTCTTCAAGAAGATTTCCACGCTTTTGGACAATGGAAATGATCTTCTGACCACCGAGTTTGTCAAGGAGGTCAATAGTCTGATCGGAAATGCCAACAAGTTGTTGACGCCTGAATTGGTCAAGGAATTACGACAACTGCTTGATACCCTTGGCCCGATCTTGTCTCCTGAGCTGCTGAAGGAGGTCTACAACTTGTTGAACAACGCTAACGACCTGTTGAGTCCGGACTTCGTCAAGGAGACCAAGAACTTGATTAACTCGCTTGGCCCACTTATCACCCCCGAGTTATTCAAGCAGATCAGCTCGCTACTGGGCAATGCCAACAAGTTGTTGACTCCCGAATTCGTGAATGAAATCAACAAACTTCTCAAGCAGCTTGGACCACTTCTCACCGATGATCTATTCAAGCAGATCAGCTCGCTACTGGGCAACGCTAACAAGCTCTTGACTCCTGAATTTGTGAACGAGATCAACAAGCTTCTTAGGCAGCTCGGCCCGCTCCTCACCGATGATCTGTTCAAGCAAATCAGCTCGCTCCTGGGCAATGGCAACAGGCTATTGACTCCTCATTTCGTTGATGAGACCAAGAAGTTGATCGATTCACTCGGCCCGCTCCTTACTCCTGATTTGTTCAAGGAGATCAGCTCGTTACTGGGCAACGCCAACCAGTTATTGACTCCTCAGTTTGTCGATTCGATCAAGAAATTGATCAACGCCGTCGGCCCGCTCCTCAGCCCTGAGCTGTTCAAGGAGATTGGCTCACTTTTGGGCAACGCCAATAACCTATTGACACCAGACTTCGTCAAGAAGACCCAGGGCTTGATTAACCAGGTGGCTCCTATGCTCAATGAGATTGCTCCTATCCTGACACCTGAAGTCCTCAGGAAGGTCGCTGGCTTGTTGGATAACGCCGCGGATCTTCTGACGAAGGAGTTCGTCAATGATACCAAGGGATTGATCACCGGACTTGCTCCTGAGCTTACGCCTCAACTTCTTAAGCAACTCGGCGGCCTGCTGAGAAGCGCAGCATCGTTGCTGACTCAAGGATTTGTTGACGAGGCTAAATCAGTATTGGGTAACGCCAACAACCTGTTGACACCCAAATTTGTCAACGAGACACGCGACCTCATTGATGGCATCGCACCCGTTATCACTCCCGAGTTGCTCGGCATGGTTGGCGGTCTCCTCAACAACGCTAACCATCTTCTGACGAGCGAGTTTGTGGACGAGACCCAACACCTGATTGGCCTCGTGTCGCCTGCCGTTACCCCTAAGCTGCTCAAGGAAGTGGGCTACCTGCTTGGTAACGGAACCCGTCTGTTGACACCCAAGTTCGTCAATGAAACTAGGGACCTGATCAACGATGTCTCGCCTGTCATCACGCCTGAGCTGCTTGGCGAGGTCGGTGGCTTGCTGGGCAATGCCAATCACTTGCTAACTCCGAAGTTCGTCAATGAAACTCAAATCTTGATCGAAGATGCTTCTGAGGTATGTTCTAATAAAAAAACGCATCTTATTATTGGATATATGACTAATCATTGTTTTAGATACTCCCTGTCGTGGTTAAGATTTTGGGTACACTGTGAGGGGCTTAAGCCATGATGCGTATGGGGCTAATGATTTAATGGACAATGAAGTTACTTAATATGAGTAATAACGCAATTTCATGTTGATGAGATTCAATTTTGTGATCTGATCTTTTTTTTCCCCCCGGCCGCCGATTCAAGGCGTGGCACATTGATGTTCTTGATACATATGCGTCCGTCCATAGCCCAAAAATCTAGATCACATTCAATAAGAGCTGCATAAATCATTCAGTAGTCAACCTTTTATATGATGAGAAAAGGAACTCCGTACCATCATCCTTAAGAACTAGATAAAACATGATGGTTTGCACTCGCCAGTCCGATCCACAATTGCTCGCCAAATGTGCCCGATCTCGTTAGTATGCTGGGGTACATGACTGATTGCCCCTTTGTCCTGACTGAAATAGCAGCCTGGTCGCGGGAGCCTGATTCGAAAAGGCTAGCTAATCTTCGGAATGGAAGTAAACAGAAGCCGAGGAAATTGTTTCCAGTCCTTGAGCCCCTAAAGTTTGCCCCGTGGCGACAAGTAGCCCGTTGGGCGGCATTTAAGGGAGGGATAGAAAGAGTAAGAAAGCAGAGCATCCTAGCCGCAGTTCCAATCTGTATCATGTTGCTATAAGCTTGACAAGCAACGCGGGTTGTTCTTCAGTCCAATTCGTGACGAGATATCCCGATATCCTGGTATCTTTGTCTTTCGATGAATATTTCATGATTTGACTTCTTGATACTTCGACAGAACTTTCAACTCCGTGTTCCTCTCTTTGATCTTTTTGTCTATGGATTTTTGCACATCTTCACGCTTTCTTTCGGCATCTTCCATTTTCTGCTTGACTTCTTTGGCTGCCTGCTCTTGCGCCCTGAGCGCTGCTTCGCGGGTTGGGAATTCCCGGCGCAATTGCTCTAACTTGGCCTGAACATCCTGCAGATCAATCGGTGCGCAAGTGACTGGATGGTACTTATATGGTGGCAGGGGTTCTCCAGGGACACGGATGTCAGGTAGATCAGGATGGATTGGAGCTGTGCGGATTGAAGAGTCTAGTGGGACAGGCCGGGAGGAGGAAGAAGATGTCGGTTCAGCAGGCGGGGACAATGGGGGGCGATCCATTTGCGTAGTCTGATATCGGCTCTAAATGAAGATAGATTGATTCTCTCTCAGCCTGGATTCTGCGCAGAGTTGAAAAGAAAGGCGAAATTGATAGCCGAAGCGGAGAGACTTCGGCGGTATATTACTGCCAGCCGCGACGCCTCACCGCCTTCTACTGGAGTGTGGGGAGACTGGTTGCGTCGATGTTGTAGATGATCCTGGAGAACAAAGTTAAAGTGTATTCGAGTCTGGAAGACGGATGAAGCGGATTATTTCTAGAACTTGTGACAATGCAGGCTTTTGGTAAGTATTCACCATCATCTGTCATGCGAGCAAAGTGCTTTAAAGATCAATTTCGACTGCCCTTGCGATGGTGACCTCACGTCTGATTTCTTTAACAGTCCCGAAGAACCGGAGGGCAAGTTGGAACTCCGTAAGAGGTTATATGCGAATTGCTGACCATCGAAATTAGCCCCGGTTTGAGCTTGTTCTTAGGGTAATGATGGTCGTAATTCGGTTGATTATATCGCTGACTGACTATCTAAGATCATCGATCTCAACAATGTACCCCTCGTAAACGGAACTGCATATGTGAAATGGCGCTTGCCTTCGTCGAGCGCGACAGAAAATCATGGACAAACGGATAAGGCAGTGATTCTGGATCATAGGGCATATTGGAACTACGAGAAAACACTGCAGGTTCGGCTTACAATCGATCGCAGCCAGACGCTTCATGAATGCGACGTTCACTTTGAGATCATTCAAGAGTTTGAATCCGGAGGAATCGGAGACAATAAGAATGTTTTAGGAAAGATTCGTCTTAACCTCGCCGAATATGTGGAGAAAAGCGATGATCAAGAAGGAGTTGTCAGAAGATATTTGATGCAGGAAAGTAAAATCAACAGCACCCTCAAGGTCGCGATAGCAATGCGTCAAGTGGAAGGGGATCGAAATTTTACCACGTAGGTTGACAACTAGTGTTTGCCCTTCGATCCAGATACTGATAGGCGATAGACCGCCTCTTAAATCGGCAATGGTTTTTGGGGGAATCGCCGGCGTCGTCTCTGCAGAACAGGGAGAGCATCCTGTCGACTTGGGTCGAATGCCATCAATCAGCAGTCAAAGCAGAGAAGCCGCAGACATGCAGGACATGTATCGCCGCACATTGGCTGCTTCCTGGCATGCTGGATCCAACGACCTGCCTGCAGATAAATTGATTGAGGAGTTGTTTTCGGGCTCTGTTACCTGGACTAACGACACCCACGAAGTCCGATCTGGGAGAATGGCAGAACATGAATTATCTACGAAGCATGTAACAGGCACGCAGCACCATACATCAAATATGCTCTCCCCCAGCTTTGAAAGACGACCAAGGAGCTCGGGGAGTAATCAATTTCGTAATGACGGCAGATCGGAGCCCCAGCCCATGGCAGGCCATCAGAGGAGGGGGAGTATTGAGCAGAACCTTTACGGTACTGCAAAGACGAATGCGTGGAGAAGTCGTAGTAATAACGAGCATGAATTGTCCGAGTTTGTTGTGCGTGAAGATCTGAGGAGTTGGGAAATCAATGAATGATGCTTTATTTCCATGGTGCGTTTGCATTCTGGAAGCTCAGTAGAGTAATACCCAGTATATAATATGTTTTCTATTCGTTTCAATATGTCATTATCAAGATACCTGGGGCAACAAATTGGCGGCTATTCCGTAAAAGGACTAGCGTAGTCTGTCCTGTTCGTCCCCAGAGCGCAAAAGATTCGATCGCCGCAACAATTCCGCGAAGACTGCAGCATCAGAGCACTTTCTTTGTTCTATATGATTTCACGGCCTTCTCAAGCTGCGGCAGAGTTTCTGAGCTGCCAGATCCTCCTCACATGCAGAAAATGTATTTTTCCGACAACATCGCACGGGCACGATGCATTGGTCCGTTCAATCAACACGCAGAGCAAGCTTGATGATGAGGGTAGATGGGCCGCTGGTACGGGCGAAAATCCCAGACCTGCATTCACACGCAATTCGTACAAACTTGGAAAGCCAATGGACAGTGAGCGTCGCAGACGGCAGATGAAAAAGGCCCCGATTGGGGTAACAGCTCTGGGAAAACCTGGAGAGATTGTTTTAGTTAAGGATCAAGAACGGCGTCGAGCTCTAAAATGCAGGACCAACTCCGATAAGAGCTCGACGGAGAGCGGACTCCCCTTCATGCTCAAGGACATTGAGCCGGATAGCTACTCCGATGACCAGGCTATGGTCTCAAAGCATGTCAAGAGTTTTCGACCATCCTATCGGCCTGGACATAAGTTGCCTGTTCACGAATGGAACGAACTCAGAAGAAGCCTCTTGTCGTCATTTTATACCATGCAATTGAAGCACTACGCCAGGGATTGGATACTGCAAAAGGAGAGGGAAGTGCAAGAACATGGGAATGACATGGTCACGCCCTGGAAACCTGGAATTTCGCCGTTTCTAGATACCGGCAATACACTCGTTGCCGATAGAATTGCTAGAATGCACGAGGATATTAAAGGCAAAAAGCTCTATGCAGAAAGAATCCTCCGGGATTGCTGGCAACTTGGAATTCTCAACGAAACAGGCCAGATATATTACCGCCTCTCTGCCCCAGTGTTATCATTGCTTCTATCCTCGGCCAACTTTTCCTTCGAGGAATTAGCTAGTCTCCACGACGCCAAAATTGACGTCACCCACTCGCTTCGCCTCGTTGTAATTAGTGGGAGCCAAAAGGCATGCGAATCCATACGTGACATCATCCACGATACTACAACCAGGATACGGCAGGAGAGTGTTGAGCTATATTCACCAAGTGGCATTAAAGCTAAAGAAACTGGTTGTGTTTTGAAGCAAAGTTTCCTGTCATGGGTGAGCAAGACTTATGGTGTGGCGTTTGAGATACATAAGTCGGAACCAAGTAAGATTCTTTATCTTGCTGAAAATAAGCAGGGCGCGGACAATGCTAGAAGAACCTTGAATCTTGCGATGCACGACAGCACTGCTCCTCGAGTTCCATTCAGCACTTATTTATCTGCCTCTGAGCCTGTTTCTTATTATGCTGTCGACACCGAACGCAATACAACGTGGAGGGATCGGGAACGGCCGTGGGTTCGATGGGCTGCGACGTCTTCTCAGGCCACTGTGGCGAAGATAATGGAAACGCCTTTCTTTAACAAGCATGAGACACGTTTATCGGACGGACTTCTTAAATTGCTTCGAGCGAAATCCTCTCCAGATGCAGACCAGCACCGCAGTGCCAAGGTCCAGGAGTCCATCATAGCGAAGGTTGGCAGGTGTCTTTTCTTACACAAGACTTCCCTTACGGATAAGAGCATCAGTGCAATGCAGCTAGGAAAACTGTCACTTCCTCGAGCATTCACCACCGACGTCCCTCGAGTGACATCTTTTCTTCGTTCGTTGACACCTCGTGCTCTTGATGATGAGTCTATGTATACTCACCGCATTCGCCTGGTCCCCTCATTCAGATATGCCGACGCGTTCCCAGAGCTCAATGTAGAGGTTACCACTCAAAAAACGCATGCTGCCTCTGGTTCCAGCATAGAACTATCCCTGCAAAGTGCCAAAGCGGTTCTTACCGAAAGCAACGTGGACTATTTACTTCCGGAGAACGGGCTAGATCTACGATTCACGCGGAAATTGACCCGGGAGCTCTTGGAAGCGCCCCAGGAAGACTCTCTCCTGCGAGATCTTCGAGACACCTTACAAGTCTTCTCCAAGGCTAGGATGCACAGAGAAGACATGCCGCTTCCACCCTTCTTCCAGATCTCCTTGCCGAATGAGTTTCTGCGCAACGGAAATGGAACCCACGATCCGAATGGTCACACTACAGGCGAATACATGTCTCTACCCATAAATGACATCCAAGGCACGCGCATCCACCGCTACGATTTCCGGGGCTACCAGCTCAACTACTCTTCCTATGAAACTGGGCCATATTACCCCAATCGGACCACAGATTGTTTCCTTGACATGGATATGTCGGAGAATTCTCAACTCTATCCCGATTCATCCAGTGCACCTTCCGATCTCTCGAACGGAACATCCCGTGACTTCAATTCGTTCTACACAACGGCTTGTGAATTGGCCATCGAGTTGGATAAAGCCTGGCGGACGATGTGATGTAACTATGCCAGAATCCTGTATTATAGGTAGATATCATGATTCGCCGTCTATGGCTCATGATATTAATATGTTGGGTTTAATAATGTACATAAAGTTGTCTTTTAGGACTTGTATATCTGCGCGTTTGGGCTTGGAAAATCTCAAGGAACTTTGCATATGGGGGAAGCGTGATTTTAACTGGTATTTGTTTAAATATTCTTGGAGTATGAGGATACCTTTGCCATTAGGTATAGGGAGTCAATTTGGAGCTATTCTCACAGTCATACTTAACTACTTTTGTATTATTTATCACACGGCTCCCTGGTATACCCAGATAATTAGAAGTAACTACATGACAAGCTGTTGAGAGTAGACGAATACATGACTTGAACGAATGAAGATATTGTCACTTGCCATAAAACATTGGAACATACCTTAATGGCATCCCGACGTCCTGCACCAAATTAACTAATAATTATGAGTATTAAATTGGGGTAAAAATAAAGTCAAGGCGAGAAAACTTGGAGCCTTGAACATAAGAACTTCCAGTGAGAACTAGCTGCGAAATGCGTCTTTAGATGCCGACGGTATTATAAAAGTCGTCAACACCGGTTCTGAAGCCATTCTCCCACTCTAAGTCGAGATCCTCGCCGAGACAAGATGCCTCCATTACGCGTTTTCGGATCCATAATTCCATGGCGCCGATTTTATCTCCTCCGACCCTGTGGCCGGGTAGTATATCTCGAGCCATCGCTGCGAAGAAGTTCAATGCGTCGCTAAAACCCAGGTCCCAGCCGAGGCAAAAGCGGCGACGTCCATGCGGGCTCGTAGATGCAGAAGTCTGGGACAGAAATTTGTTTTTGAGCTCTGCTCGCTGAGACTCCGCCTGATCAAGTTTGGCGAGGACCTTCAGACGGGGAAATGTGAGCCAAACTGGCGACGGTATGGCGCCAGTACTGACTTGTCGCTCGTAGTCCATATCGGCATCATACATGCCGTTTGGTTTGAAGCTACAGAAAGCGGACCCGCAGGCTTTGGAAGCCCATTGTCGGGCTTGTGCTTGGCCGAAACGTTTGGTCAACTCCGGTCGTTCGGACATGTCCACACGCTTCCATGTCTGATCGTCCATAACGCAACTCCACTCGCCAACATAGACATCTATAGCTATTCCTTGCGAAACAACCTTGTCGTGGTGGGCCGCGAGTTCTGTAAGTTCGTCGGAGACGCGTCCAATAATGGCTCGTGGTCCTAGAGACCGATCTGATTCCGAGGTAAAATGCTTGTGCGATTCCACAATGATGGGACTCCGTCCCACTGGGGCTGGAAGTCTGTTCTTCAATATTGCATAATCCAAGGCAGCGTGGAGGTTTTGGCCGTCATTGATATAGATGGGCAAGGTGGGGTCGATCGAACTAGTGATTTCAAGAACCTCGTCATACCAGTCATGTCCCCAGGTTCGCCAATCCTTCTCGCTAGATATTTGTACCCCAATCACTCCCCACAGGTCATGGAATGTGATTTCCTGGGCGATGAAAGCAAGACAATCTCTGACCAATATTTGGTTGTGGACGCTAGAGCAATGTCTTACCTTCTCGCTGTTTTCCTCACCATATTTATCCTTGCCACCTGGGATGCTTTTAAGGTCAATCAGAACTCCAATTCCGTGATTAGAGCATTGGACAATCAGACGCTTTAGGATGTTCCAGCAATTGTTATATACCAGAGATGGCTCCCCTTCGAAGCCAGTACCTAAACAGAAGGTAGGCCCAAAGGTGTAGAACCCTATAGGTATACGTATAGAGTTACAGCGTGCGACATCTCTGAGCAGTATGAAGTCATGTTCAGTCAAAGCATTAAACCAACGGGATTCCCATGTTGACCTGGTTTCTTTAAGTCCCTTCAGGCTGAGTGACCTAGTTGTTTCGCTCTGGTCAGTAGGAGGGACCGGAGACTGTAGTTCTTGGGTACCAACCTCTTCAGTGCTTCTAGCTCCTTTGAGCCGTCCAGATCCCTCTCAGAGACATTGTTGTCCAACCATGGACCATGCATAAACATGGATCCGAGGTTTGTCCCATGCTGGTAACGATAACGAAAGATATCGCTAACCGTAGGAGGTGGTAGGCCCAGATCAGGCATAATTATATAAAGACCTTTGAGGGAGTTACCTCGTGATTGTTACATTATAAAAAGAGATTTCAGGCATGAATAGCCTGTATCCTAAGGCTCCCAGAGTACGAGACACTTCTCCACCGCAGGGAACCAGATGAGAAGGAGTGATGGATGTGGTGGTGAACAAGAAAGCACGGCTAATGGTAGTACTGGGGCTTGACGTAGTTCAGTTCCAAAGGTTTAGCGAGGGGCTCCGCATCTGACCGGTCCCGTGCTTGCTGGTGAACTTGTCCCCAGGAAACTCCGTCCGGATCCACGAGGTCTACCTTAAAACCTGCCCTGTCGTGCCTTCCTGATACGCAGGACTTAACTGAATGGATTAGACACTAGTTTACTTCTGGTCAGTGACTTCCTAGTATACAGGATCGCAGTGAATTTGCTCCCAATGAAAGACCAGCCATGAAGGTTACGCACACACACTGATAGCTAAGGCATGGAGAGAACACGGATTGCCAAGGTATGTTCCTTCTTTAGAATCCACAGATACAATATCCATCTAAATAGTGTCTTCCCCTATGATTGCAGGTTGAAAATGTGACCTTGGCGCGTCGTGGCGAACAGGTTAGCGGTACACTCCACCTCACCCCTCACCATATTATATTTTCGCACATACCTCTGCCCCGGGACGATGCGCAAGCCCAAAGTACACCTGTACGGCCTAAGGAGCTTTGGATTACATATCCTATAATTGCCTTTTGTACCTATCGCCCTACCCCTGCCGCTTCCCGTCAGCCGTCGTCAATCCGCCTACGGTGCCGAGATTTCGCGTTTGTATGCTTCTACTTTGCAAACGAGAGCAAGGCCCGTGATGTATACGAAAGCATCAAATCATGGACATGCAAGGTGGGCCGAATCGACAAACTCTATGCATTTGCCTACCAGCCTCCTCCTCCCGAGCGTGAATTTAACGGCTGGGAGTTGTATGATCCACGGAAAGAGTGGACTCGACAAAATGTGGATCAAGATGGCCATGGGTGGCGTATTTCCCAGATAAATTCGGACTATGGGGTAAATTCTTGCTGTTTTAGTTTCCGAGACTATCTCATTGACCTGGATAATTCAGTTTTCCCCGACGTATCCCGCTGTTTTCCCCGTGCCGTCCGCTATTTCTGACAATACCCTCAACTATGCCGGACGCTATCGCTCGAGGGCAAGAGTACCCGTCTTGACATATCTTCATCCCATTAACAACTGTTCAATCACCCGGAGTTCGCAACCCCTGGTCGGCGTGCGTCAGAACCGAAGCATTCAGGACGAGAAGTTGTTAGCCACTATATTTTCAACATCTCGCTCAGACAGACCGCTAGCTGGCTTCAACACGCCACATCTGGAGAGCGAGTCATCGACTTCCACGCAAGGTGATACACATTCTCTGATCGGGTTCGATCTGACGAATGTCGAGGAGTTGGAGGATGAGATGTTGACCTCGTTCCAACGTGAAAATTCCGAGGAAAAGCCTCAGATATATGGGGCTCAGCAGAATAACTTGATCGTAGACGCGCGGCCAACTGTCAATGCATTTGCTATGCAGGCCGTTGGTCTTGGCTCGGAAAATATGGACAACTACAAGTTTGCCACTAAAGCGTATCTTGGGATCGACAACATCCATGTAATGCGAGATTCTCTGAACAAAGTGATTGATACGCTGAAAGATTCCGATGTCACTCCACTGGGACCAAATAAGGATCAGCTTGCGCGAAGTGGCTGGCTGAAGCATATTTCTGGCATTTTAGACGGTGCGGGCTTGATTGCTCGCCAGGTTGGGTTGCAGCATTCGCATGTGCTGATCCATTGCTCCGACGGTTGGGATAGGACAAGCCAGCTAAGCGCACTAAGCCAGCTATGTCTCGACCCCTATTATCGGACCATGGAAGGTTTCATGGTGTTGGTGGAAAAGGACTGGCTCTCCTTTGGACATATGTTTCGACACCGATCTGGCCATTTGAATAGCGAGAAATGGTTCCAGATTGAGAACGAAAGGATTGGAGGGGACTCTAACCGTGGATTTGGTGATTCTGGGGCTGCTGGTAAAGCCATTGAAAATGCTTTTCTTAGCGCCAAAGGGTTTTTCAACCGGGACAACACGAGTCGTGATTCGCTTCCCGAGTCGGAGGGAGAGATGCAAAGTTACGACCCTGATAATCCTGGTCCCAAGAAACCCAGCTCGGCACCGAGATCGACCTCCTGCGAGAAAGAGGTGACCAAGGTGAAGGAGACCAGCCCTGTCTTCCATCAGTTCCTAGATGCAACTTACCAGATGCTGTATCAATACCCAACACGGTTTGAGTTCAACGAACGCTTCTTACGGCGTCTACTTTACCATCTCTACTCGTGTCAATTTGGTACGTTCCTCTTTAACAACGAGAAAGAACGCGTGGAATATAAAGCAAAAGAGCGAACTCGGAGTGTGTGGGATTACTTTCTCGCACGTAGAGAACAATTTGTCAACCCACAGTATGACCCTGTTGTTGACGACCATAAACGGGGTAAAGAGCGGTTGGTTTTCCCGCGGCTCAACGAAGTCCGATGGTGGAGCGAGGCATTTGGTCGAACCGATGCGGAAATGAACGGCGCCCGTTCTGCTAGTGCTACTGCACCTGTCAGTCGCGACAGCTCGAGTGTACGGGCACCAGTGCTGACGGGAATCGAAACTGCGCATCATTCTGTCGGAAGTGGAATGCCAAGTAGGGAGTCTCGTGGCGTTATTTCTACCGGGATGGTGGATGAGACGTCGGAGATGTCCAACTTGAATTTCTCAAAAACCCAAGACAATGGCGAGGGTCCGAAGACTATAGGTCAGATGGAGGTTGAGATGCGATAAGAAGAGCAAAACTGGAGTGACTTTTTGGAGGTGACGGAATGGTTCGATGTATCTACGGTACTGACCAGTTACGGGTGGATTTTCCTAAAACTGTTTAGATCAGTGATGAACGTGTTGATATGAGTTTTGTGTGGTTGGTTTTTCTGATTCTATCTGTATAACCATTGAAGGACGTATCATTGATGCCTGGGGATGAAGGCAGCTATAAACTTCCCGGGTGCACCCGAAACGGCAGGCGGTGGGAAACCCTAAACCCTAAGCCCTACTGTCCAAAAAATCCCCCACTAACTTTGGCGATTGCCGACCATTTCGCCCTCGAACGACATCCCAACTTTGGAGCTCCGCTAACACCGCGTCCTCGGCCGTTTCTTCGACAACCCAATCCAATCCGTAGGAACGAAATCATGGCTGCAGTCCAGGGAGCTATTTCGAAGCGCCGCAAGTTCGTCGCCGACGGTGTCTTCTATGCCGAGCTGAACGAGTTCTTCCAGCGCGAGCTGGCTGAGGAGGGTTACTCGGGCGTCGAAGTCCGCGTTACTCCTACCGTCACCGATATTAGTATGTCGCTCAAATCCATGCTCCTCTTATGTGTTTCTAGCAAAATGTGTTTTGGATGGGATGGAGGACAGGATCAGGAGACGGGAAGGCCCAGCACGGTCGGAAACTGGCAGTCGGATATGAGTTACAGAAGGTTGCAAAGGATATTCTGAGCACTAACGGAAGCTCCCTTTTTTCTGTAGTTATCCGTGCCACCCACACCCAGGAGGTTCTGGGAGAGCAGGGCCGCCGCATTCGCGAGCTTACCTCCCTCATCCAGAAGCGATTCAAGTTCCCCGAGAACTCCGTCTCCCTCTATGCCGCTAAGGTCCAGAACCGCGGTCTCTCCGCCGTCGCTCAGTGCGAATCCCTCCGTTACAAGCTCCTGAACGGTCTGGCCGTCCGCCGTGCCTGCTACGGTGTTCTGCGTTTCATCATGGAGAGCGGTGCCAAAGGTTGTGAGGTTGTCGTTTCCGGAAAGCTGAGGGCTGCTCGTGCCAAGTCCATGAAATTCACTGTACGTGTTAAACCCGGGGGAAAAGAATCTTGCTTGGTTTGGCCTCGGAAGGATTGGTCGAATTTTGCGATATGGCATTAGTACAATTGCACAGAGGCGCGGAGATTACAGGAATCCAAGATTTGGAAGACGGTGTTACTGACTAGTGATTCTTTCTACTTTTGCAGGACGGCTTCATGATCCACTCCGGTCAACCTGCTAAGGAATTCATTGACTGCGCCACTCGCCACGTTCTCCTCCGCCAGGGTGTCCTTGGTATCAAGGTTAAGATCATGCGCGGTTCCGACCCCGAGGGCAAGGCCGGCCCCCAGAAGACTCTCCCCGACTCCGTCACCATCATCGAGCCCAAGGAGGAGGAGCCCATCCTGCAGCCTATGAGCCAGGACTACGGCGCCAAGGCCCTTGCTGCCCAGCAGCTCGCCGAGCAGCAGCGTCTGGCTGAGCAACAGGCAACGGAGGCACAGGAGGGTGCCGGTGCGGAAGCTTTCGCGCAGGAGTAATCTGGTTATCTTTTCTTAGGCCTTGCTCTATTTTCTTCGTTCCTGTCATCCTACCTTATCTCTCTACCTGACGCAAATAAAACAACTACATGATCTTCCAATTGTTTTCCCCCATCCCTCTCTCCCCGCAGCTCCAGATGCGGAAGGTGTCTTTCCATACACAGATTTGTTCCTAAACTCCTAGTGAAGGGCCTAGGTAGGAAAAAAAAGTGATGTCCGAAACGAGAGAATTGCAGGGCTCCAGAAAAGAAAAAAATTATTTTTCATCTTACGATTTACCATGAAAATATAGCGGATTCCAGCTTCCCTTAAACATCATAAAAGCAGAATAGCATGGGAAAGGTTCTGAACGACCCGTGCTGTATGTCGTCATGTTGGACGCCGTGCTTTAGACTATTTGTAGTTATATTATATTGCTAGAGGCTCTTTAAAGGGCTTAAAAGTGCACATTGAGATTGGGCTGGATTGAAATATGGTTGGCTACAGTTTAACCTAGTCAACTACACAACTTGTATATGCTTAAGGATATCTTTTCTATTCTGGATACTCAAATATGCTGTTTTATTTCTCATTCATGACATCGGCCTTCTAAACATATAACAAGTGGTCAAGCATGTCTATGCTCTACACTCAGCTATTTTTTAAATCCTTTCCCGTTTCTAACTCATAGAAAAGCTTCAATGTTGATCTCTAGAGTGCTGACGGGGTATTTCAGCTCGTACTTCTCCAACACCGTAGGGTGCAGGATACCAAAGGAACCGATAACGTGATCCTTGCCCCCAAAGCGCACGTGAACGGAGGCGGCGTGACCGGGGAAATATGTGGGCTCTGGATTATTAGGGAGCTGTCAGCAATATGTCCATTTTGAATAAGAATTTCATGTTCTAGCATTGGGGGGAAATATGAGACTCACCGTCAAGTTCTTCGATCCAGTAGTGGGAATCATTCATCTCCTGGTTCTCGAGGCCTTCTTCGCCGGTGATGAAGGCGCTCTTGAGCATAGCCATGACGCGGTCGAGAAGGCCGTGCACAACCTCGAAGCCGCTGGTCTTGCCGTACCATGCTGCCGCGAAGTGTCTCTCGTTCCGGCTTTTACGCTCCAACGACAGGTCCTTGAAGGCTACATCGCTGACCTCGAAGATCTTCATGGGGACGGAGTGATGCTTGTTCTCGCGAATTGTCTTGAGAAGGCCGGGCAGGAGGCTTGTACGGACAACCTGAAACTCCAGGGTTTTAGGGTTAGCCAGCTTGACTGCAGTGTTACCGTCGTCCTTGCGGTTGAGCCAAGCGAAGTTCTCATCGTGTGAACACAAAATCAAAGGCAAGACCTCAGACCAGCCTGCCATCGCCGCCTCCATTCTAAGAATATCGGTGAGCTTGTTGATAGGTAGAGGTTGGGCTATCGTGCCGGACTTGCTTGGGAAAGAACGGGGAAGATTGTTGAAGCCGTAAGCAATGGCGACATCCTCCATGATGTCTGCTTGATGAAGCACATCGGCCCGGGTTGGGGGGATATCGACATCCACAAGATCAGGAGATGTCTTGGATGGTCGTGCATTATAAGCCATCTTCGTCAGGAGCTTGCAGATCTCTTCAGGGGAGAGCTCCAGACCACAGCACTCGTTGAGGTAAGAAACCTCCGCCTGAGTTGTGCGTGGTGCAATGTCTGGGACTAGACGGGTCTCATTGTTGTGGTCCGAAACAATTTGGACAGGCTCAATGCTATTGATCAATAAGTTAGTGCGCCTTGCTTTGTGACGGACTGGGGGGACCTCACGTGAACGGCTCCGACGTGTATTGCGAGAATATCGCAACCATGACCTTATTGACAATCTCAACCTTCGTCTTATCAAGTGCCGTAATCTCAATGAAGACATTTTTAGTGTCCATGGTAATTTTCGAGTGATTACCATTGATAATAGGGGGCAACGAGCAAACGACTCTGTTCGAGTCATAGATAACTGGGTAAACGGGCGAGTCCCGGATGATGTGGAGGTATTTGCCTAAATGCCTGTCTTTCTGTTATAACAGTTAGCATCTATAATCTTCTGCTGGGTGCGGGTAACTATACCTCATAGAAGCCCATCAACTCCTCTCCATCCATCTCCTTAGTCTGGTTCAACGGGATGAATTTAATATCTTTCGGGGGCAAGGCTTCGTAGGTAAAAGGTCCCTTTATCGTATCCAAATCATGGGTACCAATGGACACGAGCGTTCTTTGCCTAGCAAGGTTTTGGTGCAGCTTGTCTTGGAGAGCAATGAAAGATTCATAGCGAGCTTTATCGAACTTGACATTGCGAAGGATCGCGCCGGAAACCAAAGGCCGAACTTTCATGGTCTGTTCTGAAACTTTAACTCCATTCATCCACCGGCGTCTCTCATTGCACCACTTACGTCCTCTTTGACGATAATTTTCTCCACCTCTCCGTTGACGGGCTCGACGAGCCTGTAGTTGGGTAGAGGCTTTCTTCCTAAGAAGATATTGAGCATGAGGGCAATTCCCTCGAAGCACAGCAAGTCATATCTGTGAAACCCTCAATACAATGCGCTTTATATGATTCATCTAGACATCGGAGAGTGCGTACCGGTTGGCCGGGATTTCGATCTTCAGCTCAGGCGGGACCTGCTTTCCATCCACGATTGGCCTATCCGAGTTCGTTGTCTATAGTACCTTAGCGTTTCCAATCGTGTTCGGAGGGAGACCAGAGTGTTATAATTACATCCTCGTCGAGCTCAATGCCTATTCGACTGGGTTAGCATCGTCCCCTGCGGAAGCACTGATCCAACGTACCGAATTCGAAACAAAGCTCATCAAACTCCTCCGTAGTATATCTGTAGGGCGGGCGATCAGCAGGTCTTTCCAGAATTAAATTTTGAGGGACCCTGCATACTCCCGTCCGAGCTCCTTGAAGAGCGCGGCCTTGTCGACCGAGATAGTAGGCATGGTGAGGGGTTTGAAGATGCGCGACGCAGATAAAGACTAGTCGGAAAGAGAGAAATTCGTCAAAATTTCCCACACACCAGCAGTGACGCTTCGAAACTGAACCGGTGACGACAAGAAATCCAACCAGGAATGAGGTGGGGGAAATTGCGGCGTTGCGCAGGCAAGGTCGAGTCATCAGAGTCGCACTTTTGTCTCCGTTGGGGCTTGACCCTCGAGGCTGCCACAGCCGCACCGCCACAGCCCCTCCGAAATTTACCTGATACCATAAAGTTACCTTCCTTACCTTGCGTACTACGGTGCACGGCTACGACGCCCTACGCTCACCAGCCACAGTCCCTGATCAAGAGAAACCGTGACCGTCACGTCACGTTCGCAAGATTTGTCTAAGCCTTAATCTATCTACTATTGAAATCGATCTCCTCCACCAGTTCCCGCCTTCCCGCTTTTAAATCCTCAGGTCCTTTCTTCTTAATTGTTTCTTCCCTTTGTTGATGATCTACTGGTCCCCGGTTCACCTTTGTTTAGCCTCAATCCAATTGTCGAGGTATGCTCCTACTGCTGCTCCTGCTGTTGTTGCTCACCTGTCCTGCGGCGGCCCAAACCCCACGAAACCTCGCTCCGGGGCTTTCGCAACATCCACCATTCATGATCCCTTTTTCTAGCACCACGCCTTTTCTGACAACACAAGCTAATCTGGGTTCGAGCAGGTGCTAAGAATTGTCATCGCTTTTTGTGGCAGCCCCTCGTTTCTAGATTACCCCAGAAATCTTTCGTCGTAGTTGTTCCGCGTCGAACCTGGTCGAGCAATAATCATACTAGCCTGAGGACTGACACCTGTTACATCCTCACCTCCTTGGATTTTCCTTTCTTCCGACCACCTATTAGACTTTATAATCCAGCACGTTCGCGATGGAGGGTCAGGGTGAAAATGATGAGCTCTACCCTATCGCCGTTCTTATCGATGAGTTGAAGGTACCAACCCTCGTGACCGGTGTTCCCTACCTAATGATAGTAATAATCCTGATCGTTGCTTCTTTTAGCATGACGACGTCCTCCTCCGTCTCAATGCTATCCACCGTCTTTCCACTATTGCCTTGGCCTTAGGGCCCGAGAGGACTCGCGACGAGCTCATTCCATTCCTTGATGGTTAGTCCAGCCAAACCAGTCAGAGAACTCGTCTCCAGTGGCAGCACACGCCTAACGCTTTTGTCCCCAGACTCTGTCGAGGATGAAGATGAAGTTTTGACCGCACTAAGTGAAGAGCTGGGCAACTTTATAGAGTACATCGGTGGCTCCGAGTATGGGCACGTGCTCCTCTCCCCCTTGGAGAACCTGGCGGCCATTGAGGAGACCGTGGTCAGAGAGAAGGTAGGATATCTTGGACGGAGCTTCGCCAACAGGCATAGTAACAACTGAATAGGCCGTAGAGTCCCTCAATAAGATTGGCGAGCAGCTGTCTCAAAAGCAGATCGAAGAGTACTTCGTTCCCATGGTCCTACGACTTTCGAAAGCCGACTGGTTCACTTCGAAGGTCTCTGCCACCGGTCTATATTGTGCTCCATACAAGAAGGCCCCCCAGCCACTGCAGCAGAGTCTTCGCCAGTATTTCGGAGGATTGGTACACGATGAAACGCCTATGGTGAGAAGACAGGCAGCAAACAACCTCGCAAAGTTCGTCAAGGAATTAAACACGCAAGTTGTGATTGACGAAATGATACCCCTGTTTCAATACCTGGCCAACGACGACCAAGATAGTGTGCGTTTGCTGACGGTGGACATTCTTATTGCGATCGCCGAGGAAATCCCCAAGGAACAGCAACCTAGTCATGGCGTCTTGTTGACTTCCTTGCGGAACCTATTTGAGGATAAGAGCTGGAGGGTGAGGTATATGGTTGCCGACAGATACGAAAAAGTAAGTTCGCTAAGCTGTCTTCGGCGCTTTTTGAGGTATATCATTCTAACGCTGTCTGTAGATCGCTAAAGCTGTGCACGAAGAAGTTGTGACTCGGGATATGGTGCCCTCCTTTGTTAAACTCCTCAAAGATACTGAAGCTGAAGTCCGTACGGCAATTTCTGGCCAGATACCAGGTATTCATCCTGTCCATAGCCTGATTATCAATTAGTTAGCTAAGTTCGAAACAGGCTTCTGTAGCTTAATTGACCGCGAGACCCTCCTCAACGAGATCATGACCAGTGTCGAGGATCTTGTCTCGGACCCTTCTCAACATGTCCGTGCGGCTTTGGGCACTCAAATCAGCGGCCTGGCACCGATCCTTGGGAAGGAAGAGTGAGTACAACTGTCCCTTGCTAATGATTAGACTGCATTGCTTATTATCTACACTCAGGACCATTGCTCATCTCCTTCCAATGTTCCTTCAAATGCTCAAGGACGAGTTCCCAGATGTGCGTCTGCATATTATTTCCAAGTTGGAACTGGTCAACAAGGGTAAGAACTGAATTCCCGTTGTAGGCAAAGCATATCATCTAACCTGTACAGTTATTGGCATTGAACTCCTCTCTCAGTCTCTTCTCCCCGCCATCGTCCAGCTGGCTGAAGACAAGCAATGGCGGGTTCGTCTCGCTATTATTGAATATATTCCTCTTCTAGCCAGCCAGCTGGGAGTCAAATTTTTCGACGAACAGCTTAGTGACTTATGCATGGGGTGGCTTGGCGATACCGTCTTTTCTATCAGAGAAGCCGCGACTCAGAACCTGAGGAAGCTTACGGAGGTATTTGGTGTCGACTGGGCCAAAGGCTCTATAATTCCCAAGGTCATGGCTATGGGACAGCATCCCAACTATCTGTACAGGATGACAACGTGCTTCGCTATTTCGGTACGTGGGTCATTTTGCGTGCCTTAGATTTACCAGCTAACTAATTTCTCCAGACCCTTGCGCCGGTTGTATCTCTGGACATTATTGAAAACTCCATTCTCCCCATTATGGACAGACTCGTGGCAGATGAAATCCCGAACATTCGTTTCAATGTGGCCAAGTCGTATGCCGTATTGATCGACACAATGCGCAGACTACCGTCGGAGGGAACTCTCGCAGACCTGGAGAAGTCTGGTAAAACTGCGACCCCATCACCACGGGGTCAGGATCTCATCCAGCAGCGGGTCATCCCTAGCTTAGAGAAACTGCAACAGGATGAGGATGTTGATGTTCGGTACTTTGCAACGACTGCCGCGGGCGGCCACGAGGAGGTTATGCAGACTTCACCGTAGATTATTGACCTGATCTGGCGTGGGTCTCTGCCTAGACAGGTCATGACAGAGCTACTCACCTTGGGTGCGAGCGGGAAACATAAATGATAGTACTCAGGGTGTTTTGGGAGGAAAATGAGATCGGTCACATTAGAAATAGTCAGGTCATCTGACTGGGATGAAATCCATGGCGTATGCAATGTAGAGTTTTCTTTTCTTCTTTTCTATTGATAATCGTACGAAATCCAATGGAGGGTTTAACTTCTTGATATACCCAAGCTAATACACCGAATGAGCCTATCGTTAGATTGAAAGTAGTACCCCATTATTATTATACTTACCCCCACTGGCAGATATTTACTGATTTCATGATAACCAGGAAGTTATATCAAATCTTTATTTTGTAATTTTGCTATAGCCGCCATTCACTATATGCTGAGTCTGCTGCGTGTACTCCATTGTACTGAGTATATACATACAGCCAGACGGATTGCTCTCATAGAAACCAGAAACAGCCAGATTCCAAGTTCAGTCAATCAGTGTTATACATTGTGTACAAGTACTGTGATTATCGTACAGGATCATGCTTTAAACCCTATCGTCAAAGTTATCAAATGGAAAGTGGTCGGGGAGTGCAGTTATATCGTGAGCAGTCTCACCCACTTCAAGCATTTTGCTTTCATTTCTTGCGCCTATTCTTTCGCAGCTTCATATCCACTATTTGGAACCCACGCTAATATACCTATGTCCAAAGCATGCCGCATTTGTTCCATTGCAATAGTAACCTCTCTTTGCCGGGTGTCAAGATCAAGAGTATCTTGGACAATTTTATCTGAGTACTGTATAAGAGGCAAAGGAGATGTTCCATTGGCGCATAGGGCTGAGTCAGTCTACAGCAAATCCTGCCAGTTGTATACAGTGCGAATCATATTAGCCATATAGTGATCGAGCCTCCTTCCCAGGGAGTGACTGCGCTCTTAAAAGACTTTTGACGTATTATCGCGGAGACATAAAATATTGCATCATAATATTCTTCGTCCAGTCGTCTGGTAAAAGTGGCATAAAGAAATGGACCAGCCTTTTTCGGAGAGTTTTGCGTACCGTTTTTGCTCAGAGGTATCTAGGGAGTCAAAGTTTGGTGGGAGGTCTAGGGCTGGATACGGTAGTCTCGCGATGACACACCTGCCATCTTTGAAAGTTGTCTGGAATACACGGTTGAATCCGCCTTCCCATAGTTTGGAAAATGTAACGATGTCAGATTAGACATGGCCAAATGAAACGGCAACGGCATTATTCAGGGCTGATATACTGACCTTATGGTAACGTTCCGGCAAGGGTAGATGTTCCTTGTATCTACAAACTATCAAGTTTAAGAAGCGTGTCTGGTAGAAACAAAGATATATATCTATTTTCAAGATGTATACCGGAACACTTATTGTTGGAGTATCTATTTGACCGGTGAATGGATCCCGCCATGCCTCTTGTTGGTTGAGCGATGACCTCTTGGAAATGTAGCAAGCTCGTAGGAGGAGGGTTGTTTAGGTTTCGGCGGATTCCTGCATAAGGATACCATCCCAATTAACACTTAAGCTGATTCTATAGAAATCAGTATAGTATGTTGTACATACATACTGCGGTACTTTTTGAATTTCTTCAGCGTAGATATTCAGTGGAATCCTTTTGAGTATTCGAATTTCCCAATTTTCAGACTGACTGGCTTACCGTCGTTAGTCAGGAACCCCCAATTCCCAACCAAAATGGATTACATGTCGATCTGCCGCGACCATCGCCCATTCACTCTCTCCATCCTTTGCCTGTTACCTTCGGTATATCATCGTCTATCGCCTTCAACCCCCTATATTGAGATTTGAGCGTTGAGGCAATGTCACTCACGTGGCCGTGGCATTTTGTGTCGGTCTCTCCAGCCGAAAAGCAACATCGTCGGGAGCTTCTCGATCTTCGCGGATACTATGCTCAAGGCTCAGTCCTGCTCGTCATTGTTCTTACTCGGCTATACAAGGTCTATTCTGAGAGTACAAAGAGCGCAGACAGGCCTAACAATAGGCGCAGTCGTAGGCCAAAATCATGGTTGGATTCCCCACCCCTTGCAGGCTGGGTCGAAACGCGACGACAGTATATATTCTCCTTGATCTGGCTTGGATGGCTGTTGAGCCTTTCAGTATGGAATACAGGGGATGGTATGCTCAATCTATTTTTATTTATTTATTTCGTCTTTCTGTGTGCTTAGTTATGCTCAAATAAGCTCATCTATCGGACAGATTATCTTCATCTCACCAAAGCTCTCGGCCACGTTGGCCTCTCACAACTCCCATTCCAGGTTCTTATGTCTCCTTCTTTATACATTATCACTTCAAAATCAGGTTCACCGTCAATCCTGTCTGTCTTAATATCCATTCCCCAGCCGGCATTAACACCCTACCATCGCCTTTTGGGCCGACTGGTTCTCCCGCCTCTTCTTGTTGGGCATGCTACGTTGTATCTGTCATTCTTCGTGCAGTCGAGTCACCCTGACTTCAGCTCTTTATTTGCGAAACGAATCCAAGACCTCGATGTTCAGTGGGGTATTAGTGCTGTGAGTATAGCGATTCTCCTCCTGCTGTTTGCACGGCCGTTGAGTGCATCACGTGGCGTGTGGTCATGGACGACGGCCTCGGTTAAAACCAAGCGACAAGTCTTTTATATAACACACATCTTTTTGGTGGCGACGCTGTGCCTCGCTGCTTACTTTCATGTCGTCCACGCTCGAGTGTTTGTCCTTGAGGCATTGGTGGGCTTTGCGATCAATGTGGCATGTTGTTGGATGAAGGGACGATAGGATCCAATCAATCTTGGGGGATTTGATTTGCGTGGCTGAAGAATCAGCGCTCCACCTTAGGATAGGATAAGCCCAACACACTTTAGCTTTTCTGTTCACTTCTCTACAGTTGGCACGATTATCATTCACAAAATCTCTAAATATTATGTGATAGCTCATTAAATCTACCGATTTTAATGACATAGTTCAATCCAAGTAAAGATTGTTGTTAGGGACGGTGCTTGGCATCCGCCGCTTGTGGAGCCTCGACTAAGACTGTTTTGGATTGTTGTGGTGATTGTTGACGAACTTCTCTTTCGACTTACTCTGAGTATAGTCCAAACTCGCTGGCTTTCACATGCATGCCATTTGATTCTATTTGACTTGGATTTGACCTGTCCAATTCATTCCCTGCCCTTGTTTTTCCAATGTATAAGCTTTCAATGGCAGGATGCGCGTCCAACGTCTTCTGGTCTTACTGGTAATTGCCATTCTTGCCTGCTTTTCCATTGTCCTTCTGAGGAATTTGGATTCCTCCAATACCTCGTTGAATACGTCACCTTTGCCTTCTCCCCATATTCCTTCTCCTCTTTCCCCCCCTCAATGGCCTCTCCAGCATTCCGAGGGCCATGAGGCGTACTTTCCAGAAAATGAACATCCTATGTCCGCTTTGATCCACGATGCTGGGCAGAAATTCAATCACCTGCGATCACGGCAGTCGCAAAAGCTGGCCGACGCCGTACAGGAGTATCGTCGTCGTTACAACATGCATCCTCCGCCAAATTTTGACAAGTGGTTCCAATTTGCCCAAGCAAAAGGTGTCCAACTGATTGACGAGTATGATACGATCTACCATTCGTTATTGCCTTTCTGGGCTCTCGAGCCCAAGAAAATCCGCGAGCGTGCCCATGAAGCCCTTGGGTATGACAATTCTATGCTCGGGGTCCTGATTAGAGACGGAAAAGTCAGTCTAGTCGAAGGGGGCACCGAAGAACAGAAATGGCAGCGAGAAGCCACCGCGGGAATGTTCAAGAGATTTGTGAAGCATCTGCCTGATATGGATCTGGTTTTCAATGCGCACGATGAGCCCCGAGTAATTGTACCTAGTGAAGATCTGCAAAGGCTGGTCAGCATAGCCAAAGACCATGCTATCCCGAAAGCTTTTCACAACAAATCACCTATAAATGCGTGGTCGGGCAGACCTGCTGGGTTGAATAAGGGTGACCGCATTGATGAAGTGCGCATCACTCGGTTCAATCGATTTGCTCATCAGCCTACCTGGACCAGCTCTCGAGCTTCCTGTCCGGTGGATAGCCCAGCGCGTTCACTTGACGAAAACGTACCAGATATGGTTGATGCTTATGCACGTGGCGAGCTTGGTTATATTTACAATTCCACGGCCTTCTCCGACATCTGTACCTCGCCATCCCTACGGCACAAATTCGGGTTTTTCGATCGTGCAAATGCTTTTGATGTCGTCCGGGACCTCTTCCCAGTCTTTTCGCAGAGCAAAATATCGAGTTTCCAAGACATCCTTTACCCAAGTCCCTGGTACTGGGCTAAACAAGTGCCTTACGTTGAAGAGCGAGATTACAGCTGGGGCGATAAACAGGACAAAATGTACTGGAGAGGGTCCACAACTGGAGGGTTTTCCCGGGCTGGTGGTTGGCGGCGACACCATCGACAGTTGTTTGTTGGCCGCATTAACGCCCTGGACAAGGCTAAGATTCTCCGCAAGAATGAGAATGGTCGATGGGAATCAAATGAAGTCAGCCGCAGCTCATATCGCGACCTGTTCGATGTTAAGTTTACGTCTATAGGCCAGTGTGATCCAGTTGACTGTGCCGCCCAGAGGGAATACTTCCAGCTGGGAGACCCAGCAGATCAGCAAGATGCCTGGGCGTATAAATTTTTGGTGGACATTGATGGTAATGCCTTCAGCGGCCGATATCACGCTTTCCTGCAAAGCAAAAGTCTAGTCTGCAAGATTTCTGTGTTCCGCGAATGGCACGACGAATGGATTAAACCTTGGGTTCATTACGTTCCGTTGGGTCTAGCTGGTGATGAGTACCTGGAGACAATGCGATACTTTACGTTAGAAGACGAAGGCAAGCTCGCGGCGCCACAAATAGCCCAACAGAGTCGAGAATGGGCACAAAATGCTTTACGAAATGATGATATGGAGGTCTGGCTTTTTCGGTTATTGCTAGAGTAAGCTGATGATATCGTTGAAACTACGCTATCGTTATTCTAACTTGGCTGGCAGGTACGGACGTTTGGTTGACGATAACAGAGAGAATCTGGGATTTATGGCTTAACAAAAGGGCCAGTCTCCATTTTCTTAAAATGCACATGTTCTACAAAGTGATTTGTGATTGATATTTCAATAGTTTCCGCATGGTTATGCGCTGGATTGATACCCATGTGTCATGGAGTGGAGTTTGATGGCATTTCCAAGGTGAATGGAGTTTTCCTTACTTTTCTTGTTGCTTCCTTTCCTTATTACATGTAGCATTGTTATTTACTGTGATGTGTCTGTATAGTCTTATTTCGTTCTATTGTCATTACCTACAATATATGCTTGGCGTGACAACAATACAGCCTATTACATTGGTGGTGAATACAGGGCGAAACTAAAACCTGCTATATAGAAACCTCTTTGACATAAGAAGCTGTCCATTTTTCTTTAATTTTAACAACATAGATATCAAGATAAAAAATACCATTCGATCCCTAGAAACCTACGGGCTCTAAGTGAACCTTAATTTAGCATTATCATACAATCAGGAGAGGATTCCTACAATAGGTAGACAAAGGAAAAATAGATAAAAAATAAACGTCACAGCCCCCATTCCAAGGCGACTCTTTCAAGTGCCTCTTGTATCTCTCCCAGCTGAGCTTGGGGCGTTAGATAGCCTCTCGTCTAGCCTCTTTTTTATCTGGCTTTATTCGATTTGCCGTGCCGTGTCATCCCTAAGTTATGAATGCTCTAAGTTTTCGAAAGCAAGACGCGTCCTTTCTGGGTTGAGGCTTTCAAAAAAAAAAAAAAAAAAAAAAAAAAAAAAAAAAAAAAAAAAAAAGAGGAAGAAAACGCAATACAAACGGCGGGGAGATAATACGATGACTTCGAAATACTCTCTTGAACTGAAATGTATGCCTCCCAGGCCATCTGCTGTATCCCTTTAAGAGGGGTGGCCAACCTATAATATATAATGAAGAAGAGTAGAGGTTGAAGAAAGAAGGAAAGAAGAGAAAGATAAAATGAGAGAGAAGAGATATTTATACCACTCTACTACGTAGTTCAAGCTAGGTTGAAAATGACAGTGAAGATAATTACTATCTAGCTATAATAAATATTTGCATAGCATGAATCTCTCGTTTACCTTGTAAACTAGTGAATCACTGGTGCATGCTAGGCTTCCCGTAGAGGGCTTATATTGATAAGGTTTCTACTGGTGAATTTCAAGAAGAAAAGCAGTTCCACTCTGATAGTACCTACTAGTCAAGTGCTTCACAGGAGGAGTTTGTAAGGAAACCTCTCGGGCCATGGCCTACAGGGGGCGAATGTAGTTGGAAGAATTAGGTGTATTTAACAGCTATTTGCATAGAGTTTGTGAGATATACGCACCTCATATGATTAGTCACTACTATGTGATCTAAGTTACAGATAGTTATACTATTCTGCGAGCGACAGTTCTGGGGGATAGTACTAATTTTCTTTCTATAATTAGAGATTACTCTACATGGGCTATACTAGATATCTGAAGTAGAATTTCCTTCATATTACTACTCCAAGGTCAGGGAACACCTGAGTAATATCTAATACCATACCATTCACTGGATGCTGTTGTTCACTCAAAATTACCCTTTCAAGTTGGATGCGGAGCGCAAATACTGTATGCACCCCAGAAAATGCTGAGAGAGCTAGAGGCTACTAGAAGACCTCGTATTGTTCATACACTGTTTGCCAGTACCTTGAAGGCTGGTGTGACTTCTTCCCAAGGGTTGGCTTTCCCCACGACCCGAATCCCGGCCGCCCATGTCTGTGTTTAATATTGGACAAGAAGTTATCTGGGTTCCTGTTCAGTACATTTGTCTTCACGTCAATAAAGTTTACTCCTTGCTAACGCAGGACAACCTACAGCTAGATGGCCAAACCCATGCTACTCGGACCCGCATTTTGGGACGAGCAAAGTCTTGGGTCCGATAAAGCCTGGCAGGGAGATTTGTCGTGGGAATAGATGAACAAGTAAAGCAACATACCTACACGCCCTCATATTGTAATAATATTATGCATGCAAGTGCAGGTAAAGAAGAAACGATGCACCTGAGCGAATTGGTATATTTGATTAACGCTATGCGTGCCCGTGCTTTTCAGCTCACGGCAACTGAAGAGGGCTTATTTGATAAGACCAACGAGCAGCAGATACGGCGTCAGCCTGCATTCAAAGACGAGAAGAGATTCCATCTTCTTGGTATCCCTGATAGGGCCCCAGCATAGCCGCATCTCCTACGCTTGTATGCATGGATAGGACATGGTGATCCGTCAATCGAAGTTGTATAGGTTTGAGAAGACGGGTGTCGCCCTTTTGGACCTTTCCCGAGGTCGATGCTAAGTACTCCAGGAGCGTACATAGATATAATTTTGCTATAATGCGTACAATATGTGAACTGAATGCTCCTATGTCAATTCATCAATCATAATGCTAGCTAACGATATCAAGAAACAAGCTATGCTCGAAAACCAGGGCGAGGAATGCTTCTTTTCCTGGAGTATATTCTTAAAATAGTCTACATATATTGAAGTTATTATAGTATATTCCAAGAATCCTGACATTGAATCAGTAGGTCGCAGCTGGTTATTAGATAGGTAGCTTGATAGGAACTTCGACTGCTATATTTCACTGCCCCTTGCTCTTCTCCATATTCCTCTTCGCATCTCCCTCTCTGACCACTTCACGTTAATCTTTTAGAGATTTACTGGCTAATTAGTGGCATTGGTCGCTCTTTAGTTCAGTGGAAGTTTACTGAGGCTTCATCTCGTTGACAACACACCTCATAACTATTTCCGTTGAATTCCAATTCCCTGTCACATTTCCCAACAACTCCCTCCAAATACTTCACCAAAATCCCCGCCACTATTGATTCCTGGACAAAGGCACCATCTGACTCTAATTCTCTAGACAAATCAATGCGCATGCATGAAAATTTAGGCTATAAAGACGCCCAGGAGCAGTTCGTCCTGGATTGAGCCATATATCCTGCTCCAGTCCACCCCAGTCCACCCCCAGTCAGTTATCGCATTGCTCTATAATATCGGGATGGTGTCACGGGTTAAACCCAGTATGGTGCTTAGACTAAGACCTTCGCTATTATATAGGGCGCTAGATGCAACTGATCTACCGATCAGTCGTCTTGTACCTTTTTATATGGTCAAGTGGTTTTATTTCTACTAGCGCAGAGACAATCAAACCATCACAGATGGAGAGAGATCCAGCAAGCTGGCAAACACTCCTTGCATCGATTGGCTTTCAGGAGCACCTAAGAGCCATCACCTTAGTAGGGCGAAAGTATCAGGAGTTTAAGATACTAGTCCTACAAAAATTAAAATTTATATTTCTGAAGCCTTCGAGTGAAGCGCTGATTAATATTGACGAGGCAAGTGCGAAAATTAGTCTCGTCGCTGGCTTCAAGCTGTCAGCATGGAAGATCCAGCTGTCAACTATAGCTGTGAGCCAGCAGAATCGGTTTGATTAAAATCTTTGCAGCTGTTAATAACACCCAAGGCAATATACAGGGAAAACAGATGGTGTTATAGCATCCTAAAACTCATCAGATAAGTTCCATCATTGAATGCAAGCAACTCAAATGAAAGAAATCTCACTGTCGAGATATAGAGGTATCCCAAATAGTGGCATGTGTCAAAGAATACCCAGATCCCAACATTCAGTGGTATTAGCGCCCTTTGTCAACTATCAAGAACCCGTTTGCGCTCAAGACGATCTGGTCTTCCCGGATTTCTCTCAAGAAGCTTTGCTACCATGCATTGGCCAGCAGCAGCCATGTCTGCGGTCCCCTGTCTAGAACATTCCGCACCTCCAGTTCGTCTCTCTGCCGTTTTCTGCGCGTTCGTCGCCGTCTTCGTCACTGGCATCTTCCATCCCCGGTCTCCACAGCCATTGCCGCGGACTACCCTTCTGCTCTCTTCGACGGCCTGCAGTCCTGGCCAGCCACCTGGCAGTGATAGAGGTCGTTGGGGCTCCGCCTATTCCCCTTCTACCTCACCGTCACAAACATACAATCTGCGTTCGTGCCTTCCCCATGGTCGTAGCATTTCCTATTCCATCATTCAAGACCATCACCAGGACGCTTTAAACACTCAGAGAGCTGATAACTAACCATCACCCGTTACCCGTGACCGTTGCGGTCAAAGAAACAGGCTGTCCTCGCCAACGAAATCGAAACAAATTCTGAGACTAACGATTTCAGTGAGCATCCTCATATCTTAGAAAGGATAGCAGATGTACATCTCCTTTCCGCAATTTTATCAAAGCTGGATAAGATAGATCAAGCCCAAGTTCGAAGAATTCCAGCTGAGTGAAAGCCAGCATATTTTTCTCACTGATGTCTCTGAGGTTGAATTCCGGGAATTTAAACTGGAACAAGATGAGCTTTCCCTTCCTTCCATGAGAGTCCAGTATACCCCAGAGCACTCCGCTCTTATCATAAAACTTGCCGGAGCATTTCATGAGACAGCATGTGACCTAGTTTTTCCCTCAGACTTCTCCGTCAGGAATAGCTCGATTAATTACCCTATCACGCTGGACGCGAATACTATGAGCATGTACCCTTAGACAATGATGTGAAGGGCTAGAGGCTACTGAGAGTACATAGATTGTATCAATAAAACTCCACCGGACTAAAGAATGTTTGAGTTTAATTGATGTGAAGACGAGCCAAAGGGTTAGTTAGGTTCGTAAGCCAATTAAGACTGTGGCTTGATCATATTCAAGACTGCAGAGAGACCGCAGAGGAGTAACCAAAGTTTCTGCTTCAAATATCCAAATCTGTAGCTGGTCGACTAATTGACTTTTCTTGCGCTTTTAGTATCCGTTCAGCCAGATTTAGCTTCCAGTATAATAAAACCAAGGTAAGTGACGGCATGTGGCGTCCACATGTCTGCCTCAAAGACAAGGCATAAAATCACATGAACGCCCCGCCGACCAATGAGGTCAGCCCCCACCAATGACATTGCAGCGGATTTACAACGGACGGCAGGCCGGGAGCACTATCACTCCGTGGTTACTGTTGGCTGTTGGCAGGCAATCAACGGAATACTATAAATACTACTGCTATTAGTGGCAAGCGAGCTGCGTAGCGGAGACCTTCGTCTGCTCTCTACCAACTAACTAGCTAGCACAATGCGCGGGAACTAACTTATATACCGATCTTGCAGCGTATGATTTATGTACCTCTTACCGCACTCGACAGTGTCTTAAGATTTTGACTTGTACTAGTGGGCCTGTTGCTGAAGAGGACATCACTGCTCATGGCCAATCCACTAATCCGCGGGCTGAAACATGCCGTCGTTTTCGTCTATGGGTTATTCACATTGTTCTATTTCGGGTATGTAGCGGTCATACAAGGGTATTTTTTCAAGCAACCAGACGAGAAAGAGACTTTGGAGCTGCAGATAGGTACGTATCTGTTGGTTTCTTTTCTGTCACTTTGAAGGTGCAGCCTTTCTATCGTCCGCTGACCGATATACCTGTTGTAGCTCGTGATCGCTTTTGGAACCTCTCAAAGTCCTGGTCTGGCCTCTCTCATCAAGTCGTCACCTTGCGAAACGGATTCAATTTCCACTATGTCTCCAATGACCTTCCGGATGCCGTAGCGGGATCCAATAATAAACCGCTGGTAATCTTTATCCATGGCTTTCCAGATAGCTGGGCCATATGGCGCAATGTGTTAAGATCCGCTTCTCTTCAGGAGGCAGCCACGATGATTGCGGTTGATTTACCTGGTTACGGTGGTAGCGACAGCTTGGATGAATATACAGCGACAAATGTGCTGGAGAACTTGACTGGTTTTGTGCTAGCCGTCAGGTCCAAGTATGGTGTGGACAGCGACAGCGATGTCAATCGAAAGAAAACGATTATCGTTGGACATGACTGGGGTTGTGTTCTCTCTATGCGACTCGCTTCCGAAGCACCTGAGTTAGCAGATAGGTTCATTTTGAGCAACGGGCCAATGGTAGGTGTATCTGAACAGCGATGTTTATCAGGGCTGACGCGGTCGTTAGACTAGTCTTGTTGCTTCTAACATTCTCCGACTGCTATCCTCGTCCTTCAAGATCCTGAAGACCTCATTGCGATCCCCAATCCGGTCTCGGTCGGCAATCATCAAGGTACTCAAGTCTTTGAAGCCAGTAGCTCGACAATTGGGCCTCTCAGGATATGTGTTTGCCATGAATTTGCCTATGTCATTCGTTCGGTACCTTGGCACAGGGGGGAATTTCTCATTTCTCAAAATCGTTCACAAGGACTCTTATGGAAAGAGAGAGTTTACTCCTCGGGACGCCGCAGAATGCATGGCAAGTACTCTGGGTCCATCTTTTGAGGAACTCAAAACACAAACACCCAATGGGCAAAAGTACCCGGATTCAGTGTCCAAGGAACGCACTCTCTCCAACTTTCAGCACATGGCCTCTTACTACCGGGACGGCCTAGCCGTAGAACGCTGGCATAAATCCGTTGAGACTATTACCGACCTGCATAATATTCAAAGCGAAAAAGAGCTCCGTCGGGCTAGCAGTGGAGCTGGACTGTTTGACGATGGTCCCAAGGGGGTCATGAAGGCCTGCTCGACCACTGTTTGGGGCAAGGCAGACATTGCACTGGACCCGCAGCTGTGTTTGGCTGGTATCTCAGATTACCTTGTTCAGAACAGCCAGGTTGTTGAACTTCCCCGCTCTGGTCATTTTACTCCGTTGGAAGAGGAGAGCTTTGTTGCCCTGGAGAAAACAGTCGAATGGGCCGTTAGGGGCGAGAAAGAGGATATCGGGGCTGTCATCCAGGCATGCTATCCTGGAGCTATGGTGACCGTTCGGAAATAAACTGGCCCTGGCGCCTAAGTGATTTTAAAACTGGTTGCTCCCCCTTTCCCTATTTTGTTACCTTCCTATGGCTTGAGGCAGAGTAGTATATCTCTAATCTCTCAACCCCTCGCTGTGATGGGGGGTCATGATCATTATTGTAAGCGCGTCTGGATGTTGTTGTATTCTTGTTTCAGTTTCGTGTGTCAAATTCAGTCTCGCTTGAAATGTTTGATAGGAGTTTGCTGCAAGCCGATGTTCTCACTGTGACTAGATCCAGCAAAATACGAATCGTGTACAGCACTTTTTTTTTTTTTTTTTTTTTTTTTTTTTTTTTTTTTTTTTTTTTAATTGCTTTTCTCTTTAATTACTCCCTTACGGCTTTCCATGTACTACTGTACAACTTACGACAAGCGCACGGGGCCTCGCCTCTTCCTCTTTTTCTCCCAACACCTTTCCCTCATTCCCTACAATAGTATTCTCTTTTTTCCCTGTTTGTCTCTGGCTTTATCTCTACGTTCGTTATTTCAAGGACCAAAATCGACTGCTCGTAATTTCAGCGCTTCAACGTAATGCAAACCCGGTGGAAGTCTTCGTTTCAATCGGTTGTACGCGATCCTGCAGCCACTGCTGGAGCTTATGCGGGGTCCGTCCTCAACGTCACTATCTAAAGAGGGGAAATCATAACCAAGCTACGGTCGGAGATTAATTTTCTCCTGAAGGTCCCCTTGCTTCTATTTCCTTTGTCTCGATAATTATTTATACAATATAGCTTTCATCGAATAATTGCGCGACGAATTAAAGTTACCGCGATGAGCTCTGAAGGAAATGGAGTATACTGCACTGTATGTCCCTATGCTCGTCGACTGCCATAGCAGGCAATTACTAAACTCGTCACAGCTACTACTGAGCGATCATTATCTCCCTGGTAAACAATTGGCCTCCCGGTAGTTGCTTTTTACTGTCCTACAGCTCCTAATATACTTCTTTTTCCCTTTAGGAGCGGTAGTTCTCGCTCATTCTTTGCGCGATAATGGGACGAAGGCGAAATTGATTGTCCTCTACCCGCCGGACACGCTACAGCCGGCTACCATCCAAGAGCTTCGCGTATGATTCTCTTCTATTCCGCTGGGGTGGTGTATATGTGCAATGCCCTAATGAGAACTATCTAGACGGTATATGATGAGCTTATTCCTGTTCACCCGATGACGAACAACACCCCAGCAAACCTCTGGCTCATGGAGCGCCCGGACTTGATATCCACGTTTACTAAAATCGAGCTCTGGAGACAGACACAGTTCCGACGCATAGTATATATTGACTGTGATGTGGTAGCCCTCAGAGCACCCGACGAGCTCCTGGAGCTAGAAATGGACTTTGCCGCTGCTCCAGATGTCGGCTGGCCGGATTGCTTCAATAGTGGTGTGATGGTGCTTCGTCCCAATCTTCAAGACTACTTCGCCCTTAAAGGGCTCGCAGAAAGAGATATTAGTTTCGACGGCGCGGACCAGGGATTGTTGAACATCCACTTTAAGGACTGGCATAGGCTGAGTTTCACGTACAACTGCACCCCCAGCGCAAATTATCAGTATATTCCGGCCTACAGGCATTTTCAAAGTACCATCAATTTGGTTCATTTCATTGGATCTCAGAAACCCTGGAACATGTCGAGGCAAGTGGCCCCGACTGAATCACCATATAATGAGTTATTAGGGAGATGGTGGGCTATTTATGATAGACATTATCATCCTGTCGCAGCACCTGTAAGTTTCTGGGGTTTTATTCCATGTCTTTGCCCTTTACCATGGCATTTTTAACCTGATCGGAATCACAGACGCACCTCTCTCGAATGGATACAACATCTGCACCTCCACCAGGTGGACTTCCGGCCTGTCAAACAGACCTGGCTATAAAGTCATCGTTGATGATGGCTTCACAGGCGACTCCCTCGGGTCAGGATTTGGAGAGCTTTGAGACAGAGCCCGTTGGATTTCCGGAACTACCCTGGGAGCAATCATCTGTGTCCCAGCCCGTGACGTGGAGTGATGAATCCAACTCGCACAGAGTTGCTCAAGCGCGGGATTTTCCCACTGGGAATAGTATATCCCCGTCAATTCCTAGTGGAGCAAAGGAATATAGAAAAGAAGAGTTACATGAAAATGTTGATAAAAGTGTGCGGACACCACTTTTGAGTGCTGTCCCACAATATGTTTGTGGAGAAGAGCATGTCTCAACCTATTTACAAGCTCATTCTGAAACAACGCCCCCAGTCAAGCACATAGAGCAACGTATCTTGGTACAAAAAGACAATGTACCGACGCCGTTGAATGTCACAGAGCCTCAGGTTAGTAAACAGACGGGAGAGTGTATTTCGAGAGAGGAACAATCATCTACACCAAGGCCTGGAGCTCCAGTTTTCGAGCCTCCCAAGGCAGAGTGGGATGCATCACGGTGAGGAGAACTGACAATTGGCTGAATTACTATGTAGGCTTACACATTCTAGTGAGCCGCCGCCTCTAAATACTAAGCCTGAAGGAATTGCTTTGGAAAAGAAGACATACACCATGTCGGAGGACAAACAGCTTTTTCAGCCACCTGAATCCTACCCAGAGGCTCCCAAGAACATGTATTATGACCTTCCTAGCAGCAAACCGGAGCCAAAGAAGCTCACGCAAATTTTCCCTTGGGAAAACCACATGCCCAAGCCAACCCGAGTGTTCATAAACGACGAGCAGAGCAACGTTTCACTCCCGAGCCCAAGCAGTACAAGAATCTCCCGAGAGTCCTTAAAAGAAGACTGGGGACCATCCATGGAGCCAACAATACCTTGCACATCCAACGAGCCTACCGAGTCCTGGGAAAACTACTCCCGATCAAATGCATGGGACGAAGTCCCAGAGATCCTGAGATATATCCAATCAATCCAGCAAGCCCGAAAGGCCAGGGTTCAAGTAATATCAGACTCTGATAGCTCTGCTGCATACGGGGCTCCAAGCCAAACAATCACCGAATCAAACGCGGACACGCCATTGACTTTATTTCCAAGTGAACTTGGGGGTCCCCGTCTTCCTGTGACGCCTGCGCCCATACGAAGATCATCATACTTTAATGTTCTAGAAGAGGATTCCACTGCGGACAAATTACCCACTGCCAAAGGAGTGCCAGACCAAGAGGAATGGGTGGGTATTACGGCTGATGTGTTTTTGAGCCTGCTTCGGGCGACATACTTATACTGGGCTTTCACAGAATCCGTTGACACGTCTCGAAGAGCTTCATCGATGGCAGTCTGAAGTTCTAGAGAATCCAGGCCGACTTGTTGAAAGATTTGCAGGTACATCGGACCCATACCATAAAGATGAGTGGAGGTAAAGCAGTAGCGGTGTTCTCTCTCTCTTAATTATTTGTTTGTTTGTTTTTTTTTTTTTTTTCCCTTGCTTTTCTACACTCAATATTTCTATTGTCTTTTCTCATACCTGGCTGCTGCCTGTGCCACTTTGTACATTATACCTAGCATTGTTCTTTTCTGAAATCATCCCATACATTGGAATGAATCATTGCGTTCTATTCTAACCCCTCCTTAATAGATAGCAAATACCAAAGTAACGAAGAAAATGAAGAAATTTTGTGACAATTGACTAAAACAGATGCGTTGTGGTATTAATACACTTCTATTCATACGCTCAATAAACCCAAGTGACGCATGGAAGCAAGCCTTATACCTTATACCCTCTAGCTCCAAGACCCTGATACATCTAAGAATAACAGAACGCCTAAAAGTGCACCCAATGACGCCGGAATCATGCACGATATTAATGATAGAGGAAGAGTGTTTGAAAAAACGAGTAGGAAATTCGTTTCCTGATCATGATACTACTACTGAGCATCGGTGTCCTCTCACGGAGTAGAAAGTAGACTGTTTGACGTGGCATGCCTTGCCAGTTTCTGGGTTGAATACCGAGAATCCATACGTTGTGGCGTTTGGGGGAGTGTAGACTGAATTAATGGAGAAATTAACCGGTCAATAAAGTTAAAAGGAAAAAAGAAGGGATTTTATAAGAAAACAGGATACATACGATGCAAGGACACAGCAAAATTGTCGGGATCTGGATTGGATACCTTGTGTAGACCCAGCTGGTTCAAACTTTAGTCTTCTTTTATATTTTCCGGCACATAGTGTAGAAGGTATGGTACAACAAACCTTATCAGACATATATGTAACCTGGTTCTCGTCGTAAGTGGTGACCCTTTTGATCTGGGGAGGCGATGGCTCGCCTTGATTGATCTTATTTTTGTCAGGCCACGCATATAGAGTCTCCTGGAGAGAGCCTTTGAGGATCTACACCATGGGAAAGTAAATAAAATGGTACGGTAATCAGTCTGCAGATTCAAGACAGATCTGATAGAAGGTGAAAAAGCAAATACCTTCATCACACAATGAGAATTGGCGTGGTCATGAATCACGCTCCCTTTACCCGGACTCCAAACCAGAATCAGCTAGAACAGCGAGGATGATCAGCATGGAAAAGCATTATAGGTTCACATCTCAGAAATCTACTCCGTGCATACGCACGTGATCTGTTCCATCATAGGTGGCGGTGCAGACTCACTAGATTACTCTTCCCATTGCCTTCGTCGATGAGGTTCCTCGTGTATCTCCTACTGGGGTCCCCCAAGGCGAATTGTTGCCATTCTTCTGGATTCGAGGTATAGCATTCCATTAGGAGCTGGATGTTGAGGGGATCGACATCATCGGAGTCTAGACCCGAGCTAGGCCCTAGAGCTTCGCTGAGATCTTGAACTAGTTGCTCAAAGGCATTGCTGGGCGGCTTCTCTGAACTGGAAGCTGTAGCCAGTTCAGGTTTTATATATGGCATTTCTATTTTCCTCTGCAGGATTTTGGTTGGATTTATTTTTTGTCTTGAAGTGTGCAGTAAAAATGAATGTGTTTCCGATATGGAAAGTGCTTGTGAGGACTCGGAGTCTCCTGGAGCACGACAGTAGTCGTTAATGAACGGGCTTCGAATAATATCTAGTGGTAATGGTCCGCAATGCAGAACCTGGTTAGTTATACAAGAGAATATACGATGAACAATTGAAGAGACAGTGCGTTATCGTCCAAAGAACGACAGAAGTATGAAAATGATCCCTGGATGAGATCACGGGATGGCCTCGCCACCCGCCGAAAGTGTATGCCTCATTTATGCCTGAGGCTACAACCCCGCCATGTGATCTCTCTCCGCCCGACTAACGGGCGAATCAAGTAGCGGCCACAATTTTAAAGATTGGAGTCCGCGAGAAACTGAAGCCCAACAGCTTAGTTGGTTAACACGACAAGAGTGTGAGAGATTCATGCAGCAGGTGATTGAGATCACATATACTTTTATTTTCCTGATTTACTCACACTTTTATTACATTTGAGTACTGTGTGCTTTGTACGAGGGGTAAATCCCATTTCAATCCGCCAAAATGTCGACCACAGTTGAGAAGGTTAGTTCCCTCATGTTGCGTATAACGATGTTTCCGTGTCTTGCCGGTGACAAAATGAGCCTTGCTGACTGTTTTTTGTACTATTTTAGATCAAACAAATCGAGGACGAGGTTTCTGCCCAGCACCGTTATAGTAATCCTGCAAAGTGATCCACGGCACTAACAGGCTTCCAGATGGCTCGGACTCAGAAGAATAAAGCGACGGCGTTTCACTTGGGTAGGTAAATGGCTAACAATGCGGACGTGGTTTCGAATTGGTGACTGACGAGGTGCTGCAGGACAATTAAAGGCTAAACTGGCGAAGCTAAAAAGAGAACTCTTGTCTCCATCTGGCGGCGGTGGAGGTGGAGGTGGTAAGTGGCTTGCCCATTGATTAGCGATTCGTTGGACATTTATTGATGCAGCGAGTTTTAGCGGGTTTCGATGTTGCTCGTACTGGTGTTGCTAGTGTGTATGTCCTCCTTTGAAAGATGGTCCAAGTATAATCACTGGGTACTGACTTCGGGGTAGTGGGTTCATTGGTTTTCCTTCAGTCGGCAAGAGTACCCTGATGAGTAAACTGACAGGCCAGCATTCGGAAGGTTGGTTGTCCAGACCCTTGGTGGATACAAGTTTGCGGCTAGTGCTGATAGCGGTATTGCACAGCTGCTGCATATGAGTTCACGACCTTGACGACGGTGCCTGGACAGGTGATGTATAATGGCGCCAAAATCCAGATCCTTGATCTTCCCGGTATCATTCAGGGTGCCAAAGACGGTAAGGGTCGTGGTCGGCAGGTCATTGCGGTGGCGAAGACTTGCCATCTTATCTTCATTGTGCTGGATGTCAACAAACCGCTAGTCGACAAGAAGGTGATCGAAACCGAACTAGAAGGCTTTGGGATCCGAATCAACAAGCAACCTCCCAACATTGTCTTCAAGAAGAAAGATAAGGGTGGTATTGCAATTACCAGCACGGTTCCTTTGACACATATTGACTATGATGTGCGTTCTTCCCAAATCGGAGTGTTGCGAGGGCCCGTGGCTGACTTTCAATCCAACAGGAAGTCAAAGCTGTCTTGGGCGAGTATAAGATCTCTTCTGCAGATATTTCCATTCGATGCGATGCAACGGTCGACGACATTATTGATGTCCTTGAAGCCAAGAGCCGAGCCTATATCCCGGTTGTCTATGCTTTGAACAAGATTGACTCCATCTCGATCCAGGAATTGGACCTTCTGTATCGGATACCCAACGCCTGTCCCATCAGCTCCGAGCATGGATGGAATATCGATGAGCTACTAGAGATGATGTGGGAAAAGCTCAATCTTCGGCGGGTCTACACCAAACCCAAGGGCAAGGCTCCCGATTACACTGCTCCTGTCGTGCTTAGGGCCAATGCCTGCACAATTGAAGACTTTGTATGAACGCCATTCCAGTAGCATTTACAAAGGCCACTGTTGCTAACCATATCTAGTGCAATTCCATTCACCGAACAATCAAGGATCAATTCAAGCAGGCCATTGTATACGGACGCTCTGTGAAGCACCAACCGCAGCGTGTTGGTCTCACCCACGAGCTCGCAGACGAGGATATTGGTTCGCATACCCCTTCGCTCCAACTATCCTAGATGAACAACAGAGCTAACGGTTTGATTACAGTGACAATTATCAAACGGTAAACGAGTTTCATCGACCAGAACCCTTAAACCGCGTACTTAAGAGCAGAGAAACTGTGGCGAATCGTGCTCAAGAGGGTGGATGATTTGTGTTAAGTGGTGCTTTCGCTAATTATCCATGTCCAAGAGGCCCGGCCCTTGTGACATCTTTTCGGTGAGATGCCACAGAAAGTGTGATTAGTGGTGGAGGTGGTTCGCGCTCGGGCAGCAATTATGCCACCTGCTGCCTGGATTTGCACGATCACTCGGTTTGGGGGCTAGTACGTATCGCTTGCATTGCTACCATGCTCTCCGTGATGTGCAATCCTTTCAAGTACTCCAGGTGCATGAGAAAGGACAATGTTGGACGGCGGAAGATTAGAGTGGGAAAATCTGGAATAGGGTTTTTTTTTTCTCGGTTCAGCAGTACCTACAGTAGCTCTGCGGAATTTTCATTTGTTTCCCCCATTTTGGAGCGACTAAGTCTTTGATCCTGTTTGATTCCGAGGTCGGAGGCCTGACGTTCTAGATCATATGTTTCAGACTGTTAAGAGCTAAGTAGTAGACCATTGGCTATTTTATTATTAATAATTTATATATATATATATATATATATATATATTTTGCGGTTGGCGATAAAGTACCATCCCGTCTCCGTTCTTTCATTCTGACTTTGGCCCAGGAAGATAGTAGAGAAGGGCACTGACCGAGATAGGAAGTGCACCGGCCCGGGCAGATGTGCCATTGCTGACTGAGGTCACTCTCAGATCCCATGCATCATCATCTGACAATCAAGAATGAGTTCCAACCGAGCATTATCAAAGGATTCTCAGCCCCCGTCAAGGCGCACGGGGAACAGAGGTGCTCTTAACTTCAGGTTCAGTGGCCTAGCAGGATCTAAGTAGCTGCGAATATAACTGGACATTGCGCACGGTGATATTAAACTACGACTCGTTTTGAACATGCTAATATTGCACGGACTGTTGGTCTAATGTTTCCCATCCAAAACCGAATGTAATAAGCATTCTGTCCGATGAGACGTAACTTGATCCACATGCAGAAATCCGATAGACGAGGCGACACCTAGGTAGGTAAGGAGTCTGTGAAGGAGGACTATGATCGGGGAAACCGGCATCTCCAGACCGCGGTCAAGTCAAGGGAATATATTCCTTAGTGCAATATACCCAAAGAAAGCCCTGCCGGTTTGTCCCATGTCTACTGCCCGAATTTATCCATGATTCATTCAGGCCGTCGTTCAGATGATGTAAGTTCTTAAGTAGGTAGTAGGTATGTACGACTTCGTCTATCCGAATAGCTACCTTAGCTACCGCTACCTCCCGACCAGATTCCTTTTCTACCTTACTTGACTATGTCCTGCAACTAATTCTGCATCTGCAGGTGCAAGGTCCGGGGTGCTACTGTACCCAAGGCAGCGAATGGAAACCCCGGTTGATTAGGTACCTTCCCAGGTATCTAATGCTATGGATTTCATTATTCATTAGGTGTTGAATTAAGACGCATCCCGGGTCGTGATTCGCCTTTCAGGTCCAGGATATACGGTATTTACGAAGTAATATTGCAGGAGGGGAAATGGTAACCAACCCATCCAATCCTCAGGACGCAACTGCTAGTACGTAGTACCTACAACCTGTAAGTCCTATGTAAGTACAGGCGACCTTGGCTCGCGGCCTTCTGGTTGGCTCTTGGGGTCTTGGGTTTTCTCCAGGTGACACTCGGCACTTACTCCACAGGGTAATTGTTTGTTGCTGACAGGACGAAATGGGGAGGTCATGGAGGAATTCAAATCAAATTGGGGAGGTACAAAAGGGAATGGAAGGAGGACTTCGGCTTTTGAAGTATTTTATTTTGTTTTATTTTCTTTTCTTTTTCTTTTTTTAACTTCTAGGTACCAATCACCACTCAAGTCCGGCTGAAATTGATTTGAAAGATAATGCATGTCAGGGTTTTATTTTCTTTTCTTTTCTTTTCTTTTTTTCTTTTTTAAGTTAGTAGTAACAATGGCAGACAACAAGAAGCGGTCTGCGCGGGATCGCAAGCTTCCAGTGGTACATCAGTCGAAAAGGTAGATACGACGCAGGAATCCGCACTAAGGTTGATTTTACTCCGCGTGGTAGTAGTAGTAGTAGTAGTAGTAGTAGTAGCAGCAATAGTCTCGATCAGGTTATCTTACCACTTCTCAATGCTTCTCCAGCAATCTCTCTGTTTACTTTCCCACTCCTTCTTTCTATCTTTAATTAATTCCATTCGGGTTCAAGCTACCGTGGAAATTGAATTCACACACCAGTCAGCGCAATGAGATTAGGGGTGCTACTTAGTTATTCATCATGCATTATTAATCGCGAGGGTTGCAGTTAATACTACTACGTAGGTATTACAGCTGATTATTTCTATTGCGGGGCTTTTGTTGAGCATAATTTGGTACCGAGGGCTTTTTTTTTCTCTCTCTCTCTCTTTTTCTCTTTTTGGCTTTGTAGATCCAGACAGTAGAAAGAAAAAGCAACAAAGCAAGACAAAGCCAAAAAGAGAAGGGAATAACCGCCAGGGGTGGAGAACCTGACGATGATCAGCCAAGTAAAAATTAGTCCACAGCTCTTGATAGGTGGCTGGTAAAGTATGACCAGAAATGCCTTGCACGGTAAATAAAATAAATACTGCACAGCCTCGGTGGGAGTGGCAAAGACGTCAGTCAGGAGATAAGTATATCGGCATTCGACAGATGGTAGAAGGTAGCATGAAGTCCCGGATATCCTAATCTCGTGATACACTTCTCCAGTGTCTCTCAGATCTTGATGAATACATAACTACAGAAATCTGCTTGTCAGATGACCGACCGAGAGATGCTAGCTACCAGTAGAAAAGTGGAGGCTGCATTGTTCGTGTCATGTCTTATTCTTCATTGCTTTGCCAGCCCCTATGCTACGCAGGTAGGAGCATGGGTGGATGTATGTATGTACATACTACGTACATACGGTGTAGTATGCCCTGTTGGGACTTTGTCGGTGACAACATATCGTGGCGATGGTTTTATTCTGTTCTGATATTTTCACCTTGGGTAACGCGGGATCCTTCGATCCAGCCACACAGCATCCGCAGCTTTCGGTGGTTAATGTGCTGTAAAAACCTACGGACAAAAGGCCCCAGGAGCAGCAGCAGCGAGGGAATTCAGGCTGGACAGGATTCGACTCTTAAGGTAGAAAAAGGAGTGTAGGTAAAAGAATGGAAAGCAAGCACTACGACGGTCAAGAAGCATTCCATCGATACATGCATGATGCACCCATCATCAAGAGGGTTCTTAGGTATCATCTCCACACTAAGATCTCATCTTTGGCCATTTCCACCGCTACGCTAGGTCATCAAAAGTCATCGACTATACATACTGAATGTCACGGCTCAGCCCGACCTGGCTCGTTCTTTGATGTCATCCATGATCTCTCATATCTTTGAATCTGTATGCAGCTCGACCGCGTGATATAATGGACTTCCCTGCGTACGGAGTACATGTGGGTATACTGTACATGTACCTCGATCAAGTGGACTGGAGGCACAATACAAGGAAGGGCATGATTGTATATTCCAAGTAACTGCCTTGCGCATATGTACAGTCAGAACCTACACTTTCTGCCACTACTGAGACGTGAGATGTTAATCCCGACGGAAGTATCAGACGTCTGCACTGACTTGCGTACCTGACAGATATCTATTATTGGTGCCGTAAAACGGTAAGGCTATCATGACACCACCCTTTGGTTGGGGTTGATTCGGTGTTTGACATCGCACCACGCCATCTCCCTTTCCTGCCCAGCCTTTTTTTTTTTTTTTTTTTTAACAAAAGAATTGATCTACTCGAACTTTTGAAGGGCCTTTTATTTTTCTATTTCACGCTCTTGTAATACTAATATCTTTCGTTTACCTCTTCCAAGGCTGCTGTTCCTGAGAGATATTCCAAGTTTATTTTTGGACCAGTCAAGAACCATTGAAAGACGCAAAAAGACAATAAAAATAATAAAAGAAAATAAAAAGGGGGAAGCTACTCACCACACTATTTATGACTTACACAAAATTCGATGGCCAGCCCACCCAAGGCCGTAGTGTCGATTTTCCATGCCTCTGCCTAGATAGGGAAGCGATTTTCCGTCCCTAGGCGAGTGGCTGTCATCTCGATGAGAAGAAGCGGCAACAGGCAGATCGATTGGAAGAACGCCAAATGAGGGATCTCTCCATGAAAGCCATTAGTGCAATCATACTCTGTACTCCGACTCAATGATTCTTCCAGTTATTTTATTTTATTTTTAATTGATTACAACTCATTCCTTGCTTTATTATGTTTTGATCCCCTTCCAGTATTTGTCATTTCTTTCTTCCTACCATTGCACGATCTATAAGATTGTATTGTCTTACATCATGTTTCCTTGGACCGACCAGCAACGCACGCAGGTATTACATACAATAGGGAAACCTAGTCCTGACAGCCCTCGTGGTCATCCGAACAAGCGGGGCGGGCTGGCGATTGGAGCAGCATCGATCACGTTTCCGCCTCCCCGACCCGTACTCCTAAATACTTGGTATCTGAGACCTGGCAAGTACCCAGTACATCTCTATTGAAAGCCCTGGTAAGGCTGCACATGCAGTAATTTGCGTCACCCTTTTTTTGTACAGAGTACCTGCCTGGTACCTAGGTCACACATACATACATTGAGTGCCATGTACTGCGGTGATGCGTCTGTAGCCATACAACAACAACAACCAGTAAGGCCGATGGGAATGCGCTACAAAGCAGGGCCAAGGCAAGAGGGGCGTATGATGGAAGCACAGGAAGTAAGTGTAATTCCGACCTGCCGAGTCAGTGCCGTCAGGGTTCAAGGTTTGCAACGAGTTACGGTGGGAGGAGGACTAAACTGTATTGAGCAATAGTACTACCCCTCGATCAATAATGCCCGATCAATATCTGCATGTCTTGGGTACATAAGTCGTTTTAAACAGGGCACGAGTTTTAATCAACGAATTCTATCTTGCAGAGTTTTTCAAATTAGCTTAACATATCGGCTTTTTAATTTAATTTTTGTTTTGTTTTAATATTTCCACCCCAATCCCTCCGCTGTTTTTAAATAATAGGGAAAAAAAAAAAAAAAAAAAAAACTTTTCTTGTCCCCATACAATTCTGAGCCACGATTTGCATTGCTTGAGTTGCCGGCCCGGAGTGGACCGCTACGGGCCCTGTGGACCGTGGGGTCCTAGCTCCTCGACCTCATGCTATGAAGCTGGTACATACGTAGTGCTAAGGGACTAATTCCTCTAGGCTCCAAACCATGTTCCCCTTGCCACCTGTGATAGGACGAGCCTCATCTATAATCCATGTCCGGTCCATGTAATGAAAGGGAAATTGGAATCAACCTTTGACTGTTCATTTGTCCGTTCCACCTCCTGACGTTTTTCTCGTGACAAAGTACTATGCAGATCGGCCGTCCTCTCCTACGACTGGCAGATTATTTCTGATTAGTGTGGGTTCCAAGAAGCATTGCCATCTCTAAGGACATATTTGTTCTTTGTATTGATCCCTTCAAGCAAGAGTTGACAAGCCGAAAACCGCCATTAGTTGAGGATCAGCCTAGTGAGGCTTCATCATCCTAGATTTCTAAAGATCTACCATCTTTATTATGCATTATTATATTTTTCTTCTTGCCAAATCTACGTCAGATTTGCAGTCTATCTCTTTTTGATGACCAATGACCAATGTCCTCTCCTTAATTTCTCCCCCTCCTTGCTTTCCCGTCCGATATACTTTCTTCACATGTTGTCGGTATCGCAAGGACAGAAGACAGCCTAACAAGGAAAAAAAAAAAAAATTTGAAAAGAAGTCGGGTATATCTCGGTACTATACAGTGGAAACATATTTATCATCACAAGAAGGTTGTGAAAACCGTTAGACTTTCAATGATTGTCGGAATCCAGTATAGTCGAACCTTCGCTTTATCTAGTAAGTTCCTGCTCTGTATGTCATGCGGGCTTTTAGGTTCAGCGGTTTATCGATCCGCTCCCCGTCCGTCAGGAAGTATAGTGATCTTGGCTCCTCAGGAAGTTGCACCCTCTTTCTCTGTTTTTTTTTTTTTTTTTTTTTTTTTCTTTTTACCCAAAAAATTCATCATTATTTTACACGACCATACTCCGTACATGATTTTCGTTCGGGGCGATCTCCTTTCTTTGGAGTAATTGTGGATTTGTCCACTGGCTTCTTTCCCAAGTATTATAATGTGCTACAGAGCTACAGAGTACAGGAATACCGCCTCAAGGGCCGTCTGTCAAACGAGATGAAAAAAATTGGCATCAATGATATAAAAAGCAAAAAATAAGAAAAACTGACCCCAGTACTAATTAGTAAATAAATAAATTCCCACCTAAAAGGGCTTCAACCTTCCTATCTTTGGTCTGTGTATTTTTTTTTTTTTTTTTTTTTTTTTTTTTTTTTTTTTTTTTGGGTGGTTTCCTACTCCGCCGTACGTCGGGTACCAATTTCTCTAGGTTATACTGTAGGAGATCGGTATAAGCCGTAGAGGTAGGTAGTAGGAGGTAATTAGGACCCGACACTGCCTTTGCTCTGACTTCGGTGTAACATGCTGGAAACATCCGCCGTGGAAAAAACATCCACCCTTCGTCAAGTTTAACAGAAGCTCTCTTTCTGCCACTTCCCCAAGCACGTTAGCCATCTTGCAAGGCACCTCGTCATGTTTGATACAAGACCCTGACACAGCACCGTACGGTGCCGTACGGCGTAGCGGTATTTGGACCGAACGGAGATCCCTGAACCCACCCCGCCCCCCAATTTAACTACCCGCCAATCAGAGTCTATTTCCCACACCAGTTTTTTCCAAAGGGGTAATTATTTTATTTCTTTTACTTTGAGGGAACGGACCAATCATTATGCCAATGTGCCGTCTTCCTCATTCTGTTCATTATCAAGACTCGTGTTCTGTAACTAATGACATTGGTTCATAGAAATAAACGGGAAAAAAAATATATATAATAAAATAATAATAACGACACCCGTTATAGTGATACTAATCATGATGGATGGGGGTATTACTTAGGTATCATGCATTATTATTTTACTCTATATTTTATTTTTTTTTGGCTCCCCTCGACAGGTGAAATGACAATTGCCGTTCGAGAGAGACCCTGTCAAATCTAGTGCCTATTACTGTCTAGTCCGTCAGTCGGTCTAGCATCAAATCAGGTACGACATTTTATATCCATCATCCACAGTACTTGACTCTCATCCACCCAGACGTCTCTATCTCAGCCTGCCTCCGTCCACCCCATACTTCTTTACCACTCCTGCTGCTACTACTTCTCGGATCGGCCCTGTGCCTGCGCCCCAGCCTGACCCTTTTTTAACTCCGTCCCATGCCTTATCCGTGTTGCTTTGTATTCTCTCCACTGTACAAAAGAGAGGAAAGGACCTGCATGTTTTCTTCCATGCATACATATTGCTGCTCTCTTTAGGTCTGATTAGCTTGTGTTCGGGAATACAGGTGCTGAAAGAATTCTCCCTCGCGGGATACCGGTTGTTATTTTTTGGTATTTGGCATACATACTGACTTCGATTCCCGATTTATTCGTCAGTCAGTGCTAACTGCATATTCCGTCTCGTTCCTTTGAAGTTGATCATGCATTCTTGTTTCTCAATTACACTCTAGATTGTTCAGATCAGATCTCTTTGCGTCCCTGAGAATTTTCCTTTCTTTACTTTTTTTTGTCCTTTCTTGTTCTTAATATCCGGGGCTCTTTTCCACCCATTGACTCGTTCCTCTTTCTCCCATTGTTTTGACAGGTGTTTCTTGTTAGCGCTGAATTTTTCTGGTGCCAGTACTGCTGCAAGATCACCATTGTTATAGTATCATATCCCTCTCCCGGGTCTCTTTTTCTATCTATATACCCTTTAACCGCCTCCTACTTTGCTAGTCATGGACACAGAAAGTTCTCCTGGACACGAGAGTGACTTTGTACCATCCCCCTGGGTGGACATGGGCGGCTTCACGCCCTCTCAGCATTCACCACCACTGGATTATCATGGGTTTGGATATGGTGTGATACCTTTGGACTCGGCCTACGACGTGGGCATACCACCTCCATATGCATCACTACCATTAACTCTGCCGTCGACCACATGGCCCAGCATGCTCTCTCACCACACGCAATACCCGGAAGCAGGAATGCCCCCCGTTCCCATTCAACCTTCTGTAACGCCAATTGCACCAGTCGCACCGCCACCGCGTAAATCATCAACTAGCAGCTCAACACCTCGAAGGACACTCACGGATGACGACCGTCGGCGTATGTGTCTCTATCATGAGGAGCACAAGACTGCCAAGCAAACCGACATTGGAGGTAGGCCCATACTCATCTCCCCGTCAGTGAATACAGGCTAACGATCTACAAACAGCACTCTTTGGAGTGGAACGAAGGTAGAGTCATATCCCCTTCTGGGACATATAGAACCGTTTCTAACGCCTGGTATTTGCTCTCGAATAGTACTGTTTCAAAAGTGCTGCGCCAGAAAGACAAATACCTTAATCCAGAAGATGGGAGTCGATCACCTATCAAACGAGCTAAGGGGCGGGTCCCTGATATCGAAAAGGCTCTCTCCAACTGGGTGAGGAACTACCAGCGACACGGCTATCCCCTCAATGATGAAATGATTAGGGAGAAGGCCCTCTTCTTCGCCAGCACGTGCGGCAGTTCTGATGGCAAAGAGAAAGTTCTGACTGCGAGCTGGCTGGAGAAATTCAAACACAAAAACAACTTACTGGGTGCAAAGTCTCGGAAGAGCTCGTTTAGCACCACCAAGAGTGAGGCGACAAGTCCAACTGGCCTGAGCATCAATTCGGCGTTGGCATCGGCCGTGCAGTCTCCTACTGTACTTTCACCTATATCTCCTGGGTTTACAACGCCGTCACCATTGTCCCCAACTCATAGCCAGGAGAATATCAAAGCTGAAGCTGTGGCTGACCTCATTGGGAACTATCAGCATATGCACACCAAGAGCACCACTTCACTCGATACCACCTCATCTTTCTCCCCCAGTGTGACCAGTCCAACATCCACGCTGGTTTCAGAGAGTCCGTTTACTCCCACAAGTCAGTCCCGTAACTCCTCCACGGATAGCAATCCTAATAGACCGCGAAGCCAGACATGTCCGCTCAGCACTGTCGATACTGCTGCTATGACTGTGGACGAACCTTCAGATCAAGTACCTCGTAGGACCTCTATACACTCTCCTCCTCCTACCTTGCAGGAATCACCCTTGAAGGACGAGCCTGATACCAAAAACCTGCCTGGTCTCGATACATCGTCAAACATAATCAAGCGCAACCGCAGTAATCCCGAGATCAGGGCAAAGACAATCTATCCACCGTTATTCTCGAAATCAACCACTGTTTCTCCCGTGAGTTCTCCCGGTTCTCCAACCCAGGATGAAGCTCGAAAGGCGCTGGAGCTGGTGATGAATTATTTTGAACACCAGCCAGCTGGACTAGGGGCGCAGGAGTATATGACCATCGGCAAACTGATGGAAAGGCTCGAGCTGGCAAAGGCCCAGACCACGCTACCTGGCGGACTCACTCGTATTGATGAGCACGAGGATGCACCTCACGTCACTAGAAAGAAAAGCATTCACAGCATGGGTTGAACAGACCAAGGTGGTACTAAATTAGAAGTGGCATCCTGCCACTGTAATCGGTACAATTATCATCAGATATTTTTGTCTGTTTTATTTTTATTTTTTCTTTCAATATTCCCCCATTTCGCTTATGTTGTTTCACTATCCTAGTACAACATACCCTCTTGTTCTTTTATTCCCCTGGGTGGTCGTTTGTTTTATTATTGCATTTGAATGTCATGTTGTATTATTCCCTGCTTCACTAAGCTCGATCGAGATCGACGAGACTTGTGAGGGAAAACGGACGATACACAAACATGCGAGGGCAACCTCAAGGTTATGCGGGCTTATTGGTTTTCCGGCTTTTCTACGTTTACATATGGAGACAGGCGAAAGACCTGGCGGACGGGATCGAACGGGACTCGGTAATTCGATCATTGGGAGATGTCGTTGGAAGGAGTTTCTTTATGTTTCTTTCGTTTTTCTTTATCGTTCCCTCATAAGCATGATTAAACTGAACCGCTCACGCGGAACCAAACGGCATGGATCATACATATTTTCTACTGGAGTTACTTTTCTGACATACTTTGCTTAGGGCTTTTAATTTCGGCAGGGAACGGAGAAGAGATTAAAACATACGGAGCTGGGTTTTCTTTACTGTATTTTCCATTAATTTAATTCTATGGTTATTCTCCTTTATATGTCTTACTGGACTTGATTATGATTATGGATTGACAACCACTTTCTTTTGTCAATGAACTTCCACCGCATCTTTGAGTCACTTCAGTTCATTTTTAATATAATTACTAATTTAAATATTATTTCTCACGTTAATAAGGTAATTCCTTACTCCATCTACAGTACCTACTCATTACCTACCTAGTATCTATCCTTTCAATCCCAGATTAGTGCAATCAGTACCCCTAATCGATTTCTATCCTCACCTAGTACCTACAGAGTAAAAATTTAAACGATCGTCCCTTACCATACTTGCATTCGATTCCCAGATAAAGCAGTACAATCCTTCCTAGGGTATATACTATATAAAATATGCTACTTCCTTACCGTACCTACCTGCCTAGTTGGTCCATGTACAGAGTACGTACCAGCATCATCATCCTTTTTCTCCCTTTGGCATCCTTCCGAACCAAATCCCGTTGACGTTGGCGGTATTATTCTACCTAGGAGCTCTGGTGGGTACTTGCCTATCTAATTATTCTAGGGACCTGTGGATCTATTCATATAAACTTACAGGGATTAATCACCTAGATCGTTGGATTGCATCCTTGGCCGTTTCGTTTCTTTGATCTTGGGCCCAAGGTCATCAGGTCCAGATGACTCTCAATCCTATTGCATACTACGGGGTTCCCTCCAGGGCCGATGTTACACGAGGATCGCTTACGTGGAAATCTTAAGGTAATCGGCCTAAATAGGGAATGAGTCTTACTTAGAATGGCCATGACAACGGTTGCCTATCCTTACTACTGCGTCTTACCCCGGCATACAAGTCTCAATCGCAGATTAAGATGCAATCGCCATAAGCGTGACGGATTTCAGGATCATTAACATTATTATAACTAGGTCGAGGGATCTATGACATTAAGCTCGACTATGTGTCGGTCTGGGTTCCTTCCAACTGCCGGAGTAGTGCTGGTATGTTCATATGGTGAAAGTGGTGATCACCCCTCTGTCCTCCATTAGTTCCGTTGGGCTGCGCTCCGATAATTCCGGGAGAAGCTTCGCCAGGATAGCTTCGATGATCGAATAGATTAGATGTTTATTACAGTACTCATCCGCAAATAGATCGAGAAGATCGTTCTCGATCGCTGCGAGGAGAAGCGACTCTTCTAGGCTGGTGGAGGCGGGGGGAGCCGGCGACGACGCCCGGGAAGACTCTGACCGCTGGCAGTCCTGTCCAGGGGACGCTTCCCCGTCTAGGGGTGTGTGTCCATGGCCATTGGCGGGAATACCAAAGAAGCGCTGTGCAATTGGACGAGGAATCCGCAATAAAAGGCTCACCGCGCACCGTCGCTTGATGGAAGCGATTTCGGCCGCGGATGGACGTGGGTCCGGAGAGACGGAAGGCGCGGTCGCTGAGAGGTTAGGCGTAGAGACGCCACTGCTGGCGTTACTTGCGCCAGCGGCATCGCTACCAGGATCCCTCTCTGTAGGCGAAACTGGAGGTTGCACAGGCAAGTGCGGCGTCGGAGGGCCGGTGGCATTCGTACCCGCCGCGGCCTGACCCGGAAGGGCGTTCAAAGGGAAAAGTGCCGCCCTGGACGCGCGGAGCAGGTTGGGCAGTAAAGTGGGGGTCAGAATATAGTCTTGAATGGTCTCGTGGAGGAACCTGGTGGAATAACGTATGAGAATGATTCAGAAAGAAAGATAAAAAAAAAAATGAAAAAAACGAAAATAAGAAAATGAAAAAAAAAAAAAAAAAAGAAGCAAATCGCGCAACGCAGACGAAGATAGCCCAGTAAGCGGTAGAGCCGGACTGTGGAGAAGCGGTTGAGAGAGAAAAGGCGTCTTCTGCCTTTTTATGAAAAAAGGACCGTGCAACGCGAGGCTAATCCGAGTTCGTGCCAGGAAAGCGATCGTTGCTTGGCCCCAGGACAGTCGAGGAGCTTGGGCCATCGATTGGTGCGATTGAACAAGGCCGAAAGCTGAAGGTGACGGCAAGTCCAAGAGGCGCATCTAGCGTTGTCTGAACGCCGTGACTGTCCTCGAAAACCCTTCGCAAGAGGATTTTCGCTGATTCGCCCCAAAAGGGGAAGCAAAACCAGGGCTTTTACCCTATCCCTGCCAATTCATTCCCAATATCGCATGGTTCTTCACTCAACCAATGCCTAGGCGATCGTCCCCAGTCGCTCCATGTATCGTCTTTTAGCTTGCTTAGCTTGAATTGGTGAACCCCCCCTGGGAATGCGCCCACCTAGGAGGGGAACAGGGGCCTAAGCATAGATATATGGGTTTTCCCCTCCAAGGAGTGATGGGCAATGCAACCGTGGGATAGTGACAGCGTAGCCGGACCTTCCTCCGACTTTGTCAAGCCCTCCATATTACAGAGTATTTCTTCCTGAAGGTGGTGCTGATCAGGCACAGCCAAAATGAAACGGGACGGAAAGGGCCGGGCCAGGAAATGTACTCTGTAGGTAGTGGATCGATAAATTGACAAGGCACGTTCAGGTTCGAGTTCGGACTGTCTGACATAGACAGGTCAACTCTTCCTCATTCGGCTCCGACGGTGATGAAGGGAATTTGCTTTTTTTTTTTTTTTCTCATCCATCATCGGCAAGAATCCTACTTGGAAAACACAGAATAATGACCCGTATGGTAAGGACGGTACACGGGCGGTAAAATAACCGTACGCACCCGGTATGGACGAGCCAGAGGGCACGGGCGAATGAGAGCCGACGGATGAGGCATCCACCAGCAGATCAAGTGATCAGTGCAGTATGCGAGCAATGCACGTCCACTGCATTTGTCCTCCGTGCACGGCTCTGCCACAAAAGGGGTGCGTGCCAACGTAGATCGTTGTTCGGAGATCGGACCGTACTGCTTCTCCACAGCCTGGCTCTCACACTACTCACTCGCTTCCAAAGGACGAGAGCGCGAGACTCGGTCCAGATCTAGAGATTGGTGGTCGTCGGGAAGGGGGTGAAGAGGGGAGGGGAGGAGAGGAAAACTAGAAAATTTTGAAATGACTCACCTATCAAGAACGCTGCCGGTGTCACCTAATCGGCCTGGGCCTGCCAGGATCAGGTATTGGGACAGTGCCAGCAACCCACTTAGCCACGGCATTCGCCGAGGGACATCGAGTAGTTGGGAAAGCATCCTGTACAGTCCGTAGTCCAGCACAGGGTGCTTTTCAGGGGGGTCGCGTAAAGGCGACGCCTCTTGTGTATGGCTGATAGGAATTGTGGAAGCCGAGGGCGCGGTTGCAACGCGAAAGAGCCCCGTCACGATGAAACGTACAGCCACGTAGACCAGATATGCCCCCTGGAGAATGTTCCACATCCACTCTGCAAGCGGTACCTGGTGCTTGGATGGATGGCGTTTCTGGAACTCTTCCCTGGAGGTGAGCAGCCCAAACTTCCGTAATTGGTCATGTTTAAGGGGTACTGTCGTGTTTGTGTCATCCTCCGGGATGGGTTGGCGTCCCACAGTATCCACAAGCTTTGTGATACTCTCCCACAGAAACCACCCTTCACACAGCTTTCCACTAATTTGGGCTCCCAAGATCAGGTCAGCCAAAATATCGCTGGCCAGCGTCCGCAGACAAGCATTCTCTAGGTCCTCCGTCGGGAGAAGTACGGCCAACACTCCCTGCGCAAGTAGCTGTCGATATGCGGCCTCGTTTGCGCGCTGTCGCTCAACGGCGTTCGCGTTCGAGGGATTCGGGATGGGTGAAAACGCCGGATGCGGGTGCAAGGCATGATAAATTTCACGAGCGGATGGAGAGAGTCCAGACAGTCGAGACTGTTCCCTAGCAAGCCTGTACGCTAGACATTGTTGGAAAAGCAGTCAGTATCGGCCCAATGGCGCCCAGCTGGCTGGCCAGAAGACGGGACACGTAGGGGAGTCATGGTCTCACAGGTAATATGTGCTTCAACCAGAGCCGGAATTTCGTCCAGAAGCAGCTGTGCAACGTCGGTTCCTCGAAGTCTCTGCTCCAGCGCACGAGTGCAATGCGCAATTACCTGGAGCACTTCGTTCACCAGAATTTGATCCGGTGTGATCTTCAAGTACCACGAAAGAACAAACTCCTTCACTATGGCGGCGACAATGGCATAGAGCTGGAAATCGATCTCGTTGGAGCTCGTGAGCGGCGGTAGCAAGTCTCCCGGAGGCTGGGGGGTGGAAGCTCCACCATGGGTGCCAGTCTGGGGACACAAGACGCGTCGGATCAAGGCTGCTGTTGCCTTATCGCTGGTCGCACCAGCCTGTTCATCCCGACTAACGGACTTTGACAGCGGAGGCCTTTGGGGAGGGTACGAAGTTGAGAGATTTGAAGAACCAGGTAAGGCCGTGGACTTGGAGCTGAAAGTGGTTGGTCCCGCTTTGAGCTGCGAAAGCGGTTGAAGGCGAGAGCGAGGAGGGTCGCCGGTCATCTCATCCCAATCTAAAGCACAAGCTAGAAGCTGAAACGCGTAGTCAAGCAGCAATCGAGGTATATGTACATTAGGTTGGAATGTGGTGCCATTGATGAGGCCGCATGAAGCGACTAGCGCGAGTTGCGTTTCCGTCAGTCAGCGAATGGCGATGGATGACGCATATCGCCGCATTTGGAATGTAGGGCTTAGGGCCCCGATAAGGGCAGGGTAATCACGGGGGGCTTATCAAGACGTGTTCCCCCGCAATTCATCATCTCCTTCTTGTTCTAACTACTACTCCTACTCCTCCTGTTACACTGTATTGTTTGTCCATCATCATGTCTGATCTCCCAATCCCTCTATGGCTGGATTGTGATCCCGGTTGGTAGTCCCAGACCGTAATCATCCGAGTCAAATGTCTGTATTTTATCGATTCGTCGTGCCCCAACGCTGACATTAATGGTGGTCTCAGGTCACGATGTGAGAAATAGCCCGTTCTCTTTATTGTTAAGTGTAGGAAATTAAAATAAACATTCTCACGCTGCATAGGATGCCTTTGCCATTCTCGTTGCTGCACATCATCCCTCCTTGCACCTGCTAGGGATCACCACAGTCCACGGCAACTCGTCCCTGGAAAACACCACTGTCAATGCCACAAGGATCCTGGAAGCCATCGGTCGACCAGAGATTCCTGTCTATCCTGGTAATTCGAAACCCTTCTGCCGACCGGCCATTCATGCTCCGGATATCCATGGTAAAGACGACCATTAAGCCCACCCTCTCCTGTGCCCGATTCTCACAACTGCCCTCCAGGCGACTCCGGAATTGACGGAACCGAGCTCCTACCCAAACCGAGTCGGTCTCCCGTGACGGATAAAAACCCGATTCTAGCGATGCGAGATGCCCTCTTGGCGCAGCCCAAAGACACGGCCTGGGTCATCGCAACGGGGGCCCTGACGAATGTCGCATTGCTTTTTGCAACTTTCCCTGAAGTAGCAGAGCACATCCACGGTCTGAGTATCATGGGCGGCGGCGTGGGCGAGGGATTCACCGATGCTCCCATGAGCCGGCTCAAGGGCCAAGAGACCAGGATTGGGAACGTCACGCCGTTGGCGGAATTCAACATCTACGTACGCACATATATGCAATCCAAGTTACAACTTCGGCTAACCGTTCCTGACATCCCTTCTCTTGCTCCAGTGCGATCCTGAAGGGTCTCAATCCATCTTCAGCAATCAGGTCCTCGCTTCCAAAACCACACTCATCACTCTAGACTTAACCCATCAAGTCCTCGCATCGCCAACCATCCAGACTCGCATCTTGCACGGCGGAGCCGACGCATCCCCACCACCAACCGCCCTTCGACAGATGCTATTCGACTTACTTATATTCTTCGCGTCCACGTACGAAAGAGTGTTTGGTCTCACCAACGGCCCTCCATTGCATGACCCTCTTGCCGTTGCTGTGATACTGTCGAATCTCAATCCGGAATTCACAGCCCGGCATCCAAAACAGGCATTACAGTTCGACGACCGCGATGGAGAGCGGTTTGCTGTCTCTGTCATCACCGATGGGCTCCACGGGACAGATGTCGAACTCGTCGGCCAGCTGGGTCGCTCCGTTGTCGCTCCCACCATGCAGGGTGTTGCTATTCCCCGCGGTGTGGATCTCGATGCGTTCTGGAACCTCATTCTGGATTGTCTCCAACGAGCTGATAGATGTAACGCTGCACGGAAGACCTGAGATGCCTGGAAGGTATATCGCCCGTCCAGTCCGGGGAGCAAACAGTATATAGGCTAGATTGTCCTAGAGGTAGATACATTGATTGGCTACGGGGGTGGTTCTTTAGAGTCTTATATTCTGCATCTATATGAATCGGAATAGATTAACTTATTTTTCACTGTCAAACTATTTCGCGATATATCCGTAATCGCTATGCAAACCCAATCATCTAAGCTGTACATAAACCCACCAAAGAAGGGGTAGGGAATACCCCTACCACTCTCTAATACCACCATCCGGGCCAAAGAATTCCTTAGGCAACCAGGGCTCAGTGGATTGGGCGACACGACGAACCACCTCCTCGTCGATCTCGATACCCAGGCCGGGCCCCATCAGCGCATCGACGTAACCGTCGCGGACCTCGAAGGCGCTCGGATCCTTCACGTAGCTGGTGATGTCGTAATCACCCGCCTCGGTGTTGTAATGGATGCCCAGGCTCATCTCCTGGATAACAAAGTTCGGCGTAGTTAGGTCCACCTGCATGCAGGCAGCCAAGGCGATGGGGCCCAGCGGACAATGCGGCGCCAGAGACACATCGTAGGTCTCCGCCATGGAGGCGATGCGACGCAGTTCCGAGATGCCGCCACAGTGGCTGATATCCGGCTGCAAGACATCAACACTGCCATCTTCGAGGAACCGCTTGACGTCCCAGCGACTGAACAGTCGTTCTCCTAGGGCGATGGGACACGACACCAGGCCCGACAGCTGCTTGATCCCCTCAGGGTGTTCGGAGAGAAGTGGCTCCTCGAGGAAGAGCGGCTGGTGTGGTTCCAGCGCCTTGGCCAGCTGTTTGGCCATGGGCTTGTGCAGACGACCGTGGAAGTCCACCGCGGCATCCAGGCCCAGCGCCTTGATGGTCTTTAGTCGCTCGACACTGGCGTCCAGCACGCGCGGCGAATCCAACCAGTTGACGTCCTCGGTGGCGTTCATCTTGATGGCTTTGAACCCTTGGGCAAGACGTGCTTTTCCGGCGACTTCGACGTCGTAAGGTCGGTCCCCGCCGATCCAGGCATACACGGACAGCTTGTGCCGGACTTTGCCGCCGAGGAGTTGGTGGATGGGCACGCCGAGTCGACGGCCCTTGAGGTCCCAGAGGGCGATATCGATGCCAGAAATGGCGGACATTAAGACGGGGCCACCACGGTAGAAACCCAGTCGCCAGGCCATCTGCCAGATATGTTCGATGTCACTGTGGAGGGAGAGTTAGAAGGGTATTCCATATTCGAGAGTTGGTGGAGATATAGTCGTAGTAGGAGTAGGCTGGCTTACTCGGCTTCGTATCCTTGGAATCGCTTGCACAAGGCATTCAGAGTGCCCTCGACAGCCTCGGTATGACCTTCCAGTGTACTCTCGCCCCAGCCATAGTGACCATTTTCGTCGACAATCTTAACAAAGAGCCATCGAGGCAGCACACGGAAGTACTCAATGGATTTGATTTTGGCCATGGTGTGACCGGTGAGTTTTGAGAAGGCAGTTGTCTACCGTGGAGAAATTGGAAAGTCGGACAGAAGATATATGGAGACAGCGACCGAAGGGAAACAATCCCACGTCAACGACGAGCGTGGGGGGATTCATCCCCGACTGTCGGAGTTCTTCCGTTTACAAGCCGAGTTACCGAGTTTCATCACGATATAGACCTGGGATATAGGATCTGGGATATAAAGATTATAGAGTTAATACAGTTGATAGAGCTGATGTACTGTGATGGAGACGGTGGGTAGTCATGTTGGCTATGTGGTGTCCGTGATATCATCAATAAATATCCATTCTAGAGTTCTATCGCTTATTAAAAGAGAGAGATAGAGAGATAGAGAGATAGAGAGACAGGCAGATAGAGAGAAGAAATAGAAGAGAGAATCGAATCACATAGATGAGATGGAATCGAGGTAAGAGAGAAGAAGGAGAGATGGATAACTAGAGAGAGAGATCATGTAATCACCGAAAACCACTTCTTGATTTGCCTCATCATCCCTCATTCTCTTCCCCTCTTCATCTGAAATTCTCTCTGCATCCATGCCTCCGGTCAATTCTCCCTCGGTGCGTTTTAATCTGACTGACAAAACGTAATCTGACCGACTCTGCAGGATCGTTCACCTCCTTCCTCCCTGCAGCCGCCCGTCGCCGTCGCCGACGATGCCCACAACGATAACGTGAGCTTTCTCCGTTCTCGCGATTCCCACTCCTCTCTCTCTCTCAGTCGTCATCCACGCCACCTGCAACCCCTACCCACGAACTTGCATCCTATGGATTCGGATCCCTCCGCCCGGAGGCGATCCTCCATCGAGATCAACCGTCGCATCCCCATTTTGCGCCGTCAGCGCGATGCCTCCAACCATTCTCGCAACGTCCCCAACTACGAGAGTCGGACGTCCAACCCACGGGCACTCTATGGCTGGGCGCCTGCTTCCGCTTCCGCTTCCGACGATGATGATGACGACGACGATGGCGATGAGGTGATGACGAACGAGCCGCTGCAGGATCCCAACTCCATCACCTCTTGGTTTGGACGACTGTCCGATCGCAGCGCCGCCTCTCGGCGTCACGCGCGCCGTGAATACGTTGCTCGAAGCCCACACGGTTTGCCCGATGATCCAACAGAAAGCACTTCCTCCCATCGCTGGAATGACCCCACGACCGAGGCCCTCCTACAGTCGGTCCGACGGCAGCCGCGCTTTTCACGCACCCGCACCCTTCACAACTATCTTCTCGACCGGGAACGAGCAGGCCTGGACACGGAGGACAGTAGAGACCGGTCAGGTGCCCCATCCACGTCTCGTGCGTATCGGTACCTCCCCAGTAGTAGTCGTGGTGATCCGCATCGACTCCTGACTCACAGCGACCTGCGCGCTCGCATCAGCGCTCATCGACAACTGCACATGGAGAATCCTCCGAGCCCCCGACTGAAGGAGACCATCAAGTACCTCGATCGTCTACGATACTCGAGTTCCGTCGAAGAAAGTTTGACCTCCGCCGCCGCGGGGGGGTTTGGCCAGTGGGACTTTCTCCCCTGGGACCATGAGGATTTCATCCTTGATACGACTTCGATCGCCCCACCGCCGGTCTGCTCGTGGCTGCGGCCCGGGATGGTCTTCTCAGGGTCGCAGCGGGCTGCGACCAGTGCCAGCTCAATTTTCGCCCAACGGGCCACGAGTCCCTCGTCATCGTCACAAGATCCCATGATCGTCAACGGCGAGAACCCCGGCCGCATCAGCGTGTACACTACCAACGGTCGGCGATACCTGGCCAACAGCATCTACAACCTGGGAACGGGCAAGGACGAGAACTGGCCGGTGAAAGTTACCATTCACAACATCAACACACAGGAGATGACCCTATCGGGGACGATGGAGGCGTACAACATCCCGGACAAGTCGTCTCCGTCCCACGATGCGCACATCGTCACCTTCCTCGAAGGGGAGATCATCGACTTCAACACGCACACGCTAGAAACCAAGAACTTCAAAGCCGACGCCGAGATAGACAGCACCTACTGGCGCGAGTTGCAGCCGTTCAAGACCCTCACGGACGAGGAGATGACCAGGAACCTCGTGAGTCGGAAATGGGTCACGGAGGAGCTCTCGCAGGGGTGGATCTTAATGCGATGGAAAGGTATGTCTTACCTATTGAAACAACGGCATTTCATTTTTTCCACCGTTGACCTCGCATAGAACGCTGTTTTATTACCCCTACCGACTCCCGCCAAGGGCTGACCATCTCCGGATTCTACTACATCTCCCTGCATCGCGAGAGCGGCCAGATCGAGGGTCTTTACTACGATCCCGGCAGCTCCCCGTACCAGCAGTTATCATTAAAACCAGAGACCAAGAAGATGGTCCGGCCGTCGTACAGTTTCCGCTAGCATATCCTGGGGCGTTTGTTCGATTTGGGGGGCTTTTTGATTTCGCATAGCCGGCGTTATAGCTTTTGATTCCCTCCGCCTTATTCGGCGAGATATATGGTACATCTTGCAGAAGATCGACATCCTGATGTCGTTCGTACAGACTACAGTAAATTGTAACCTAGTGATGACATACGATGATATACCATCCAAGATAACGATGGATATGACTACCAGAGTATATGACTGTTTATTCTTTTTTTCATTGATCATTTTGACTGCTGGACGAGAAATGGTAAGATAGGTTATGAAGACCGGAACTAAATCCCTCCATCACTTGTTCATCCATCCATCCACAGATCCACCAATCTATTCATCCGACCAAAGCAGAGACAGCCAAATAGTCAAATCTACTGCTCAGTCTGGAAGTAGTTGAGGAGAACGGAACGCTCCTGGGACTCCTCACCCCAGTCCTTAACAACGACGCAAGAGCAGTTGACGACCTTACGAGCGTTACCCTCACGATCGAGCTGGCCTACAAACAATCAGCATGACCACAAACCAAGTATCACCCCCACAAGCCTGCAGTCGAATAAAAAGACTTACAAAGACCAACCCACTCGCCCAACATCTTTCCATCGGGGACCTTGATGAGAGGGATCTTATGCTCAGAGCAAAGAGCCACCACGAGCTTCTTGTAGGCCTCTTCTTCGCAGCCTTCGTTGAGCACACACATGTGCGCCTGGCGACGGTCCAGAGACTTGGCCGCCTCGCGGAGTCCACGAGCAAGACCGTCGTGGATCAAAGAGATGCGCAAAACTCCCTTCAGGGCATCCAGGACGGACATCTGGCCGCCGGCGCCAGCGTCAGCTGAGACTTCGACCTCATCGGCGGCTGCGACGGGGGGGTTGGAAATGGTCTCTTCTCCGTCCGACTGGTCAATGTTAGTTATCGTCCTTTTTTTTCCCTCTTTTCCTTTCTTTTCTTTTCTTCCTTGTATTGGCCATTGGAAATTCATGCTAGGCTGGACGCAAGAAACAAGTGTGGGTGATAACGACATACCATTTTGTTGATTCAGTTAGTATATCCTGTCGGATTTTCCTCAAAGAGTTGAGATGATGGAGTGCTGATGCAGGTGTGTGGAATCTCCGCTGTTTTCTCGCCTAAATCTTGGGTGGTGTGCCCTATAGCTTATGTAATCTATTTGGTCATGTGATGGATCACGTGTTATTGTCCCCACAGAAACGCAAACAGACCGAATGAACGTCTACAGATAATTATTGCATAATGGTCACATAGACTGCCAGAGCCTTGCTCTATCCAATCCTACCCGAACACACAGGAACATCACATCACATCAACAAGGTATCATAGTCATACATCAAGGAAAGTTCCACCTGTACAGACCGTACTCGTAATCGCCAGAAAGTGATGAGGTATCAAACATTACACATATGTACTCGGTCGTGCATGACCATAACCATTCGTTAGGCCTTTTATTCCATTGGAAAACCTATCCCCCACCAAGGGAGGTCCCGCCACATGCCCATTGGGCTGCGGTAGATCGAATGCAGGCGCCATCGACGGTTCCTGATCAATGTGCATCTTCAGAAACTGGATGTCGAGCCCATGCAGATGTGGAACATGCGGGACAAGATCCATGAAGTCGGAAAGCTAGCGCACCCTGTCAGCATTCACCCATCACATCAAGCGATACATATCTGAGGGAGGAAACATACCCGAACCCAAAATACATGCTCCATATCGAAGTATTTGGGTCGTGTCTCACTATCCCGGCGCATAATCTGTCCAAAGGACGAGTTCATGAATTCCGTGTCATCCGCTTGAACAAGCATTCGTCGTGTGACCCGCCATAGATTCATCCGCTGTGTCTGTGTCGCATTCCGTTTCTCCCAGCTGGCATACTGCGACAATTGCAGATCATTTGTTGCCAATAACGGTGCCACCAAGTAGTTTGGAACCCATTTCTCATCCGCAACATCCGGTGCGCAAGAAGCATCCAGTTGTCTCGTCTCAGCCGTAACCACAGGCATAAACTTCTTCAACCATATATGGCTCCGCGCCCGAGGGTCGTTTGACCCAACCAAATTGGCCGCATCTCGAAGTCTGCTTGGTAGCGCATCACGCCGTCGCTGTTCTTGTTCTTCCTGCTCCCTGCGCAGTTTTGCAAGACGAAGCCTTTCTTGTTCGAGACGTTTCTGGCGCTCTTCTTCAGCTTGCCTGATCCGCCGCTGTTCTGCCTCTCGCCGCTTGCGTTCCTCTTCCGCAGCCTTTTCTTGAGCATGGCGAGCTGCCCGAGCCGCCCGTTCTTCCTCCTCCCTTTCAAGTCGAGCCTTTTCGGCTTCAGCGGCCAAGCGCGCTTCCTCCGCTATTTGTTCCTGTTTCGCTTTCCAGGCCTCCTTCTGTCGCCGAGCTTCCGCCTCCACTTCCGCCTTCGCAGTGGGGCTCACAGAATCCTCCATTGGAATATCGTCCAAGTCATGTGCCTCGTGCTTCTCATGCTCTTCTTTCACGGGTTTTCGTTCGGGTGGCTTGTGAGCTATCATCTCGGGCTCCCCTAGAACAGCAGCACTAGGGTCCAACTGTGAATCGCCGCCGTCCTCCTGGCGCAAAGATTTGATGTCTCCTATTGTTGCCGCTTGACACTTCTTCGGCGCTCCGTTAGTATTGTTAGGCGTCCCGTCTTCGGACAAGACCCGCCGTTTTTTCTTGAGTGCCTCCAAGTCACGAGAGCGAGGGGGTTCAGGGCTCACGCTGCCTTGTCTACGTTTCAATCCTGACTTGGTACCAGGTTCAGAATGATCCATACGTGGTCTAGGATTCTCCTCCCGTCCTGACACAGAATCGGACGACGGTAAACTAGGCCTTCTGCGGTCGCGATCTTGAGGGGGACGTCCGGCGATCAATCGTCTTCTTTTAGGAGCCTCGTCCCCACGCCCAGTAGCACCCGATTCTCCGTCTTTAGCCGATAAAGATAGCTTGGACCTAGGTGGGTCATGTCGAGACCCGTCAGGATCAGGGCCAGCAGCCAAACCCTCGCTCGGCCGGTGGGATAGTTTCGGACGAACAGACTTCTCTTTGGCATGAGCCATGCAGTCTCGCCTTTTTTCCTTCGCAAGAGCTGCGTCCTTAGAAGCGGTGTCTCGGTGGCCCGGGCTGCCGATCATTTTTCGAGGTCGAGTTCCTGGAGATATCGAGTCTCTGCGTCCAGATCGCTTGTTCTCCCGTTCTCTATCACGGTGTCGTCGGGGTGACGAAACTTCCGCCCTCCGGTGCTTCTTGGCTTTAATGTGATTGTCGTATGCATCCCGTAGAAGATCATATTCTTCCTCCCAGTTATCTGCCCTGCGCTCCCGGGACAGCTCAAAATACGTGCGATCTCTGTAAAGTCGTCGTGTCGGGTTGAACTGGCGTTGGTTAAGCAAGATCCTGATAACTTCCAGGTTACCCCGACCAATAGCAGCGAGCATGGGCGTGTTGTAACCTGGCTTCTGAGAGCCATCTTGTATTGGGTCAGGGTCAGGGTCTGCATCCCCAATACCAAGCAAGAGGGAAACCACTTCGTCATGACCCCCTTTAGCAGCAGCAATCATGGACTCGGTATCAGCCTTCTGTCCCACATTCAAGATATTGGCAACTCCCACGAAATCGCCCTTGGCGGCAAAGGCTTGTAGATTCTCCGGAGTTGCCGTGGTCCACAACAGGTCGTTTCGGGTAGCCTCGCTTCGAACAGTCTTTCGTTTCGTCGTGGTGTTGAGAGGAGGGCTACGCGGCCTGTTCGCAGGGGGCGAGTCGCGAGCACTCTCGGCTGAAATGCGTCGCGAGGGCGGTTCTTTGTTGTCGGACCCAGCTCGCTCCTCTGAACGACGGCCAGGCCTAGCGGCTGCTTTTGCCTCTGCTAACACTCGCCGAATCTCTTCGTAGTCGTCCGAGTCCGTCGGAATCAGGTCGTAGGGCTCATCACCCTCTGCATTCACGGTACGAGGGTTCGCACCCGCCTCCAGCAAGAGTTTCACAACATCCAAATGTCCGTTCTCAACCGCATCGATTAACGGAGTATCCTTGTCGATATTCTTGGTGTCAATTTCACAGCCAGCTTCCAGAAGAAATTTCACAATAGGAGCACAACCCTCAAGGGAGGCAATTTGCAGCGGGGTATTGCCAGCATTGTCTGCTACGTTCAAATCCTCTGGGCGTTCTGCATGCCTAGTCATTGCCGTTTCCAGTTCTTGCGCCGCGCAGGCACGTGCCAAGCGTGTTCGCCCATTCTGGTCACGCTGTTTCTTGTAGCCCGTAGGTCTTGCTGGGGAAGCCGAAGCGCCGTCGACAGAACCGAGTTTGCGAATGTGTGCACTGGGTAACGGAGAACCACTTGTTGAAGATGACACAGACTGCCTATCTTCCGAACTCTGCCTTTGAAAGCCAGTGATGAGTGGCGTAGGAGCCTTCTTCTTCCTCTGCGGATCGCTGCCACCATTCACCAGGTGGCCCGAAGACGTTCGCTTATGGGAGGACCGGATAGGCGATATTGAACGATCATTGGATATAGGACGAGGCAAGGTTACGCCGTTCAGCTCCTTCCGCCCCCTGTCATGTGCGGGGGCAGAACTGTCTTGACGAACCGGTCCTTCTTCGCCGTCGATGGTTTCGCTGAAACTACGCTTTCTCGAGTTGGGCGCGGGAACCGAAGGATAGGGGGGCTCCGATTTCCTTGGAACGGACAGCGACTCCTCAGGCTTCTCTAACTTCACAATAGACACGGGGGAGTTGGCTCTTCCGGGAGGGCTCAATGGGCGCAAGTCACGGTCGCATTCGCTGGGAGAACCGCCATTTAGGGAGTTTCCCCGTCGCAGATCTTCAGGGGCCAGGCCTGGTACCATGTCATCAACATGTAAATTTCCATCATCACGTCGTCTCGGTTCATGCTTTATATACTTCCGTCTTTTCTCTGGCGATAAAGACTCTCGGCCCGATTGAATTATGGTTTCTGCCTCCGAATCAGCCCTAGGACTCGGTGGCCCATCGCCCTCCCCGGCAACGGGAACAATCTCCTCTGCGGGGCCATCACCTCCGTTGAGAACTCGAGATGGCGATGTTCTCTTTGGGGATGGCGGTCCCGAGGGAGACCGGCTATTCACCTTGACCGCAAGAGCGCTTTGTCCGGCATCCAGGGTAGCTGGCAGGGAGGGGACAGTGTCAACATCACTCATAGCGGTAGCACTCGATTCCTGGGGATTCTGCTCGTCATTTTCGGGGGGCCGTAGCGGACAATAAGACTCGTGGTCAAAGACACCAGCAGTTGTGCGCGGATGCCGGTTCTTGACCACGACCGCGGACAGACTCGCGTTCCAAGGATATTTGCGGGATTATTGGACGAGTAGAAAGAAAGAGGGTGAAAAAAGGCCAAGAAACGGTCGTAAGGACAAGTTGGCTGAAAAAAAGGTCGGATTCCAGTAGGATAGGGAAACAAAGAACGGGTAATGAGAAGAGGCGATGGTTAAGGGAAATAGATCAGGTTAGGAGCTCCTGAACGATACGAAATGGGGGGAATACGCGGCAGGATGGAGGGAAAATAAAGAGAGGTTGACGGTCGAGAAAAAGAATTAATAGGGAGTAAGTGTGGGAGAAAAGACTAGAAAAGAAAAATGAGGAAGAGGAAGAAGAAGACGAGGGAAGAGTGAAGAGAGAAAGCAAGAGATTGAAACGGCCGATGTTCACTGGGGTTAGGGAAATTAGCGGAGGGCAGTTAGTTAGTAGGTAAGAGTCGCAATGAGTTAACTGGTTAGATAATAATGGTAGCAGTCCCGCCGAGTCGCAGTTGTCAAATCCTGGGAAAGTCGTGTTGGTATCGCCCCCAGGAAACTTACCATTGTCTCTCTCTCTCTTTTTTTTTTTTTTTGGCCACCCGCGGAGCACTGATTCCGCTACTCCGATGTGGGTTAGTCATACATGGTACGATACCAACCAATACGGTCGGTCCGACTTTTCAGTCGTCTCCCTGGTTAATACCAGGTATTATAATAGTAATATTACAGTTCGGAATGGGGAGGAAGCAATATGAGTCACCGTCGCTTCGGGGATGGATGGATGGATCGGATGGATTGACGGATATCGATGTATGCTATTGCCTACGAGGCAGATTATCGGTGGTAAGGTATGCATTCATTCTGCGCCGATAACTAATGGATGCGTATAGTCCGCTGCCGGTCCAACTGCAGCAACGGGGAGAGAAAGGGGAGGGGGAGAAGGCAGCCTTGTCGCAAGAACCAGAAGATCCTGCGCGAAGGCCCAAAAGCGGGAGGGACTGACTGTGAGTGGCGGATGATCGAATATTCAGAGGACAACTTTTTTTTTTTTTTTTGAGTTGGTCCAAGGTCTCCTCTGAAACTCGCACTTTTGGAACGGAGGGGCGAGAGACCTCCTAGACTCAAGTGGATTTCCGTGGAAGCTGCATAGGCTATCAGGCTAGGCATCAGCTCGTTCCCTGGTTTAGCCAATGCACAAAGACCAACCACATCACCCGTTCCCGTTTCCGGCCTAGATGATTTCTTCAAATTCACTGACCCCACTTTACCGCAGCGATCTTCTTCTGAGCACCAATGAAAAACAAGTATTGGTCCAGCTTATCGCCCCACCCTTGCCCCCTTCTCTGTTTGGGTGCTTGGTTGGCGTCACTCACTTGCATGGATTATTGGACCCCATTAATGGATTGGCTAGTCAAGAAAGAGAGGGGAAAGAGGCAGAAGGTGGGGTGTATAGCACTTAGGTTCGGGAATACCTCGTGCTCGTACTTGGGTTAGATAGCACGTCCTAAAGGTAGAGCTCTGTACTAGACACCTAGGTAGTAATTTGGAATGCACAGAAAAGATCTAGCGAGGTATTTCAGGGGGAGTTGGTATGGAGGGAATATTACGTAGGTGAGTTGTTTACTGCTGACATAACACTCGGTATATTGCCTTCTCCTTGGAGGGATCTAGTCTTTAACTAGCGCCGCTGCTTTTTGCTCTCACGAGACCCTGGTGGATAGACAAACGCCGATTCTTACTTGGCCGGGCGTTTTGTTTATGATTTATCATCTGAACCTCGCTGACGGTGGAGTTTCGGTCGTTTTTCGCTTCCCCACAAAGAAACCATAGAACGTGTCTCATCGCCAGACATGACAGGGGCCTGTCGTAAACTCCGGTAAAATTACGTTGTTTGATCCAGATCGTCATTTTCCAGAGAATGCCAGAAATCCATCAAGGATCGGATTGAAGGTTGATAAAATCCTGCATAATTCTTGGTTTCTTAGGAATTAATTAGGTATGTATGATCGTTCCAGTTTATGACGATGAAGAGGTAACTTGACTAAATCACCACTTATGGAGTTAGTTGGCTAGTTTGTTTGCTGTTTGTGTCATGCATTGATGCGTCGCCGACTCCAGCCCTTCTCTCTCCCTGAACTCATCCTTCTCAAATTCCTATCCATCAACTCTTCAACCGCCGTTTATGACGCCCATTGACCATGACGGCATTTATCTCTAATACGATAGACACGGCTCTAGTCTCGATGCACATGGACGCTGTAGACGCGCTCCGAGCCTTCTTCATCTTTGCATCCTGTACGGTATGAGCTATATTGGCAATAACACGCTGAAACCAGAAAAGACGAGGATCTACGAATCCTTCCAGAATGGACTAAAATCAAATTCCCCCAGATCCTATCGGTCAGCCTGTCGGGTTCACTTCGCTCACGCTTCGTCCCCTATGGCGCCCGTGCAACCTCAACGGTCGAGTCGAATTCCTCCTTGTGTAAGCCTCCGAGCACATCCCTGGTGACACACACCCTCGACTCCCTGGCCGCCCTGAGAGTCCCTCATGGCTACTTTACGCAGTTCTACATTGCATCTGTGCTGTCATCGCTCTTCTGGGCCACCCAGGTTCTGTCTCGGGGGCCCGCATTCCAGGCCATTGCGACGAGAATCCACCCGGAACACCTGCAGAATACGATGTCTTTGAACCAAGTTTTTCTCTGCTGGGTATTGATGCTTGTCCAGGGTGCAAGGCGGCTAGTCGAGTGCTTTTCCTTCTCCAAGCCGTCGTCATCCCAGATGTGGTTCGGTCATTGGCTCATTGGTATTACCTTCTACGTGGCAGTGACAGTTGCGATTTGGATTGAGGGGACCGGTATGTTACTACATCTCCCAGAGGATAGGGATTGCAGGGGCAAAAACGTAAAGAAAAGAAATACGTGGAACCGGGTTGTTAATCGTTTCTTGAATTGCAGGGAGTATTACATCTCAAGACTTCACTCTTGACGATGTTAAAATAACCACCGCACCATCCCTCCGCACGTTTCTTTCTCTACCTATCTTTTTAGTTGCATCAGGCGTTCAGCATGACTGCCACCACTACCTATTTTCGCTTCAGAAGTATACGCTTCCTGCCCACCCGTTGTTTCGCAGCACTGTGTGCCCGCATTACACTGGTGAATGCGCAATCTATCTGTCGTTGACGCTGCTAGCCGCGCCACAAGGAGAATGGGTCAACAAGACGCTTCTGTCGGCGCTAGCATTTGTCGCAATCAATCTGGGTGTCACCGCGGGAACCACCAGGAAGTGGTATACTGAGAAGTTTGGGGAGGAGTCGGTGCGGGAACGATGGAACATGATTCCGGGTGTGTACTAATTGCTGTAGTGGCTAGTGCAGTTATCCAGCAAATGATGCCATGGTATCTATCCGGTGACATGGTTCACCGCCCCCTGAGGAATTTCATCGTGTTTCCCAATTTTACCTCTCTGAGCACATCCCGATATGTCAAACTGACCCTGGTCTCCCTCTCTGCCCATCCACATCGGAATCGCTCCGGCTCTCGGAGCAAATCCCAGTTGCAGATCGAGTCCGCATTTAGGCCTTCATCCTTGGTCGTCTCGGCGATTCCATGCAGAAAGTCCGTGTAGATCTTCTTCCTGGTAACCAACAAGCTCCGCCGTTCCTGCAATATGCGATACTGCGGCCGTCGATTCTCCGGGTGGTCTTGGGTGTGCTGGACTTTTGGATACAGGTCGAGAACGATGGGGGCGCCCAGACTCACGGTCGCCACGAGAGGATAGTATGCGGCGCCATCCTCGTGCGGCATTATACCCTGGCCGGGGCGGTATTCGTTGACTAGGACATGGTTGGGGGCGTGGTGAGGGGCGTTGGCAAATAAGCCCAGCGACTCGAAGCGAGGGGTAATGACAGGTGAGACGAGCCACGATGGAAGGGGGGCCGAGAGCAGCACATTCGACTTGGTAAGCGCCGAGGGCCAGCTTTGTAGACGACGATGAGAGAGGTGAGTCCAGCGGGGGAGGGGGGCTGTAGTGATCTATCGAGTAAGTTAGTCCAATATATATAAATAAATGTACACACCTTTTGCAAGAGCCAACTCTCCTCATCTTCCATGATGAAATTCGCAATGTAGAAACCCTCGTCAGGGAGTGTTTTAATTTTAGCACTTTGAAGATCCATCCCTACGATGTACTATTCTGAGATGCAACTATGATAGTTACGTGACATGCATGTTATTTCCTTCTTTTGCCTCAGGCCACCGTCTCCACCGCCCCACCTGACTTCGATATCCCATAAACAGATCATTCTTTCCCTTCACTACACCAATATAATTATAATAACATTAGACTCCAAACCAAAAGAGAACAGAAGAGGAGAAAGAAAAATGGCCCCCAAAAACACTAAAGGCGACAAAAAAAGCAAGGGAAAGGATTCCTCCGAAGGCAGCGACAAGAAGGGATTAAAGCCGGCGACTTCCATCAACGTGAGACATATTCTTGTATGCATCCCTTTCTACCCTGTCCTTGTTATTTGGGTATTGTGTTGCATACTGGATGGTATATGATATATATTGTGATGTATATTGATCTGTATAGTGTGAAAAATTCTCCAAAAAAGAAGAAGCGCTAGAGAAGTTACGCAACGGGGCGAAATTCGATGAAGTGGCGAGGGAGTTTTCCGAGGATAAAGCTAGACAGGGTATCTCTCTCTTTTTCTCTCTCTATATAGATATATGAGTGTGTATGTATCTATGCAGACATGCTAATCTAATCTCCCTAGGTGGATCACTTGGATGGAAAGTGAGAGGGAGTCTGGATGCGACGTTTGAAAAGGCAGCGTATGAATTGGAACCGAGTACGACGGGAAATCCCAAATATGTGGATGTGAAAACGGGTTTTGGGTATCATATTATTATGGTGGAGGGGAGGAAGTGATATAAATATAATTTATAACCGATATCAATTCTATCATGTTGATAGTATGTATTACTTTGTATATTTTATATGTAATATTCCAGATAAGTCTATTCTAAGAAAAAAGACATAGTCTATAAGTTACTGCTTCTTCTTGGCCAGTTCTTTGGCCTTCTTCTCCTGTCGTTGCACTACGGCTTCGGCGCCCACGCCACCGAACACAAGCACGACGCCGAGCCATTGGCCGGGCGACAGCGAGTGTCCGAACCAGAACACGCTCAGGAGCATGGTGAGCATCTTGCGCGTGACGGTGACGGTGACCAGGAGCAGGGATGAGAAGCGAGATAGTGTGTAGAAGATGAACAGCTGGCCGACGGCGCCGCAGGCCGCGAAGCCGATCACGATCTGGAGGGCTTCCGGGTGGCGCGACAGGAAGGACACGGCGGAGGTCAACTCTGTCTCCGTGGACGGGGGTATGGGGAAGGGTAGCAGGTTATGCAGCAGGCCGGTAGAGGACAGATGCGGCATGAGCACGAGGTAGAGGGAGGTGAGCGCCGTGGAAAGCACATTCTGCGCCACCATCATCTGCGGACCGGTGAAGCGCGTGTATTGCTGCGGGGAGCTGAAGACGTGGTCCTGGGTGGTGTTGGTGAGGCCGTCCAGAAGCAGGTTGATCGAGAGCAGAAAGATCCCCCACATCGACGACCCGGAGGAACCCTTTTCGGCGACCTTCTTGCTGTTCCCTGGGTGGTGCAGGGTGAAGGTAGCGACTCCGAGGGTGACTAGCAGCACCACACCGTACTTATACAGGGGGTAGCGTTTGCGGAAGATGGTCAGGTGCAGGAACATGACAGGGAGGAGCTTGCAGGATTTGGCAAGGATAAAGGTCAGGTAGTCGATATGCGCTAGACTGGCGTATCCAAAGGGGGAAGCGAGCGACGAGGAGATGCTGACGAGAAGCAGTGGGAAAAGGATCTTTCGCGTGGGGAAGGTGGACGGCATCTTCTGGCCGGCGGGAGTCGAGAAGAACAGGTAGAGCAAGCCTGTGATGGCAGCGAAGGACGACTGGATGGTGTTCAACACGATGGAGAAGGTGAAGCGCTCCGTGGGAGGCTTGGGCTCTGCTGCGGTGGGAGGGCGCACGGCATAGGAGAAAGTGGTGATCTTCTCTTGAAGCACGCCCCACGAGAGACTGTCCACTGTCAGTGTGTCTACTTTAGTCTAGGGTGTATGAATAAAGAACCCACAAGGAAGCATAGATCCCCAGCACGCAGATCGCAAGTTGTGTCAACCCAGGAGCGTCTGACGAGTTGTTATCCTCGGGTGTTGTACGGCCATTTCGCTTCAGTGGTGCGCTCGAGTCATCGTGGAGTGTATGCATGACCTCCGACGAGGTTGCCCGTTGCATGGGAGCCGATTGTTTCTGACGTGCCATTATAGTGAGCGAGCGAGTGGAGAAAAGAGAGAGGGAGAGATGAATGAGAGAAATAATCGGATGATGCCATGTGTTCTTCCGCGGAGAGCGGAACAATTCCTCCGTTGGGTTCTCTTTTTTCTTTCTTTCGTTCCGTCTATTCTCCTGTCTACATCGCCCTCTTCAGTATTATTTTATTAAGTATTTAATTATATTCAAGATGGATCTGCCTCCCTCCGCCCTCTCTACCCTCATCACGACCTCCGAATCTCCCAGTCCACTGTCTGCCAGCTCCCTCCAGATCCTGCACAACCTGCAGCACCAACATCTCTGGCAATCGCTGAAAGTCCATCCCATCCCCATCCCCGATGATCCATCTGCGACTCTCTCTTTGCTCTCTGGAATCCCTCCGCATCGGATCTACACCCACCCGGACGAGCAGCTCTACATGCTACAGCGGGGACTGCGCGAGGAGGACGTAGAGTTGGAACGTCTGTTTGTCCTTCCCACCGTACAGGGCCAGTCGTGGAGTTTGCGCAAGCTCGCCGCCGTGTTTGACTCGCTCCCGGAAGGGACCCGGGCAGAGGAGGAAGAAGCCTTGGAGGAAACGCGGAACGATAAGACTGCGCAGCTGTCTGAATACTACGAATATCGAAAGAAGGCCCGTCAGACCAAAGAATGGGGAGGGAAGAGGCTCCTCCTGGCCATGGTGGATCGGGGAATGGGCGGTGATGGCACTGTGGTCTACTACGTCATTCAGGAAGGCGCCGTGAAACCCCGACAGAATTAATTGGTCCAATCCGTCAAATTGAAATCGCTCTGGCAGATCAAAAATCTATGTATGTGAGGGGGAAATGACTATACAAACAAGCGCCTCTTGCCCAAACACTCATTCGCCTACCAATTCCAAGGGTATCGATTGTTCAACAAAATCCCAAGAACCTACCGCCGATCACACATCAGATATATGCTCATTGCTTAAGAGTTGCTCCTGTTCTTTCTGGCAACTCGTGCAGTACTGATCGTACCACTGCCGCACGTCGTCGGATAGGTCCGCAAAAATCGTCTGGCTCGTACGGTCCACCTGCGTCTCGATCGCTTCGCCGTTCTCGTTCTTCCCGAGAAGCATCTCCACCTGGCGACATCGTCGTAATTCTTGTCGGAGCCAACGCTCCCATTCGTTCTGTACCACCTCCCTCTCGATACTGTTGACCACTCGGAGGCCCACCAGGAGGTTGTGTCGGTACAACGCCAGCTGTTCCCGGGTCTGCTGGATCCGTCGCGCGGCGCTCTTAGTCATGGAATCCTTCGGACTGGATGTCCCTAGAGAGCGTGTACTGCCCCCGATTGTCTGCTGATGGAAGGTAGCAAAGCATTCGCTGGAGTTATCACTGGCCTGCCCAACCGTCGAGTTGGCGAGTGCCTCATCGATGTCTTTCATGTAGATGGCTTTGCTCATCACGGGGTCCGAGTGAACCCCTAGACGCGCCATGAACCTCTCGGTGTTTCGCTCATGCCACCACTGATAGGCTTCTTGTGACGTATATAGCCCATTAATGAACACACTGGACAATAGCAGCAGAAGGATGACCTTATGTGCACTTGTAGTCTTCCATGCCCAACGAAGCAGAGCAAATGTCCATAGCATCACGGATGAGATGGCGCTTTCAAGAAAGGACATGAATATCTCGAAGAGCAGTTGAACCAAAGTCCTCTGCGTTCGAGGTCTGCACGGTTCTCCTTTGGACTCCGACTCGCTGAAAAACTGAGACGTAGAGCCCTGCCGCCCGATGTGACCAAAGATGGTGATGGCCTTCTTGGTTCGACTATGGGCGCCGAGTCTGCGCACCTGGTCTCCAACGAGGTCGAGGAGATCCAGGGCATCTTGCTCCAAGTCGCCAGTGGCTTGCTTGTCAATGACCCCTAGCTAGAGTTAGAATTCGTAATGAATCATCAGGGGGTGGAGGCACAAAAAAAAAAAAAAAGAAAAATACAACAGCACTCACGTTGAAGCCCGTACGGAGAACACAACCACTCCACCTTGGTGTAGATAGCAAGCTTACTCTTCCCTTTGCCAAGGAAGGTAATCACAATTTTGCTTACCAGCCTAAATGACCGCTTGAAAGGAAGATGCCAGGGAGTTCGCTTGTCCGTAATCACGTAGCAGAGATGATCATTTAGGACATCAATCATTTGATAATCGGAGATATCATGATCCCGAGCACGTCCTGGGCGGCGTTAGAAACGCATTGAGACAATGTCCTGAATATTGGGTAATACATACCAAGAAGATCTGCTGTCTCAATCTGATACTGGAAATCCCGTCTCAGATGCCGCGATTCACTTCTAGTCCAAGGACCTTGTTTGATACCTTCCCCTGCTGTTAGCCCCGTTCCAACGCCTCAATCGAAGCGGATGCCTTACTTTGAGCCTCTCGTTGATGCAAGAGGAGTTGCCAGACAGCACTCCGGTCTCCAAAAAGGATGTGGAATATTGCCTTGGGACTAATGTCGAAATCTTTCTCCGCAGCAAGGTGCAGGTTTCCCTGAGGAACGTACTGCACAGGCTGGGTGGGCAATCGGAATCTTGGTGTATCCTTGCCAGTGGTAGCCTTTTTCGAGTGCATGTCTAAATCTTTGTCAATGTAAATCGGAGCCCGGAAGTCTCTCCTCGGCCCTTGGCCGGCAGCGCTATCACTGTCACCAATCTTGTCATCAGCGGCAACCACATCTTCCCAGCTATCTACGCTTGGTGCTCGTGTCTGCACATCCACCTCCATCTTGATAAGAGCTTTGAAAATAGCTTCCAAACTCAGCGGCTCAACCGCCGCTGAGTCATTGATCAAGAAATTGAGGCGCCGCTGAAGAAGCCTCAACGGTTCAAGGAAAGTCTTGATGGTGACTCGGCCAGGTGCGTCTTCACCAGGTGGTGGAATAGTATGAAGAAACAGGAAGTCGCAATCTCTTCCAGGCGCAGCAGTAACCTCTTTGATGGTTTCCAGAGAGACACTGGTGGTCAGCACCAGGCCAAAGTAGTGGCTGTAGAAGTATACGTCGCGGGTAGTAACATAAGCTCTTCCAGGAAATTCTTGTTGGTCGTTTGGATTCCATGTAGCCCGGAACACCAGGACCAGAGATTCCTCTCTTTTGACATTGGGGAAAAGCAGCCGAAACTGGGAGTCCTGGATTTTGAGTTGTTGAGGATAATAGCTTGGATATTCATGCGTAACGCCTAGAATGGCCTGTTGCATCTTGCTCGAATCACCATCGAGACTCACCGTCTGTCGATGGCGAGGGCCGGACATTGGTGGTTTAGCGGGAGTAGAGTTTGTTGAGGTTTTTGCTTCAGCCGACTGATTCTGCTTTGATTGACGTTCGGGATCTGCGTCCTGATTGGTTTCGAATACTCCTAGGCGCTCACGTTCAAGTCTGTTCACAAACCCCCAATTGGAACTACCCCAGAGGTTTGCCATCATACCACTAGGCATCCCCCCAGTTTTGTCCGCTTGACCTAAACCGAGGCCCCTTTCATTGCTTATGATCACAGCTGCCTTACTCATGCTTGTGGGCGCAGGTGGATTTGCTAGCGTCAGTGGTGCTAAGCTTGTAGGAGGTTCATTGCCCCTGCTTGTCTCATTGTCGACCACTCCGTATGGTGCACCTGGGCTTGCGGAGACAAGGCCCGCTAGACCGCCACCAGCACCCGGTATAGAGTTAGAGGGCTGCACTGTATTGTTTGACTTGCGGTGAAGGTCCAACTTTTGGATGATCCTAGAAGTGTGGTCTCTTGCACAGCTTTCGGGTTCCAACGAGGTCAGCCGTCTATAGGTACCAAAGTCGCTGCTATTCCGAAGAGTGTTTTGGTCTTTCTCTGGAACAGGTAGCATTCCGCTACGCTCGGATGACGCTTGATCATCGTTCGAGCGGGGGGTGAGAGATTCTGCCGGGTCAGCAGCGAATTCAGGCGCAGGAGGAGGCGAAATTGCAAAAGCAGGATCCTGGACGGCGTCTTTCCCAGAGCCTGAAAGATTGGGACCTGCAGGGCGCTCTAAGGCTTTTCGCTTGGCAGCTTCGAACGCGGCAATCCATTCCATGAGCTCCTTTTGCGTCTCTGCCTGAAGCACGATGGTATTACTTTTGGTCTTTACCTCAAAGCAAAAGCGGCGCTCTTCTTGGAAAGCTGGGCGGATACTGCAAAGCAGGACACCTATTCTCTCGCTCTCTTCAACACCTCCAGTTCGGGAGCCCTGCACAAGGCAGCCAAAGATTCCGTTCTTCAAAAAGACCCACCGTCTGGTCCATACCGTACGCGTGGGCTTGCCGGAAAGCGTCCGAAGATTCACCCAGCCCTGTTTTTCCGGTCTAGCCTCTTTGGTCATCTCGAGTGTTGATAATGGGCGGGATCCAAGATAGGGAACGGTCGATACAGAGTAGTCGTCGAGTTCACGAGACGGTCTAACAGCAGCCTCTGCGGCTTCCTCGATTTGCTTCCGGGCGGACAAGAGCTCTCGCCTAGAGGATTTCTCGCTCCCCTCCATTTCATGGATCCAGCCTTTGATACGATCCATCTCCTGACCCCATTTGGCAAACGTCGCGCCATTGTTATTGTGAAATGCCTTGAACTCCCGCCATTCATCAGACGAAACACGGACTAACAGCCTGTCGAGACCGTTTCGAACTTGGGGAGCTTGTTCCGAAAAGTCCATTGACGCCTTAAGGTACGCTTTGCGGGCTTCATGAAGTTGAAATGCATCTTCTCTCAGGGACGACGGTTCTTTCGATTTGGACTGTGACGAATATCTTGATAGTAGATAGTCATATTGCTTTTGTGTCTGGTCAAGTATGCGGCGGGTCTCCTATAGTGAGGTAAGACGGTGATGCCCCTAATTAAATCAGAAGTGTAATACTCTCAATTACCTTGAAGTTCCGCAAATCCTCCTGGATAAAAGCCCTGATTGGTTCCGAGACAAGTGATTCTATCCTTTTCGTAGTAGATACCAATCCATTCCATAAATCCCTCGAGCTGTCACCGCTCCGCCTCATCGCCAACAGGGTGTAATCATGGTCGAGAACGGCTTCTGAGACCACGAGGGGGTTCATGGAGTAAGACAGGAATGTGCTCACAATCCCCTCCATAGCCCCAAGCTCCGCAGAAAGCTTGGATGCGGCTTTCGCGTAACCATCGAGCCATCGTTCGAGGTATTCAATCTGGTCGGAGAAGTGGAGAGTGGTGGCGCGAAATGTTGGGGAATCAAGAGCCGCCTCCTTTAATCCAACTGGACTTCACCGGAGTGTTAGAACCAGGCATTCTCCCCACATAAAAGGACAGAGCAATCGTCCAGATGACTTACACCACGCTGACAAGCTTCCCGACCTGGGGTAAAGGTTTCTGTGGCTGAGTCGACATCTAGTGTATGTCTCCGGCCATACACTTGACGCGAGCAAAAGGTAACGACGGGTGTAAGACAGAAAATGGGGGCCAGGACAAGCAACGTAAAGAATAAAGGGACGGCCACAGCAGATAGAAATATTGGTCGGATAAGGAGAGAGGTCATGCTGGAGGAAGAAGCTTTGCCATCATTACGGGGATTGCCCAGGCCCGCGAATGATCTAATTGGCTACGTCAGTGCCTTGTCTGGCAGCCTAGTTTATCAGGCAATACAGCCCTGTCAGGCGGTGAGGGCGGGTGATATTTTCTGCCGGTGACCTCAAATCTTTTTTTTTTTTTGGGGGGGGGGAGGTGCATCATCAGGTCTCAAAACAACGTTGGCACTGCCTTTGATTTTAAGCCGTGCTTCCTTAGGTAAAATATGGAGCCACCGGCAAAGAAGACGCGCATGCTTCTCGATGACGATAATTCCAGTGACACTGGAGATGAGTCTGGTGGAGTTTCAATCAACAATCAGTCGAATGGATTTAATCTTAAGATCAACGAAGAGTATGCCCGTCGTTTTGAGCACAACAAGAAGAGGGAGGAAATGCAGAAATGTATGTATTTATGACTCACAACATATTGATTACAGAAGGCTAACGTGGATCTCCCTATGCAGTGGAAGCAAAACTAGGCAAAAGTTCAGCCTTTGGGAAACGCCATGCAGAAGATGATGGAGCAGACTCGGATGAGTCGTCTACATCCGAAGAAGAGGATGAGGATGGGGAATTGGCTACTACCGCGATCGACGCTGAGATTATGGCGACTTTGAAGGCAATCCGATCAAAGGACCCACGTGTATATGACAAGGACGCTCGATTTTACACCCAAGAAGACACAAGCGCCAAGCCAGACGATGCAAAGAAGGGGAAGCAGATATCAATGACCCTTCGAGACTATCATCGGGAGAATCTTCTGAGTGGCAACCATCTAGCAGAGGATGATGCCTCTGACGCTCCGAAGACATACGTTCAAGAGCAGGCAGATCTGAAGAAAAAAATCATCCAGGAAATGCATGCCGCTGCTGATGATGGAGACCGGGCCCCGGACGATGATGATGAGGATGAGAATTTTCTTGTACGGAAGTCTGCACCAGCGCCAGCTTCGCGACCTCAGGGAGACATCCCCCTGGACATCGAAAATGCAGACAAAGATCCAGAGACTTTTCTATCGAACTTCATGTCCGCACGGGCATGGATCCCTGCGGACAAAATGAATCTGCAACCTTTTGAGTCGGATGATGATGAGGAGGAGGAGCGGGCCGAAGCCTTCGAAGAGGCATATAACTTCCGCTTTGAAGATCCTAGCAAGATTAATACCCAGCTGATCACCCACTCTCGTGACACTACAAATCAACAATCAGTCCGCAGAGATGAAAAGAGTGGCAGGAAAAAGCTACGAGATGCTGAGCGGCAGAGAAAAGAGGAAGAGAAAAAGCAACGCGAGACGGAGAAGAACCGTCTTCGTAAGCTGAAGATGGAGGAGCTCCAAGAAAAGGTCAACAAGATTAAGGAGGTTGCAGGCCTTCACGCATCCAAATTCACTGACGAGGACTGGGCGAAGTTTCTGGATGGCGCTTGGGATGACAAGGATTGGGAAAAGGAGATGCAGAGGAACTTTGGCGAGGATTACTATGCAGAGGAGGATGAACATGGGAGTGATGGCGAGAAGAAGCGACCGAAGAAGCCCAAGTGGGACGACGACATCGACATCACGGATCTTGTGCCAGATTTCGAAGACGACGAAAAGCCCGCACTGGATCTGTCGGACGTTGAAATGGTGGAGGATGCGGATGACGCTGATGAAGGTGCTTCCAAGAAGAAGAGCAAGGCCCAAGAGAGAAGGGATCAGAAGAGAGAAGCTCGCAAAGATCGGCTCCGCATCGAGGAAGCCGTTGACCGCAATTTGGACCTTGACGTTTCCCTCCTTCCGGGAGCAAGCAAGAAAAATACTGGTCATTTCCGCTATCGTGAAACCTCCCCGCAGAGTTTTGGCTTGACTGCGCGGGACATTCTTATGGCTGATGACTCGCATCTTAATCAGTTTGCCGGGTTGAAGAAGCTTGCTTCATTCCGGGACGAGGACAAGAAACATAGAGACCAGAAGAGATTGGGCAAGAAGGCTCGACTGAGGCAATGGCGTAAAGACACTTTTGGCAATGAGGAGGGTCCCATTTTTTCCTTTGGCGGCGACAAGCCAATCCAGAAAGACGATGCTACTGAGGATGGCCAGGTTGATATCCGAGAGGGAGAGCCCCGGAAGAAGAAGAGAAAGAGGTCCAAGAAGCACTAATGGTGTCTGATGATTATATTATATCCACGCGTCAGTACCTAGTTATAATAGTACATGCACCTTGAGAGGTTGGGTTGTTTATAATGTTGGTTTAGAATAAAGTTATGTACCATTCTGTATCCTAGTAAAAACCACGTGATTTACTCCGTTGTTGGGACTCCGCAGGTAAGTAGTATATATCCGAAATGAAGGCATAGTTATATATAATACTTGGAATTACTGTTCGCTGCCTCTGAATTGCATACCACCAGTATCTCCCTTTCTGTCTATATACATTGTTAAGGCGAGGATGATTTAAAGCAAGGCCTACACTCGACATTGGGTATCTAGATCGACTAACTATTTCCAACCCATTATGGTCAGCTTGGACTCGTCGACTTAAAGCGGCAATGCCTGGGAGGGAGTATTGTACTGGTACAGGAATAACAAAATTGACGGAGTTCTGCTGGTGGATATGATTCGTGTTATGACAGCCGAGCAAGCCGACTCAGGGATTGACTGGCTTCGAGAAGGCGCCCGGCGGGGGGGAAATCGATAATACCGTGTATTAATGCTCTACGGAATACAGAGTACCTCTACCTAGGGAGCTAAAAAGAATAGTATCTACAGAGTACGTTGAGCGTAACACTGTAGGCTATTTTTAATTCAAGATCTTCCTAACCCAAGTATGGAGTAGAAAGTATTGTTAAAATAACGCTTCTCGGCAAGTCCAGGAGAACTGAGTGGCTGTGAACTGACCACTCAGAGAGATTAAAAATTTTGTTCTGCCAGTTTGCCATCCGAGACTTGGGACTAAGACGAGAGAAGGAGATTTCCCCGAATCGAGGAAGAACGAAGAACTACTCCGTAAGGCGAGAGAGATATCCACTGTTGCAGAGTGGGCGGAGATGCTCCATCGGTCAAGCCGGGGAAAGAAAGGGGAGCGTCTTAGTAAGAGGATTCAATTCCGATGTACCAACGTCAGGAATGTATTGAATTGAGACTGACGTAAGGTAGTACCTATATATATGTATGGAGATGATAGTAGAGGTATCCTGCATCGAGTTAATCCAGTCATTCCTGTCAATTCAGTCAGAACATGTCCTCTATATGTCCAGAGAATGATCACGAATACGTGGTCGGGATGTTTGGATACAATCGGGAGATATCGGCTCTCGTTGCCTGGGCCAGCATTAGCGCCGGGTCCATTTTTTTTTTTTTTTCCTTTCTTTCTCTGCAAAAAATTCAGGACAGCAAAAAACTCAAACCAAAGCGTCTTAGCGTCTCCGCTCGCTTCTTCCCGCTTACAAGAGCCCTTTCCCTCGCTATTTTTTCTTCCCTTTTTCTCTCTTCGTTTTCTTCCCTACCATCCCTTTTGAAGTGTCCTGTTCCTTTGACACTCCTACCCTATCCCATCTCCTCTCTTTTTTGTCTTTTTAGTTCTCGTTCTTCATAGCCGTCATTATGGCTAACCAGGCCGACAAGTCGGTCTTCGGCATGCCCGTAAGTTGCTAATCACCCTGTTCGCCAACCCAGAAGCTCGAAACTGCACGCCCTCCCGACCAAATCGAGAGTCTTTGGGATCTCAAACGATGCAAATTATTCATTGTGGTTGATCCGAGGGCGTGAAATTGGAGAGTTCTGGGATGGAGCGCCCGGTAATTGATGGAATGGTTGGCTGATAAAAAATTTTCACTGCAGGGATTTGTCGTTGACTTTATGAGTATGTCTATCCACCTAGCATCCGGTTGATTGACGTTGATCCTACGGGAACTGTCAATTAACCAATGGCTCATAAATGGGCCATTTCGCTACCTGTGATTGTCTCAACTAACTGATCCCTTTTAGTGGGTGGTGTTTCCGCTGCTGTCTCCAAGACTGCTGCTGCCCCCATCGAGCGTATCAAGCTCCTCGTCCAGAACCAGGTTGGCTATCCCTTAAATCCACCAAGATTGGCGAAATGAGAAAGACCGCGACCCCAAAGTGTTTGCCGTTCAAACGTGCGGAAGCTCCCGGGGATATCACTTCGCGAAAAATTTTCAGCCCCTATCTTGGCACCATGATCTCCGACTATGCAGACACTAACAGATCGCTCTACAGGATGAGATGATCCGCGCTGGTCGTCTGGACAAGAAGTATAACGGTATCGTCGACTGCTTCCGTCGTACCGCTGCGTCCGAGGGTGTCGTCTCCCTGTGGAGAGGTAACACTGCCAACGTCATCCGTTACTTCCCTACCCAGGCCCTGAACTTCGCCTTCCGTGACACCTACAAGTCCATGTTCTCCTACAAGAAGGAGCGTGATGGCTATGCCAAGTGGATGATGGGTAACCTTGCCTCCGGTGGTGTATGTATTTCACGGCTTTGATTTCTGTTTCTTTCCATTGACAACTTGTCCAGGCTGCTGGTGCCACTTCCCTCCTCTTCGTCTACTCTCTTGACTACGCCCGTACCCGTCTTGCCAACGACGCTAAGTCCGCCAAGGGTGGTGGTGAGCGTCAGTTCAACGGTCTCGTTGACGTCTACAAGAAGACTCTCGCTTCTGATGGTATTGCCGGTCTCTACCGTGGTTTCGGTCCCTCCGTTCTTGGTATTGTTGTCTACCGTGGTCTGTACTTCGGTATGTACGACTCCATCAAGCCTGTCGTCCTGGTTGGTCCTCTTGAGGGCAACTTCCTTGCTTCCTTCCTGCTCGGCTGGACTGTCACTACTGGTGCTGGTATTGCTTCTTACCCTCTCGACACCGTTCGTCGTCGTATGATGATGACTTCTGGTGAGGTATGTATCTTTTGCTTCCGGTGACCGCGAGAGCCATTGCTGACCCCCTTAACAGGCCGTTAAGTACAACTCTTCCGTCGATGCTTTCCGCCAGATCGTCGCCAAGGAGGGCGTCAAGTCCCTCTTCAAGGGTGCTGGTGCTAACATCCTCCGTGGTGTTGCCGGTGCTGGTGTCCTGTCGATCTACGATCAGGTTCAGCTCCTGCTCTTCGGAAAGAAGTTTAAGGGTGGCTCCGGCTAAACGATTGATTAATTTCAATTCGTTGACGTGAAACTTCTGGGGAAGGGGTTGGCTCTCATCCGGCGTAACTGCCAGATGGTCGGTGATGCTGAAGAATGATTAGACATATGCGTCAAGAGAGGAACGGTAAAAAAGTCTTGCGCATAGAATCGTGTGATATTTCCTCTTGTACCAGTTGTATTTTACTGCCCGCAAGCTTGAATTTTCTTTTTTCCTTTCTTCCCACTGTACTTGTTTACGGTATCAAATCCAATCTGTCTATTTTTGGGTTGATTGTTCCGTGTAGAAAAATCTGTCTGTCACATGAACATGTCACGTGAGACAATGACATATCACACTTGTAGCTTACCTAGTCAGCTCAGCTCCTGGCGATCGATACGACATCCCTGGATTATTTGTATCATCCAAAAATATTAAGTGGACTTATTTAGAACTATGAGCTCTACCCCAGACGGGGTCACTGACCCGCAAAGTCCACCCCCTACATCCAGTCCAAACGAGCGACTCGTTACAACCGCTCAACCAGGAAGTAGACAAACTACAGAGGTCCCTACAAGAACTAGCGCCGCGACAACGGCAATCACGACGACGACCTCCCCTCCTCCTCAACCGGGAGCGCGACCTGAGCCTCTCACGGGGATTTCATCCACCATGGCCAATCCAAACTCAAAGATCCCGATCCCTCCACCGCCGAAAGCAGGCGATATACCCCAACAGCAACATCAGCAACAGATACCCACTACCACCATATCAGGGTATCCTTCCGACAATACCTACAGCTCCGGTCCCATCCCCCGCAACCCCTACACCTACAACAATAACAATAACAATAACTGCGGCTACACCTATAGCAACGACTATAACTATAACTATAATAATCCAACATCAGCATATACTTCCATCTACCAAGCTCCGAACCCAGAGATACGAGGTATCAACACCAACCGCAACGTACGCGTCCACGGCAGCACCACCATGCTCGACTCGGATGGTTTTGGTGGTGAAGTGGGATCGGACAGTACTGGGGCTGCGATTCTGGAAAGTGCCAAGTCGTGGTTTTCGTCAGCGGGGAGTAAATTGGCAGAGGTTGAGGCGGCGGTTTGGAAACGTATTAATGATGCGCATGAGAAATAGTTCTCTCTCTCCGTTTCTCTGTTGTGGGTGAGTGTTTGTTATTTTTTTTATATTTATTATTTGTTTATTTTTGCTGTTTTGTGTTGGCTTCGGTGTTGTTGGTAGAACGGCTGAGTTGGGTTGACTGCGGGCGTTAGTCGATATATTTGTTTATGGATCTGGATGGATGGTTGGGCTGATACTTGGTATTGCACATGGGTTATGTTCTGGTTAGTACTACTTTTGTCACTAGTTATCCTGTATAGAGCAAATTTAATGTGCAAATAATAAGTACCTCGATGCACTCATACTGCAGGTTGGTAACTGGTATATTAATGCTACATGTACTACTCTGAACGGCGAATATGATCTCTCAAGGCGCATTAGTTCTATCTCAATCCTAACACTCATCATGATGCGGCTAGTATCTGTACCTGCCGATGATATGGACAACCTATGGCCAGCAAACCCTTGAACAGCCGGATCAACTGTCATCAACCGGGGGAACCATGGAATACTAAAAATAAATATGAGTAGAGAGTCATTATAATGGTGACAATGCATGATCCATGGTCACTTGAAACAAAGGCCAAATGCGTCATCTGGCCATATCATATGTTCGAATAAATATACCTGGAAACGCCAACCATGTCCCAATCATTTCCGGTCCCAATGCATCGTAAACCAGCTCTTCGAACCCGTCGGTAGACTGGCAATATTTTATGTGAATAATCGTTGAAACGTTAAAATAAGGAACGTAAAAAGGTAGCACGGCCCAGCCACTACCATTAAGTCGATCAAACTCGCGATGGGTGAACTCGGACTTCACATAGACCCAAGTCGTAGTAAAGCCTCGACCGCCGCGCGCTCTTCCCCGTCGTTCACCATGCCATCGGGAAGAGAGAATCCCAGTTGTTGAATGGGGACCTTGCGCGGCGCAGACTTCGCCAGCGAGGATGAGGAAGGCCCGCCGCCTCGGAGTTGGGGGGACCGATGATTCCCATGTACAAAACCGCCCCCTCCGTTGAGTGATCGTGCACGGAGCGCTGCCGCGCCTATCTGCGCCCAGTCCTCTTCGTCTGTGATGTCTTCTTCGCCCCAGTCTTCGTCCCGAATCTCATCGTCTGGAGCCTCGGAAGACGAACAGTATGCACAAGCATCTCCATCAAGAGACATCTTGTCCGCTTCATGTTCCAACATGCTGATATCCTCATGTCCGCCGTAGTCCCTTTCGGTGTACGAGAAGATGGCAGAGTCGCCTGTCGCACTCGAGCCGTACGGCTGCAAACTCTCCCTCTTCCTCGGAATATGTACGCCGTTGGGTGGGAAGGAGTTTGGTAGGCTGGAGGGTGGCGACATGTTCGCGTGCTGCGTATCCCGCAACGGCTGACCGCGTCGTCGCCCATCCCAACGGCCCCATCCCACTTTCTCGAAGATGACCTCACCTTCAGCGCCATTCCTTTTGTCACCGACGGCCACTTGGCTCTCTAATGCAGCCACGACCAGCCTGCGTGCTTTAGCTGGGGCAATCCTGGAGAAGCCGGGTACCGACGTGGTCAGGTAGCCCATGACGTGACGGATCGCAAGTGGGCCATGCTGTAGCATAATCTCAGGTAGATGGTATTTGGCCAACATCTCCGGGGTAATGGCTCCTGCGCCATCCATCTCGCTGGGCGAGAGGAGAGGTCCCCGAGAGACTGCATGATCTGCGGCATCTCCCAGATCGATATCGGAATCCAAGTGCGATGTGGCGAAGGGGGGAGAGCCAGGGAGGTTGTTGTCCCGTTGTTTGAAGGCTTGAGGGGGTAGATTTGGAGAGATGGAATTAGGGGGAGTGGGCAATAAGGCAGGATGCCCTGGGTGAGAGGAGTTGCCATCGCCTGCGAAGGCCGAACGAGGCTTGGGGATATCAACAGAGGCTGTCTTGCCAGCAAGGGCCATGGCAATGCTCGAGGTCGTCATTTGTGCGGCCATGATTGCAATAAAGGAGGAGAACTTGGGGGTGTGGCTAAATTGTATGAATCTATATATCACATGAGTCACTGGGCTGGCCAACCATCGAACGCGACGCAACCACGGAATGAAAGGGATGACTAACGGTTGAACAAACAAAGGTGGACAGGGGGAACGAGGGGCATCAAAACCAAAAGGGCCAGACTTACGGCACACAAGAGAATAGTAGCAGTCAAGGCTGGAATGCAGCGTTGATGTGATGTGATGCTATGCGATGCAATGCGCTAGCCACGTACTAACTCGTAGTAGGTAGTTTGGACACGCGGGGAGGGATCCTTGGAGAGGGGAAGTAGGGTAGAACTCTAGATCAGAGGAATCTGAGTATTCTTGAGAGTAGATGATGGGAAGTGAGATGAGATGAGATGAGATGGAAGAAGGACGTCAGATCCGACAAGAAGGATGTAGAAAGAGGAGGGGAAGGCAAGGAAGTAAGGAGTTACTCCGTAGATAGATAGGAAGGAATAGTAAGATGGAATGTCAGTCAGCTGCAGGTATGACCGGGTATGTATTACGGTAGGGAAAGCAGTACCTAGGCAGTACCTAAAGGTATGTACTTTCATGGAAAGTCCCTAATGGTATGTGTCTTTGGGGGAGGGGGGAGGGTACATGATATGCAGATAGTCCTGCAGTATATGTAAGTTCTTATCTCTCTCGCCTTTTAGGTATTCAGGAGGGACGGAGTACATGTCCAGTACATCCATGGATATGCCGAGACTACGTATTTTACCGGCCCCATACCTACCCAGTACTATCGCGTGGGTCCTTTGATTGGATGTCGCTGGCCCAGTACCCGTACCAAGACGGTAAGGGTACGAGGGATTATGGGATTCTATCCGTGCCTATTGTCGAACCATCTAGGTACTCCGTCTGATATTTGGGATGCAGAGAGGCAAGGTCAATGAGGGGTTCTGTCCTTCCCTATACCTTGGATCCCTAGGCACGTATAATACGAAGAAGTAGGTCAGTAATCTTGACGTACACGACGTCGTTTCAACTGCCCACAGCATATCAGCGATCGCAACGAATGCCCGTGCCTTCCCTAAAAGAAAGTCAAGATCGCACGTGGGGGTTCCCCGCCACTGACTGGCCAAGATCATCTTACCCTTAGTAAGATGATCGCCTGAGGAACGCCGGCTAGGGTTTCTGCCCTGATGAGGGTCTCGATTTTGTGACTTCTTTCTTCCCTTCTGTTTTAGAAAGCAATGAGTTTCCTCAACTAATAACAATCTATGGTAGCGACATGGAAAAGACAAACAAATGGTGCAGTGCAATAATCAGGACTGGATAAGCGGAAAACACAAGAAAGACGATATATCAGTCAACCAAGTATAGAATGCGCCGTGTACAGTCACGACCGGTTATACATGGATATACTGGCGTGTCCAACCTCCTCGTCATGGGAAAAGGCCCTCAGGCTGATTATTGTTTCCTCAGACGTGGTTGTCGTCCATATGACCCGGATCGGAAGGTCGAAATAAGTTATATTTCCCACCTCCCGGACCAAACCCGGGTCAAGTCCACAGCCTGAAGCTACAGGGGATAGAAAAATGGACATCTACACATAGTCTCTGCATTAGGGAGAGAAAATCAAGCAGGATAGGAGAGCCAGATGACGCTTACGTCTATTGTCCACTTGTGCTGGAGGATCACCTTGCGAGTCACTTTCGCGGATGGGGATCCGTACAATATGACCATCCGTCGGTTTGTGGCATATCCTTATCCACGCAACGCCCTGGTGAAGGGCACTGAACCTTTCTTCCTTTGGGTACAAGGGTACAGTCAGCATAGAAAAATATCTTCGGAGGGTGGGTGTCAAACCTTTCGGAGAAACCAGGTCGGGCGATGAAGCATCAAGCTTGCTGGGAGGAAGGCCACGGCGGTAGTTCTTTCATGACCACACCATAATGCTTGGGACTCAAAACAATAATGAGGCTCCCAGTATGGCTCGGCATACTGAACCACGAGCGACCGAATCCCTTCAGAACACCGGGCTGTTAGGCACTGACTGTTGATCGCATGACACAAAAAGGCCGAGACTTACGTCTGGGGACAGTGTAAAAGTCCACACCCTTTATTGAAGCAAAATGACGCATCTGTTCTTGCACATAGGAGGACTTGCTGAGTCCACCCGTCAAAAGAATCCTCTGTAGAGCTAGCTTGGTTAATCCGATACATAGCCCGGGTTCCGAAGAGGATGGGACGAGCATTGACTCGATGCTGCTTTGCGTCACATGTATCGTTGATCTGATGAGTTATCTTCTCCCATATGTCACTTAAAACATTTTGGAACTCCAGCTGGACCTCTGGGGTGAATGTAAACCGGCGCGTCTTCTGATTATAAGCTTCAGGTTTTGCATTGGGGGCAACGGTTGCCGGCGGGACTGTAACCAGCCGGTATGGGATTTCTTCTGCGCTTTCAGCGATCCTTTGCATGAGCGTTCTGTTAGGACTCCGGAGCCTTTGTTCCAGCTCGTCTATTCTCTTCCTAAGCTGCGGCACATAAACTGATATAAGTTGTGATCGATAGCAGCCACACCACATCGGATCCCTAAGACAGGTCAGTGAGATCATGTTTCATGGCTCAGAGTCAGATATACCTTTGGACTTCAGTTGTTGGCAACTTAAACTCGGGTCCATGCTGTGCACCAGGAAAGTGGCAATGTCCTGATAGATAGTCAGTCTTGCGCCTGCCATGTTTCGTTCGATGCAACTCACAGTGGCTCCACCTCTACAGTCACACAACCAGAACACGTCCATGTCCTGTGCTGCCCAAGGGTGGTTAGCTGGTTAGACGGGTTGGATTGGGTTGACGACGGAGTTCAACCCACATTTAATGATCGTTGTACTATCAGAAATGTAAGGAATACCAAGCTACAGCCTCAACTTCGGACATAAACTGGGCTTTGTCCCAGGGCCTGGAAAGATAACCAGCCCACTCGATGGCATCCATCATATTCACCTGGGTGGCTTCGCACCAGGCTGCTGGTACAGAGAATCAAAATTTCATCGACGGGATACCCTAATTAAGTTCCGAGGATAACGTGTTAATCTAGCTGATATATATCCTGCGCAAAAAGTCGGAGGCCATTTGGGTGGGTGTTCAATCCGGTGGGGTCCGTACGACCCCTTCGTCCACGCCTTCCCAGAGATTGACAGTCGAAATTGAACTTACATTGGCCTCGTGGTCGGAGAGTCATCCATGTTCATGATCTATTTCTATGAGCAGTTTCGTCCAGACGTACGTGTCCACACCCTCTTCGATTTCATCAGCCTAGTGAATCCTCCCTCAGAAGTAAGAAATCCTTGAGGGGATGACGGTCATCATCCCTCCTGCACCATCACCGGGACCCCAGGAGCAGATACGACGACCATAGGTGTACTGATTGGGGATCGAATAGGAAACACCTGGATCCAATACATACATGGATGGGTTAGTGAGAAGTGGTACCAGTCAATTAATGATATGGGACGGGAGGAAGAATATCCTTACAGGTCTTGTCGTTCCGAAATCAATGCCAGCTCTGATATATTTGTCCCGTGTGGTTCCATCACGGGGGGAAGGAATGTTGACCGAGAATGATGAGGTTGTTGCGAGTTTTTATCTTTTCGACGCTGTCTGAAAATCTATTCAAGTGTTTGGACATGAACGCAGACAGCAAGGACCCAGATCCATTTGGGCATCGGCCACTTAACCTGCATTGTGACTATGAATCGCAGGCCAAGGAGGACGAGCGGGCAGATGACAGTGATGATCCCAGTGAAGTTGAATCTGATGTATCAGCAGATTCGAGCCGGTATGTGCTTATCACCGGCTCTTTTTGTGATTCCAGTGCTTGCTCTAATCGTGCTTTCCCCCTCTTTGTAGAGGAACCCGGAGGGTGCGGCTTACTTCAAGACACTTGTTTTCACTCTCATCAACGAAAATGCCTGAACAAGTATCAACTAACACCGCCCTACAGAGGTTTTCTCTAGCCCAGAGGCGTAGGCCCGTTTGGCAAACCTGCTCTCAAGCTGTTAAAGAGTAAGCTTTTTCTGTGGCTCCTCAAACATCTCGATACCGACTTGGCACTGGAGCTTCGACCGAAGTATGTTGCTGAGTTTTTGTATTGTGCCAAGATAGTAGATAACTTCGAGGTCGAGGGTGACGGGAACTTAACGTTTCATCGTCTTCCAGAATTGGAGAATAAAAAAACCGAATACGGCCAGAATGCCACACTGCATCGTCTTGACGATAAGATGACCATTTATGGCCGCAAAGCCTATTACGAATCGGTGCGCGAACCTGACGAAATGGCCACTCTGGCTGGCTGACGTATTCTGCTTGCTATTCGGCCGGGGATCTCCTGCGAGCATTCGCCATTTGTGAAATTATCTATGAGAGAGCCCGATGACAAGGTGCGTTGGCTCGGTCGGGCATTAGTCGTGGCTGAAGATGAGGCCAGGAATGTGCATCAGAGCTAGGATCAGACTGATGAGACTCTGGGTTCTGCAATCTCTGATTCGGGCGTCAAGAATGAGGCTTGATAGGGGGTGTTTTCTGTCGTTCTTTTTCTCACTCTTGCTGTCTTGCTGTCTTACTGTCCCGCTAATTCTGAATAGAGTAGTATAGGACAAACAGCCCCGTAGCCACGCAGATCCACTTTGTCCACTGTGTTCAACTGAAAGCCAGTTCTCTGTCTAGCACGGGAACCAGGTAGCTGCATAGTAGTGAAACTATTTTCACAATCCCTCATCCGAGGAGTCAAGATCCGGAACCCGTCGATCAAAGCCAATGTGGTTTGAAATCAGCCATGTCTCTCCGAACGCTAGAAGGACAGAAACAGGGACGGATTGGAGGCTGATTTTTCATTCTATTCACTGTCAATGGGGAGATCATGCGAATACGAGGAGTTTGCGTCACTTTGCCTGAACTGATTGCCTGACTGTCTGAATGAATGAGAGGATGATTGGGTGAGAGTTACAGGACATTATCTAATGAGATTATTTCTACATGTAAGATCAGGTCCGTCAATATATCTGATATGCTTAGGATCTGACAGAATATGTTGATCAGCATGTCTTATGCGATGTAGATTAGTCAACATGAGCCATGGATGCCTGTATAACTAACTGCATTCCCGAATTTCCGGGAATGAGCTACGCTCCTCCATGTTTCATGCGTGCTGGGACCCTGACTTATGGTTTCCTGAAAGATCTTGTAGAACTAACTTTGAATCTGGAAATATGGTCGGTTGGAGAATCTTCATATCTGTAAGCCTAGGACCTATTTATAGAAAGCGCAAACAGTCTCGAACACATAATAAAATTAAAAAAGAAGAAAGAAAGAAAAAAGAAAGATTAAGACCCCCTCATCATATTAAACCGTCTCATTCTCTCCTGCGTCTGTTCATAATCCGCCATCGTCCATCCCGGCGTGCTATACGTCAGCGAGATCTCATATGTGTTCGCCACTCGCGCCGCTTCTCCCAGCCAATGCCATGGCCAGATGAGCTCCATCGGCCGCCAGGGAAGTTTGGGGTTGAAGATGATGTGGATGTTCCGCAGTCGAGACTCGGGCGGCGATGTGTTGAGCCCCGGGGCAATGAGCTCCAGGAAGTCCTCGGTCCAGTCCAGTTGGTCCTCATAGAAATCCGTCCAGGACTCGCTGTGTTGATCCTCGGTGCTGAAATCGATCACCAGGTACCGAAGGGAAGGGATTGCAAGCTTGTTGTAGGCGGTCCACGGTGTCTCGTCGAGGTCGTGGTAGATCGAGTACGCGGATAGATGCAGTTCTTCTAGACAGGGAAAGTCCGAAAAGTCGGGGATGCCTCCGTCTTGCTGCGGGATGACGCCAATAGTGATCTTTCTCAGCGTTTGTCGGTGTACATCGAGGAGTTTCTGGAGGTTCGCGGTCTGGTAGTTGTCTGCGTAGTGGGAGTGACAGAGAGACTTCAGACTGAGCTCTTCCAACCGTACGGGCCAGTGAAGGAAGCATTCGGTTACCATAAACGAGGTATTCGGTTCCTGAAGGCTTAGCACGGTGAAGTTGGCCGTTCGCTGTCTATGGAAGGGGAGAGCCTGGAGTAAGTCCTCCGCTCTGACCATGACGTTATCATTCTGACTCCACCCGGTGTGCAGTCGGTTCTCGCGACTCCATCCCCACCGGGTGAGATGAAGTTCGCGTAGGCTGGGCACGTCGTGGAAGATGTCGAAGAGCATATTCACGGACGGACCACAGGCGAAGCCACGCAAAGAGAGCTTCTCGGGTTCCATATTTGTGAGAATCTTCAGGACAGGGAGATGTGGTTCGTCAAAATCGGCTTGCACGGATACCTCCCGAACGAGCTTCAACCTTCTCAAGATGTCAGGTAAATCTCTCGAATAGACGCCGCTCTCGATGGTCAGGCTCAATGTACGCGGATAATTGGAAACATGCGGCCGCTCTCTCAGAACCTCGAGGACATGCGAAAGTCGATACTCGTCTCGATCCTTCAAGGTCAGACTGCGGTACAAAAAAGTATCGATGATGTCCCGCCACCGTCGACAAACACTGGCCAGAATGAACCACTGCAGGGGTGGGTGTCGCTTAACTGGTGGTTGGTAATCGTCCATATTCCAGAAGATGTAGGCTAGGAGTTCATTCGGCAGTCCCGAGATAGAACCATGAAGACAGGAGGCATCCCCAGGTGGCCGCACAATGCAGAGAGTATTTTGCGAAGAGGATGCAAGCTGTGTCTGTACTAAGGCAGACATACTCTGAGTGATGAGGTTAGACTTGAGAGTTGTGTTGATGGTTCAGCTCTCGAGAAGGGAAGAGAGAGGGGGGAGGAGAGATCAGATAGAAGTTGGCCTGCCCGCCCATGGGGTCTTTTTTAAGCATCAGAGAGGTCCTACTACGACCGGAGTAGTTAGATCAAGACATGGATATGGCGGCCAATTGACGCTGGGGCGCGATATTCATCGTTACCATGTGCCCATGTAGGACTGTAGCGCTTGGGCGAAGCCTGGATCCACCAATGGAGGCCTCTCGAGGAGGAATTTGCTCGATCCCATCCCGTGCTGCTCGCTTAATCCGCGCAAATGGCCCCTCTAGCTCGGGAATGTGATGCACGTCGAAGCGCTTGTGACAGTAGCGAGCGGATAATGCAGGTCAGTATAGGCTTTCTGTTGGCGCTGCATTACTCGAAGCGGCCTAGTGGGCTGATGTGCCACTGGGCAACCTTGATAGCTGACAGAAGATCCCATGCAGGAAATCCAGCCCATCCAGCCCTCTCTCACTGCGTCCGGTCTGACTGACGGAGTGAGTGAGTGAGTGACTTGCCAGATGATAACTATAGAGTAGTTAAGTTATCCCACCGGCCGTGCCCTAATCATGTGACTGATGACATAATCTCATCTGCTGACCTCAGCCGACATGATTCCCTTCCGATCTTGATCCGTTTCGTATCCGAAAGGAAGCTTACTTTCCTTCAACCCCATTGTTCGGATATTATCAGCTCTGTGGAGTTGATGGCTTTGGCACAATGTCTTGGTCCCCGATTTGTCTCTGCCTCGGCCAGGTGACCGTTCACATTGTTTGTCGCTGTCGATTGGTCGCTACGCCTGCGCCCATCCGACGGGCAGTTGCTCGGAATTGATATGAAGAGCACATGCAATGGTTATCCGCTTCCAACGGTGCCGACAATTTAGTCGTATTTATACCTTTTCCTGTCAGATTTAGTTCGCTTTGGAACGGTTAGTTGGTCAGCTGGATAAAAAGCATTTCCCTACTATCTGTTCGGTCGTTATCTTCGAATTAGTCGTGCGGCTCAAAGGTTCCGAACTCGACTATCGCTCTCAGTTGACACAATGGCGACCATGTCTGACACGAATAGCGTGTACTCGCCGGTTCAGGAGGCAGGTCGAATCTTTTCCTTGCTATGTGGTCAAGCAGAACGACTCAATCTGCCCGTTGAGGTTGTAGAGAAGAAAGATGCCGTGTCTTTCTACTCTTCCTACGACGAAATCTATTATCCAATCCCCTTTAAGGAGACAGAGACCTTAGCGGCCTTGAAGGGTGTCGAGGGATCTGTGGCCGCTGCTATTGCGGATTTGCGTTACGGACCCTCCCCCCAATCTCGAAAAGTCAGGGTCAGTTTGGAGCGGGCCATGGCATTTGGTTCCCAGGCGTATATGGCTAGAGTGGACGGGTTGTCGAAGTTGGATCCGGAAGTTAAGAAGAAACTGAAAGGTGGGAGAGACCGGCTCTCCGTCTGTATATGATTTGAAAGTTGACAGGTACAGATACTGATTTGTTTGCGGCGCAATCGAATGGCTACCGTCGGATGTCTGCGAATCTGTACAAGACCAAGAACGAAGGGGAGTTCTTCCATATCCACGGTTCCCTCGAGGCCACGACCACGCTGAATATGATCGGCTTGGATGGCCATCGACCAGATCTGACGGATTACGAGGATATCATCAAGGTTATCGAGAGCCGCGTGCAGAAGTACAGTGCTGCGGAGTTAGAGGTGATGAATGCCGAGAGGAGACAAGCCGGCGTGACGGCGTTTACATATGAAGACTTTATCAAGACACCACATGTGTGTATAATTTATCATTCTTTATGTTTTCTTCCGTGTCTGATGGACCTAATGCTTATACTCCGTCTAGGGAAAACTCAACGTGCAACAGCCGCCATGGAAAGTGTCCAGTCTCAGTGGTGATTGTCCTCCCACACCCTTCCCTTCCGTCCGTGACGGCAGCCAGAAGATCCTAGAAGGCGTAAAAGTCCTCGATCTCTGTCGCATCATCGCTGGCCCTACTATTGCTCGCATCTTGACGGAGTACGGAGCCGACGTTCTGAAGATCACCAGCCCGAACCTCCCCGACGTGCCATTCTTCCAGTTGGATGGAAATATGGGCAAGCATGCTGCTGATCTTGATCTAAAGACCGAAGACGGTCGTCGCCAATTTGAAGAATTGCTAGCCGATGTAGACGTTCTTGTGGACGGATATCGTCCTGGGGCACTTGAAAATCTAGGCTACGGCCCCGATGTGCTTTCAGCGCTGGCCGAGAAACGGGGGAAAGGGATTGTGTATGTGAGTGAGAATTGCTTCGGGTATGAAGGGGAATGGGCTGGCCGCCCAGGCTGGCAGCAAATTGCAGATTGTGTAAGTAGTTGGGTCTTAATAGGGAGAAAGGGTTGCTGACCAACCTTGTCTAGGTCACTGGTGTAGCATGGGCCCAGGGACAGTTCATGGGCCGTTCAACGCCTATGGTGCCCCCTTTCCCCATATCTGATTACGGCACAGGTTGTATGGGCGCGATTGCAGCCTTAACCGGACTTTATCTTCGGGCAAAGAATGGCGGCTCCTACCACGGCAAAGCTTCCTTGATGCACTACGACCTACTACTCTTCGCTGCGGGGAAGTACAGCGAGGCAGTCCAGGAGAAGATGCGTGCGGCGCTGCCTCCCGAATTCTTCAAACTGCGCCACTGCGATAGCGTAGACCGCATTTCCTCGACCGCCCTGAAGATCATGCGGACTCACTTTCCTCACCTCTACGCGGCTGGCGCTGAGGCGGGAGAGGATGCCTTGACGGAGAAATGGTACTCCAAAGCATACAATGCAGACATTGAAGTGGTTCGACCAGTCTGTGAGATCGACGGCGTGGACAACCAGTTCGTCCGGGCTAGTCGACCCAATGGGTACGATAGGCCGAATTGGACGGACTTTAAGAGGGAGGAGGATTACAAGAAGTGACGAACACTGTTGAATGATATTTAGGACATTGGCACATACATACATATAACACAAATTTATGGATGGTTATGTATTCCTAGATAATAATTACTCCGTATAGTACTCCATACAGAGTGAACTATTGAATACGTGATCCACAGTCATCGGATGTGATCGGATGTGATCACCTCATCGGCCCGAAGTTAACATCACTGTCCAACTACATCAAACTAGTAGTTATAACACACCAACCAGTTTATAAGAAACAAGAAGAAACGAGAAGTCCAAAATGTCATACCAAATCACCTACGACCCGTCACTCGCGCCACCGAACACGGCCGCCATGATTTCCTTCATGGAGTCATTCTACGCCACCAGCGACACTGAGTCCAAACACGATGTCTATGTGGATAGTTTCACCCCGGATGGGACTCTAATCATGGGATCCAAGGTGGCGAATGGATCGAGTGGTATGTATACATCATCCTGTTATAACATAGAACAGTCCAATATAAAATATCCCCTATATGACTACATCCTACATCTCGAATAGATAAATGCGCAAATGGATATATGGAAATATGGATACCAATTTACCAAGCTTCATAATTTAACATTATTATTAATAATATTAATAAATAGAGATCCTCACCCTCCGTCAAAGTCTCTGGACCCACGTGGCGTCACGCAAACACTTCCTCTCGCGCATCTACTTCGGCGGACCGAATGAACTCATGCTCCATGGGACGGTCAAGTACGTGCTTAAGGCGGATCCCAGCGCAGAGGTGGAGGTTCCCTGGGCGGGGAGAGTCGTGTTTGACGAGAAAGTGTTAAAGATGAGGTTTTATCAGGTTTATTTTGTATGTCTTATTTTTATCTCTTTTATGATTTAGGAGATGCGCTTGCTGATTTAGTTAGGATCCGACGGTGCAGTCGGGGAGGAAATGATTTCTCTCTCTCTCCGTGTCCCTCAGGGTTATTGGTGTTGTATATAATTAGATGAAGACATACTATACGGATTACTGTCTACCCTCTTGAAGACTCATCTTACGGTCTATATTCCATCGCATCAATTAATCATTGATGATCAGCGTGAGCGATCTATTCGTCCTGGGATCTGTAGAAATATTCGTCCCAGCAGTCAATCAGTCAATGTGACATGAAACAATAAAAAGAAATTTCATTCCTCTCCCTGGCTGATATCCCTATCATCACAATCAATCCACCCATCCATCTGCCCATACACCGTCCATTCTGAACTCATCCATTCCGATTTGTTACTAGACCGTTCTTTCGCCCAAATTCTCCTCTCCGGAAAAGGCTCGTTAGGATTCTTTTTGGGGTATAAAAAGAATCAAACCAAAAGCGGCCAGATTGGGACAAAAAAGGTAGTAGAGAGAACATCAGGACTTTTCATTATTTTAATCGGAGACTAAATTTACTCCTCGTCCTCCTCCTCCTCGTCAACGGTAGTCTTGGCGATACGGTCAAGATCCCGCTGTCCGCTCTGGGTAATGCGACGGCCACCCTTGTCCTCATCGATCTCGAGGACACCGATCTTCTCAAGGGACTGCATGACCTTGCGGTCAACGGAGCCGGAGGCATCGACGTGGTGGGCGGGGCGAGAGCCACGGTTCTTGGTTGAGCCATGGGCCTTGCGAAGGCGGCCAACACCGACGGTCTTGCGCATGTAGATGTGACGGGCGACGGCGGCGGCACGGACGTAGTACCAGTCCGCGTCCTGGGGAGGGAGCTCATTAGAGGCGGAGGTCTTGACAGTGTCAACCCATCCTGATCGATGTTAGTTTCATATATCTTGTCGATTTTCGTTCACAAGGGATGAAAAAGATTCACGAACCTGGGATGGGGAGCTTGCCCTGACGTTTCAAGAACGCAGAGTAAGCAGCAATGAACTTCTGCGCCTATAATCAAGAACTCGTCAGCACATTCTCATCCCAATCAATACTGTCTGACGTGTATGGTGTGTGTATTCCCCTTCATCCCTCCTCTTTTGGCAATATTTTCCGGCATTCTCGTCGTCGGTGGGTAGCTGAATCCTCTTGTGCGTTTTTCGTGTTGCTGCATATCCCATGCGCCGCTAATCCGACCTTTAGTCCGTTTCGATAGGCATATCCCAACATCGAAATTCCCAGCAGAGTACAGTTGTCGCTCTAACTCTCGGATTGCCAGAATCATTCCTCGCTCCTCCTGTGGTCTCGCTTTCCAGACATCATGTGCCTTTGCCATCTGGTATTGCCATTCCATTGCCATATCCATATTGTAGGTCCACCGTCTGGGGAAAAGATGATAGGGCGGGTGAACAACTTACGTCCACATCGCGAACGGTGACGCCACCCATTTTTGCGACTTGTGACCTCGAACGGGAATCGAAGGTGTACGGGGGAGCTGAAGAGGGGGACGAGGTGTGAGGATGGGTCGTCGTTGTCGTCGTTGGAGAATCGGTCGGTCAGTCGAAATTTCTCACAAAGACGTGTTCTCGGTTGCGCTGTGTGGACGCTTCGCTTAGCGCTTATCCCATTTGGGATTAGCCTTACCCTAACTATAGCTCATAGCCTGAGGCAGAAAATTCTCTGCCCCGCTCGGACCTTATCCGATTTGGTGCATGCCCTAATTGATTTAACTAGTTAGTAAAAGTTGAACTACATGTCCAGGTCCTCTATCTGTGTGTAGGTACTCAAGCTTGAAGCAGATTGGCGATGCACGTCAAATTCATATTCTCTGAATAATATACAGTCTATCGTATTAATTCTCATATCTCATTAATTGCAATATCCCAATCAACCAGGGCACCATATCCATCCCAACAAAACCCAAGACGCTCAGCGTCTATCCGACCGTAGAAAGACAAAATATTCCCGAAGAGAAGGGCCAAAAAAAAAAAAAAAAAAGATATTTAAAGCGTGGGAGCCCTCTGTAAACCAATACAGTATCGGACAAAAAGTGCATCAATGAAATGCGCATGGCGAATCCCCGGTGGTCGCCGTCTTTCGAACTCGTCAATCGCGCCCTGAACGCTAAACCCGCATCGCTCAATAAGGTAGCAGACGATCAGAAATCCAGTCCGGTTGAATCCATAATGGCAATGAACTCCGATGGCTGGACGCGGACGCTGGTCGCTGTCAGGTTTCTGCCGCCTCTCGGTGATCTCATTCATAAGTCGATCCACGAGAGCAATAAAATCCCTGGTCTCGTCGGGCGAGGGAGGAATTTTGGATACCGTTGGATGCTTGTGGTAATGAATCCCACCCTTCTCCATTGAGGCCGGGTTGTACACCGGATTCTCGTAACTGATATCGATCACGGCATAGATCCTCTCGTGATATTTCTGGGAGAACAAAACTGGGTTGTGCTCGTCATCGACCTCGCGCAACATTTTGAGGGCTACAAATGTATTGGCAATACGGTCCGAGACAGGTGTCACTTTTTGCCACTTGGCCAGATTCTTGACGTCCCACTTGCCCGACGTGTTCAAGTACTGCAGCTGCCACCCAAGGTTGAGTCGGTGGTCAACATGTTCACGGAGAAAATCTTGGATCACTCCCGCTAAGGTGCGGTAAGTAGCACGATCGTATATAAGTGCATGAGAGGCCGGGGCTGGGAGAACAACAGTTTTAATGGAACGTTTGGTTTGGTTTGATTTGGATTGAGCCTTCAGTTCTTTCTCTTCAGTTTGAGGCTGAACGCCATGCCCTTCCTCCTGCACCAGACGGTTATAGGGTTTTTTCTCTTCAGCGACTCCGGAGGCATCAGTGGTGGTACTGCTATTGTAATTCCCGCCCTGAATCGACTCGGTACCCTCGAAGAATTGAAGGATCTTCTTCAACTCCTCCGGCTTCGTCACTGTATCGGACTCGCCGGCCACAAGCAATATGGGCGTCGGCACTCCCGCCCAGATATCCTTTCCTGGAAGTCCCCCAACAGGATTTGTACCATCGTTATTGTAGGTAGGTAGCGTTCCCCATGCCATCCGTCTCCACACAGGGGTTTTGCTTTGTTTATTATACCGCACTTGGAGTCCCCTCGTATCAGAATCGGCATCTACCCCAACCAGTCTGGTGACACTCGCACTACTCAAGCCACCGCGCCGATCCCAGTAACGCCAGAGGTCAAAAATAGGGCCTGGGATATGAAGAAGACGGCGGAGCGCGGTAACTTCATGAGGCGACGGAGGTGAAGAGCGGGGGCAAACGGTAATGAGGCCGAGAATATGCTTCTTCACCTGGGTTCCTATCGATGAAGCCGTGGATGCTAATAGTGCCGACAGAGAGCAGCCCAAACTGTGAGCGATCAGTACAACTCCTTGGCCAGCTTCTTTGTCGCGATGTTGGTCGACGGCAACAGCAAGGAGTTCCGCAAGCGCCTCCACCGTATAAGCGTCCCAGGACGTGGGCGCAAAAGTTGATAATCCACAACCTGGTAGATCAATTCCAAAGCACGGGCCGACATTGGATAAGCTTGTCAATAGGTGATTGAACTGCGCCAACGAGCCTCCTAGCCCGTGCACAAAGACCAACAATGGAACCGGTGATGGCTGGCTAGGTAATTTGTCCATTTGGGGATGAGGGCGATAAAATGTTCTTATTGACGGATAAATCGCGATAGAAGTTGTATAGGGAAGGTATGATGAATGCTTCTTCAAAAGACCTGGATCTGTACTGTGCGCTATTGAAATTGTCAGTAGAGATTGGCAATCAATGGAAATGATATATACACGGACCATCCTCGGGCTGTTCACGGCGCTGAGGCGTCGCTTTCTCTTCATGTATCGAGCGTGTAGCATGGCGCAGAGACCCGTTACTATCGTAATCCTCCTCTTCCGACGACGTTATCGTAGCTGCAGAGCCTTTAGGATGGTCTCTATACGCAGGGCGGCGGAAGCGCCTCCTCTCAGACAGACTTTTAGGGCCTTTGCGCCGTAAAAAGGAAGGCAGCAGGCCACAGCCCGCCATGGTAAGAAAACAGGTAGTCAAGAGCACTATCTTTCCCCAATTCACTGATCCATTATGTTCGAAGGCTTGGGAAAGGCGAGGTACAGAGAGAAAGATATTGGAGTTGGAGAATGTAGCATACATAGAATTCCAGAAACGCAGGGCAACACCAAGATCCGGGGAAGCCGGTCGAGACGAGTTTAGGGATACTCCAGCGTTATTGGGCCCCATAGCGACAGGCGGTAAGCTCTTCAAAATATATAAGACTCCTTAGTACGGAGTACAAAGCCAATCCCGGTTCCAGACGTACGCCCTTGAAACGTTCTTTCACTAGTCACCGACTTTTGGAAGCCCCTAACGTCCAATAATCCCTGCTAGCCTAGAGAACTGACAAGAGGGAACGACAGGGATGTTCTGGAATGTCAGCCGGAACTCCCCACGAGACGGGACGGCGGCTTCTCTTTGGTGTGCAGGTAGTCTTCGGCTCAATAGTGAGGCAAAAAAAGCGGGTCAATAGAAGCAATAGAACATCAGCATGCCATTATAGTCTATACTATTCGACCAGGAAGCCACGAAGGTTCTTCTGAGACGAGTTTCGAGAGCCACTCAGATAACACCCTGAACACGATATCGAAAATGCGTCCGTATGGTAAAAATCTGGCCAATGATCGGTGGGAATCCAAGACGGTGGTCGTTCGGCCGTGTCTGGATGGTTCGATGGTGATCTGACAGGCCCACTATTTCAGTTGAGACCAAGAATAGAGCGACTATTGATTTTTCGGAGATGGCTTCGGATGACGAAATGACTCCATTGATACTTGGGTCGGTCACATGGAGCCAGAGCCTTCTTCTTTTTCCAGATAAAGAGGAAGAGCCAGGATTTTAAGCTACGGGTATTAGAAGGATAGTTAGCCAGGAGTGAAAGCATTAGGGAAAGGACAGAGGTTACACTGGGAATGAGAAAGCGCAAAGTCCCGGCCATGTACCTTGTAGAAATTGTCGGGGATATAAATTGTGGGTAAAACTGATCGCCAGCGTCTCACCTGAAGAACCCAAACGGGGAGATTGTGCAACGTAAGGGGCAAACTGTCCACCTAGAACAGCGACTCCTTGCCTGTACGTAGAATAGGCAAATGAAATGAAATGCGATACTCTCGCCTCTCACAGCCACGGGATCTGAACCGTGGACTATCGATGAGTCATCCCACTTGCCCAATCATGGCCTCAGGCCGCATCCCGTGACGGTGGTGACTAAGCCACAAGCGGTCAACATTGCTTATTTATTTCTATACTTGGAAAGCACATTGCACTAAAATTAGGTCCAATTCCACCCCATGATATTCCAAGATGCTACTAATGCTTGGACTGAGTTGCCTATTTCCGGGGAGACACCCTAGAAGGTGGTTTACCTTTGCCCAGCATATCAAGCTTGGATATTAATGTGGAAGAGTTCTTTGGGGTGTTAGGTGTGCAAGATAATATACCTATTAACCTAGTAATTCTCGCCGAAGACGGGCCTTGGGAGGCTAAAGACCTATATTAACCTATTTTATAAGGTAAAAGCTATATTATGCCAGGGATAATTTGCCATATCCTGAACCTTCACCGGACGGCCTAACCACCGAGGTTTCACCAAAGGGCCAGGCGGCCAGGATGGTAATACTTAAAATTAATTGCTTATGGCCAGGTTAAAAATAGTGTCACTTCCATCACAGCTCTGAATCCGACTCGTTATGTTCTTATACTTAGGGCGAGACTTTTCACCGCAGAGAACAGCCAAAGTCCCCCAAGTAAAAAATATAAAAAATATAGTAATTAGAGCTATGGCCTTTAAAATGGTCTCAAACACTATCTATATTACCTATAAGTTAAATACATTTACCACCCTTTGTTCTTACTTTTTGTCTGCGCTATTTAATAAATATTTGCAGTTTCTTTCTTGGCTGTTCGAAGGTGCACTGCCCGTTGTATGTCCGACTCTGTGCCTACAACATGTGAAAATGGAAATATGTGGTCAACCAGTCGTTGCTCGATAAACTACATCAGACCTTGCAAACTCGGCATAATGGCAGCGAGGCCCAAGAAACTCCAGGAAGGACATGCCATGGTCAACTGAAGAGGTGAGCCTTCTCCTGAAGTTAAAAAGGGACAAGAAACGGCCTTGTTTAGAGGTGATAAGGTTATTCTCGGACTAATATCGGGAAAAAGACTTCGTTCAATCCATGTATACTGGAGTACGACCCTTAGAAAATTAAGACAGAATAGAATTGCACTTACAAATTAATGATTGGTAGAGTAGGTACCATGTGGTTTGCCAAATTGCTGACATAAAATTCCAGAGAAATGGTATTGTTACTATCATCCACGAGGGCGAGTAGGTCCTCCTGACGATGAATCAACATTTTAAACAATCAAGCAACTGCGTGACAATCCTGGCAGCCTTAGAGGGTGGGAGTTAGTTCCGAGCCCAATCCATTTAAATTTAGATTATGTATACACTGTCGATCGAGATGCAGGTGCTTACATAGTCTCGCTTTGGAACGAGCATCTTGGATCATTGAGGCCCACAGCAGTACGTATCGATCTCGCGAGGATGCGTGAATCCTCCAAACTGTTTATAGAACGTTCTCTTGAACAGTCTAAATACATGTTTGATGACAGGATTTGTGAGACCAATCTGACTCCGATTGAATCGCTATTTTCTGGTACGCTTGACATGGATTTTGGCCTCCCACCCAAATGAACGAGATACAGGAGCAATTATTTACCGATTTAATTTTTATATGGCGCTTTATACCAGTGACCCTTTAACGTGGAGATACAGCCCTATCGTCTTCAGGTGCTATGTATAGCTTTCCTCATCTTGCAGCCTGAGATTTTGAGTTATCTTCTAGTTGTAACGTTGAGCTGCCAATATCCTTCGCGTCGATCCCCCCTTGGATTGTCTCACAGCGCACATATATTAGTTTCATGGTTTCCTTATTGTGTTACAAGAAGACATTGAATCCGAGACCATAATAAACAGAGCCCTTATGAAAGCCAAACTATATATTAACAACTGCCTTGCCATCATACCTTCCGCTTAATTCTTATCTCACCAGGTCGTGCCACCTTTGTGGAGTTTTTTTTTCATGATGTTATATTAGCTTCTGAGTGTCTGGTACTGCTCGCTAACTGCTCAGCAACTCAGTGCTCGCTTGGCTTCCGTGTTCTAACCCGGGCTCTAACATCACACTGTTGGAAGAAGTCTTAGGCTCGTAAGGAAAAGTGGTAACAGACTATGCCACCCGAGATTCTTCAAAAGATTTTCCATGAATTAGAATCGCAAGATGCTGCAGTATTTACACAGGCTTCCTTCGCAGCCAAGCACTGCCACTGTGCTTCGGTGCCAGGATGCCATCGTGCAGAGTTTTAAGTCATCTATACCTGCAGTGGTAAGCGTGGTGGTTTAGAAAAGAATGGCGTTTGTGTTTTAAGTGTTATTCTTTGCAAGAGTTGGAATGTGTCGGTCTGGAAATTGGTCATTTTCTGGATTGGTTTATGGTTTGGAAGATTGATCCTGGTTAGAACATGATCGGTGGCTATATGTTGTACAAGTGGAATGTAAAAGTCCACGAAATTGTCTTCCAAATCCTATATCAAAGTAAAAAAATTCAAATCATTCGTTAAAGCCCCAACACTCCTTCAGCAGGGTATCATTTTGCGCCATATGGCTCAGCATCCAATCAACTACATGCCATCATGCGCATGGGATTAGTTCTGCTGTTGTTGGTTGGGTGGTTCCCAAGCAACAAGACGGGCGCGCTCGGTTAGGTTGCGATGATATTCGTAGAATTTGAAAGTGAACCCAAGAATCATTATCGCCCAACACCTTCCAAATTCAGTATATGCTTAAGAGCATTCTCAAGTTACTCCAACTGTGCCTGTAGCGAATCACTTGTACGTTTCGCTTCGGCTACTGTGTGATCTATGACACCTCGGTCGTCGGGGAAACGACGTTAAAAGTGTGGAATGATGAAACTGGTGAAATTGTCGTTTCGGTTATGTTCTGGTGTGGCTGTGTAATTATGGGCAGCCGTAAAGTAGTGGTTTGGAGTCCCAGAAGCCATTGATTTCACAGAGTTTTCATAGGTGGAGTCATTTTCAACAAATTGAACGAGCAGGTCAACAGTGAGAGCTAGACGCCAAGCGACTTTTAAAGGAGAGCAACGATATAGAAATGAAGAAAAATATTGTGTGCAAAGGATGATTTTCTATTTCTTTTTTCTGTTCGATTTTGTCTGGTGAGCTAGAAGATCTACGTAGGATATTCAAGAACTTATATAGTTCCTTGTCAGCTTCTTGGAGAGTACGAAGCGCTATTATGCTACAAGGGAGTAGAGATAATATAGACGTATGCTGTCTGATCAGAAGTCTGAAACAAAATAAGATGGCATGCGGCATATCAAAAGAGTACACTAGCCACCAGGATCCTTGCTGCCTTCAAAGATGCAATCCTGCCCCTACCTCGACTTCGAAGCTTTTTGCCATGATAAAAGCAGTGTCGAAGTCGGCGTTGAGTGACGCAGGATGTGGACAAGGCTGAATTTGGCCACCAATAAATGATCGCCATTGCATGGCTTGAGTAGACCCTGGATATCTCAAATCACATACTGGTCGTTGGAGTGAGGTGGAATAGGCTCCAACCTTGGCGCCAATATCCATTTTTAAACCAGTTTCCGAACACACACGTAGGATTGTAGCCAAGAAATCTCCTTGAGAATTCACCACTGAGAGAAGACTATAGAAAAGTGATTCAAAAAATACTGGATAATGCTACTCTCCGCGTGAGAACACGCTGTGTCCTGAGTCCTCTACTATTTTATCCAGGATATTTAATAATTATTCTCAAATAAAAATAAAAATTCCGTCAAAGATCTTTGATGACAAGGGGGAGAGAGATTGACATACATGTTTGCTATTTTAGGTTTCGAGGGAGCATAGTCTGTTACTCTTGTGTCCAGTTGTGGTGATAAGTGCGGCATTGTGTCCGTTATATTGGGTGTGTCTGCTATGTCTATTGTGTCTATTATGTCTACTGTACTTGTTGTGTGCCTGTATCTGCTACAGCCTTAAAACCTAGTATTAGGACCGACCTTGTCTTGTTACAGTCCTTATAATAATTTTGTCTTGGAGGATTGTTATGATCATTCGCTCAGGGGGAATGGGTGCCGGAAGAACATTATACCAGCTAGTTGCACGCCGTTAGCTTACTAAGAATCTGGAGGATAACAATAACAACCGTATTGACTGGGGGCCAACGCGCTCATCGATGTGCTCTATCTCCTCTCACTCAATTAATATATAAGAAAATGGAGGTGATTCAGGGAGATGACGCTGAATGCTCGCCAAGGCGCTAGGAGTAATCGGATACCGAATCCCGAAAATTTCTCTAAGGATAGTCTTGGGTGTCGGTATATGGGACTCCCAATCTATGAATAATGCCCCAGGAAAAAAGTCCAGCTAACCTGCTCCTAAAGCAAGCTTTCTGAGAACTTGTTATCAGGTCAATTAGCCCGAGACAAATACAAACTCAGGGCCATTGACCTCGCTCAACATTTGCCCTAAGTCAAAAGATGCTCTTGGGCATTCGATCTACGTCATACACCGTTTTATGATTAATGAATAATGGTCTACAACTGGTCGGTTCAGATGTATCGGTGAGCATTATCATTCAATCTATTTCAAGGATAGGCCGACTGCGAGCACTACACCTGCGATGTTTGCCTCGAGCTTGCCCTCTTTTTCTTGGCTTAAGGTGGATGAATTTCTTATATAGATAGTAGCCTAGCTGGTGTATGTTGAATCAAGGAGCTGGAGGCTGAATCGGTCAAAGAGTACTTTTAAAATTAGTTGTAGTTAGTATACTTCCTCTTTAGTAAAGCAGTGAGACACGTACAGGTCTATAGTTACCTAAATTGGCTTAGTAAATGATGGGTAGTGCTTGATATGTGCATATTCTTATACGCATACGTACTTGATTTCTAGACAACTTGATGTCTTTCTCTTTCCATTTTAGTGCTCACCCCTCGCCACTTTTTGCTCACTGAATAGAACTGATCACTGAGCAGGCAGAGGGGTGAGTAGCCTTAGTAAGGTAGCCTCAATAACCTAAAATGCACCAGGCTAGTTTCACCAGACAAGGTTTCCCTTACGGCCAGACTAAACCCTATTAGCGAATGGTGTACATGTACTTGGTGTGATTGTTATGGCATTTATCAGAAGTCATTTTACCTCTGATTTTTCAGTTCTCCATCTCAAATCTACTTATGTTGCTCTTCGAAAATGGCTCAAATAAATCTAGGGGTATGGATAATCCTAGGAACAGGGAAACCACGCGGAAATACCAAGGCCATAGAACCAGTGACTTCGAAGGGCTTGCTGCTGAGGATGACAACAGTAAATAAATCTATAAGTTACTGGCAAAGCGTTATGAAAGCGACCCTGCCTATTAGCTGGATATAGCACTATTTCTTTCTCATCCAAACTTGCTTTGTCGGTGGCCAACCTAATCGGGTGCCATTTATAGGCTTCAAGCCCCAAAAAGGCTTCAAGACCGCGATCGTCAACTTCTTTGCCACTCTAGGTGAAACCTTGTGCCAACAGCGATTTGGCCACCATAAAGCAGCCGCACTAGTTCAATGTGAACTGGCCTCCACATTCTTCGGCACTGCCCCAGTCTCAGCCAATTGTTCTCTGATTCTTCTGCGCATGGGGGTGTGCTCCACTGCCAACGTCATCACACCTGTCTCCAAGGTGTCTCTCCCCATGATGATCGACGAGCTTAAGGCCAATATTATTTGACAAACTTCGTATTTTAACCCAACTGGAGATGTGATCACCAGAGCTGCAGGGGCTGAGGCTCCAAGGGAAAGACCCAAGACGTTTGGTTGGGTTGTTAGTTCCCTTTTTTCCCTTGGCGATATGCAGGTCGCTAAAAGTACTGAAATTTCCGAGCCACCATGAAGTCAGTCAAAAATAGGCTCATGGCCATCAGACTGTATTTGAATTTCTTTGTTTTTATATTTAGTGTAGTGTTTATAGTGGTTTGTTATCTAATACTTTAGAGAAAAACGAATAAAACACAGATCTATACTTAGTATGTGACGAGCTTCCACATATATTTAAAGATTCGAAATTTAAGGAAGTATAGATCAGGTATGGTATTATTATCTTCATATTTTATTTATAGTGCATGACTTCGTGTATGCCAACTTCAGGCTTTTCCTTTAGGCCCTGTAGTGCCCCTATTGTTTTGTTTTTCCATCCTCGGAGACACTTCTCTTGGGCGTCGCTTCGTATGAGCCTCATGATTTGCGTTTTGAGCCGTTCTTGGAAGCCTTCAAATGCACACTTACGACCATGCACCTCGTATCCTCAACAAGAGGCATGAAAGGGGTCAATATTTTTGGTAAAGACCGACAAAGCCTGTCCCGAATTCGAGTCAGGCAGGAATATCAGTTCGTATCTTCCTCCTGCAAGGTGACGATCACAGATATAGAGAATGATCAATTGGAGGAGTCTCATCTCGATAACACGAGATACTTAAGATGGAAATCGAGGCGTGCAGGACTGCGAAGATATAAATACCCTCTCGAATCTCCTGCTTTCGTCTTCTTCAACAGCAACATCAAGCCCTCAAGCAACAAAGAAAAAGACAATCAATTAATCAATTCATCTTAGCTTCCAAGCACACTACCAAAATGCATTTCACTAAGGTCCTCACTTCCGCCCTCCTCTTCACCCTGTCCTCTGTGGCCATCGCTGCCCCCAACCCTGACCCTCTCGAGGGCCGCATTTCGGAGCTGGAGCGCCGCACCGAGGAGCTGGTCGCTCGCGCTGGCTGGACTTGCTCTATTGGTGGCGACGTTGCTTGCCAGGCGAAGGTACTCATAGGATCCCTTCTTTCATAAGAATCTATGGCTGATTTCATTGTACTTAGTGTGTTGGCCTGGGGAAGTCCGGCGGATTCTGCAACGACGAGAAGTGAGATCCCCCTCTTATTTAGAGACTTATGGTTATTCTGACGAGATCCTGCTTAGTGTTTGCACTTGCCACCAGGGATAAAGTAATTATCTCCATGAGGTGATTCTTCTCGATCTGTGAGATGGATAGCAAAGTCGAAGTCTTACAATGAAGTTGTGTTGGGAATAAGGGGAGCTTGCGCGGAGGGGTGAAGATTTTGTTGTATTTATCCATTCGTTTGGTTTTTCATTTCATCTTGTCTTGGAAGTCAGCACTATGCAAGTATACGGCAGGGCCCTGCCGGCAAGTGAACTTCCAAGCCCTTGTCTTTATTATCACAATGCATTGCTCCCATTCGTTGCAGTTTATCCAGGGACTTATTGTTCAGACAGCTTTGCGTGGTAGGAAGCTATCTGGCACCGTAGGGACGTACAGCTAACAGTGGAACTTGTACCTTAAAGAAAGAAATAATTCTGCGACAAATAAGAATAATCTCATGTAAATAAGTTCTTCATAGAGGAAGCCAATCCTGTACAAAGTCTACATTTGTATAACAGCATAGGGAAGGAGATTTCTGGCCTTGATACACCAAAGTAATCGCAGAATACAAAAGAGAACAAACCAGTGGAAATATAAGTGTAAGCTCGTCCAGGTCTGACTATATCTTGACCACAGTTAATATGTTATTATCAGTCTCGAAATCGGTTTTCATCGCTTACTTTCGCCTTCCACCGTGAAGCACTTAGGGCAGTAAGAGTAGCCAACATTACTTCTTGAAGGTATGTGAGTTTACGTTCTTAAGGCAAAAATTTTCAGCGAAGCCGGAAAATGGGCCATTTAAAACTATTGTTGGCGAACTCGATTTCGAGCGCTACTGTAGACTCAATAAACCCCCACCTCTACTGCCATAATTTGGATTTGGGAGACCATTCCATGTCAACGCTTGCTTATATTCTCCGACTGAATAACTTACTTTCAGGTAGGCAGACGGCGCTTGAAATCCTGACAGATGCGACTTAAGATGCTCTGCTTGATAAATTGATTTCACTGGATTAAGCATCATGCTCCGTATATTGTGATAAAGCTTTCGCCACCCATCATCCATGTAAAATGGTAATACTGCTTAAACTTTGTCGACCACGTCGCTTTAACGTATTGACTAGTACCCAATTCCATTGGTCTATGAAGGCCTGACTCTTTTATCTAATGACTAGATACACAATTCAAGGCGGTAAAATAACTAAGGTCTGACTAAGATCTTAATCTCACTAGTCGTATCTCATAGTTGACAAAATCGTATAACTCTGCTTTAGTGCCATAGCGCTCCGGCCAGTCCAAGGATTAAGCAGGAGCCGGAGACGGCTAGTGCACTCCTACAAAAGAAAACCGCAGACTGTGTAGAATCTATTGATGTTCATGAGCGCTGCTGGCATGCAATGCAAATGTATTTGCATACATTATGTACGTAGGCATATATTAGATATCTTAATAAATTGTGGCCAAGGATGAAGTCCTCGGAGTTCTGATTAATCAGCAAACCGACTTTGGGGGTTTACTGCAGGGAAGTGAATTATTTACTAGTACGAGGTACGCTACAAGTTGCTGGGGTTTTAGTGGTTAGAAGATCAAGCTCGTATAGTGACCAACGTACTTGTCCGTTCAGCAAAAGTTCTAGATATATTGCTAAAAAGCAGCGCCAATAAATATTAGTTTTGTATCTACATAATTGCTGGGTATACCTACTCTGGATCACCGCCCTATTTGTGTTTCTTACTGCTGCCAGCTTTGGGACGATCATACTCCAATTCGGGTCTCCTATGCAGAATACATAATGTGTATTTCAGTTATGAGGCCAACGATTTTGATTGGCTTGTGGTGTGCCCACTATCCTGGCGCCCGCGGAAGTATCATTACAAAGAGTCCAACTGATTGGCTTGGGAATCCCTGTCAACCTGTCTCTGACAGTGTATTTATTTCTCCTTTCCCCTCAGTCGACCATACCCAGGACCGTGATAACAACAATACCTTAGCAATATGTTATCCCGAGTACAGAGATCCGGCGGAAGCAGATCCCGAACGGGATGTCGCACCTGCCGGTAAGTGAATAATGTACACAGATAATGTTTCCCTCTCTCTGACTTCTGCAGCGCCCGCCATGTCAAATGCGACGAAACCCCCGGTGCCTGCAAGAAGTGCACATCCACTGGGCGACGCTGTGACTATGACCTCCAGCGTTTGCCGCATAAAAGGAAGCCCGTCCAGCCCAATCAGCTCGCCCTGCCAGAGCTCACCGACGGATTCCAATGGTCCATAACTTCGGACGAGGGCCGGTGTTTCTCCCACTTCCAGTTCCACACCCTCCCCAATCTCCTGGAACTAAGCAATTTTGTCTTATGGCAAAATCTGGTCCTGCAAATAAGTTATACGGAGCCAGCGGTGTACCATGCTGCAGTTTCTCTAAGTGCGGCCCATCAGAACGCAGAGATCTATGGAATTCCTTTACCTGGACAGGATATAAATACAGCCTGGTATCGATTTGCAGTACAACAGTCGGTGAGGTCATTTAGTCTTTTAATCAAACGGCGCAATTCTCAGGATCCATATTTTAGAGAAGTTATGCTTCTCTGCTGCCTACTTTTTGTTTTGTTGGAATTGCTACAGGGGCACTACAATCATGCATTTAGGCACCTTCAGAGTGGGGTGCTGATTTTAAAAGAGTTAAAGGCGCAGAGACAGCTCCTAGTCTCGGCTACAGGCCAATTTTCGCCGGTCGAGCAATGCCTTGTTTCGGCATTTGCGCACCTAGATATCCAATCCTCGGTATATGGTGTTGGGGGGCCCCTTTTCTGCATTGACGACGGGCTGGAAGCTCATCACCTTGTTGCTTTTAGCAGTGTTTATGAGGCACGACAGGCTCTGGAAATTATTCTAAGTGCCGCATTTCGGTTCTATTCGCATGCTTATGTCCTATCAGATGCGGAGATTGTTCAGGATTATTATACATTAAATTTTAAACAGGGACAGCTGCTTTCTCAGCTAAACCAGTTTGCAATATTATTTAACGATTTCCATTCTCGCTCATATGTTGGATTCAGTGGTAAAGAGAGCAGAGTGGCAGATATTATTGTCTTGTACCAGCAGGCTTTATTATTATTGGTAAAGACCTGCATTCTGCGAAGCTATGCCGCACTCGAATCTTATACAGAAGAATACAGAACACTATTGGCTACGGTGGAACAAATCTTGGGCAAGTACCCAGAGCGCCCTACCATCACTCTTCATATGGACATTATCCCCCCTATCAACATCATACTCTCAGGGTGTCGTGATAGTACTATTTGTTGTCGAGCAGTCTCAATATTGCAGTCTTGGCCACACATCGAAGGACCCTTTAATTCAAATTGGTTTACCCCATTGAAGCCTGAGTCTATAAACTCTGATTTGCAGATCCCAGTGAATTATACAGCGGGGTCACATCCAACCGAGTCAGGGAGGTTGTGGAGGAGATACCTCTCATATCTATCATCTCTGTCAGCCATATATCCTCCCGACTCGTTCATTCCATAAGCTCTCCTGGACAGTTTATATTACTGCAAAGTAAATTCCCAGCGAAGTCTCAACGTCCCCACTGTCGACGAGCTAATCATCGTGTGCACAGAGAGCCACTTCTCTGCAGCACCATGCTTAGACTGCCGCATTCCACAGTCCCGCTGGTTGTGCTGTCAATTTATAATCCTCGGCGACGCTCTAGGACATCATGATTTGTTCTGGCCGGGAATAATGGACGAGGAATCGAGCAGTGGTGGACCCTGAACTGCAGTATCTTCCTCTTCTTGGGTGGGTCTCGCGCCACACAGGTTCGCCTGGAGCATGGCAATCGGCAAGTTGATATATCTAGCTTATACTGCGTCGACCATTGGCGATCATCAGGTCATGGCCATCTCAACCTCGCTTCTATAAGGCCGGTATCTGTATCGTTTATAAAAAGCCCTAGCTCGGACTAGCTAGATCGGAGGAAACATGATGGAAACAAACAACTCCCCCCATGATGGTGCAGATAGATGGTTGTCCTCATGACACCCCCATGAGATTCTTGAGAAATATCTCCGCCTACCTATTGTGGCCACGCCTTTCCATGGGGTCCTTTCATTGTAGTATATATCAGCCGGCGAAGTGGGGCCATACTGCGGCATGTGGGTACACCAATCTAATTTGGGCACCGTGGTGAACTCAGCTAATCAAGACAGACAACGAAGCATAACCATGGCCTAAGCCGGTACCATATTGGGCACTTATTGGATATGACTCCTCTCAGTGCTAGACGAATTTGAACCACTTCGTAAATACTCCTTGGCAATCTTCAGGTTTCAGTAGTAACAAGCAGATAAGAACCGCTTCTCATGGTCCTTCGCAAGGCATATGATCCCTCAGAAGAGTATTGCAAGCCATCTTTTCCCAGGTTGTGGATTCTATGCTTAGCCGGCTATAGCATAGGCTATACATCACCCTCACTTAGCCTAAGGCTGCGAATAGCCACTCTTAGGCTCGGCTGTTTTGTAGCGCAGATTACACATTGCACCTCGGTTGTTGTAAGGGAGCGTGACAATCCTGAAGATCTCCCTGGTGTTGGAAGGAAAATCCACTAGCTTCTCCACGTTAACCCTGCCTACCTCAAGGGGGACGGCTACAAGAATTATGATCAACATGATTTAGCGCTTTGGGCTGGTAATATCTGGAATACTTTAACAGACTGCAATGTGAAAGCTGCATTACAGTACTCTTTTGTCTTGTTGCTATGCTTTGCTATAGTTGTTATTTTGCGTCCATGTTGGTGCTACCCATCGCTGTTTCACCGACGATATACGGTTCATACTTGTATGATAGTAGATCTCTCGTCATTTGCATTTAGCGCCTCGGAGTGTGAGAGAAACTAAGATTGTCGATCTTGACTGCAGCAAAGTTACAGGTTCAACTTTAGAATTTGGCTGGTTGGTTGTAGGTTGGCCGTTAGCAGGAGATTTCCTTTGGGATTTTCCCTCCCGAATGGGACCGGGACAGGAACGGGACCAATTTCAGGAAATTTATGGGAGCTAGGGATTTAGGGAATGGGACGGGAAACGGGACCACGGACTTATAGATGGGAAGGGAATAGGAATATCCCGATTCTTGGAAAAATCCAGTGGGAATTTCCTTATTTTGATCGTGTGATAATTAAATGACTTCTTTATATTACTTTACATAGTAAATTCGGAACGGCAGGACCATCAATGGTCTCAGAGGTAAGCGATCGTTTGGAGTTGCCCAGAATTCCACGATTACACTCCTATCTAATTTTGCTTCATTTATTTATCGTTTTTTGGTTCATCCATTCACTCACTGTTTGATCCCTTTTTTTTTTTTTTTTGCCTCATTTGTTCGTTATTCCAGGCAGTACAATGCATAGTTGTGGTCTTAACAGTGACTGAAGCTCTGAGGCTGTCAGAAGGCTTCACAAGCGGCCCAAGCCAAGTACAGATCATTGAGCTTGAAACGCCTTGGTGAGCTGTCAGATTCTACTTGACCAGTTAGCGCCACGAATGGCACGAGGCTGTCGTCTGACATCCCCGAGGCTCAGCCGGACAAGCTACGCGAAGATAAACACATAAGCGCAGAGCTCCATCCAACGCTCCAGTTGTGACAAGTCATGGTTCTTAAGTCATGGAAACATTCATGAGCCGTCGACAAAGTCCTTCTCCTCACTCGCTTCATTGGGCAAGAGATTTTGCTACCCGCCAAGCAACTAGCTACCATGGCCAGGATAACCGCCTGAAAATCGCCGCCAATGGCTCGATTCTTGATGAATTTTTCAACAGTTGCAATGTGGACTTGTCACCCCCACAGCGTCACGAGCTCTTAAAGCGGTTCCTTAACAGTGCGGGGGCGCGGTCGTTTCCTGAAGCCGCCAAGTCTGGTCCGAGAGATAAGCGAGTCCTTGCGATAGTCGATGATCGATGTGATCCTTTCACGCAGTTTACGAATACCCCAGGAAGCACCGGCTTCCTCCCCGTGAGACAGTGGGAGTCAGAGGAGTACATGCGTCGCCCACCAGAGGGACTGCATGTTCGGATCGCAGGTGGGGATGCGGATATGTTGTTCTACCATCTCAATAAGGACGTAAGGCTGAGCATGCTTATCATTGTTGGCAAGAATGATACTGACAGATGTGGCCAGCGAAAAGGCGTCGCAGAGCGACGAATTGTGTATGTCTGCCAATACATTTCCAGCGCACTGGACACTCTGTAACAATTAATTGATTTTGATAGATATCTGGCGGACCTGACACCACTGATGGGGCTGGCCTTGGTTTCGAATGTGTCCTATGTACAACTCCCACAAGTGCGATCATATCTGTCACGATATGTGGCATTTGACGCCTACATGGGAGTCTCCCAGGTTGATATCTTCCCGACCGAGTCTGTACGACGAATAATACCTCTAACAAACAAAAATGCAACAGCAAAGGGGTTTCACACTGGAGTTCCACCTGCCGCACTATGTTCTTCGCCCTGATCGACCCGAGTTGCGCGACGGCCGCGGACTTCGAAAGAGTCGCTCTTTTCTACCACCATCATCCGGGTCCAACGACCGTATCTACGAAGCCCAGCTCTCGTTGGTAGTAATCGGTGTTGACGAGTTCTTCTGGATGGCATACTTCAGCGAAGATTCCTACTTCCGAAATAGCAACCAGATTTCGGAATACCTCCAGGATAAAACCGATGGGCCATCATTTGGCCTGCGGCTGTGTAAATTTCCCATATGGGATCCAAGATACTATTTTCTTTCAATTCTTTCTATCCGAATGGGCCAGGTAACAATGGAATGGAGGGTGTTGGTGGAAACGATAGAAGGACGTCTCGATCGGCATGTACGGATCTTTCGCCCTCCATCCATGATAGTGGCGTGTATTTGTTGGGCTAAAGCTCGCCAGGGCGAAATAGACGAGGATAACCTGGATGAGTTCCTCGAGGACGACCCGTCCCTGCAGAAAACCAAAGAATTTACGTGGATCCTGTGTACTTTACGGCGCCTGCGAAACTCCCTGGCAAGGCTGATCGCCTCCTGGGCAGCGTTTGACCGAAATAATAGTGTATACTTTGATTTAGACTCGGACGGAGCACTGGCAGCCAAGTTCCGGGAATGTTTCTTTTCAGTCCGACAATCTACAGCAGAGCTCAATACTCTCCAGATGGTCCTGGAACAGCGGATTGAAACAATGGAGAAGATGGCCAGTGTTGTATGCCCCCTTCATCCCGATTCTATTTTACATCTACCTATATGTCTGTGGAATGTCCACTGATCGTGACGTCCAGTTGGTAAATGCCTCATCGTTGGCGGAGAGCATCACGGCCACTCGGCAAGGAGATAATATCCGGCTATTAACGTATATCACAATCGTGAGTTTCAAAAAGAAAAAAAAAAAAAAAGGGGAGAAGCTGCTTGTACCCTCTCTAATATAATGGATTTAGCTATACCTACCTGTGACACTTGTGACGGTGAGTGCTACGACACTAGACCTTGACGAGTGGGAAAAGAGAACAAAATAAAGAAAATAAATGAAATTCAAGAAGGATGCGGCTGACATCAGTCATACAGAGTGCCTTCAGCATGAACCAGGTCAGCAATGACATCGCCTGGTGGAAGTACTGGGTTTCTCTGTTCTGCCTGACAAGCGCTACAGTGGCTGTAGCGGTTGGACTACATCTCATGGTACATCAGATGAGGAATTCGAACATTCGCAGCATGCTGGGATATACCAGATGAGATTAAATATGTTATATCGACGTCTCTTCAAGAAAAGGATCTACCCTATCATTGAAACTTCTACTCTCTTCCGATTATTTGGTATAAAAACACCCCGAGCATGCTGTATGATTGCAAACGACGCACGTTGGTTGAAAATTGTACATTTTCGGGCCATCATTACATTGGCACTATGTCGGTGTTAGATAGTGAACATCCTAAGAACAGTCGGCCCATCCAGTGCTATCGAGCAAGGTAGATGTAGGCATCTAGCAGTATTACGAGACAGCTGACAGGAATGCAACAAAAGGCAAGAAGGTGACATAGACAAGACCGAAGAGGGACGAAGAGATACGGTATTGGCCATAGGTGAATAGGTCAAACTCACACAAATGTACATGTACGTATAATTACGTACTCCAGCCTCTTGGATGGGACACTGACACTCGGCGCATTTTGAATGTCTGCATCGGTTGCAGACTGTCACATTGGACTTGTTGTATGCCTTGCAGGTTTTGATGCACTGGAGTTTATTCCTCGAAATATTGTAAGCAAGGGAATGCATATTTGGAGGGATACTAGGTTGTATACTGGATTTCATGTAGGGTGAGACGATAGAGAAGGCTAAAGAAAGCGCAGCAGAATAGGTAGAGAAGGGACCTGAAATAAGAGACACGTACACAGAACCAGTCGTTTCCTAGCTGCCTTGTGCCGGGGAGATCGTCGTCACCATTCCAAAAGCTGGGTGTATATCCCCAGGGGGAATCGGGGATGTCGAATGACTCTATAGATGGGTTTTTCATCTTTCTTTCCTTCTCTCCTGCCGGGATTGTGGCGAAAAAGAATAGATCTATGTATGTATATGAGGGGTATTATTCCGCTGAGGTCGAGCGGTATTGTGTGGGACACTCGCAGAATTCTCAGGGACGAAAACTAATGCGTGACTAACTAATTCTTATTGCACAGCTTCGTGACGCTGACTGGATGTGCGCCAACGATCCAACGTGCCTTGTGCTAACGGGCGAAATTTACCCCGCTTTTGATTAGGCTGTCGAAATTATGCTTTCGAAGGAAGCCCGCTGGCTCCAGCCCCGACACATTAGGTCTTATCTTCATCTCTTTTCCACAACCTTCCTCAACTGCTACCCTGACCACATGAACATGCCTTCTATTCCAGGGCTACAAACCCAGCGTTTCTCTACAGTCCCAGTCACCAAGTTCGGAACCGGCGCCGCCAGCCACAACCCCCTGACCGTGCCCTGTCCCGTCCCGCTAGGCTTCTGTAAGGTGACAGACTAATATGCTCACCCTGGCTGGGACGACTGCCATAACCTGGATCGTCAACATCCATTCCACATCCACAGCACACAGAATATCTCTATTCCCTCCTCAGTTCCTACCTACCACTTGCCGTCCCTAGAAAAATGAGTTCCGCTACTTTCACATAACGCCTTCACACCATGGAACCCCTCGTATACCAAATCATCCCCGCCGCACAGCTCCTTAAATCCTCCCCGATACCAACCCCTGTCTCCACCGTCAAAGGTCCTCTCTTTCCAAGGCACTTCATGCCGGCCCCTCTCTGAATATGCTGTGGAATTGGAACGAGACATACAGCAGTACCCTTTTCCTGCACGGCCACCAGCTGAGGCGTGTGTGCACAGCAGTGCCCGACCAGGCACTTCACTGAGCTTCTACCAACGACATAATGAAGAACCAGCGTCAGTGTCCGGAAATTTGCTTGAGGATAACCCCACCTATATTGCAGCCGCTTCGCGAGCACAAACACTAAGCAGCTCGTCAATTCGAGGTGCAGATTCTCTGGTTGACTTTGGAAATATCGTGGATGGTTCCATTGGATTACCGCCGTCTATCCAGGTTACTGTAGAGAGTCCTTCTCTTTCAGATAGTGTGCGAAGCCTGGAAGAGCTACCGCCAATTCTAGACAGACCAAGGGCCATTCCTATCGATCCAATCATCTCAGTGATGAGGACCTGTTAAAAGCTTTCCAGATCCACCAAGGTGTCCATATGAGAGAGAGATAGCACTGGGACCATTTATCAAGAGCCAGATTGTCCGTATCCTGAATCTCCCCTTATTCTACAAAACAAACCAAATCATCATCACTTGGTTCCCGTTGAATCAATCAGCCAGGATAGGTCGCCTTATACAGCCAACCGCTCTTATTACTGTGGATACGATTTGCACCTCATGAACAACAGTCGTGAAACCGACGCGATGTGTCCTGAAGACCAACGGCACCACAGTCACATTGACACCAGCGACCAGCCTAGATCCCGCAAGGGGCCGTCGAATGGAACAAAGAAATCCGAAAGACAGCCTTCCAAACGACTAAGGCTTGCCGCTGTACCTCCGCCCACCGAAATTTCTTTTACCACCGTTAAAATGTGCGCCGACGACGAAGGTCTTTGCGTCAGACCTCTACTTCATACGATCCGCCGAGCTCTGGGCAAGATACAACTTGGAATCTCGAGGCGCGAACGCCTCCAGGCTCAATCGATCCTCTGGGGCACGCCGTCATGGTACAGCGTCGTTTCGGGATCATGCGCCAGTATGATTCGGCAGAGTCTGCATCTCCAGGCAGCTTGCACGGAAGGCCAACTGAGGCGATCTCGACACGATCACTATGATTCAGGGGAAAGGGGGTGGAAGAACACTATAACAGCTACGCGCACGTAGCCTACTAAGGACTGTGTTATTCCTCAGGGAACCCCGCAGAGTGCTGTCAGAATGAGCTAGTCCTGATTGGGACATCATATGAAATATACATATACACAATACCCCTTAAAGAAGGGTTGGGTAGAATATCCTTCTGAATACAATCAATTCAGACCTCCCACTATATCTGACAAGTGGCCAGGCGCTAGACTCTCGGGGCTCGGGTACATACATTTTCATATCACCAACAATGGCATGGGTTTGTAATCGACAATCATCGTAAAGAGTAGAGAGTACGGTATATAGTCTCTCGACTAGGTCTTCCTCGAGATCCCGACCGTGCGCTTTAAAGCACCACTCTCCTCACTGTCCAGGAAATCCCCATGAAGTCAGCATAGTGCGATATGACACGTTGCAAGCAATACGCTGGTGGAAGCTGTCACCAACATACAAAGAAACAATCGTGACGGCACTTGGCCCTCCATGATCTCATTTTTGCCCCCAGCAAACATGTTTTTCATATTATATGCAGGTAGATATCCTGGACACTCTCCGAAAGAGGAAGTAAACCGACAGTGGCATCCCCTCTCTGGCCAAGAAGACAGCAGGAATATTTCTGCAGTCATCCTGCAAGCAACCCCTGCGAATCACACGTCAGTATTGATCAAGCCTATAAAGATGCCCCTCCCCATCCCGACATAACAACCAGAGTCAGCTCTAAACGGGGTCACAGGTCACAGCCATCATGCGGTTTCTGTGCTTACATGGGATGGGGGATAATGCGCAGGTGGCTCGAGTGTTGCAGCCCCCTCCTCTCGAGACCAACTAGCACACGTCGACAGGTCTTGGAAACTCAGACAATTAGGTAAGATCTATTCTACATCCCATACAAGCGACCACGACATTGGCTGGGTCCTCAGCTTAGGTACGAGTGGGTGTACGGGTCAATATCAACAGCCATGGGCCCCTGGTAAGTCCACAGAAATCATGGACCAATCCATCTCTTGGATCATCACCATCCCCTTGCTCTTCCTCCCCCGCGCTCTGATCCGGGGTGATCGACGTATCATGGAGGCGGCCACGGATGGCAAGGTCATCGACGTGCCGACAGTTCATATCTGGGGGCGAAACAATCAGCGCTATGGCTATAGACCGCAGCTGAGCGCGCTGTGTTGTCGCCGTCTGTGAGAGGTCTACGTCCATGTGGGACATGAGATCCCCGGGCCGCACGATCTGGACGCGGTGGTGCGGGCAGTTCAAGCGATCAAGCGGACGTTGGTCAGGGCTACAGAATAAGAGGACGGTATAGAGAGGAAGATAAAACGATGCTATGGTAACTCCAACTATATAATATGATGGCATAGATATAATTCACATAGTAGGTCCGTAACTGATGAAAACTACATCAAACGTGTATATCCGACATGGCTCCCGACGGGTTCGAGCCGCGACTCGACACGGAGACAAGCGGATACCGATCCGACTCACCCTTACCCGGACCGCCATTCGGATAGCTCGTTTTCGAGGCAGTTTTGGAGTGCTGCGAGCGATGCCGGGTGCCCCCGGAGAGCGAGTCCTGCAGAGAGCTGCCCAGACACGTCAGACGCTGCTCCGGATCGAAACTCTTGAAGAACCTGGGCATGACCGGCAAACAGGCAACCATGATGCCCATGGACAGCTCGGGGATGGTCCACAGACCTGCTAGGAAGCTGTAGTAGGAGACGTTGTCGGTATGGTACAGAACGACGGTGTAGGCAAGACGGACGATGGAGGCGGCACATGCCCTGACTTAGTTAGAAGAATAATACAAAGAAAAAGAAAATGAAGCAAAGAGGTACATTGCTCCCACTAGAAAAATAGCCGACACGGCGATCTTCCGGCCCAGCGGCATGTGGAGCGACCATATACGCAACTGTGGCAGCACGAGAATGACAATGTCCGAGGCCGAGTTAATGGAGCCGGCGACGACGTCCTGCAGTATTATATTCAGACAGCTGCCCGATAACCAGGGCTTCCAGAACTTCTCGCGCGGTCGGCAGGGGAACAGCTCAAGAAAGAAGCCAATTAAGTAGAAAATAAAGTTAACCGCGATCAGGAAATGGCATGTCCAGTAGAACCGGCCGCTGCGCACCGGCGCGAACACCTCGACAAACTGCAGCAAAATGGCCAGTTTAATGAAGAAGATATTCCAGCCATACATAACGGAACCGACGTGAAAGTACTACCCAAAAATAAGCAAAGGTCTTCACCAAAGAGCGAGGGGAGAGAGAGAGATACAAGCAGCATGGACGAAAAGTCCTTCATTCGCAGGTTCCACTGATCCACTCCAGGCGCCACTTGCAGCAACAACCAGGAAGGGACGAAATACCCCATGAAAATAGCCTGCAAGGTCAGTCGGGGAGACGGAGGGGGATATTCGATTTGGCATACCCAGGCGACGAGGATGGAATCTGAGGGCATTAGCGACATCAGTCCGGCCTTGGGACAAGAGAGCCACTTACAGTCTGACAGATCCACCTGGCGAATGATCCGGATCTTGGTGTACATCCGCACGAGGAGCACAACCGAACAGAGGATCCAAAAAGTCAGAATGACGGCGCGTCCGGTCGCCTCCAGTTTGGGCGGATCGACGAAGTTGGACCTCACTCCAGGTGGAGTAGCAGCCGCGGGGAGTTGCAACAATTGTTCCATGGCGTGGAAGTGGATGGATGTTCTGAGTCTCTGGGATAGGAGTGAGAACGATCATGATATTATATAGAGCAGGAGATGGGAGAGCTTTTGTAGAGAATTAAATTAATATACGTACTGTACATTGTCAGTGACATCTTAAATAGGGGCGAAAATACCAGGACGGTCCAATAGTTAGAGTCGGAGGGTTAATCCATTGCTTCTTGAGGATTATCAGACTCAACCGTCTATGAATTCTGTCTTGTCATCCCACTTGTTTTCCTCTTTATCTTTGGTTTATCATTTGTCGAACCTTCTGTCTAGACCTCAATTCAAACTATACGGTAATTTTCTCTGTTGACATCATTCAATCATGGAGAAATCTCCCCAGATTGTAAAGGATGTCGGCGAAAAGTACATCGGTGGACTGCGCCTCCATCTGGTCATAGTGGCCATCGCCTCAAGGGTTTTGTACAACTGCTACCGGGGACTGAGCGCACACGAGAAGTTGCCATGATATTGCTCGAGAGATTAGGCGGTACCAATTAACTATTTGTGGATGGAGACCTGGGATCAATTGCGTCTGATGCCCCGCATTGCCATTCGGGGGCCGCCTTCCTTTTGCTAGAATAAACTAGTTCTGATTGGCACATCGTGTGAAATATATATACTAAAATACCCCCGTAGACGCTAGGGGGTGGGCAGAACTTCCTTCTGAATACAATCAACTCAGGCCTCGCAAGACGAATCTCATTATATCCAACACATTTTCACCGTGATATAGACCCGAGCGCCTAGCGCCTCAGCACCCTGCGAGGTATTTTCCACTGAGTACCTGCCCCTATTCATTGATAGAGAGTGCGTTCATCAGATAGTATTGAAGGCAATATAGATACTATCAAACACAGCCCTTAGCTACGCGCGCGTAGCTGTTATAGTGTTCTTCCACCCTCTTTCCCCTGAAGTATAGTGATCGTGTCGAGGTCGCTTCACGCGGAGCAGGCCAGGATACGTACCGTGCAGAGATCGGGATTCAGGACCCAGACGAGTTTCAGTCCGTCTCATAGTCCCATGGGAATTGCATTTTGATTCCCACCCCGTGCCAAGACTTTCGGGAAGGGATTCCGATTTCCAGATGGGATATTCCCTTTCCCCAATAGGTATTTCAAAAAAGTTGTCCAGATTTTACGGGAAGGGAATCCCACCGATTTCCCATGGGAAAATCCCTTCCCAACGGTCAGCCTACATTCTCTAAGGTCACATATAGCCAGTCTGGTACCGAGTTTGGTTGAAACCAGGTTGTTTGAAGAGATTAATCTTTAAAAATAACCAACGGCCGAAGATACCGGCCAAGTGGATTAATGGTCTTAATAATTGACACCCACTCTTTATTTTCCGGCCCTTGAATAAGTGTATACTTTTTTCCACTCTCTGCAATTATTGTAGAATTTGTACCAATCCCAAAACCAATTCCATGCTTATCCATATTCCATATGGATTCCGGCTGTATGCAATATTTGGTGGTTATCTCTTGGAAAAGCATATAAAAAGGACGGATTGGTTCTGGTCTGGTTCCCTGTACGCGGCTTGATGGTATCCTTCCGCCTATACAGCTTTGAACGCGTGGATTCTGTCTTTTAACGCTAGAGAACCAGTCTTTTCCCAACGGTGCAGTGTCGCCATTAATGCGGAGGATTCGAAGGGCGATTTCACGCGTACAGGTGATGCTAGGAGGAAATCCTTGTTTATCCTGACTTATAATCCAATCAGAAGAAAGCTCTCTTGAATTGGAGTTAAATACTGCGAAGCTTGATGAGCAATAGTCTTGTGAACTACACCCCTCATCCGGCCATGCAGAGTGGAGTGGGGTAGGTTATATAGCCTTGAAGCGGCCCGTAGAGATGAGATTCTTTCGATCTGAAATCTTCGATAGCTGCTTGAATAGTTCTCTCGCGATCGTCCGTATTAAGGCGTGTTTGGTGGTGTGGTAGGTGGTTGTTTTGAAAAAGTGGGATGCAACGCGGTGTTCGCAATCTCCGGGTGATCAGGATGTAGGTGGCCGAACTTACACGTGCAAGAGTTGTAACTTGAGTCACGGTATCTTTTGGCCCGAGCAGTATTTTAATATTATTTTACTCTTAGTCTTAATCTTCAGCTATTCCGCTAACCCGCAATTCCGCATGACCTCTTGCCTTAGGCTAACTTTCAAGGTCCAATGTAAGGATCTCAGTAGTTAGGAACTAGGGCCGCATAGGCACGGCTTATTCCTGCCAACTCAGAGAGTTAATATATCACATGGAGTAAACAGATCTACAGTACATACTAAATTTGCAAACCCTCACTCTTGGTTAATTTTGCTACAATAAGCAGTACAATATTTTAGCGATATAATCGGGAGTGGTAGTGATAATCGCATTGATATTTGGGATAGCAGTAATTGCCAGTCTGTGACTGTGCTGGAATCTATGGTATGGCGAAGTCGAGCTTAATAACCAAAAACATAATACCTTGAGAGTAATTTTGATTCACGAGAATCAGGGTGGACCAAAGGGTGTAGGATATACGCCAACCTATAATGATGCACTGCACCGGAAGCACCGAGAGCCAAACGTTTCAATAGTCTATAGAGCTGAAGTCCACTCCAGCACAGATATTCTGCCTTGGACATGGGGTATCTGGCGTGCGACGACCTTTGGGAGAAATAGAAGCTAAGTGCTTCTCTACGCCATGCGTGCATTTCCTATACTGTCGCAGCCACCTGCATGTGTGCAAATTTAGAAGCCTGGCATTCAACATAGCGATGATGACGACTCTGCCAGTGGCGGAAGCAGAGTCACATCTAATTGTCTTTCCTTCGTGAGCCTACTATTGGTATCAGGTGGGAGTACTAAACTGAAGGATAAGGGGCTTTGGTCATCTCAGGCACAATGACGGGGAGATAAAATGATCTCTTGCTCCTTCCCAGATGGACTGCACTCTCCTTTCCCGCACCTTTTCTTTCCCAGACCTCCTACCAAAATCCCTTTTCTTCGCAACAATAACAATATTTCGATCCGGATGCAACCCAAGGTGTCGTATATCTCTCGCTGATAATACACTAGCCCTGCGTGCTGTCACTATACCGATTCTGTCGAGGCCGAGAAAAATCCAGACTCTCTGCTCTGGCCAAGTTGTGTTTAGGAGATAGTTGACCCTCCTTGTGGAAGAAATTATCCCCTGGAGCGTTGTCAATCAGAGTCCGAGCCCTCAATGTTAAGTTCCAGGTTGTTGTTAGAATCATTATCATATCCCTTGTCCGAAAATATCTCACTTACGGCGGTGCTGGCATCGCTTTCCTGACCAGCGGGGATAGAGGCACCATGGTCGAGAAAGTGCCACAGGAGACTTGACAACGTCATATTCTGCCACTTTCGAAGTGATGCATGCGATTATCTGGAAGTTTCTCGAAGAACCTCAGTGGCAAGATGAGATCATTAAAATTTACCAGTCATCCCAGGCCTTCCTACTGAAGAGAGATTAGAAAATATAAGAGATGGATTGGCAGGATATTTCTGTACAGTAGCTACCGAAGCCCTCTGCCTCAAATGCTGGGATATGAGATAGCTATTCCCAGGAGAAGCTTGGAAACTACGTCCTATCTGCAATATTTAACGCAGTTAATCTCTTTGCAACTTGCTGGGTTTTGCGGTGGTCGGGTCCTAGCGCCTTCTCATAGCCTGCCAGAGCCCGTTCGTACATCCGCTCTGCCTCCTTCAGCTTGCCCTGGTCTTTGTAGAGAATCCAGGTTGTGACTGTGCTCAGGGTGGATGTGTGGTCGGGCCCCAGCGCCTTCTCTTTGCCTGCTAGAGCTAGCTGGTACATCTGCTCTGCGGCTATAAGTCGGACCTGTTTTCGAAGTAGGTCTGCAATGCTAAGAGCTTTATCGAGTTGATTAGGCGCAATGTTATATAGGAGGTTATCTTGCTGGAAGGATTGCTGCACAAGCCATGTCGCATGAGCAGCTAAGCGAGAGTAAGAGAGGTGTTCAAAAGAATCCCTGCTATTACAAATAGTAGATTCAGCCACACACTCAAAGGCATACCAATAGTGCTGTGAATCGAGATTATTATTAAGTATTGCTAGTGTCCAGTCATGCACGCAGGCATGCATACTCCATGATTGCTGTACCAACTGAGTTTCTAAAAAGCAGTAATCTGTCAGTTTTCCCATTATTCCCTTGAAGCTAATATCGTCTGCCATCACTTCATGCAGCCATTTTGGAGAGTCTCTAGTAAGTCCAGCTCGTAGAAGCTCATACCAAAGGCTCTGGTTACTGAAATAGGCCAGTAATTTTAGTAACCTGGCGGCGTCCGGATCATTCTTTTCGAGATCAGCGTAGGAGAGATCCCAGGTTGTGTATAGCGTGCGATCTTGATACTCCGGGAGCTGGGGCAGCCGGCGTGAGTCAATTTTCCATTGTTTCTCGTACTCTTGAAGATAACCTTTAAAAGTGAAAGAACGTCGCTGAACATATGCCCCAGCGGTGGCTAAAGCTAGCGGAAGGCCATCCAGTCGCGTCGCCAGCTTCTTGGCGTAAGGGTCTAACGATTATTAGTGAATAGCTGTTATTATCGTTGTTAACCTCATACCATATTTAGCATTTTCTTGTTTGGACCGGGTTTGTAGGATCGCAAGGCTCTCTTCAACGTTCTGGAGAGGCTGAATCCGGATATCAATCCCGGCGACGAGATCTGGCCGTCGTGTGGTGATCACAAGAGCCCCATGGGAGCCAGGAGGATAATAATTTTCAATTTTAAACAGGTTGGGGTTGTCAAAGTTATCGAAGATTAATAACCACCGTGTGTTCTTTGTGTCAGATAACCATTGGTGGACATGAATCAAAGCTTGCCTACCCTCCAGAACATCGGGACCTTGTACATCAAATACCAGCTCAGCTATCGATCGAAAACTGTTATTAAGTGTGGCCTCCGATGATGCATTTAGCCAGAAGATCGAATCGTACATATTATGATGGCGTTCCGCGTAAATAATGGCAAGCTGTGTCTTGCCGATACCACCGACACCACCAAGGACTAGCCGTCGTTGACCTCGGGAACTGTCACCTGGTTTCAACACTTCTTTCATCTCATTTAGTTCAGAATTTCGCCCGATGAAGAGTTCTGGATCAATACGAGGCGCCTGGCCGAGGCAAACTCCAAAGGGTTTATGAAAGCTAAAGTCTTCTTTCTGCTTGACAACTATCGGTAACAGTCAGCATAATGTATCTCATAGATGTGGGAATAGGGGCTATGGAATAGTAGCGGTTGATAAAACGACGACTAGTATTGTGTGTTAATGAGACTTACCGGGCACGTGGTAGTGGTTTGTGGTGAATGATCCACGGTTGACCCCCAGCTGCACCCCATAGTTGTTGTCGCCGCTGAAATTTCCCTGAGACGCCATAATACAGGATGTGAGTAACGGCTGAGAACCTATCGAGCCCTCAGATAATTATATGGACATCAGCTCGACTTAGCCCCTTAGGTGATTTACCAAGCACGTTCCCCGCCCCGGAGACATTCCTAAAAAGTCCGGCTGCAGATGAGTTGTCAAGAAGATTGGCTGCGGTACTGCCCAAAGAGCAAGGATGGATGGCTGGTTTGAAGTGTTCTAACCAGTCGGATGACTGGGAGCCTGAAGATCTGGATGGAGATCCGAATCCGACCGGCCATTCAAGCGGCCTCCAAAGGTATAAAGGTATCTTTGCGGAAAAAGAAATATCTAAAGGCCTCGCGAAAAGCTGGACAGTGGCTAGCCAACCAACAGGTTGGCTTAGAATTCTGGTAAGGGTCTTGTTATCGTAGGCTTCATGTGCAAACAGTTTCATGCCAGCAGTAGAGATAAGAGGGAATTTGAGGAGCAAAACTGTCTTGTTTCTAACAGTATTGTGATATCAAGAGAACCGACATACCACAAGACAAATTTTGTCCAATCATGAGCCTGCTCAAATTGCCCTAGAACCCTGTGGATTATGGATGTGAGAAGAGAGGCATTGTCGTGAAAACTTTCAGATCGGCTGATCGCAGAGCGTATAAGAGAAAACTGCGAAATATTTATATTGGTTTTTCATGTCCTAAGGCAAACCACTGTTGTTAAAATAAGAAACGGACGAAAATCAAACCTAGACTTGTCGGAAATCCACCTATCCAAATGTGAAGATTGTTTTATTTCTATTCGAGAATGTACGGGGGAAGTTGTCAAGGTGGGATGAAGGAGGGGTAATCGGCTATCTGTTCCTGCAAGGCTGCCTAACTCTGGCATCCAATTGCCTAGTGGACATCATAGGCATAATCGATTAGTGAATATATCTGTAGCACACCTACACACACCGCAACGAAACTTCGCGGACCAACGCAACTTTTAAGTTGTTCAGCTGTTTTTCATTACCACCAGCGGCAATATATCGAAGTGGAAAAGTGTATTATTAAGGCCTGCGAAGCACTCAGATGCTTAAAAAAAAAACCAACATCGCAACTACTGCGCGTGCGTTTCAAGTGCCAGTCACGCGGCTTCGGGCAGGTTTCAACGGCCGCGACTCTCGATCAGCTCGTACGATCACTACTAAGCGATTAAATCAATCGCAAGAAGATGACTTCAGTGGATTTGGCAGCTTAATTCAGTTAATCTTTCTCCCACTGCAAGCACAATTACTCAACGTGCGAATGCGATAATCGCCCGAACACAAGCCAAATCAACTCCCGCCACCACCAGTTAATAAAACATGGGCTTATCGCTTTATACAACACCTCCCTCCTGATTTAACACTTGTTAAGCAAAAGCTAATTAAGTGTAAGCGAATAGAGGCCAAGGATATTGGAATTCTCTCAATCTGGTTTGAAAACTTCAGCCATTTATTGAGAGACTACCACCAAAAAATATCTATAATTTTGACGAAACTGGCCTTCAAATCGGTCAAGGAAAAGCTGAGAAACTCGTCGTTACTAGCTCGGTATCTTGTAAAAAAGCATCAAAGATAGCTACAGGTGACGCAGGGCAAACAATTACTACTATTAAGTATATCTTGGCGGCCGGCGAAGTACTTCCCATATATTTTATTATTAAAAGGGAGCACCACCTAGAGAGGTGGTACTATGAACAGCTAACTATTCCTGATAATTATCGATTCGCGCTCACGCCAAGGGCTATACTAATAAGATTGCCCTTGGCTTCGGTTTTTTGATCTTCACACGAAGAAAAATATTATTAAAAACGAGGAGTGACTTCTACTTCTTAACAGCGATGGATCACATCTTACATATAAATTTCTACAATTTTGCGAGCAAAAAATATTATACCCTTTACTTTTGTCCCACATACTACTTATCTTACTTAGCCACTTAACAGCATGCTATTTCTCGAGTTTAAAACATATTTTCAAAATAAAAATAACCAGGTTGTTCAGTGGGGGGGATTAGTTAACAATTAACGTGGTTTTTTGGAGATATTGCAGAGGCCCGAGATAAAATGTTTAAATCTCGTACAATCAGACATTCCTTTGCAAATAGAGGCATTTATCCGTGGGACTCATTAAAAGTCGTCCAGCCACTTTCAAGACCTTAGGTGGCCTGATAGCGAGCGTAGTACAACTCTATTAAGCTCTAGTCTTACAGTATCTCCAGTTCTTACGCCTCGAAGCGCTCAAAATAGTGTTGAGAAAACCAGGAAGCTTCTTTAAGGCGAAATTAATGCTTAGCTTAGGCGCCGACTCGAGCAGCACTTTCGACGTGACCAGATCGCAGCTTTGCAGCTAGCTCACGCACAACAAGATCCCTTCGCAAATCTTATACCGGGTGAGTAGGATCCTACAGGTCTACAGCTTATTAACAATGCTATTTTTTTGTAGATAGTACAGGAGAAAATCCATAGGATAGCTAAATAAATTCGAAAGTTGCGTTGGGCTGCGAAGTTGTGTTGGGGTGCGGCCTATCCACAACGCTGAAAGTGGTATGGGTACGTGTGCAGTGTTTCTCTCGTTGATATATAAACGTACAAGAACCCCGCCTTGAGGTGTAAATTATATAGTGTTTTCTGCCTTTCGCAATTATTTGCTTTTTCCTTTCCCAGCCCAATCCAGTTCGTGAAAAATAACAACCTTCACAATGAGCAGTATCACCAGAGTCGTAAAGCCATTTTCCCTTCTTGGCCAAGAAGTAAATATACCCACACTGATTGATGAACTGGCCACGAGATACAACATCGATCCAAAAAGTATCGAGGACATCTATCCATGCACCCCCATGCAAGAGGGATTTTTGGCCCTGAGTGCTCGGCATAAAGGTAGCTACGTTCATAACATTATGATCGAGCTGGCAGACAATATTCGATTGGATGATTTTTGTTCGGCCTGGAAGCAACTAGTCCAAGCAACACCAATTCTACGGACCCGATTTGTGCATCACAAAACACTCGGTTTGCTGCAGATGCCACTGCGGGAAGAGATCCACTGGATACGAAAGGAGGGTAGGGTAGAGGAGATGGGCGCTGGAGAACTCCCCGTCGAGTTGGGTCAGCCGTTAACGCGCTATACGATCGTCAGTGACACGAGTAGGAATCGGCATTGGTTTATATGGACTCTCCATCATTCTGTGAACGATGGAGGGTCACGATGGCTGATATCTGCCATGCTCAGCGATCTCTATCATGGTCGCCCCGTGCATCAGCAGCTCAAGTTTAACACATTCGTCAAACATATCCGGGAACAGGATTGGGTCCAGGGAAGAAAATATTGGAGGGATTTGTTAGAGGGAGGTGAGCCGATGGTATTCCCATCTCCCCTTGGCGCTGCGCAGACATTGGATCAACGTGCCACGACTGAGTGGGAACATTCCGTGGTGTGGAATCGCAAGTGGAAGGTCGGGAGATCAACTTTAGTCTCTGCTGCATGGGCCCTGACCCTCCATCGATTTAACCAGTTCAAGGACATCGTTTTTGGGACTGTGATCTCGGGGCGGAGGTCCCATTTCCGAGAGATCCAGCACATCACCGGGCCTACTATTGCCACGGTCCCTATACGCTTTCAGATCCGCAATGAGGAATCGGTGGCGCAATATCTGGCTCAAGCACATGAGCAGGCCGTACAGAGAGTTCCGTACGAGCAGATGGGCATGCAGAATATTGCCCAAGTCAGTGAGGATGCTCATCAAGCGTGCGGATTTCATAACCTGCTGGTTGTGCAGGCCTGGGGGAATTCCTGGTATCCAGACGAGAGAATTGGAATATGCCATACGTCGCCAGTGGATCTTGCTCCAGTAGCGTACCAATTCGCTGTACAGTGCTTTCTGGGGCCTGACAGAGTCCGTCTTCATGCCAATTTTAGCACTCAATACTTCGACGTGCCCGAGGTTAATCGTATGTTGGACCATCTTGGCTTCACTTTGAACCAGATTATGGAAAGTAACCCAGATGATTTAATCGCGAGAATCAACTGCTTGCCTTCTAAAGACTTTGACCAGCTGTGGAAATGGAATGCTGCAGTGCCTACACCCGTCGACAAGTGTGTTGACCGACTCATTACAACACGCGCCTTGCAGCAAGCAGAAGCTATAGCCGTCAGTGCCTGGGACGGCATATTGACCTATGGAGACCTGGATCGCTGGTCGACGCAGTTGGCAAATTACCTGACTGGACTTGGAGTGCAAAATGGCACGGTTGTGCCCTTGTATTTCCGAAAGTCGCTGCAGATGCCCGTGGCGACACTGGGGGTGCTTAAGGCTGGCGGTACTGCTCTGCAGCTGTCTTATACAGTACCTATCGGTCGAATCAAGACTATCCTCAGCACAGTCAGCTCGAAGTTTGCTCTGGCCTCTCCGATTGAGAGAACCAAGCTTTGTGATAGCATAACAACTCACACAATCCCACCCTTGGACCCTAATGTGTCTGTATCATCCAAGTGGCAGGTCCCTCATCAGTCCTCACCTGAGCTCCCAGCATTCATTCTCTTCACTTCTGGAAGTACTGGAACCCCAAAGGGCATTGTATGGAGCCACCAAGCCCTGTCGAGCAATGTAAATGTGATCGCCTCCACTTTTGCTCTCGGTCCGCAAACTCGTATGTTCCAGTTTGCATCTTATGACTTTGATGTCAGTATTCTAGACACATATTCAACTCTGGTCAGGGGTGGCTGCCTGTACATTCCGGATGAGGAGGAGCGTGTAGGTAACCTTCCGAAGGCCATGGCAACATCCCAGGTCAATTGTGTCTTTCTCACCCCATCTGTGGCTGAAGGTCTGTCACCAAGCTCAGTTCCAAGTCTGCAGACCTTGGCTCTCTCTGGCGAGAATCTGCGCGCTGAAGTGGCGTCTCGATGGCTAGGGAAGGTACGGGTGTTGGCTAATTGGTACGGGCCTGCCGAAGCTCCCGCTGCGACGATATCCTTCATCGGCGAGGCTGACTGGGCTTCTGGCACAATTGGATCATCCTGGGGCGGTGTGTGTTGGGTGGTGGATCCAAACGACCCTGATGTCTTACTTCCCATCGGTGCTGTAGGTGAGCTCCTGGTAGAAGGACCAATTATCACTGATGGATATATCGGTGTGGAAGCATCCATTGCAGAGAAGTCGTTTGTGACACCCCGATGGCTACAACGAGGGCATTCGGATTATTGTTCGGGACAATCTCACAGGATGTATCGGACGGGCGACCTGGTGCGATATAATCCCAATGGGACGCTGATGTTTCTGGGGCGAAAAGACGGCCAGGTGAAGATTCGCGGACAGCGTGTCGAGATCGGGGAGATCGAACACCAAGTCCAACGCCTTCTAGGAGAGCGGGGATCTGGCATTTCTGTAATTGTTGATGTGATCACGCCGAAAAATAGTAGTGATTCCACTCTTGTCGTGTTCCTGGCTATGGGGGAGGAAGCCAATGGACAGGTCGAAGCTGTGCGCATAGCCCTCGAACGACGGACACGGGGGCTGAATGACAGCCTATATACCCAGCTGCCTCGGTATATGGTACCCAGCTACTACATCCCCGTATCGCAAATCCCCATGACAGCGACGGGTAAAACTAACCGTCGACGACTTCACGATATCGGCGAGCAATTGACTCTTGAGCAGCTAGCAGAGCTACAGCCTAGTCGCGGCATCAAGCGCATGGCCACGACGACCATGGAATACAAGCTGCAGAAACTGTGGGCATCGGCACTTAAGTTTGAGCCCAGTCAAATCAGCGCAAATGACAACTTCTTTTCACTGGGGGGCAACTCGATTGCTGCAATGCAGGTTGCTGCCCTGGCCCGGGATGAGGGAGTGAATCTTTCTGCTGCAGACATGTTTGAGCAACAAGACCTGGGCCATTTGGCGACTTTCCTGGAAGGGAAAATCGCAGTTCAACAATCTAAATTGCCTAATCAGCCTTTTTCCTTGGCCGCGTCGGATATTCTGTCTTCATTGGACATAGATGCAGTGGAGGATGTTCTTCCCGTCACAGGGCCGCAAGTCGTTAGCCTGACGCAGCGGAGTCTTCTCTGCTGTTCCTTCACTATTAATGGGGAAGTGGACATTGGCCGACTGAAGGCAGCTTGGAAATGGGTCGTCCAAAGGCACAGCATCCTGCGCACAGTGTTCATTGAGCATCAAGGACGATTCTACCAGGTAATACGCAAGTCTGTGGATGTTCCTTTTCTCCACATCCAGTCCGCTGAGTCTTTGGACACTGTCTGTGAAAGTATCTCCAACGTGGATATCCACGAACCACCTGTCTCAGGGAAACCCCTTGTCAAGCTTACCTTGGTTTCCCAAAACACCCGGAAACACGTCCTGATAGTGCGACTTTCCCACACGCAGTATGATGGGCATTGTCTCCCTATCTTATTCAAAGACCTGTCGTTGGCTTACAACGAAGATGTTTCGTCGGTGGCGCCTGCACCATATTTCTCGGACTATGTTTACTACTGCAACAACGTGTCTGGACAGTCGGCATTTGACTTCTGGCGAAGATACCTTCAGGGCTCATTCGTGACAGCTATGCCTCCTTCCAATTTGGCACTCACTGACAAGCCCGCTGAGGTCAGAGCATCATTTGCGGGAAAACACCCCCCCAGCCTGCCCAATATCACGTTCCCCACGTTGGTAAACGCGGCACTGTGTTTTATTCTGGCCGAACTGGTCACTAAAGACGACATCCTCTTTGGCATGATAATAAATACCCGTGACATCCCATTGACTGGCATCTGGGAAACCATGGGCCAGTGCACTAATATCATCCCGCTTCGGGCTCGACTGAGTCCACACATGACAGTTCAAGGGCTCTGTCACTCTCTGCAAGACCAGTTTGTTCAGGTATACCGGCACGCACTTGTTAATTGGCCAGATATTATCAGCAGTAGTACGAGCTGGCCTAAAAATACGCGAATCGGCTGCATGATCAATCATTTGACGAGTGGCAATGTTATTGACTCTACTCTCTCTCTTAATGGTGCAAGCGTTTCAAGCTCATCAATGTCTGCGCGGAAAGATCTGACCGACCAAGTGATTTTTCGTTCACTGATGATGGGTAACAGATGGGAAGTTCAGGTCCTGACTTCAACCACTGTTATGGATACGACGGGTGCAAGCTTGCTGGCAAAGAGGCTGTATGATGTTGTCAGTGTCTTTTCTCAGTCCCCACAAGGGTCAATTAAGATAGGGAGGTGGGCGGGAACAGAAAGTAACACGCAAAAACTGCCCATCACGGCAAAAATATGAGCTGTAGTATAAATAGCTTAAATACAATTCATGCAAGACAAACAATATTCTGCCTGAATATTTGACCTATTCGATATTCAAGTCTTGATAACCACGGCAAGCAACACATGCTGCAGATAGGAAAAGCTGAACATGCAGCTTTGTTGGTATGGCATGCCAAAAAATATCCCAAAAATCTTCCCCCCATGCACGAAGTCTCGGCTCAAGCGGTTCAAACGTCTTCTCTTGTGGAGGACCAGTCGGCTTCCCAAAGACTAATTGCGCCTGTAGACTCCACTCCTAAGGGACCTTCTACTGCTCACTGATGGGTGCATCCAACACGGGGCTGTAGTGTTGGGGATTGCTTCATAACCCTTTTACTTGAGTGTCCAGACTGGGTAGATATATTAGCATTACGTGGGACTCTCCCACCAATGCATACGATTTTACCGAAAATCGTCAGAATTACGACCCTTCTCAACAACCACAACCATGATTGATTTATTATTCGATGTTATTTCATGGCTAAGGCTACATAGAAAACTGATCTGCGAAGATTTGAAATTATCCGACCCAGGCGTTGCTGCGAATTAGTGCTAGGAAATGTTGTAGATCACAACCTCTACGGTCGACCGTCGTTCAACGAAACCGCTATCAGCACTGTTTTCATCAGGATCTTGGGTTAGGTCAATAGTTCAGATCCTAATTCTTGTTTCGAGGAGCCGCAGAACCAAGCAGCTGTCCGGGCCCAGCTTTGGGCAAGATACCTTTCACCTTGAAGAAGTTTGACAAATGCCTAATCCAAACGGTCCGCACTCTGGGCTGAAATTCTAACGCCCCGTCTTCCAAGCATCTCGGTCGACTAATAGAGAAGTAATTAGCGTTGGAGCCCGTTTGACGTATCAAGCACATACAATGCCGCGGGGCTCCCATCTTTCATACACTGCCAGTGACATCAAAAACGACTCGGCGGATAGCCCTTGGCTTTTCTGGGCCTTCCCCGCCGCATCGGCCACGGCGCTACTAAGGGTTGTGGTATTCATCTCTTTGAGAATATACATGCCCCAGAGCGGTTTGCAAGCCTATTTATACATACTGCTTCCCCTCGTACATGCAGCACAGATTTTAAATGCCCTCAGTTGTATTTTTCACTCCAGCGACGTGTGCTTACTAGATTGTGCTTCAAATTTCTGCCGATCGTAAGCAAATACTGCCTCAGCTCCGTGATGCTTGCGCAATATACGATGAACATAGCTAGAAACTAGGGGCAAAATTAATGGAAATACCAATAACGGCAGGATTTTCTAAGATGGTTGTCGTCTCACATCCTTAAAGTGGGGGGCCAATCAATCTCATGATATAGATCTACTCTATCTAAAAACAGGATGCTCAGCTCGGCAAATTCTCACGCTTGCAGACTCTGTAAATTACAAGGCTTAATTTTCCATGATGCCCAAGGACCTTCAGATATTCTGGCTGCTATTCTTAATAGGATGCTTAAAGGTGAAGCGTCTGCATAGCTTGTCTTTTAGCAAGTAGGCCCTAACAGGCTAATAGAATTTTGGTTGGTGATTGAGTCATAACCGTCTCTAGGAGGCTTGAAGGGAGCCTAATTCCAAAATTAAATATTTATGTTCACTTTAACCGAGCCACGTGAAGTGGCATTCTCTCTGGCAATTGGAAAAGAGCCTGATGCAATATATACACACTGTAGAGTACCGACAATTCTACTACAACTCCCATCCTTTTGCCTCTTTCATCCGCAAGAACCACTCCTTGACATATGGAAGCTGCACATGTGGCCCATAAGGCTCCAACTCCCATTGCGGACTCGGTACAGGAAGCCCGGTCTCCTTCAAACAAGACTTTCTCAATTCCTCCATAGTACCGCCTCTATCATACTCTAGAGTCTTTTCCGCCGGATCCCGCGCAGCCATCATATCCTTTCTCAAGGCTTCGGTCTCGGCTTCACACACGCTAAGATCATTAGGATCGACAACTACGCCGTAATTGTCGTAGGCACCCTTAATGGTCACTAATCGGCGACGGACTTCCAGTGCAACCTTCTCCGCGGGACGAGTCAATGGATCTCCGAGCCCACCACCTCCCCATGTCACCCACTCAAGAAGGTCATTTGGGTCAACGCGAATGTGGTCGCATTTCGAGGGAAGGACTTCCACTGGCGGGTTTTCTTGGGACTTAGAGTATCTATAGAGGACCTTCCGCGAACGCGAGCCTGGCTTTCCGCCGCGGATTCCCCACGGCTTCATGAACCAACGATCATCGTGCAGACTGAACTCTCCCCGACACAGGAATCGGTAGAGAGTGCGTTGTGCGTTGCCACCACGGTAGTATCCAGGTCCGCCACTGTCCGCGACACTCTCGTTGGCTTCGATGCGTAAGGGGTAGTTCAGTTCGATGCTCTCTGTTGGAATTGACTTAATAGCTGGGAAAAGACAATGGCAGTCAAGGCCGTCACCAGCATGCCGTGCGGGAACACCACCGAAGCCAATCTGGTACAACTGATACCATTCTCCGTCTGGTTTGTACCCGGAGTAGAAGAAATGGGGAGAGTCACTAAAGCCAGCGGCAGCTGCATATAACGGGCTCTTCTGGCCGATAAGCGCCTGCATTACGTCCATTGTTCTGCCGAGCATATGAGTACGGCAGGAAATAGGTGCTGGTCGGACAGGTTTCAGGACGCTGCCCTCGGGGATATAGATATCAATTAGGTCATGGAAGCCATCGTTGATCACCGTGCCTGGTGCAGCTGCTGCGATCATATAGTAGCCGATAAACATCTTAAACATAGTCTCCGATAGATAAAAATTGATGCTGTGCTCGCTCTGCGGAGAGGTTCCACTCCAGTCGAACAACAACCTCCCGTCAGTCTTCTTCATTGTGCAGGTCAAGGCCCAAGGGCCAATGCCGTGACCATCATCATCCACGAAATCAGTAAACGTGCATGGTTCGTCGTCAAAATCTGTGTCAATAATCCTGGCCATTCCTGTGCGATTACGCAGTAGCAGTTCAGAGCAAGCCGCAAGATAGACCTCGCATCCGAACCGCGTGACAAGCTCACAAATACGGCTGGCAGCAGTTCGGCAAGCAGTGATAATAGCCATCAAGTCAGACCTGTACCAGTCGGGCTGTCGCGAGTTACGACAGAGCAAATCGACGAGGTCGGTGTTCATGGTACCTCTAGCATAGAGTTTAATACACGGGATCTGGACGCCGTCGTCAAAAATGGATGACGCATTAATTGACATACTGCCCGGGACCATTCCTCCGACATCAGTCAAGTGCCCGAACTGCGATGCCCATCCAATCAGTCTGTGCTCATAGAAGATGGGCAACAGAACGATCACGTCGTTTAAGTGGGTCACAGCTCCTTCAATCATATAAGTGTCGTTGGTAATAAACACATCCCCTTCCTCGATCGTGCCTTTCCACACGCCCAGGAATTGGGTGATGAAACTGCCAAACTGGCCAACAAGCATTTTGCCATCGGCAGTGGTAATAACGTTAAATTCATCCTGCTGCTCACGAATCGCCGGAGACATGCTACAACGGAGCATGAGAGTGTCCATCTCGCTGCGAATAGAGGCCAAGGCAGACGCAACTAGCGTGGGAATCAGTGGTGTCGATTGCACTGTCTCCAAAGCCGCCTCAGCAGTCTGGTCTTTTGGTTGCTCTCTCGTTATGTTATCGGCTGGGCGTATAAGAATGTTTCCGATAGAATCGATTTCACCGTAGTATCCGGGAAGGATCAGGGTGTTGCTGTCCATTTCAGTAATGATGCAGGGGCCGTCCACACGTACACCCTGGTGGCTTATTTTCTCCCGATCCCATAGCGTAGCCACCATCGTCTCTCCTTCTATGACTATCTGTTTCTTTGAGACCATTGCATTGGCAGGTGGCTTATTTGAGTCGGCCTTGCTGAGCTGAGGAAGCTCAATGCTTGGCGAAGCGTCAACTGCAACGATCTCGAGGCGCATCAGCTCCAGCTCAAAATTTGGAAGACAGTATTTGAACTGCTGTTCATGCACATGGTCAAATTTTGCTTGCAGGAGCGCTCGCCAAGACTTATCTTCCAGCAACAGATCCTGTGCCTTCAGATCGATTGTTAAGTTCAATGCTTGGCCTCGATATCTAAGATCCACATGATAGCTGATGTTTAGCTGCATCGGCTGGTTTGCGTTTGAGTTTTGCATAGTTTCCCTGCATGCTTCCTCGAGCGTGCTAAATCGGCTTCTTACCTCCTGCGGCGTTGTGGAGGAGAGTAAGCAGATGAAAGACGATGACTGAGAGTGACTCAGCCTAGTGGTAGCATCACCCAGGGCGCACAGAGTGCCTGGAGATGGGGGAACAATAACTGGCCAAGCGTCGAGGAGCTTGCCCACGGCGTTAGCGTGCAGTGGGCCTGCTCCTCCAAAAGCAACAAGAGCGAAATCCTTCGGGTCATAGCCCTGTTCAACTGAGACTAGACGTAGCGCTCCGTACATGGTCTCGTTAACCAGATTAATAATGTCCTCGGCGGTTTGGGTAACCGACAGATTCATCTGTTTAGCGACATCTCCAACTGCGGCCATTGCAGCCTCCACGTCCAAAGTAAATTCGCCTCCCAGGAGATTCTCCGGTAGATATCCCAGAACAAGATTGGCGTCGGTGACCGTGGCTTCATTCCCTCCCATGCGATAGCATGCGGGTCCTGGACTCGCCCCTGCGCTCTCCGGCCCGACTCTCATAGTTTCAGTGATGTCCATGTATTTAGCAATAGAGCCGCCTCCTGCTCCCACAGTCCGGATGTCCACTGCGGGCGAGCGAACGGTGAGCTGGCCTACCATCGTCTCGCGACGCAGCTGAGGCTTCCCTTGGTGGATTAGGGCGCAATCTGTTGACGTTCCGCCCATATCGAAAGTAATCAGATTCTTATACGGGGTGTTCCGCGCGACGACGTCCGCAACACCTTGAACGCCCCCCGCGGGACCAGACATTAAAATATTGACGGGTAACTCGCCCGCCATATCCAAGCTAGTCAGACCACCGTCTGACTTGAGAATGCGAATTATATTTCCATCCTCGGCAAGTAAGTCCTGCAAATTACTAAGATAGTTCTGAACAACGGGTTTGACAAGTGCATTGGTGCAGGTAGTGACTGTTCGCTCGTACTCGCCAACCTCTCTGAGGACATCGCTAGAGCAGATAACAGTCACTTCAGATCCGAGCTCCTCACGCACTACATTAGCCACTAACAACTCATGCTCGCTATTGCAATGCGAATTAAGCAATGAGATCGCCACAGCCTCAGGCCGTTCATTATTCCATGCTTTCAAATCAGCACGGAGAGTATTAATATCCACGGCGATAACCGTCTTCCCATCAACAGACATACGCTCCTGACACTGTATCACGCGCTCTAGAGGCACAATTGGTTCCGGAGGAGTATAGTGTAACCAGGCCCCCAGACCACCGGGTATCTGTGATCGGCGAACGGCTAGAATGTCTTTGTGACCTGAAGTCACAATAAGACCCGTACGTGCTCCTTTGCCTTCGAGAACAGCGTTTGTCGCAGTGGTTGTACCATGATGGATGAACTGGAACTTCCCGTCCCAGGAATAGCGCGCTTTGAGTTTTTGTTGCACCTTCCGAATTCCATTCTTGATGCCAATGCTTTGATTATGAACAGTGGTCGGCACTTTAGCTCTTGTGATTTGGCCGTCGGGCGTGAAGGCGCAGATATCTGTAAAGGTGCCGCCTACATCTGCTCCGAGACGGTATTCGTCTTGGCTGGCGCTATGTGGCATTGTGAACGGAAGGAGAGGGGCAAAAAAAAAAAAAAAAAGGTACAATCTGCCACAGACAGATGGAAGAAGAGAGAAGGAGGGGCAGTTAAAACCGCTTCAGAACTGTTTTATTTGTCTGAGTAATATGTGTTCAACTCCAAGAGCAGCTGATTCCGCGATCATATCCGAGTAACCCTATCAAACATGCAATAGGATTCAGACACCTTGAGAACCCCGCTCCCATCTAAGACAAAAAAAAAAAAAAGAAATATTAATTAGTAAAACAATTAAACGAAGATTTTTCGTCACCCAAATTGGGGGCGAAATCGCTGCACATGTGTTTTGAACGCTAATGCATATACTAACAGATTTAGTTGGTGCAGCGCTTCAAGATAGTGCTTCCTCCATAGTGCTTTACCGGACAATGCCATTCAGGGCCCATTTCTTTTGTTCATTATGCTGGTTTGGTTTTAGCATGATCACTAACTCAAGGTAGTTGTGCACAAGAAGCATCCACCACGGAGAATGCGACGAGGCGAGATGAGTGTCTTCGGGGTTCGGGCTTAGAGAGGATGCTAAAATCCCCGAGGATAATCGCTCGCTAATTTTCCTTGTTCCCCCCTTTTTTCGCTGCTTCCAGAACCGAGCGCTGGCATTACCCAGTTCATCATCGTGCATTAGGGCTCTGGAGGATTCAATGTTGCATGTGTGGTCGGTCCCCACAGACTGGCTATGGACTAGTGCCTCGTGCTAGGAACCTTCAACTTTGACTTTCGGAGTTTATTCGCCAATATGATTACTTACCCACAATAACTACATACTCGGCCCAGACGACCCACCACCCTTCCAGGTCTCTAGCTAGGAATAATTAATACCTGGATATTTTAGCATGCCGCGTCGTATCGCTGAGCGGGTCAGGATGGACAAGCTGTTGAAGGACAATTCTCTAATCCACTATGCTGTCAAAAAAAAAAAAAAAAAAAAAAAAAAAAAAAAAAAAATGAACAACTCGGACAGAGTATTGCTCTAATTTATATACAAGTCTCTGTACTCTCCACAAGCTCCCAAATAAGAAAACAAAACATAAAAACAGAAGGGACCTCAGAGTTTTGCCCTATGTGGAGCATCCCGTATTTCCAGCTTCCCATTGCACAGGTATCTGATCCCTGTCAAAGGTCATCCTTCACCTATCCTTATGTTAGTCAAAGAGCACACAGAGGCCCATGGGGCTTATGTCTCTGAGCAGCCAAGTCCTCGTGCAGTTGCATTTGAGGAGAAGGAGGTTTTCAAGAAGACGGATTCTGGGGTCAATTTCCGCGAGGTGGGTTGGTTCAATGCGGGCGTGATTTTCATCAAAATTCTTTTTGCAACAGGGGTGCTTTCGCTGCCATCGGCGCTGTACTCGTTAGGTGCGGTGGGAGGATCAATCAGTATTGTGGCCTGGGGATGCTTCAACACTTACTGTTTTGTAATTCTGGGCAACTTCCGTATGAAACACCCTCACTGCCACTCGATTGCCGACATGGCCCAGGTTGTCGGGGGCATTGTTGCCAAGGAACTGACTGGTCTGCTCTTCATCATTGCCTATGTACTGGTGACGGGCAGCGGCATAGTTGGCGTGTCAACGGCACTGAATGCTCTTTCGCACCACGCGGCCTGCACGGTCTGGTGGTCATTCCTGGCCGCGGTTGTGATTGTCGCGACTGCCTCCATCCGCAAACTTGAGCATGTCGGCTGGCTGACCTATGCGGGATTCCTGTCCATTTATGCTGCTGTGCTCATTGTCGTGATCGGGGTGACCACCCGAGACCGGCCAGCAGCTGCACCGCAAGAGGGACCATACGAGCTGGGCTTCGTCGCTGTCAACAACCCGGGTTTTGCCGCCGGTATGGTGGCCTCCTGTACCATCTTTGTCTCCTCGGCCGGCACCAGTGCCTTCCTGCCAGTCATCTCGGAGATGCGGAACCCGAAAGACTATAAGAAACCGCTGTATTTCTGTATGGCCCTGGTGACTGCATCGTACCTCGCCTTTAGCTTGGTTGTCTATCGCTGGTGTGGGAAGTGGGTTGCAAGCCCATCGCTGGGGGTGTGTATTACTTTCCTTTCCAGAACCATTGTCCAAGCCCTGGAGCAGAAGATAACATCCTTTCGTACAGAGCGCAGGGCAAACGATCAAGATGGTGTCTTACGGCGTTGCACTGGTCGGATTGATCGTGAGCGGCGCCCTCTACCTGCATGTAAGTGTACCCGGATAACTTTTAGCCGATTTTCTGTCGTAGCTCAAACGGTATCCTTATAGGTCGCTGCCAAGTACGTCTTCGTACGGATCCTGGGGAAATCGCGCCACCTGCAGACCAACACCGTCATCCATTGGGGCACCTGGTTTGCCAGCACGATCATTCTCGGCGCGCTGGCGTTTATTCTAGCGGAAGCGATTCCGATCTTCAATTATCTAATTGCGCTCGTGGGATCGGTGTGTTTCGCCCCCCTTGCCATGAGCCTTCCTGGTTGGTTCTGGTTGTACGATCACGGGCACTACAGGAAGGGGACGTTGATTCAGAAGCTTGTCTACCTGCTGCATTGCGGCATGGTGCTTCTGGGGCTCTTCTTCCTGGTTGGGGCAACGTACGGCGTGATCATTCAGATCATCAATGCATATAGCTCCGGAGCGATTGGTACATGTTCCACGATTTGCCTATCAATGAACTCCTACTGACAGGACATCTTGTAGGATCGGCGTTTAGTTGTCTCGATAACTCGAATTCGTCTTGAACCGTTCGACTCTTTTCTGACTGGACCAGAAAACGGCTCACACTCGCCTGCAGTGTAGAAGTCTGCCAAAGCAGCTCGACTTTGCTAACTCGGGCCTATCTGGCTGTCTCTTCTGCCAGCATGTACCCTCATTTGTTTGCGTGGGAGAGAAAGTCAGTTATGATTATTGTACATTAGTTCAACATGCGTCCAGGGGTCTAATAGAAGCATATAAGACAACGGCGAGCCATCGATTTGCTGCCCGTTAGAGTTACTTCTAACTGAGCACGATGGTGTGACCCAGTAGCCGAAGTATGGAATACAGTTCGGTACAGGGGGCGGAAGAGAAAGACACAAGAATATAGGGGGCCTTTTGAACCGTCTTAATTCTGCTCCACATCAGTCAGGAGTTTCACCGTTGATCCTTATAAGGCATACTGAACGGTCTTTTATTATTACTATGACTATTCCCTAACAAACTGCGTGCGCTGTAGAAAAGGTACTTTTGTCAACCTACAAATAACTGAGTTTCCACTACTGGCCGCCGTTTCGGCTTAGTGGTAAGATTTGTTGAGAACCCTGTAAGAAGTCGCATTTTTCTTTTAGTATACTAAACTAATTACGCGTCTTGGTCTGGAGCTTATTTCCGGCATTAAAACACAGAGTCAGAATCCTAGAAGCCTTGTTGCTAGGATGTATATTTGATACATAAAATTTTTTTAGTACGGAAGTACAGATAACATATTCAGAATATCCCTTAGTGTTGTGCGCGGTGTCAGTACAAGGGATATGATACGGTATCCAAACCACGAGAATGGATTATAAAATTGTTAGCATTCTATAGCATTATTTACAGAGGACAGTGGTTCTGTTGGTAGAAAACTAAAATTTTCATTGGTTGTGGAGTGGGTTAATGGTCACCTATAACTGGCAATGTTTGGTGGAGGGATGTTCATTAAACGTCTTATCAAGCTGGATTACCTAGTTAACCCCTCACAAGGTATCTAACTAACGTAGGTAGTTAGTTACTCCATGGGTGAGCTGCGAACATGGGCGAGCTGCACATCTGTATTCCCATGCAAAACAGCACTTTTTTTAACTCGGATATCTCAACAATTCTTCCATTATTATGCTTTATATTAGACAAATTCATTCTATATGAGTATGTAAATAGGCATTGTAAATACTTTTTACATTTGTTTTGGTCTCATGCACATATACCAGGCTTGAAATATTGGGTAATTTAGGATATCAAGGCAAGTAATAGTGCTGGCCATTTAAAAAACTATTATACTCTATTCAGAACCTACAGATTCCTCAGATTAAATTTCTATTAATAAAGAATCGTTAAGTTATCCCAAGTTAATAAGTGCCATTTTGTATGGAAATGCAGATCCGCATCTCGCCCGCCCGTATTCGCAGGTCACCCACCCATGCAGTCCGTTATTGCATCCTTCTTGACCCACTGCCACGGTATCAGCCAGTTGCATGCAGCTTAATATCAACTAATACTTCCGCTAGTTAACTGTCGGGCTCTTTCCGCGCAGATCAATACTTGTCCGTGTCTTCCAGGATCCGGATCGGGCCATCCGTCCTCTGGCTAGCGCTCCTGGCTGCGCTAGACGTTTGATGACAGCGCGATTACAACCCAAGCCAACAACCGAGGAGGCGATGGATCTAGCGCGTTGCTGGTGTTGACTAGAAATCTGCATGCAGTCTCCTGATCTGGCTGGATGTAGATAACTAACCACAGGCTGGTGGGTTCGATTTTGCCGCTTCTGATGACTTGGTAAAGTTTGCAATGAATGAAAACGATGGGCAACCTAATTCCCTTAACGGTTTCTCCTTTCTTATACACTTGCCAATCCATTTCTTGGTCTCTCCACGAGCGTTCCTTTCCCTTCCGTATGTACTTTAACGTCGTTCGTACCCATTGATCTCGACACGACTGTGTATGCTCTACTCATCCAGTCGCAGAGATCTCTATCTACAGCGTCGCAGGCCCCAAGATGTTGGAAGATCCAGCGATCCCGCCACCACCTGGGGTCGTGTCGAATTTTGCACATCCACATGATGCCCTTCACACAGTAAACTTAGCAACGCAAATATTGTGCATTGTTGTTGTGACAATTATTGTGATATTGCGTATCATCATCAATTTGCGCCTTCGGAAGAGCTTGGAATTGGAAGACTGTGAGTAAACTGTCGTGATGCACAATCGATGATACGGATGTTGACGGCCGTTATTGCCATAGATATGACTATCGCAGGATGGGTATTACTCTTCCGACCCTGGATATTGACTGCGCTGAATTTATATCCATGCCTTCTGACAGGTCCTCTTTATTGGGTTCTGCGCCAATATGCTTGTGCGTATGTATCGCCAAAATCGCCACAGGTTAGGTTGACTATATCTAACAGATACAGTTAATGCATACGGCGGTGGATACCATGCCTGGGATGTGCCAAAGAGCGAATTTCTTGATTTTCAAAAGGTAGACTATCCACTAGAAATACCCTACCAAGTACTAACATCCATCCGAGTCAAGGCCTCCTACGCGATCACGCTCATTTACGTCCCCATGGTGTTTATCGTCAAGCTAGCCCTGCTCTCCGTGATGCTCCGGATCTTCGCTCCCGACCCCCACAAGGTCTTAATCATCTACACCAGTGTGGTCGTGCTCCTGCTTTACTACATCCCAGCTCTGTTCATTAAGATATTCTTTTGCCATCCTATTTCTGCATACTGGGAAGGTACCAGCAATGGGGGGACCTGTATTGACCAACAGAAGGTCATCATCGCCGACTCAGCGATCAGCATTGCCAGCGATCTTTGGATCCTCATTCTTCCGGTGCCCATGCTATGGTCGCTGCACATGTCGCGTGTCAAGAAACTGCGGGTCATCGGTATTCTGGGAGCCGGCGGACTCGCCACCGGATTCAGTATCTGGCGGTTGGTAATCATGGTCGAGGAGGCTAAGACGGCGGACATTACCTGGTTTTGGATCCATTGCGTGTTGACAGCGTAAGCCCTGCTGTCCTTCCTCCGTGGGTATGAGTCTGACTATTTTCCTAGCAACGCTGAAGCGGGCATCGGGTTGATCTGTGCATGTCTGCCCACATTAAGCTCATATGTCGTGTCTATGAAGAACAAGAGCACCAATGCCACGAACGGTAGTTACCAGCGCAGTCACGAGCTCAATAGCTGGAATAAGCTCTCGAGCTCAAAAAAGAACGGTAACCACAGCTCCTCCTTCCCCCCGACACAGACCGACCAGGCGTGCCTTATCTCCACCGTCGAGGGCGCTGAGCAACGCGAGGGGTCAATGACAAGCCTTCAGGAGAGCAATCATCCGGAACGCCCCGTCATCCATAAGGATGTCTCTGTGTCCCAAAGCTACGAATTTGTAAAATAGTCGATCATTAATTATTACTACCTACATATACATCTGGCCGACCGATAATACTGCAAATGAGTTCCAGATTGGACGTTAAAACCAGGAGATCAAGTTGCTATACTTAACAACATTGTCGATTGATATATATCAGGCTGTTTCAGATGTTCCACTCAGTTGGTCCTAACTGCGCTTGGTTCGAATTTTTGTTTCCGAAGGACATGGTACATGATTAAGGCAGCAGAGGCCATAGTTACTCGGTGAAGGCGACAACTCTAAACCGAATTGGAGAATTTGATCAAGCAGGTATCGAACAGCCACCTCATCAACATTGCGATTCTTACTCCAATTGACTACTTCTTGTATTCACTCATTGTTGGGAGTCCGACAAAGCATTGCATCCATCATATGGAAATGTTAGCACGACAACGTACTCTGTAATTTGGGCCCGTCTGACTCGACGTTTTCTGGAAGCCACGCAGTTGCTGCCATTGGACAAGAAATTCGCGATCAGGATCTTCCACATCAGTGGCGGAAGGTGGGGTATATGATGTGTTTTTTCATTTGTCATTATCTAGAATGCTTTCGTTTATGCTTTGCACAATGCTGTCGAGGTACCGGATTATAAGGGCTGCGAAGATACTCGTCGAGGACCCGATCTTGCAGTGTGGTGAAACTCAGGTTGCCTCGGACACATACCATAGTATGTAAATGCAACATCTCTCAGCCGTTGGTTGCTACCACTCCGATACATTTTAACACACCACCAAGGATTCCGACTCCGTCAAATTTGGTGCCCAGAGGGCCGTCAAAGACGGCCTTGCATGTATGATGGAAGAACTGCGCTACAGCTACTGGGTTGGGTGTGGCAACAGCCTGACGGATGGTCACTGTTGCAGATAGGACGATTCCGGAGTTATATCTGCGCCGGCGAGTGTCAGAACTAAAGGATTTTGCAGGCCCGAATAGTTCAGCGTGAGCCAATTGCCGGGCGTCCTTTCATGGACGATTAATCCTCGAGCCAGAGAGCAGATCAGCATTTTTTGGGAAAATAATCCTGGGACCCACATACCATGCTAGTAACAGTCTGCAGTCGTAGGATGACAGGGTCCTCGATGTTCCCATCCGCCGCGAGAGCCTCTACTGCACTTTGCTATTGGACCGCTGCAAGGAATATCGTAGGAAACCGATCTCCGTTGATGGCATTTGACAAGAAGTGTTTGCCAGGGAACATCTGGCGCAGGGCCACGGAATCCTCCAGAATCACCTCTCGAAGATAGAAGAGGAGGCTTGTGAGCCCACACGACAGCAAGGTCATTAATCTGGCTGGCCTGTGGCCCGAAGTGGCCCTTCCAGGTGTAAAATTTAGGTACTGGCTCTTCTTCATCCACATGCCTCCGGTGGTTTGGTTCTCTCCATGGTGTAAGATCATGGACCCAATGCCCTGTTGCTGTTCGGATGCATCTTCCTCATCGACGGACGACCGGCCAGATCATGGACAGTTGCTCATCTGGCGGCCTGATATTTGCATTCCTGATTTCAAAACTATTCCCTACGTGATGGACGGATGGCCATGACCCTTATAAACTTACGTGGTAATGAGTTAAGATAGCATCCTATCATCTGCTCCTGGCTCCATCTCCCCAAACGCAGGACCTGGTCTTCGCTGATTCCCTTCAGCTCCGCTAGCCCGGCACCAGCACTTCGTCCAACGTGGGTACTCTTCTGTGAGAAGATGCTAGCATACTGGAAGGCTTTTGCTACCAAGTCCCGCTGTAAGTTATAAGATATAGCGGCTTTGGGGTCCCCAGTGATGCTCTGTTGATTAGTTGTAACTCATATCTCAAAGATCGCTTGCTGAAATCAGGAGCGTCTCGTCGCCAAGGTCCCAAAGACAGCAGATAAAAAGGCAAGACCAATTAGCATACAGAAAAGAGGCTTCCTGTTACGCAAAGAAGCAGTTGTTTTCCTGGCGCCCAAACTGATTTTGGTTGCCGGCGCGCGTGGTAAAGATGAATGGCATGCACTGACTAGGGCCTTCGTCCTTAAACTGAAAGATAAAGAGATCTGAGATCTCCGCAGCGCGCCTATCCCCACCACGAGTGAGCATGTAGTGATCCAGTAGGGTGTCCAGTAGTGTATAGAAATAACATTCAGGTGAAGACGTCCCCAGGGTCCAGAGGGCGCGGCAAACTGACTCAAACTCATCTTCAGAATAACCATCCAATAACGTGTAGGGTGTCTGCAAACTGCCCTTGGTCACGCCGCGCATCTCTTCGCTGCAGTGATTTCGAATACTCTCTAACATTATCCTTACGCGGGGAGGGGTGGCTATTCATCCCTAATTCTCTTTTAATTCTGAAAGGACTCTGTGGTTAAACTTCTGATATTTCTATTTCTACTACCTCCTAGTTTCATCATCTATTCAGTAAGAGTTCAATGTATTTTTCGCACAATCACCAAGCACGAAAATCACTAAGTACACACAGTATCTAAATTCTTCGTGCCAGATCCTTAAATTTGCAAGTGCTTTATGTCATGATTGATGTCGCCCTTCGGGCCATTATCTGCTGCAGTAGAGATTGGCGTCATGATATCGGAATTGACAGAGGTTTTTCCCCGGCGGGAAGAAGGGGTCTTCACTCTTCTGTTTCTCATCTGGGCTGGAGTTGCAAGTTGAACGGTATCTTCCCTCTCGCGCGCGCGAAAGAAGTGCCTCGATGGGTCTCTCACTGGAGAGCAATCCACAAAGTAGCGTTCTACCGAATGGGTGTGATTGTGTGGACTCTCTTTCCACTCAATCAAGGCGCAGCAGAGTTCCTCGAGAAACGGACGCGGAAATTTTTCCTGATGGGCCAGGAAGCGTGCCTTGCTCCCAGTTCGCACCCACGTATCGACTACTAACAGACGCAGTGGAGACATGGGCACGGTATTAGCGTAGACGTAATCAACCTTTTCATTGCCAAAAAATGCCCCAGGATTTTTATAGCCTATTCTTGCAGAGCAGCATTGCCTGCTTACATAGTTCTCGCATATCTAGTTTCTCAGCAAGAATCCAGAGTCGGAATAAGAAGAGCAGAGTGTCACCAGGAGGCAAGTCAGCGGAAATTTTGCCACGATACATCCAACTGATAAGTTCGGTGAACACATCAGGATCATCATCCGGAAAGCAAATGGGATTATCGACTGTGTTTTTCAAGGCTAGGTCCTTGTATAGAGCATTGAAATATTGCGAGCAATCGCATAACAACTCTATGTGGACATCAGATGGAGTTTGATCGATCCCCACTTTGATTTGTGCTATTCCGCCGCTTAGAGTACTAATTTGTTGGTTAGTGATGAAAACCAAAAGCAGCTGAATAGCGGGCATACTCTTGTCTGAGAGGCCTAGCCATTTCAAGCTACTCATTGGAATACCTGATGAGACTCTAGAGGGATCAAAAAGATTTGAAGATCCTAATTATAATTGGTCTCATACAGAAGAAAATTGTCTAGTGTATTTTCCCCTCTCCTAAAAGAGTAACAATGAGTTTGATGCGCTTTTTTTAGACCATACAGTCTAATATAGCTGCTGCAGAGCCACCTACCTTTAGACTGCGTCAGAGCCTATGTTGGAGTGGGAGGGACGAAAGGGATGGAGCCTTGCTGACGGGGGAAATACGCAGGCGCTAAAGTTGAGTCAGGATGTGGGCAGTCTCGCGGTGAATCCCTCGCTCAGGTGGCAGAGATCATTCTAACCGTTTCAGTTATTGTTTTTCAACCCGGTTCCATTTGTTAGGAATTATTTGTGCGTTTATGTAGGCTTGCAATGTGCCGCAGCTGCAGCCTGGGCGCCATCTCGCGCTAGTTGATTGGATATGGCAGCGCTACTCGCTATAGTAGACTGACGTATACAGCTACCACTGTAGGCCTTAAAAAGCACTCTGTTGGCGATTCTTAACATTCAACACAGTGGTTTCCATTTTACCTTTTCCCTCACCTTGACAGTCTAGTACAGCCACCAAAACAAAGTTAGGCCATGGATTCCTCCTCGTTTGATACGGCAGGCCTGACGGAGCTCGGAACAGCAGAACAACAGATCCTCCTTGACAAAATCGACAGTCTCCGCGTGCAGGGAGTCGGGGAATTTGTTGATCTTCCCCAAATTGTAGTCTGTGGTGATCAGTCAAGCGGGAAATCATCGGTGCTCGAAGCGCTGTCTGGCGTGCCGTTCCCCCGCAGCGATACACTCTGTACGCGTTTTCCAACCGAAGTTGCCTTGCGAAAGAGTCCCGCTATTGAAATTTCAGTTTCTATAGTGCCGGGGTCAGATGTATCCAAGGCTGGGTCTACCAGGTTGCGGGCTTTCAAGGCGAATCTGCAAAGGCTGGATGGGTTCACAGACCTTGTTGAAAGGGCAAAGGCGGAAATGGGCGTCTCTACAACCGGGAAAGCCTTCTCCAGCAGCATTCTTCGAGTCGAAATATCAGGGCCAAATCAGCCCACATTGACAGTTGTCGATTTGCCGGGCTTTATCCATTCCGGTAGTAATGAACAACCCTCCACTGTGGTCAAGCTTGTTTCAGACATGGTTGGGGCATATATGGAGAACCCGAGGTCCATTATTTTAGCCGTAGTTTCGGCCAAGAACGATTATGCAAATCAGATAGTTCTTTCAAGGGCGCGAGAGGTGGATCCGGATGGGCTGCGAACGCTGGGCCTTATCACAAAACCCGATGAGCTTCGCCCTGGCTCGGGAACAGAGGCTGATTTTATTGACCTGGCGAGTAACAACAAGATCACTTTTCGACTTGGCTGGCATATAGTTAAGAACAGAGACTATGATGAAAGCCATTATACAACGGTGGAGCGAGGCATCTCCGAAGAGCAATTTTTTGCTACAAGCGCTTGGAAGCAGATGCCCCACGGCATCGTTGGTATTACCTCGCTTCGTAAGCGTTTATGCAAAATCCTCTTAGGACGAATTAAAAGATACTTACCGAAGCTTACCGACGATCTCCAATCTAGTATTGTGGGCTGCAAAACGAAGCTTGACAAACTGGGAGATAGCCGTGACACAATTGACGATCAACGTCGATTCTTGCTGAGGCTGAGTCAATCATTTCAGACACTCTGTAGAGCAGCCATTGACGGCAAATATGAGCACGCCTTTTTCGCTGATCCATCTTCAAATGGTGGGTATTCTAAAAGGCTACGAGCTGCAATACAGAACTCAAACCTCGAATTTGCCAAACGTATGCAAAACAGAGGCTATTATTTATTCATTAAGAACGATGATGAAGGCTCCTCAGATGAAGACTCCTCAGATGACGACTCCGCGGATGACGACTCCGCAGATGACGAGTCCGCAGATGACGACTCCACAGATGAAGACTCCGAAAATGAAGGATTCGAAGACAAAGAGTACGAAGAAGGTTACGTCGGCCACTACGATGAAGATGTCCAAGAGTCAACGGGTGACAACGACATAGAGCTAATACAAAACATACAACATATCACAATGACACGTGAGGAGGCAATCGAATGGGTACGTCAGCTATTGGTAAGAAGTCGTGGCCGGGAATTGCCCGGATTGTTCGATCCTATTCTTGTGGGAGAGCTATTTCGATACCAGTCCATAAACTGGGAGATCATTGCGCGCAATCATGTCAAGAAGGCATGGGAAGCATGTAAGAAATTTATCGAATTGCTTTTAAACGACATCGGAGATGAGGAAGCAACGGAAGAGTTGCTGGCATTATGGGTTGATCCGATCATCTATCAGCGCTTTGAAGATGCCAATAAAGTACTCGATCATCTCCTGATTGACCGTTCTAGAAATCCTATTACTTATAATCAGTATTACACGGAGACGCTGCAACATATTCGAGAACAGCGCCAGATGAGAGAGTTTCAGCAAAGGATCCAACAGCATTTGGGTGGTCGTCCAAGAAAACATAGATTCTATATCAACGTCGCTAAACTCAGTCGGGCGCTTTCACAGCAATCAAAAGCCGATATGGACTCTTTCGCATGCTCGGAGCTCTTAGACAGTATGCAGGCATATTACAAAGTTGGCTTTGCCTTATCAATTATATTAACAAAGCTAACATTGAGCACAGGTGGCACTCAGTACCTTTGTTGACAACGTTTGTGTTCAAGTCATTGAACGCATCCTAGTAGCAGATTTATGCTCAATTTTTTCCCCTATTGATGTCGCACAGATGGACTCTGAACTGATATCTAAAATTGCGGCTCCGTCTTCTGAATCCCAAGCTTTGCGGCAGCAGCTTGCAAGAAAGATGAAAACCTTGGACAAAGGCCTCAGAACCTGTAAACATTATTTTCGCCACCGTTCTGCGGGTAAGCATTTTTGAAGCCATGATCCCCCTCGCTTGTCTATTAACTTTTCTTATCAAGGACGCGAATACCAACTTCAAGGGCCGCTGGGCGGTATTGTCAATGGAGATTCTGTGCTGCCGAGCCACGGAAATGATAAGCCAGAAGATGAAGGTGAGTCAAATTGACAGCTCTGATAACGTACTGGATGTTTAATATCGAAATAGCAAAGAGCATTCGAAACCCGACACTTGGAGCATCGAGTGGCGGGGAAGCCAAGGATGGAAGTTATGAGTCAATTGTAAAGCACGTACTGCAGAAAAGATCACAGTTGTTGAGAAAAGACAAGGTCAAGAAATTGAATCATTTAAGGGAGGGCCAGCGAGGAGCAGAAACTGCTATGTTTTAAGTTCCGAGGCGAAAGGTGTGCCGTGCATTCACACTCATCGTTTCTCATTCTTTGCCTGTTTTGGTAGACAGTATGATTTCAAACAAACAGTGTTTCGATATCTGATTCCATGAACAAACTTCTTGTCTATTTCACTCACCTTTGCGCTATCTAAGAAGCGGTAGACTACGTAAAACTATGCTTTCCAGGGTTTTGATGCCGCCGTCCAGGATCTACATCGTCTTCATCGACACCCGCAGTGCACTTGAAGCACTAACCAACCCACAGCAGCAAAGACTACAAGCCCTTGTCGACATGACCAAACACAAGATTTACGATAAATAAATACTGGGTTCAAGCTTTATGCTGGCTACTTACACATGACCCCGCAGAAGGTGTGAAATAGTCGCGATGGTCGTATGTAATATACGAACAACTCCAGTGCCGACACAAACCCTCACGGCGTGCGCCATGGCACAGCTGAAAATCACCGTATTATGAAGATTCGCCAGGGCATGGGGAACTGGCTCACATGGACAGGAAGTGGGAAATTTACACATCCCATAGACGATGCACTAAACTGAAGGGGGCCGGTGTTAATGAGCCCTGCGGCTTGCATCTTACAACATAGGACTCCGCAGAACTTCGACCTCAAGGAATCCCCTTCTTGGGCATCCTTAATAACACAGCCCCCGGAGACGATTGTATCACAATGGACGACAGTCTTACTGTTTTCCAGGTTGGATACACCGTCTGGGTTGATCGCACTTATCGCATGTGTTTTCTGTGGACTTGGTTATAGGTATGTTTTGAAGAGAATATCGATTTCGGAGAGGGGCTGCTAAACTTGGTCATTCTGTTTGTTATATTACGCAGATAGGTCGGAATGTTGTTATTATCGCATACGTAACAGGGCTAGAGTTTTGTGAGGCCTTGAAGAAGTGTGCCTAGCCATGGATGTTCATACATAGTTCTTGGTTGGGAAAACCTTATTTCACCTTCAATTGGCGGAACCACGGATAACTGAACTATCCGAATCGCTGGTTCTTGGAATGCTTGAGCTTAGCGTAGTCTCGTGGGGATAATGGTCGCCATTTCAAAGGTCCATTTTAGTCCAGACGAACAGTAAACCATGGCCCAAGATAATTAGATTACACACTATTCTGTCTTCGGAATGACGGCTATCCCTAATTACCTACTCAGTTCTCGCATGGTTAGCTAAATCCCAATTGAATTGTTAGAAGCATCTACTTAAAGAATCTCTGACGTCATGTATAAACCCTAACAGTCGGAACCTATAACAGTCCCCCAATAGCCTCCCTACAATATTCAACGTGTATTTTTCTTTGAAATACCCGTTTCTAACATGGCATCCGGTGTAGCACCTGCGCCTAATACTCCAGTGTCCCTCCCTCCACAGGTAGGAGATCGGCCACAGCGCCGGGCATCCGCTACTGATGGCCTAGAATCACAAGCACATATCACCGGTATGATATCCACCCCATTGGCCAGAGGAATTAGCCTAACGATTATCCTAACGCCTGATATTACCGTAGACGATGGACGCCTAGAGATCGAACTCAAAGACGACGACCCGCAGGTAGCCGACCTGGTGCATGCTCTCAGGCGTCAGCCAACTCGTCGCCCTTCAGAAGCCGCGAAAGCAGATGTAACTCATTTCCCTATCAAGCTTAATGTGGTTATCCATGTCGTGGGATCGCGTGGTGACGTCCAACCGTTCATCGCGCTAGGTAATGCATTGCAAAAACATGGCCACCGTGTAAGATTGGCGACACATCTAGTATTTAGGGACTTCGTCAAGGAAAATGGGTTGGAATTCTTCAATATCGGCGGCGACCCGTTTGAACTAATGTCGTTTATGGTTAAGAACCCCAATCTGATCCCGAAGATGCAAACCCTCATAGGTGGGTCGGTTGGGAAACGTCGCAAGAGATCCGGACCATCATCGGGGGATGCTGGCGTTCTTGTATCGAGGCTGGAGAGGGTATTGATTTGACCAGTGATGAGCCTGTGACCGCGCCGGCATTTGTGGCAGACGCTATTATCGCGAATCCACCAAGTTTTGCACATGTTCACTGCGCGGAGAAGATGGGCATTCCACTTCATTTAATGTTCACGTCAGTGTTGCGTATCCCTGGCCTCTATAGTCCATGCTTACGGAGAGAAATAGAATGCCATGGTCTCCTACTCAAGCCTTCCCGCATCCATTGGCCAATATTCACCCTCGCAATGTAAAGCCCTCTGTCGCTAATTTTGCCTCCTACGCTATAACAGAAATGGTAATTTGGCAAGGTGTAGGCGATCTGATTAATGATTTCCGCCGCTTTGAGCTGGGCCTGGAGCAACTAGATGTTATGCGTGCGCCGAGTCTAATCCACCGGCTACATATTCCTTTTACATATCTCTGGTATGTACTTTAACCCCGTCAGCACATAAATATGTCTGTTGACCGAGTGTGTTTAAAAGGTCACCATCCTTTCTCCACAAGCCAGATGACTGGCACGACCACATTAACATAGCCGGCTTTAACTTCCTCTCGGCGAATAAAGGTTACACGCCTCCCCCAGATCTAGTCGAGTTTCTCGAAGCCGGGCCTCCACCAATATACATTGGATTCGGCTCAATTGTGGTAGATGATCCAGATGCTCTTACACAGACAATCTTAGACGCAGTCGGAATGACTGGCCAACGAGCTCTCATCTCCAAAGGCTGGGGAGGATTCGGGGCCGACCAGATCAACCGATCTGACGTGTATTTTCTTGGAAGTGTGCCCCATGACTGGTTATTCCAGCGAGTATCCTGTGTGATTCACCATGGTGGAGCCGGAACAACTGCAACAGGTCTTGCTTTCGGACGACCAACTACCATTGTCCCATTCTTTGGTGACCAGCCGTTCTGGGGCACTTTGGTGGCGCTTAACGGCGCAGGGCCCTCGCCAATCCCTATCAAGAAGCTAACTGCAGAACTTCTGGCTGATGCCATACATTTCTGTTTAAAGCCTTCTGCGGTCGAAAAGGCACAGAGGCTAAGTGAGAACATCCGAGCAGAGGATGGTGCGCGCACCGGCCTAGAGAGTTTCCACCGCCACCTCCAGCAGGATCTCCGCCTTATTCAGTGCTCATTGTGTCCTGACCGTCCGGCTGTCTGGCGTGTCCGACGAACAAAGATAATCTTAAGTACATTTGCGGCTACAGTTCTGGTCCAGGGGAACAAGCTCGACCCAAAGGACGTAAAGCTGTACATACCACCATCCCAACGCTAAACCCACACATCTACTAAAAAAAGAAACAGATACCGCACAAAACGCTACACCCTTGAACACGGTTGCGCGGCCACCGATACCTTCACAGGAGCCATGAGCAATTTCATCACCGGTCTTGTCGACTTCCCCGTGAACGTGGTGCAAAACATCGCCCAGCCCGCCTCAGACCGCTTCGCTGAAAATTATAACCTTTATTCCTGTGAAGATCGCTCAGCAGCCATACGCACACCGGCCGTCACTGTTATGGACTCGGCATCACCCAGAATATCTTCACAGGGAGAAGGTACGCAGAACAACGACGACACAAAGTCAATACTCAGCCTTTCGTCTGCGTTTACAACACAATCCCAGGTTGATGCACCTTCCATGAATATCAGGAGGAGCCCGTTGCAGAGTATAGCCACTAACACGGCTTACACGGGCCGACGGGTTGCGAACTGGGTGATTGAAGTACCTATGGGTGTTACGGTTCTGTTGTCTCAAACCTTTCACCATGGGCCTAGGTGGTATCATGATCGGACGGTGAGGGAGACGCCGGAGGTGGATGGTGTAAGGTCTGGATTTGTCGCCGCAGGGAAGGTTAGTGATTTTTTATTGTCTTTGAATATGGGGGTAGTGCTCATGAACCCAGGAATTTGGCTATAGCTTCTACGACGGTATCATCGGTATCGTGACTCAGCCTATGCAGGGGTGGAGGGACGAGGGGTTTGGGGGAATGGCCAAAGGGATAGGTAAGGGTGTAGGGGGTATAATTCTCAAACCTCAAGCTGGTAGGCGTGCCTACTTTTTTTCTCGGTTGATATAATTCACTGACCGTCGCTTAAAATTTAGGAATGTGGGGACTGCTTGGCTACCCGTTGAACGGGATTCATCGAGGCATTGAACGCTCCTATGGCGCGAAGCGAAAAAATTATATTGTACACTCACGGATTCGACAGGGACTTGCTGAGTCGGAGTCTGCTTCCCAGGAAGAGAGGGACTCTGTGCTGGAGAAATGGAGGGCTTACGAGAAAGGAGTTGGTATAAAGCACGAAAAGCAGCCGAGGTGATCGAACAGTGTCTCTCAGGCAATTTCCTCGCTCAATTCTTGCCATACAAGGCGATGGTGGATCAGGAACGGAACAATATGCCCTTGCAACGGATGACTCACAAGGAGTAACTGGGGATACGGCAATTCCAGTTGTGATGCATAAAAATATCTAAGAATCTATTGCTTTAAATTCTTATACCATAACTGCTGTGGAATCCACGGAAAGTGATGCGTAGGGAGCTACAGATCAGCTACAGGCCAACCTTGGCCAAACTAGGAAGTAGATGTTATCGGTGGAAACACCGGGAACCACAGTATCTCAACGAGCTGAGTTTCTTTCTTCTTCTCCATCAATCAATTGTGATGGCAGCGCACGTGGCAATAATGGACCAAAAGAACAACTGAGGTCAGCTGTCGGCCCAGAGTTCAAAATGGGGCAACCATTCAGGAATGCTCATCAGCTCACCAGCAGTTGACACTACAATCTGATATACAGTTTGGTGGTCAGTCATGGCCTCTCAGAACATCATTCGGACAGCAACAAATGCACGCTTCCTGGTCAACGAGTCTCTAGATTAGCTAATGGAGATGATTGACTATTGTTACGAAAACATTATGATCTGCGTTACTTGCCGGTGCGGAGTATATATGGTTGAAGAAATCCTTGATGAGAGAATACGGCCTCGCGGGGAAAGTTTCCGACATGTATTTTTGGCCAAATGGCAGGGATACATGACTTGGAATAGGGCGGAGCTTATGGAGGATACAGGGATTTAAATACATGGAGAAAGACGCACGGCCTACCAGGATAATCTCATCTAAAAAAAGGTCTATAAGGAGGAATGGGCAGTCCATACTAAATACAATGGTGGGACTAATGTAGCGGGTTGAGGCTCGTATAGAACATGTGCCTTGCTAAGATTTACTAATAAGATAGCTTGAATATCATACCCCACATTTTGAAAGTTAAAGGGTCCTTTAACCATTGGTAGGCTAATTTAGATCAGTAACGTCCCCAGTTCCTCACTAAGGACTGACAAGGAATGCAACCACAACTGGTACATTTTGACCACTGATTGGCCACACAATAAAGGAGGCCAACTACCCTCAGCGAACCTTAAAGGAGCCATCCTCAGTGGATCTGTCCTTCCGCTAATGACCCGAGTGAGCCAAGAGGTGATCATCATAGCGCATGTCGCCAGGGCCAAACTAAGTAGCTGAGCGACGAGGGTCAGACACGTCTGATGAACATGCCCCCTTAGATTCATGTTTAACAGCAGAAGAGAGATAAGATGGCACGCTACAAGGACGACAACGGCACCGGCGTTACGGGGTAAGGGCGCTCCCAAAATGCGTGACCTTTGTCCTCTTGCGTGGAGCAGTTCTCCAACTCCAGTCTGGTCAATAATTTCGACCAGGAGAGGGATGCACTTGAGGCATGATGGACTAGCGTCTCAGGCTCTGGGTTGGCCAGTGTCCGAGAGAATATTTCGTACGATAACCATCCCTCCCAGCCCAAATCGAGCAGAGCCCGTAAAATTTCAACAACGGGTAGATATCCTCCGCGATAACCTTCACACAGGAAGTGCCGGGCATTGCGAGACCAGCTCATCCTCGGTGGCTGTCCTGCGACATACAACGGATGCCCGGGCCGCAGGGGCGTGACCAGTGGTTCCGCATCTGCCATCTGCACAATGAAGAGCTTGGACAGTACCAAGTCCCGTTCCATGCGATCAGCATGATTTGCACATTGGCTGCAGCTGTCTTGGGGCAATCCCCAGCCAGCCCAGTCTCGGTGGTTGGGTCTGCGAACACGGCCGCGGCAAGGTTAAATATATCGAGCGCGAGACTAAAATTAGGCCGGTCAACCTGGGAGAAGCTCTGAAACCGGGAGGCCGAGGGACTCTGGTCAGTTCCAGCTGTGGATGCGAATGCAAAATTATTTTTATGAACATCTGAATTACCTGCCTCCAGAGGAACTTAAACAATACATTACAGGTGCACGGCACCTTCGAGTAGCACGGATTTCAGGTACACTTGCACCTCGACCTCTTTTAGACTTCTGGCGAGAGATCCTGGGACGGCCATTGTCAATTACATTCTCAACTACAGAGTTGGGAGGCATGGGACTTAGCCTGAATGGAGACACAGACACTGGTATCGATGTAGGTCCCGAGAGTCGTGCCTTTTTTTTTTGTTCCCTGCAAGATGGCTAACAATCGACGTCCCTCAGCGTTCGACTGGGGAGCCGGAACCTGGTGTTACGGTGAAACTCTCGGAAGGTAATCATGGGGAGCTGCTTGTCAAGTGCCTCCTTATATTTTCTCAGTAGGCTTCACTTCTTTTGCCATGATGTATTACGGTCGTCTACTGACAATACCAGTTACCTAGGCGACCCAGCTGCGACGGCAAACATGTTTGACATCGAGAGGTATTATAAGACAGGCGGCTATGTACGTCGAGTAGGTGCGGAATATGTAATTGATGGCAGAATCAACACAAACTGTGAGTAATGAACCCCTTTCTGGGATGAGTATCTCCTCTATCTCCTCCCCCTTTCCCCCCTCCCAACCCCAGGTCTCGGGCTGAAAGATACTTGTCAACTGTCATACAGTATTGTAAATACAGAGTCCCAGTTCTGGAACTTGAGTCACATATCATGGCCCTTCCTTATGTTTCGGAAGCTTTGGTGCTCTCCCTCCAAGGTGCTGAAGCTGGTAATCAAGTAGGAGTGGTTCTCCGTCCCAAACCCGAAGAAGCGATAGACTCGCCTTACAAAGTAAACCTACGATCCCTCAGAGCAGACTTATACGCCAAGCTTGCCGCGTACAAGTTGCCTACAGCGTTACACATTTTGCGGGTTGGGGGGTGGATACCAAGAGATGCGTCAGGCAAAGCCATCAGGAAAGACACAGCAGCCCGTTATTTTGGGGCGTTTCCATTTTCAAAGAAGTGGAAGTATGTAGCAAGGATGATCTGCCTGATGCGCAGCGTGGATCTTGGGATTGGGCTGGGCTACAGAGCTAAATTTTACAATCCTTCTCCGATATAAATATCTCGAATTTACTTGACACCTTACTCAGGCTGCTTGAAATTATATCATGCTTTTCTGACGCGATGATTTCATTGTAGAGATAGCACGCGTAGTGCTAGCCGAAGGGTGATGAATTAGGCACACACCACATGGATAGCGTGAGTTTCCTAAAATAGCAGGGGCATAATTTATCTCTATACTGCCGGAATAGATCACTGACTTTCTTCTTTTATACATGTAGCATAAAAAGGTGCCATCGCGACCATCTATTCTTGTTAATCTCTGAATTAAAAATGCCTGGTCGTCAAGTCGCTTCTAATCAAAAATACATCGAGGCATATCCCTTAAGAACAAGCGGCAAGGGTGGGAAGGGGCTTGGTCACAGTGGTTCAAGCGCCACCAGAAGATCTTACGGACAATATCCAGAGTATCACAAAGCCTGCTATCCGTCGCCTCGCCCGTCGTGGAGGGTGTCAATGATATATCTGCTGAGGTGTACGAAGAAACAAGGAGTGTTCTGAAGTTTTTTCTTGAGAGAGTAACTAATCCGTGGTGCTGTTACGTATACTGAATACGTTCATAGAAAAAATGTTACTCCCCTCGACATCATGCATGCTCTCAAACTTCAAGCGCGTAAGTTTTCAGTATTCTTTGCTATTCTTCTGCACTATTTAAGGAGCCTATAATATCTGTCCTGTTTGATGACAGCGGGGTCTGCCAAGGTCTTGGAAAGCCCAACCTCTCTACCTCGAATTCAACTCTAGAAGTTTATGCAAAGTGGGAAAATGGGTTATCTTGAAAAAGCGCCTTTGCATTCGCAAATAATGGTATGGGGAAAACCTAAGTACATCAGGGCAAAAACCCATACTAAGGCACGTCTTATGCATGAAGAGCTTAAATTTGTTGAAGTTCGAGATGGGTGCATTCCTCCCCCGCCTTGTTCTTCATCGTCAGCTGCAGGGTGTTGGTTCCCACGATCAATCCTTCAAACCTAATTCAACTAATCATCAGTCTAAACATGTCCCCAAAGTGGTGAGCTATACATGCCAGTAGTAAGTACTCTGGTCTCGAAATATCTCAATCTCGTCCCCTCTCTTGGTGTTTTGCAGTCTGGTAATATGGCCAGAACAATGTTCTTTCTTCTTTGATGCTCCATCTGCGGCTTTAGTGAACTGATAGGTCATGACAGCACGATTCCCTTCCCTAACGTCTCCGTCGAGACAGAAAGTGACGGGCTCATTGTCGGCGTATTTGTCATAGTTCAGGTTGCCAAAGTACACACGCATATTGGGATTTGGAAAACTAGGATTCACAAGGTCAGATTAATTTAAAGAATGCTAGAAGTATTCAAGGCAGAATGGAGCCATCAAAATCTTACTGTGTAAGCTTCTAAACAAGTAAGGCACTGCCGTCCAGTCTGTCTGCTATGGATTGTGAGAGGGAAACTTTTGTCTGGGGAAGAATGTCTGAAACAAGAATAGCTTTATACCTTTTCATTAAGCTAAGTAGCCATTAATGTTTGATTATGTAAATGCTACTGGTGACCAGTTAACTAAACCACATCATTGGCCCACAGGAGAGAATCCGAGTGCCACCAATAACATGGGGTTGGGTAGTAGTTTACGGAGTATTTTTAAGATATTATCTGCTGTGCTTCGCTTGAAGGAGACGGTGAGGGGTACACAATCTACCTATTATATCCAGGTAGGCAAATCTAACAGGTCACGCGGGTGTTAAGTCAACCAGGGTCCTTCTGTCTCCACCAATGTATATTTTACTTACAATATGCCTGTATAACAGTTTTATGGGCTATATTATCTATAGTGCTATGCTTATTTGAAGAGAGCATGTAAAAGACTCTAGTCATGTCTCTTCAGAAAGGACGATTTCTCTCAGACATCGGGCAGGAGCAGGATAACGGGGAACGTGTTGCTAAGGCTATTTAGACTGAGTATTAACTTACAGGGTGACTTACAAACATCATGTGAGAAGTTTCTATATCTGGTCACTTGCAGCTTTAGAACAGACTCCAACATTGTGCATTTCCTTCTACCCTATTAAAAATATTCCGGTAAGCCCGGCTTGTCATTCTAACTTAATAACTTAGGCATCTATTTTAATGTATTAGTAAAGTAGCAGTGTATTCATCATCTTAACACTAGGTTTAGCTGCTGACTGATTGGTCGACCCGTGTAGGATGGATGCATAAGAAGCTTCCGACATGCATATGCATGTCAACAAAAGGGGTTTGGGCCGTCCGAGCGCATTCAAACCTAATGTCTCCACATAAATAATAGGGATGATCCCACTTGCATAGCAAGTCCAGTGTTTCTGTACCCATGGTAAATGATGGCTATCAGGTTCGATGATTGAAGTATTAATTAACAGCTGCTGATATTAACGCAGGGTGAACGTACTGTAGCAAGCCCACAACAGAACTTAAGCAACCAACCCTTGCCTTGAGAAAATAATTGTTATGTCGATCCGCCTATGAAGGATTAAAGTTCCGAGGTTGATAGATATAGAAGGTGTCGAAGAGAATATCGGACAGAAAGAAACAGAGGGTCAGAGGGGAACATCCATCCCGTATTGCATAAAATGGCACTTTTTGAGATCTCAATATCTCAACAAGAACGTATTAGGAGGGCCTAAAATCTATACTTTAGGCTTGTATGACCCAACTTAAGCAGATGACATATCTCGAAACTTATAATATTTATAGTTCTTTATATTACAGAGAAAGATCAATAAATACAGCTGTATTTTAAAAAGCATTGACGCGCTAGAAAGGAAGTTTGAATTTAAATAAAATAGAAGAATGTTCTATAGTGTATGTTTACTTAGTAGGAACTAAATTTTACAGTATATCTAAGCATATTGGTTGAGATATTAAGACCACAAGAAATGCCATTTTATATGCAATACAAAGGTGGCCCGCTCGTTTGCTGGGATACCTACGTTAAGTAAACCCCTCATTGCGTGGTTATGCTGCACGGTACTTCGGGCTAATGGAGATGTGACAGATGCGACCACGTCATACAACTGGCAACCAAGCCCTAGTGTGCTGAATTGTCAAGAATACCTGTCAGGGGCCACTCTGGTGGCATTAACCAATGCAACTGGGGGGAAAGGAAGAAGACTTGATAGGAAGAAATGGAAATTTGAAAATATCAAGCAGCGTATCATATGGCTCGGGTAAGAAGGACCGGCAAAATCGCCCTGTAAAAGGGTTACCGATGGTCACTTTCGCTGGCCTCGCTGCGGCAGAAGTCAGACTTAACCACGACTTCAGAAGTGTGTGGGAGAACAAGTTTCAAGAGGACTGGGTCGGTGCGACGGTTGTCGAGCGTCAACTGTTCTTGTAGGTGTTTCACGACGGGTAACGTTTGGCCTGAAGTCACCGTGTCCTCTACGATTACCGCGCTGGACTTCTCATTCTGCTTATCGTCGACCTTAAGCGCCAGGACTAGATCTAAATAGGCTCGTGGAAAAGCGCCAGTCGACTGGTAATAGCGCCACTTGCATTGATATCAGCCTGCGAGGGTTAGTTTCTCACGAGGTTATCACAGCCAGGCCAGACCACTACTTACCCAGACCTGTCGCTAGACAGCATCGATTCCAATGCGCCATAGGAGTAATATAATATACGTTGTTACCACTACAGCACAGACTCCTCGGCCGCCAGTGCCGTAGTGGCGCTTTTTTTTATAGAAGATTAGATCCCTCCTGCTGCATGTTTGTAACCACCAGCCGACGATCCTGGCCTTAAAGAGACCAATCGGACAAAAGTATGCGATTGGGAATTGCATTATCCCACGGTTTTACTGCGCCCCGGATGCAACTTCCTGACCGGCTAGAGTGTCGCTTGCTACCTGTGGCCACTCATTGGCATGATAAGCCCACCCAGTAAGGGGTAGACTGGGAGTTTCTTTGTCTCTCACGCCAGGATACGTAATTTTTGCTGTTTAACGTTCAAGATACAAGCGAAACGGTGAACAAGTGGCATAGCCAGAAGTGTTGCCATCGTTGTGCGCTGTGTTTTCCTCTTCGAACCCTCCCCCTTTTCAGCATGCCTATTCTCATCCTGAACTGTCGGAAATATTCTTTTGACAAGCTCTAGGAGTTCGAACTTCTACAATGGCGGAATCGAATGTCAACGACAAAAAGGTCGCAGCTCGCAACAGTATACTAAACAGTCCCGAAAGTGCACTGGAGCCGCCTGTGATAGGGCAGCGCCCAGGCTGTCCCCACGAGCGTCAGGTTGTGAAGGAATACAGCGCTGGGTTATGGAGTAAGCTAACGTTCTGTTAGATAAATAAGCATATGAGTTTATTTAACTTGCGGCTTTTTATAATTAACCTTGATTGATTGTTATAGACTGGATATCATGGACCATTGCAGTACGAGGACATTTGGCTTGTGAGCCCAGACCGTGCCGTTGTGTCTCTCTCAAGTCACTCCGAGAGAGCTTTCAACGTGTAGCCCAGGACAAAATGCATCCGCTACTTAGAGCCATCCACATCAGCTTTCGGCGCGAGATCTGGATGGGTGGTATTTGCCGTCTGCTATCAGACATCCTGTTGATCTTCACTCCCTTCACTCTCCGCTACCTGATTGCCTTTGAGCAGGATACATGGAGGGCATCGGGCTCGTTCTAGGTATCCTGGAGATACAGATTCTCCAGAGCCTGGGTGACACTCACTTTTACTACCGACTAATGGTTGTGGGCGGCTAGACGCGCAGTGTCTTGGTCCCCGCTATCTTTGATAAAGCTTTGCGACTATCTATAAGAGCCAAGACCGGAGGAGAAGACCAAAGATCCGCAGGGTTAGGATCGGAGGGCTGGACAGACAGTTGTATTATAAGCCTAATAACTAACGACGCACAACGCATCTTCCAGGCCTCTAATGTTGCTTATCTTGTCTGGATCAGTCCCATTGCAATATCGCTTGCTGTCATCCTTGTCATTGTTAACTTGACCTCTAGTGCCCCACCAGGTGTTAGAGTCCTTGTTATCCGCCTGTTCAGCTTGTCACGCGTGGTCAAGTTCCTAGCAAGCTGGAGAAATATAATCAACATCGTTGCAGACCGGCGGGTGAGCCTAACTTAGGAGATCCTCCAAGGGGTGCATTTTGTCAAGTGTTTCGTGTAGAAAAAAGCCTTCTAAGATCGCCTGAACAAGATCCGCGCACAGGAGATCCGCGCACAGGAGATCCGCTCAGTCCAATTTTGCTTATTATACAGAGTACCATTGGGGCAGATTTAATAGCCCTTTCTATTGTTGCCACGCTGTTCATATTTATTACCTTTGCCGTTACGAACCACGCGTTGGATGCGGCTATCATCTTCTCGTTCCTTACTCTCTTCAACTCCCTGCGCACTCCTCTGAACTGGCTCCCGGTAGCCATCGGACAAGTGATTAATGCATTAGCTTCTGTCCGACGTATTAAGGAGTTTCTAATAGCAGAGGAACATGAAGAACAGGCTCCCTGGGACTTTAATATGTTCCCTGCGGTGGAAATTCGGAACGCAATTTTTACCTGGGAGCAAGGTATGGGTACAAAAGAGAAGTCCGGGGCCTCTGTATCCCCCTTAGCGTCACAGTCGGTTTTTCAACTTCATGACTTAGACCTCACGGTCCCGTGTAATGAGTTGCTGGAAGTCTTGGGCAACGTAGGCGCTGGCAAGACCTTACTGCTTGCGCGTTGGCCGGGGAGATGCACCGCAGGAACAGTATAATAACTCCGGGAGCCTGGGGGGCCTTCTGTCCAGAGCATGCCTGGATTCATAATGCCACTATCCGTGATAATATTGTCTTTGGGAGACCGTTCGATACAGATGGGTATTATAAGGTCGTGGATGCGTGCGCCCTTTGGGCAGACTTTCGCAGTTTGCCTGCAGGTGACATGACAGAGATCGGGGAGCGAGGGATGAATCTCTCTGGGGATTAGAAATAGCGTGTTAACTTAGCGAGGGCTGTGTAATCGCGCTCGGATATCGTGCTCATGGATAATCCATTGTCAGCTATCAACACGCACGTTAGTGAGCATATCTTTGAGCACGCTATTTGTGGCCTATTAAAAAATAAGGGTCGTATTCTCACTCTCATCAGCTACATATACAGGACCGCTGGGATCAAATTGCACTGGTATAATGGAAAGATCCAAGCTGTCGATGCGTATGCGAGTCTCCGCCAGCGCTCCGCAGACTTTCACCGCTTGATAACTTTGAGCATCCAGCATAAGGAGGAAGGAGACGGAAATGCAGATCCTAGGGACCACAGCCACACAGATGATCGTATCGAGCGTATCGGCACCAGTGTCTCCCTTCATGGCGGTAGTGCTCTGATGACTGTGGAAGGCAAAACCGTCAAGATTGTTCAATGAAGCGTCTATATAGCCTGTTAGAGTAAGACAAATCAGATTTAGTCTTATAATGGAAGGGGTATACTTACTAATAATCATTGATAATAATAATGAATATCAGAATCGTTAATTACCCCATTTAACGTTGTGACGGTTAGCTGGCGGCCAAAAACTGCCACACCTGAAGCCGTTTTACAAGTCTTGCTATTATATTCTTTTCAGTTTTAAGCCTTATTATTCCGACCATGTCCTTTCCTACTCTCATCCTTCCTCCTGCCAACATCCCTCGCAACACTCATCTCTGCTGGCCGTTGGGAAGGGAATTTCCCATGGGAAATCGGGATGGGATTATTGAAATTTAGGAGGGAAATCCCCATATTCCTAACTTCTAAACGGATTCACATCCCATGGGACTACACGATACGAACAGGACGAGAATTTTTAGGCATATGGGAATGGGATTAGCCGTAGCACACCTACCCACAACGCTTTCTATCCCTTCCCGAATCCCATATAATAATAGGAATCCCCTCCCGAAAGGCTTGGCACGGGAAGGGATCACAATTTAATTCCGACCGGGATTATGGGACGGGACATGAACCCTTCCGGGATCCCGAATCCCTCCCAACGGTCATCCTACTTTCAGATTGAGCTAGGTGAATGTGGCAAGAATAGTGGGTAGGTGGCGGTGTGGTAGCGGCTAAATAGATATCCGGCTTCAATATAACAATGCCATCTGACGAAAGGGGTAAATGATTACCCATGATTACCGCTCTCGTCAGATGGTCCACTGAGTTCTACCTCTACCACACCTCCTCCGCTTATGGACAAATGATTCCTCCACTTCACTACCTCTGTATGAAAGTGTTGATTTGTGTTGACGCTCTAGACTTTAACTGTAAAGGGCTGGAGCCAGCTTGACCTCTCTGGAGTGCTCTGGGAGCCGTCAGTGAGCATCTAGTGCGTGTCCTGGAGGTGTCGGTGACATACCCGGATCACTCCGGTGGCTGAGCGCTCACGTTAAGGCCGTCATAAGAGCGGCGGGATCCGTAATAGGAAAATCAGAGCGGCTCGCAGAGTAATATTAAAGTATTGCAGATATGCAAACTATCCGCAACTATCACGCAGTCAGATACTTTGACCAACATTACCAAGTTCTTATCAATTTCATCAAATGCATCGCCCTGCATACGTAGTTGCAAAACCCCTATTGTTTGACACTCATGGTCCGAGAAGCCGAACCCTTGGATTATCAGAACAGTTTCAAAGCCAAGTTAAAAAAAAACGCGGCCGAAAAATAGACGTAAAAATAGATCTAATCCTGAAATATTCATACTGTCCATTAAAAGAGACTCTTATTAGCCAGCCTTATTTGAAACGTGGCGGCGAAGGATCCGCAATCAGAGGCTTGGTCTTCCTATTTTTGTCTACATCTTGGCATGGATCCACTAGTCCATTAGCTTTTGCACGAAACCTTAAAAAAGTCACTATTGTTATAAGTATATATTGTTGCGCTGTATGCACCGAGCTGTGGAATATTCAGAGAATAAGGCGTTTGGCTCGAGATCGGATGTATTAATCGCTGTCGGCCGAAATCATGTGGCGTCAGGTGGTATGCAGTCCCTTTTTAAGATTAATTGAGCTTGTTCTAATAATAATAACTCAGTGTGACTCGTGCCATGCTAGGAAGGTATACTCCGCAGATTCATCGTTCAGATTTCATACTTTCTAAAATACCAAACTTCCCCTTCCATACTACGTTAACTAATATCACACTCAGATCCGATGTGACAGGAACGATCCCTGTGGAAATTGCCTGGACCAAAAGTCCGCATGCACTCGGACCCGTGGCATGAAGCGACTTCCCAAGAGGAACCTTGCTCAGATCCCAAGAGGGACCTACGACCATCAACCTGACGGGCCCCTTGCCTCCCAGTCCTGGGCCGCATATCCACAGTCGCTGCAAGACGGCGTTAATCAAGCAGGAGACTCTTCTACTTTCGATGTAGGTTCACATCGGATGGGCGAAAACTTCTCGGCGGACATGCTTGATAATGGACCCTCTATGATTTTGAACCGGTTCGATATAAACTATGAGCTTCATAACTGGATTGCGTTTGTTCCTCTCACGGATGCTCAGATGATCAACCGACATCAGTTGGAACTTCCGCAGGGCCTTGCTTGGAGTAGGCACCAAGCTTTAGAATCAGCCTTATTTTTTGCAAGCCAGATCCCTGGGATTTTGGATCAATGTGCAGAGACGGTTGGGGAAATATCTGGTGAAGAACGGTGCAGCATTCCGTCCATTGAATTCCTGCATTGGATGTTGAATGGTAAGTAGATACCTATTACATTTCCATCTTATGATGAAGACTATGCTCATTCGATATGCCTTTGCAGATATCGGCAGTGACAAATTTGGCTCCTTCGCTTTGGGCTTTTTCAGACACATTGGCAAAGACACTCTCAAGTATATGGGGTTAGCCATCATTTTTAACACTGCCACGCCTTCTGATTCCATTCTTTACACAGTCTGCGTCAGCTCCGTGGCCTATAAATTCCTCAATACTATAGTCGAGACTGAAAGAGACGACGAAATAGCTCAGAGACTCCGGTACCACGCACTACTCTACAGAGAAACGGCAAAGAGAGCGATGAAGAAGGTTTCACTCATGACAAAGCCTTCGCTTTCTTTACTACAAGCCATATTATGTGGGGTGAGTAATCTGGCATCCAAGAATGAAATGCATGAGCCTAATAAGCAAACAGATCTTCTTACACCAAGGATCAGGCGACACCAACACCTGCCGAGAGCTGGCAAAGTCTGCATGTAGGATATGCATGGATCTCAGCCTGCACCCTGCTACTAGCAGCGAGGAAGAGTATTACTGTTTCATGTGGTGCTACATACTGGACAGAAATTATGCTTGGAAAGTGGGAAATCCCAAAGTGCTGACCGTCGAACCTAGCACCGATATGGGCCCCTCAAGCACGAACATCGTGTCCTCGGAATTGATTCTTATATATTTATATCTGGCGGAAGTTCAGGATGCAATGATGCCTTTTCTTAATGACTCCACCAGGGCAACTGCCTCTCGGTCCTTTCGCAGTATAGGGGCAGGCCTTTTGCAAAAGATGGAGAACATTCAAATGAAGATAGACCAGGTAGGTACAAAAAGCTTCCTGACTATGATACATTGTACAAAGATGGACTATAGCTCAGCATTCGATATGTAGATCAGACTCCCATCCACAAGCTGGACTGGCTTAGATTTAGACAGCGAAATCGCAACCCTCGACTTCGCCTACCATTCGGTTATGACCAGCATCTTACACCTGTACCAAGTCACTCATAACCGAACCGGCATAGATCACTACCTTGGGTCTGCGCGACGTGAGCTGCTGGCGTTGATAATGATATGCAGGTCCAGTGACGTACAGAAAACCGTCGCCCATTTACATTGGTTAGTCCCTAGCCAGAATTAGACTCTTAAGTGAGGACTAATGCTGACATCAGGACCCTTTTATATTATCCTTTAACATCGTGCTTTGCACTGTTCTGCAACGCCATCATAACATGCCATTTAGAGGACTTTCAGATCCTCAAGACTGTCGCGGACTGTCTGGCTCAGAGCGGGACAATGAGCCAGCCTATCGCCATCATGCAGAAACTATTTCAGGAATTCGTTTCTCTATCGTGGTGTTTCTTCAGTGCAGAAAACACGACTGTCTCTGGAGATAAGAGCATCATGTGGCCACTTTCTTCTCACAGACAGGGGACTGCATCTGACATTTCATCCTTGCCGCTCCCTTCCTGGATGGAAACTTCTTTTAGTCAGGAAGCACCAACTGACATAATGGGACAATTGGAGCCAGCCTCTTTCTCAGTGCCCAACAATTCCCTGTGCCAAGATTGATCCCTCTCTTTGAGACAAACTGCCAATGAGTCCGTTAGTCAAGCGTAAATAAGGCCACAAACTTTTGATCATAGTCAGAGGTTGAGCGGGCGAGAGGCCATGCAAACCTTCGTGGTTATGGCACATTCGAGAAGCGTGGTAGTATTAGCAGATTGTAATTAAGGGTGAAAAGAGGCAATAGACAGGTCATCAAGTGAAGCGAGAGAATAAAGACGCACACAATATTCGTACAATTGTTCGTAATTCGAATACGAATAACTACGGGGTGTTGTCAACTACAGTGGAGTGCTGAAATACAACGAATATCGAATCAAAAATAATGATCTGATTTCCTAATTAAGCTGATCAAAAAGCTCTATTTATGTGGCCATTAACGCGACAGCGGTCATTTTCCGGTTGACAAAGTATTAATTTGCCGGCCCCGCGCCGAGGTCTAGAGGCGAGTGCCTGGGACACCAGCTGTGTTAATAGGGTAGTAGAAAGAGGACTACAAAGCAAGTTGGTACCTCTTGCGCATAAAATGTACCGTAGGTTTGCTACTTATCAGACAAACTTTATATTTTGTCGCCAGAAGAGAGAAATAGAGGCTTACTGCTTGAATTGAAAGAATAAACTATGTGTGTGGTGCACGAAGTGTTGAATATTCAACACCAATATTAGAGGAATTAGAATTGTGGTAAACTGTTGAAACCATCCAAGTAATACAGCAGCAGACGGATGCATATGGCAAGAATCACAGTCACGCGAGTTTACTAATTATAGTATAAACTAGAATACCAATAGATTTCAATATATTTATTATTAATGTTGGAGATAACTATCAGAAATAGAAATGGATACCAGAACAGCTGTATTAGAATATTCATCATTTTTATACAACCAAAGGAGGAAATATGAAAAAAAAAAAAAAAAAATTAATTACGCAAAGACGGGTGGCTGAGGCTCGGGGAGGGTCCACCCACAATAGACCCCACAGGTTCGAGGGTCTCCCTCAATGAGGGTCGTGCGCTAGGCTGGCCGTTGGGAGGGATTCGGGATCCCGAGGGAGGTCTGGTCCCGTCCCATATTCCCATAAGGATCCTGGGGTTGGTCCCGAATCCCGTCTCAAGAAAATGGGAAGGGATTCCCATCCCGTGCTAAGTAATATGGGATGGGATTCGGGATGGGATAATCCCATCCCATGCCAAGAAATATGGGAGGGAAATCCCTAAATTATAAAAATACTCTTCCCATTTCCCGTCCTATTTCCTAATTAGGTTTAGTATATTTTTAAAGTAGCAGTTTTGAGTAGTAACTATACAGTATATACAGTAATTATTAATCACGTGATTTAATATGGGAAGTTCCCATCTAATTCCAAGGGAATTTCCCAAATTCCCATTCCCTTCCCATTAGTAAGTGTGATCCAATTTCTTACCCCAATTCCCATCCAGAAAGAAGGGGGAATCCCAGTGGGAATCTTTTGGCATTCCCTTCCCATTCCCATTCCCATAAAATCTTAGAAAAGCGTCCCCTTTTTATGGGACGGGAATCCCATCCCGATTTCCCATGGGAATTTCCCTTCCCAACGGTCAGCCTAGTCTAGTTGTGGTCTGGGCAGCTATTTGGGGCAAAAATAGAGATCTCATATGTTTAGGGCGTGATTTTAAAGCCAAAAGCAAGGATACTGCAAAGCCTTGTATTGCTCTACTAGAGGAAATGGTGCCTTCTATCTGGGAACCAGGCTATTTTTACGCATGACAGCACCCCTATTCATTCAGCTGAAAAATTTGCAACATTATAGCTCGGCATAGATATATGCAGATCAGATAATTCATGAAAAGTTAGAATGACTATCTGCAGACTGCAGGTTAAACAGATCTGTTGAAGCATACCGCCATACATGGGCCCCCCACCCTTGGTTCGACATCGATTAATCATCATTTATGTAAGCTAACTAGTTCTTAGTTAATATTAACTAGTTAGTAAAGTAGTAACGTTAGCGGTCACCCGGTCAATAGAACAAGCAATCGCTTTCAACAAGATCACTGTGTCCTGTGATGTCATGTTAGGCATATCTTTTGTTTAATAACCGGTATAATTGGATGCTGTAGGACCCGCTATTATTCCGCGCCAATCATGGGCTTGCCTTCCTGACCAAGGCTAATAATAGTCGGGGACTTCCGCCTTCTTGAGCGTTCGAAGTCAATAATCATTGCTATACTGGCTAAGGAAAATTGGGTTTCAATCCACATGACGTTGGTTAGCAAAGCCTTCGTGCTGAGACGAGTTGGAACACTGACGTACGGATATAGTAAAGGTCTCGGGGAAAGCGACTCATGTACAAATATACCGAACGAGAATATTGTTGCTATTTATGGAGTTTTCTTTGTTTTTATTAATGCCATGGCACATGTCTTCTCCTTATGAATACGTAGAGGTCCGTATTTGAGAGAGATAATTGGGAATTATCTGTATTGACAAGCAAGTTCATATCTTGCTTAATCGAATCCTTTGCGTTCCTTCATGCTGTCCCGAGTGGAGCGATTCTTTGAATCACCTTCTCGGATGGATCTCCGAATACAACTCAAAAAAGAGCAGCCTGTCTATACAAATGAAGATGAGGTTTCTGGTCATGTTGTCCTGCGCAATGAAGCAGAGGTCGACATCACCAAAATAACTATCAAGCTTTCAGGGTCAGCGACATCAAGACTGGACTCAGGGAAGCTCACTGAATTGCATGAGGTATGCTCCCCTTCTCCTTTCTTTTAATTGGGGGTGAGGGTCTGGGTTGACCGAGACAGCTTTTCAAGAGAAATAAACAAGTATTTCCTCCCAGCCACTGTGCGAGCTGGTTCACATCGGGAGACCTGACTGTCTCTCCGGGTGAGCACGCTTTTCCATTTTCTATTAGGGTGAGTGATTGAGCTTTTCCATAGTGTTAAGGCAAATATTTATATAACATTGGCCGTTACATAGTTTCCTCAGGTATCGGAATGCTACAAGGCGCACACTACAGATATCGCCCGCAAACGATCAGCAAGCCGGCAGCCACGACATCTACTGCGAAAGCTTCCACCTTCCACCGGTGATAGGACCACGCCTGAGGAGATCAAGTATGTCCTTGAGGCAACTGTTCAATATAATGGTCTCATATGTGCGACCCACAAAACCGTTGAGTATTCCACTCCGAAGGTCAATCGCCGCCAGTCCTAATACGGTGCCACAGGCCCGCGATGTATATTTCCATCCAATTTCTGTTTTTAGTCCCCCACTGCATAGTTTGGCAGTCAGAAAGGTCCTCATTTGCAGCCCGGACGGATCTAACATCTCTTCTTCTTCGCCACTGACCTACGAGATTGTGGCCGAGCTCTTGCATGGACCATTCCTGCTGCTAGGGCATCCGATCTCGCTAAGGGTGAAAGTATTGGGCTTTAAATTGGATGATAGCAACGTTGCTGCATTGCTGCATGATTTCCAGTCCATGCTCATCGAAAATACGGAGGTCCGATCATGCGGATCGACCCAAGTTCACAGCCGGTCTTGGATCACTCAGACAATGTCAAATCTGCGTCAACCACTTGTGGTCGAGGACAGTCCTGCATCTGAATCAATATTGACGCTCAATGACACTCTATGGAGTCGGCATTGTGTGCCCCTGCATCTGACCCCGACATTTGAAATTTGTAATCTTAGCCGGAGCTACCATCTCGTGGTCAGGCTTGGGATTGAGGTTGTTAGGAATAACGTAAGTCGCTAGCATCGGGCTGCATAAAGGACAGAAGCTGACGCACATTGCAGCCGAGGATATTGGAGTTTCAGTTTCCAGTCTATATTTTATCGCCCTCATACTAGATCCCCCTTCATCGGAAACCCGGCAACTACACTGTCCTGAAATACAGGCCCTTGAAAAGGAGTTGGATTTGGAGAGTGCATGATTGAAAGTTTATGATATTGTTTCGAGTCCATTCTCGTTGTATACTGTGCTCCAGAATTTTAGAGTGAACAGAGCCATACACTACATTCCTCATGTCGGGCTTCGAACGACCCTAGCTTCTAGAGTCCAGCTCGATAGGAGTATTCATTTACTTTGTTCAGCAGATCTCTATTGGCTAGCTATTTAGTAATGTGAGATTCTAAGAGATTATGAGCGAAAGTATATGGAATCATATTGTGAGTTAGAAAGAATAGTTCGAGGCTATGAAGGGTCGATGGTCTAGTATACAAGAGCCATACTGGTATAGCGAACTGTCTGCCTCAGTCCAAAGCCTCCTCCTATCTATCCCTATCCCCAACCAAGCCTCCCGATTATGACAAGCCCCAACACTCCAATTGCAATCTTCGTCGGTACTGGCCTCCGAGAAAAGACACCGGCGTTTGTACTCGATTCCATTTCAGTTGCGGAAGAGGGGGTTGAAGGGCCAGTGCCAGTCGGGGTAGGGTAGGTGGTCGTTGTGCAGTGGCATTGGTAGCGCCCGTACAGCAGACATCTTCCCAGGCGACTCCAACGTCATAAAGGCAGTGGGTGAGGTCCTGGACCGATTGATCGACAGCAAGACTCCACAGGGCACAGTCATGGTAGTAGGGTGGACCCTGACGTGGTGGTTGTGGCGGATGCCATGACTGGAAGGGTGATGTTGCTGGAGAATGGAGTGTGGATAGATGCATGAACACGCATGATAGTCCATAGAGTTATTTATGTAACTAGATGCTTGCCAGGGATCTTACAATCTAGGATCATGAGATCAAGCAAAATTTACCTATATCTCTTGCCGGCTATTTTTAGCCGGGGTAATGCCATCAGTCTCAGCCGTAACAAACGGATTTGGTTAGAGATTCAAAGTGCTAAATTGTCTATCATGACCTCGCTAACTATATCAATACTATCTCCACTGTTGATCTTCATATCCTAGCAACCAGACCGTCGTTCTTTTAATCCTCTTTATTAGTCTAGCTGTCTATTCTTATTCTTTTTCCTTTTTTGGGGGGGGGGGTCATATACACTACACTCCTTAAATTTGCCTCACCCCTGCACATCTTTTTTCCAGTATAAGTCCCTTGCGATTATTATTTCAAGCTTTAGTCACTGCTCACTGATGTATCATGTTCTCAAAATATGGAACTGTAGCTCTGGCTACAATGGCTTCTCTGGCCATCGCGCAGACCTTTACGGACTATAACCCTCTACAGAGTAATGCTCAGCCTAGCCCTTCGATCCATGGAATTGCTAATAACCAATAGCGCAGTGCCCCGACAACAAAGGGCTGAACCAGGGACCGTTCATCTCCGACTTTACCAAGAACCACCCGTCACTCGATCAATGGAAGATCACCGGTGGCACCCTCCAGTTCAGCGACCAGGGAGCAGAGCTCGCCGTCCGCGATAAGGGCGATGCGCCCACTCTCCAAAGTAAATTCTACATCTTCTTCGGCAAAGTCGAGGTAAAAATGAAGGTCGCCCCGGGTATTGGCATCGTAAGTGCCATGGTTCTCGAATCGAATGTGTTGGACGAGATTGGCTGGGTAGGTTTCTCGACCTGGGCTGTGCATCTATAAAGCATCAGGCGCTAAGGGCATCGATTATATACAATATAGTAAGCACTTGGGGGCGACAAAACCCGGATTCAGACCAACTACTTTGGAAGGGGCGATACATCTTTCTTTGATCGCGGATCATTTGAGACCTTCGCCAGTCCTCGGGACGTATTCCATACTTATGCAGTGGAGTACACTCCCGAGAAAATTACTTGGTCAATTGATGGCACGGCCGTGCGGACGGTCACCTTTGATGAAGCCAAGGGCGGCACTCGCTACCCGCAGCAGCCCATGACAGTCAAAATTGGCCTCTGGGAGGGTGGCGATCTTGAAAATGATGCCGAGACAATTCAATGGGCTGGTGGCCAGACCGATTACAGCGCTGGACCCTTCACGATGTATATCAACTCCATCAGGTTCGCAGTTTCAACCCGGCTTCTTCCTACCACTACTCTGATCAGAGCGGCTCCTGGAAGAGTATCAAGATGGAGGATGATTCTTCGTTGGGCGCGAGCGAGTCGATTCATGTCACTGGCACCACTATCGGTTCGGCCTCTCATCCCCCGAAGGCTTCCAGTGTAGTGCATCCTCATCCTGCATCGGCCACTACTAGTCCCAGTTCGGCTTCCACGTGTGTTGCAGATCCCTCGATCAGTCTGCTTGAGGGACGTGCCAGCGCCCAGCTGCAAGCATCGTCGTTGGTTATTGGGATCTTAAGTACTTTGGTATCTACCCTGCAGTTGTAAACTCGCGTCATCGGTGACTGTTAGAAATACTGCCTGTTCAATACTATAGAATTGCGTTATGCAATGGGTGGTTCTTCGGTGAAGCATCCACTTTCTTGAATATTAGGATATCAGTTATATGACTTTGATTTGTCTTACATTATAGTGGCTTTAGAACCCTATGTGCTCGATGATGAAAAGTTAAGTGTGTGTCCCTCCCAGGGCAAACAACCCATCTATATTTAGGCATTGCAAATTCCCGTCTTGATATTACTTATGACTTTTGTTCTTTTGAGATATGAGACTATCTCTCCCGGCATTATATAGAACTACCAGTTGGATTATAGTACCAGCCTGGGAGATAAAGGACAATGAACAACACTTCGCCAAGTGCTCACCTCTAAGTTGCAAACTTTGTCATCACACGTGGCACCTTACTAGCATATAGAACATTATTCGAATTACGTGTAACTAATAAATGACTTGGCCATGTCACAAGGTGACAGTGCCCAAAAACTTGAATACATCAACTCAAAAGTTTCTTACAAACGTGAGCTATGTAGGCCGGAGAGAAAACTCTTAGAGCAGTTAACCACTTGACCATATAAAAAGGTACAAAACGACTGATCGGAGGTCAGTCGCATCTAGCGCCCTATATAGGAGCGAAGGCCATGCCTGAGCAATGCATTGGGTTCAACCCTTGACATTGAGAAGCGTTTCTTAAATTGTTATCGGAGACATGTAGACTAGTTTGTGTGTTACGCCATATATATGTATCCAAAATAATATGTTCACGGTTAGACCATCATATAAAGTAAACTAATGTGCGAAGCTGGGCTTAGAGGAAAGCCTTTTTGGGAGATTCCTCTTGAGGAAATTAGCCACTGAGGGTTGCTATATAAGCAAAGGCAAGATGAGAGGGAATATATCATGTGAAATTGCTCGGTATACCCGTTTTAGGATAGCGGTCTTATACCCTATCCAGTTATAGGATACCAAGGGCGTTGGTTTTAGAAGGCACCACTGCGAGAATTAGGATTACGCTCCCGATTGCGCAGCAGTTCACTGTTCGGCGAAACATACATTTCTAAGGCCAGTTTGCATAAGTATAATTGGCTGTAACTGACCCATACAATAAGGAACGGAAGTAATTTGTGACTGCAGAAATATTACTACATAATCCCTGCCTTGCTGCAGTCTCCTAGGCAAACGCCTTAGCTAACTCTTAAAAATATTTAACAGAAGCTAGTCTGCGGCGCAAGCGTCCCGGGCGCTGGGAAAATTCTCTAGCAACCACACCGGGATATAAGAATAGGAGAAATTAAATTACATTGCGGAATCTATTATTCTATAATAAAAGAAATCTAATAAGAACTTATACACATGAAACCAGCTCCGCTACTATTTGAAATAATTAAGATAACCAAAAAAAGAGGGAAAAAAAAACAATCTAAGTGAAAGGAAAATGTGACTGTTGTTCGGAGGAAGATTAATTATTCTTCTAATTCTCTTCTGTAAACTCGAGGGTTTAAAGACCAATAAACACGCTAAAGTTCAAGGCTACTCTTGCATTAACAGACAATGTTAAATAGTAGAGACTTATCAGGTCACAGTCAAATGCATGCTAATAGTGTGCCGTTGGAGGTACATTTTATATCATGGGTTAAACCCAGTATGGTGCTCAGACTACGCCTTCGCTACTATATAGGGCGCTAGATGCGACTGATCGAACTTGTACCTTTTATATGGTCAAGTGGCTTTATCTGTACTTGCGCAGAGACAACCAAAACATCATATAAGATATTGCTTCAGACGTAAATATATAGTATCTAATAATAATTACTCATAAAAATAAGTAGAGATTTAGGGCTATTATATTTCTGTATATATTCTAGTCTGCTATCATATTGCTGGATATTATGGTATTCTGATTAGGAGGTCTGAATTGACTGTATACAGAAAGAAGTTGTGCCCAACTCTTCTATAGAGTTATTATGTATGTATAGTTCAAATGATGTCCAAAGCAAGACTAGCTTATTTTGACAATTATTTACCTGCTTAATAATATATACACATAAAGTACAATTATACACCTGTGACAGACCTGTGTGAAGCTTGTGTGCTTGCATGATCCTTAACAACTCGGGTGAACACAGGCCACGCTGGCTTTGCGCCAGCGCGATCGATCCATTGCCACTCTGAAGAGACAGGCTCGCACAGGTGCAGATCAAATCGCTTGATCATGTGTGCAATCCCAAGATACAACTGCATATATGCAAGACTAGACAGAAAGTCAGCCAGCGATAGGGGTCATCCGACAGAATGACAACGCACTTGGTCCCGATACAGGCATGATTGCCCTTCTGGAACGGAGCGAAGCAACGATCGCGGTCGTTGTTGCTGGCCACCAGCCACCGTTCGGGGATGAATTTGGTCGGTTCTGAGTACGCCTTGTCGTTCTGGTGCAGGGCGTATATGCTCGCCGCGATGGTGGTCTTGCAATTGGTTAGCAGGGATCACAGATAGCGTAATGGTTGATGTACACCGGCAGGCAGGTATTGTTCACCAACTGTGTATCCCCCGGTCGGAACTACTCTGGGCAGGAGGCCAGGCAGGCCGGGATACATCCGGAGAGTCTCCTTGACAACAGCTGTCTACAGAGTAGTTAGTTGGGGAGGCACAGCATCGAGATCTAGGAGGATGTCAAATCTCACGAGGTAGGGCAACTGCATCAGGCTGCTCCAATCATCACTGTCGAGAGTGTAGTTGACCAGCTCGCTGCGGAGGCGATGGCGCATGGCTGGCGATTGGCTAACCTGGAATATTGCAGCGGACAGTGTTACCGCTGAGGAATCCGTGTTCGGAACCAGGAACTGGAGCATGTGCTGCATTAGATCGCGATGCATGTCCGTTGACAGCGCTCCGACAGGGTTCTTCTCGACCAACATTTCACACATGGAGCACGGCTTCTCTGCAGATGGTGTGTCGCGGCCCCTCGCGTGGGACTTTTCGATAAGAGCGTCGCATTTCTATGCACTCATTAGCTTCCTCTGAGGAGAGGTTCCTGCTCTGCCCGTACCTCTCGAAGGAATCCGAGACCAGGGGCCAGGGAATCCACGATGCTCGGCGGAATCTTCGCGCCGACGAGCTGCAAGAAGGGAAAGTTCAACACTAGACGGCCCTCAGTCAGCGTCTTCCGGCAAAAGCAAATTGGAAAGTGACATACGGAGTAAGGACCGGGAGCCTATCTCATCCATCACGCCCAGCAAGTCAGATCGATGACCCGTAGGGACCAACTCTGATTCGCCCAAAAGGACCTCGGCCACCGTATTGCACTATCCCGGGTTGGCACAGCTATTTGATCAAGAGACAGGCCAACATACCGTGAGTGAGCGATAGAGATTCAGCAGGTCAATCGGTGCTCCATCCTGGGACTGTTGCATCATGATATCCGACGCCTTGTTCAGCCGGCGTACAAAGCCCTTGGCCAGACGATCCGCGGCGCCCTTAGAGAAGAATGGGTTCATCACGGCCCGCATGGTCCGGTGTCTTTTCGGATCCGTAACTGAGAGAATCAAGGCCGCCCCGCCTCTGTTGTGCCAGAAACCACCCCATTTCAGAAAGGGAGAGTTGCGCGAGAAGATTCTGGTCAGGATATTGAGCTGGGTATTCCCCTGAAGTTGTGGGTGGTAAAGCGTACTTATGGTAATCCTGCGGATCTTGAACATGGACGTAGTTGGGTCCAATCCGTACCACCGTGGAGTCTACTCCGTACTCATCTCTCAATGCCTCGTTTACCCAAGAAGGTATGGGGTACACGTACGGTAGCGCTCGTGGAGCTCTGGGATAGTTTTGACCATTCCATCCCCGAAGACATCGAAATAGAACCGATAGAAGTCTGTAACGGCGGCCAGTTTTGGGCCCGGAACGGCTCGAAGTGGGTGAAGAAAGAGCCGATAGAGACTGACGACCAGCGCCAGGATGATGGCTACTAGGACCAGCATGTACAGCGCTGTGACCGTCGACCCTGGCCATAGCAGTGCCGAATAACTGGTGATCATACCGTCGGTGGCGACTTTGCTGTGCAAGGAATTGCAAAAGATACACGAACCAGGGTGACATGAAATTGACCCTTCTGCCTGGGATCCTCCCTTCTTATCTGACTACCGTCATAGCTTGTTTTCAGCATGCCAGTGGTGGGTAAGGACGTGGTACATAATATTTGTCTTGATCCCATTGAAGTTGCCTGGCTCTCGCCAGTCATGGACATTGATAAAGCAGCTGAGTCGCGCCGATCATGGCGACGTGGAACCAATAGAGGAGATTTATGACAGCCACCAGACGAATAGTTTGTGTGACAGAGAGCTCAAGGAATCGTAGCCCTGCCCTGGAAGTAGATTGTGATCCATCAACCACGAAGTTTGGGTTGCTGACTACAATTGCGTAGCCATAGTTAGCTTTAAGGCCGGACCACCGCCGATTCTTGCCTCTCTGGACACTGCACATCAGATCGATCAAGGAGTCGAGGATACACTTGGTCCTGGATCTCGATAAAGGCCGCTCCTGACTTGCTTGGCGGACCCATTATTATTACGATTCCCAGTCGAGATCCCGAGGCGATCGGCACGGCTGAGAAATAGCAAACAGGACAAGAAAAGAAGATGAAGAAAGAAAGATAGAAAGGAGTCCACCCATAATGGACACATGACAGACCCCTGGTCAATAATCAATGTGAACCTCGTACCTGTCATACTCCCTAGAATATGTTTGCAGAGGCGTCAGTACTATTCACAGCCGGTACCCCCCTTATATCACATGACTAATTACTCGCTGCTGACGCCTTTTCTTGGAACACTGAACCGGGGAGAGACGTCTGGCTCGCTGGCAGTGGAATCCAGGGAATGGAAATGCTTAGCAACCCTAGACACAATGCCAACCAGACAGGCAACACCGCAATGGCGGTTCTGGAGCGTCTTCGCCGCCCTCAGCCTGCTGAGTCTCATTGCTTCGGTCGACATCAGTATTGTCACCACGGCCCTTCCCACAATCACCCGTGCGATCGGGGGTGAGCGCCAGTACGTTTGGATCGCGAACTCATACCCGCTGGCTTCAACCGTGCCACAGCCGCTGTATGCCCAGATCTCCAACCTGATCGGGCGGCGAAACCCCGTTTTGTTTGCGGTGTCCCTCTTTGCGGTGGGCAGTGGCATCGCGGGAGGCGCAACAAACACAGCCATGCTTATTGTAGGCCGTGTAGTCCAGGGCCTCGGGACCGGCGGCATCTACGTGCTTTCCGCCATCATCGTGAGCGACCTCGTGCCGCTGCGTCAGCGCAGCCAGTACGTGAGCGTCATGTTTCTAACGGCGGCAGTCGGGGGCGCCATTGGCCCGCTGGTAGGCGGTGCATTTGCTGAGCGTGACTGGCGCTGGATTTTCTATTTAAACGTCCCGGCTTCGGGCGTATCCTTGGTGGTGATGTTCATCGCGTTGAAGGAGAAGTCGAGGGCCGTCGCAACAAATGACGCCTCGATCAGGGGCGTCCTGGTGCGAGTTGACCTGCTGGGGAGTGTGATCTTCATCCCGTCAGTGCTGGCCATCCTCTTGGGGCTCGTCCTCGGCGGGGTCGACTATCCCTGGTCATCATACCACATCATCGTTCCTCTGGTCATTGGCTTTGTCGGATGGGGGTCATTCCACGTGTATCAGACTTTCTGCAAAGAGCCCAGTGTGCCGAATCATCTGTTTAAGAATCGGACAACTGTCGTAGCCTTTGGGATGGGCTTCATTGCCTTCATGCTGACACAAGTCGCGTCATATTTCCTACCAGTCTACTTCATGACCGTGGCAGGCGCATCGCCGGTCCGCGCCGGCGTTGACTGCTTGCTCTACTCAGTCATGGTACCAGTGAGTGCTGTAGGCGCAGGGGCATTCGTGGCCCGGAGCGGGCGGTATAGGCCGTTGTTTTGGGGCGGCTTTGCACTACAGGCTGTGGGCTATGGTCTGCTATCGACATTGGGGGGCATATATTCACAGGCTCGGTCATACGCGTATGAATTTCTCGTGGCCATTGGGACAGGCCTTGTTATACCTGCCATTTCGTCAGCACTGATGGCGCCACTCCCCGAGTCCGACGTTGCCTGTGTCAATGGCGTGTATTCATTTCTGCGGTCGTTCGCTTTTGTGTGGGGCGTCACCATCTCGTCGATCGTCTTCAACAGTCAGTTCGACACCCATGGGAGCCAGATCCAGGACGATACAGTGCGGACTAAGTTTGCTGACGGCGCCGCTTATACTTCTGCCAGTGGAGGGTTCATCGCGGGACTTCCACAGTCCACTAGGAAGAAGGTAATTGCCGTCTACATGGATGCTCTTGGCACAGTATGGCAGGTAGCGATCGCATTATCTTGTGTGGGGTTTCTTCTGGGGCTGGTTGCGAAACATGTTCCGTTGAGAGAGGAGCTTCATACGGAGTATGGATTGGAGGAAAGCACGAATACCGGTGATTGTGAGCAACTTGAACGTGAGACTGCCGAGAGCAAATAAATGGATGGTAGAGCTAGATATTATAGCTGGTCATAAGGGATCCCATTTCTAATTCATCATCGAGGCTCTTCATATAGATGGGGCTGGCAACAAACCAGAGTAACGCTCAAAGAATACAGAATCACGTCACCGTATGAGCATAGCAGTGACAATTCTAGGAGTAGTGCTCATAATTACAGGTACCAGCACTGACTGGACGGCCAAGACATACGGTAGAGAAAATGTGTGATGACGTGTTTGGAAACCCTTCGATGAAACTAGCACATCGAAGGCCTCAAATCCCCCCATAGCTTTCACTGATTCGTTGCAAAGAGTTTAGGAGAAGGGATGCAGTCACCACGGCCGAGTGATGGTTTGTGTTCAGTGCAATGTGCCAATGTCCCCTTTTTATCATAAAAGCAGCCTCATACTATGAAGTCAGAATATCTTCTCAAACACCGGCAGACCACAATATTATCTTGACGTTTACCAGGCCCATGCCGTACATCGGAACTTCTACACCATTAGCCCAGGTATACTGGTGTTTCATTAGTAAAATCATGTTTTAAAGACTTTAGTGATGCAGCCTTTTATGGGCAACACAGAAGTCTAAATATCTGTTCTTATTCATCAATAATCCATTATCCAAGTTTAGTCGTATGTTTAACTGAATTAAAGCCAAAATAATGAAGAATATATAATAAAGAGACAGGATAAATCGAAGCTTTAAATATAAGAATATTGTAGGATTGTTAACAGCTACTCTGGTCCTTTTAAATATGATAGTTTTCTAGGTGCTTTCTAGTGTAGAAGGCCGGCCCGTATACCTATTATCTTCCATGTATTCGATCAGGATCCGTCAGTTAACCTGGGGATTAAAGCCATATTGCTTTACTTTATATTCTAGAAATAGATTATTTCCAGCCCATATCAGTAATAGTTTCAATCTCAGTAACGGGATACCGGAATTCAGTAAAGCAAGCGCTTGTATGCGAACTCCCACGGGGTGATTTTGACCCTTCATTGCGTAGGTAAGGGGGGGATGTAGGCCGATAGGCAGGCGCGCGTGCGAACACCAAGGAGTCACTAAATTCAATAAAAATGGGCATTAGCATAGCTTCAAAATGAAAGTTGTCAATATGACGTGTCTTAAGTAGGTTATGCATCACGAGATATTATATAAATTATATGTTAACCGATGTAACTAGAAATGGTGCCAATAGTGCTAGCGCGATCCAATGATTTTTGGAGCACACCTCCTTACATAGACACTTGCGCCTTCTAGACGGTTTGCTGTCCCTCAATTCAATATCCAGATTACCACTTGGGACACAAGCCTGGTCCAGTGAATGATGTGATATGTGCTTTACTCTGCAGGAAACACTAAATATGCTGTCATACCTTAGAGCTAATTGATTGACGTGGCAAAATAACATCCCATAGGTAATGTCGACCACTAATCTTGTATACCTTGGCTATCTATTGACTTTTCCCTGTAGGAGACTGTGCATATCTCCAAGCAGTTACACTCAACATCCCTACTTATTTGGGTGCATTTATGCGTGTCTTGACCATAGTTGATAATATAATATTGAACCTGTTTCCTCTAATACTTGGCAGCTGAGGCTAAGCCACTTCCGCAGGGCCCCAAAATGCGGAATAAATGGTCCCAACACAATGTATAGCCTCGCTACACAACCAAAGCTGTTATGTGAACATTAGGCAGAGGGGGATTACTATGAATTTGTCTAACTAAACAATCTGGATGAAATCGAAATCATCTCTAGGACTTCAAAACATAGTCCCTTTCTCATGGTATGTATGGAATTAGGAATCCGCCCTCAAATTGAACTTACCCAGTGTTGTAAGGATTCAGATCCGTCGCATGCGGAGTATTCCATCAGTCCTTCTCCATCCAATACAAAGTGGGGTTATCTTTGAATAATGTTGGGCGCTAATGAAAAGGTGGTAAAAGGGACTTAAAAATAAAAAAGAAAATTAAACGCCCTCGCACCCACCCAGACGCCTTGCGACAGAACATATGGTACCTTCATAAAGATATTCAGTCCTCAAAATACTCAAGATGCCTCTAGAAAGGAGAACCACTGTTAATGTAATCGCTCCGATTTTGCTCTGCTCCTCCCTGAATCGATTAAGGGCCAGGAGAATTCTATCATCTTAAGAATTATCCTCCCTTTGATAATGTAGATAGTATAGAAGAATTTGAAATTGTAGGTGATGCTGCGGCAAAAAAATTGGACACTTGGCGTCCGATTACTTAACCAATTCTATCTTCCCGGTGTATAATTTACCCTTTTACTCAGGGGTACAAAATCCCTCTCCATTCAGGACGTTGACATATCTCACTTATATACGGTCAATCATCTCCCTCATCTGGACTAGTGGCTGCAAATTCCCATAAATTACATCTAGGCTCTCCGGATAGGCCTCAGAATCCGTTTCATTAACAGGCATATTCGTGGTGATCTTCTTCATTGATATGCCTCATTGTCAGTCCTTTTGGTTGATTCTCGCATACCCCGTATATATAACTGTGACTCATATCCCAACATGGTAATGATGTTTGACAATATTCCTAAAATTTCAAGTCTGCTAGCCGGGGCCACAGTTGTTTTCGCCCTTGGTTTTGTTCTTCTCTTTCCTCAATGGCTCCGGCGCGCAGCTTTCCCTCCGAACGCCCCCAAGGAAGTGACGGAGGGTTCCCTATTTACCGGGCGCCTGAAGTTCTTCTCTGACCGTCATAAGTTCTATTTCCAATGCAAAGCACTCTCGCGTTCGGGGAACTTTAGTCAGTACCTTGGCAATCATCAAGTTGTCGGTCTATCTGGTTTGGATGGACGGAGGACGTTTTATGAAGCGAAAGAGATGGACGTGGAGGAGGGGTCAGTAAAATCCCTCCGTCTGCCAACTTTCTACCAGTCTACTGGCCTGCGATAGATGACTGATTCCCCATCTTATACAGCTACAACCTCTTCTTCGTCACTAACCCCTCGTTGCGAGGTCCCGCCAAGCTTCCAATCAACATCCCTAGTTACCGGTTTCAGACGGACCTAATCAGGGCAATGCGCACCGAAAACTTAAAGAAGCGTCTCCCATTTATGCTACGCTCTACAGCCGCCTCCATCAACCGTCTCATCGATCACGCAGTCCCAGTGAGGGTTATAGACCCGTTTGAAGAGCTTGATCTCGTGGGTTACCACAGTCTAATGCATCTTATTGGCCTTGACGAGGTTACAGAGTCCAAGGAGCTCCCGAGAAAAACATTGAGTCTGTTCCACCAGGTAGAGAAATCGGACTCCCCATTGCATGTTATTTTCCCTTTCCTACCGACACCAGCATTTGTCAGGCGGGTGACAGCAATAATGCGGTTGTATAAGGCGTTTAGGACAGTGGTCCATAAACGACAACGCACTCTTAGTAGGAAAGATGATATCATACAGTCTCTGATGGACAAAGGCCAAAGCAGTTACAATATCGTTATCGTGAGTTGGCTCTATCCAATCCACCCCGAGGTCTATAGATATGTCCATACAACACATCGGACCGCCTGAGTTTCGATAGACCACCAAGACCATACAGCACCTCTTCAGTTCATTGCAAGCCGCTAACCAAGCCCATACATCTTGCTCAGTTTATCATAGCGACACTATTTGGTGGTCAGGCTAACACGCCCGTCATGACCGCTTGGCTGTTGATCCACCTTGCTAGTAACCCAGAATGGATGGACCGAGTCCGGACCGAAGTGGATTCCTCACTTGTACGACACTCCACTGGCCAAGAGACACCGCAGCTGGTTCTTAGCCGACTTGACCTCGAGATATGGGAGTACGAGTTTCCCTCCATTGACCTGTGTCTGCGGGAGTCTATCAGGCTCCACTTCCTTGGCTCTGTATACCGTCGAAACTGTGGTGATAAGGGCATACCGATCGGAGAGACAGGAGAGGTCATACCTAGGGGTGCCTTTGCGGTAAGTGGGGTCTGCGCTGGTCGGTGCTGTGTTTGACCGGTTCAATAGTTTCTCCTGGTAGATGATGTCCACTTCAATCCGGCCATCTATCCCGATCCAAACAAGTGGGATCCGGGACGTTACCTCGCAGATCGAGCGGAGGATAAAAAGGTTCCACTCGGTTTCGTCGGGTGGGGAGCGGGGCGAAATCCATGCTGTAAGTTGATGCTGTCCTTCTACCTCCGGTCATACTAGATGGCTAACCGACGCAGTGGGGATGAGAGTAAGTGTCCTGAGCTAGATTCTGGCCTCAACAAGAATTAATGTTTCGATACATAGTATGCAAAACTTTCGGTGACTATCATGGTGGCGCTCTTTATATCCTTATTCGATTTTACTCTCTGTGATGAACAAGGTAATCCTATGGCTCATCCACCCCAACCTGACCGAAAAGAGCAGAATGATGCCAGACCAAAAACACCTGCTCGGTTGAAATGCACGGTCAGAAAGTCTGTGTGAGGGGTGGGGCATGCCTGGTGGATGTCATTTCTGACAACAATTTGTCTCCCTCTTTTTCTCTTTAACTTCATCAATGACTGCTTATAGAGCGTGGTGCCAGTAATACGCTATTCCTCTGGCTTCAACACGTGACCAAAAGGTATATATGAAGTCACCCGCACTGTATCCTTTACTGTTAATGATACCATCTTCAATCACCGATTTCTCTCTGAAGGAATGGAGGCGATTTAGGGTGATGAAGCTGAGCGCTCGTCAAGGCGCTAGGAGTAATCCGATCCCGAATCCCGGATAATTCTCTATCAAATATCATCTACGGTTAACCCCTTACTGTATAGATTTATACACTAATTTAGTATGACGGTTCAAATACCAACAAACCAAAAGCTTGTTAAATTCGATAAATTACAACCATATCTATTTTAGATAAAGGATTGAATTCCTGAGGTCTAAATAGCATTTACAGCGTACTCGAAATAACTATATCAAAATAGGGTAATTTAGTAGTACGCAAAGCAGATTTCTTTGAAGAATCCCTGAAACGTATCAAATACCTTTAAATAGCACACGATTCAAAGAGCTTTCGTTAATGGAGAAATTACCTATTTAATCTAAATATATTTATGGTAACCTCTTTAGGATACAAAATCACCTACGCCAGAGCTTTAGATATACCGTATGCTATTACTACACATATTTAGCACTGACTCAGGACTAACTACGATTCGTATACTTTAACCAATTATTTAATCTAGAATTAAACGAAAGCCTTACTCGACGCCTCGATCAGCTTTTTCACATATCCATCAAGACCGCCGAACTTGCCGCCCAATTCAAATACCTCTCACTACTACCGTATCCAACTATGTCTGGCTGAAGAGCGTGTTCTCATCCCAACACTCCTGCTGGAATTGCTGGAGCAGGTCGTCCCACCGCTCCCAGTCCATGGGATTGACGTCCAGCGCGGGCACTCCTCCCATTGACACGAAGTCCATCTCTTTTTTGTCAGTGCCAATCTCGGTCTCAGTAGCAGACCCATGCTGCTGGAACGGCGTTATGGAAGGTTGCAGCTGTGGACTGTTGGTATTGGTGTTCCCCGCGAAGGAGTTTTCGCTTTCGAGCGTCTGTTGTGTGTCCTCTACAGAATATGGGATCCTGCTGCTTGGGGCTTCTTGCTGTTGTAAGGGTACAGACAGTGGCGGAGCAGCAGCCGCTACGGTTTGCGGCGCCCCCAGGCCCAGCTTTAGCCACGTCGCGACCAGATCTGGACACGGCTGTGAGGGGATGTCCCTCCGCCCACACTCATCGACGTGGCCCTTCCAAGCCTTGATGATGAGGTTGTGGATGGCAATGTGCAGGGTACTCCGGCGCACGCGCGGGCCCATCTGACGGTAGTGTCTGCCGCAGATGCTGTTGACGAGTACCCAGGCACGAGCGACCTCGGCGCCCTCCACTCGGCGCCCGCGCAGCTCGGACAGCATGTAGATCAGGGCGTCCCATTGCACGTTGTAGTCGACATGCCAGAGGTATTTCTTGGTGGCGCGGTTGGTCTGGACAGCATCACAGTACTCAGCGACCTGGATACAGGTGGTGAAGATGCGGTCTCGCTCTTCCTCGGATAAATGGAGGTTGCACTGAGCCTGTTTGTGTGCGCCACCCCCACCGACCCCGGCAATACTACTACCGGAGTATTGTCGCGGGTGGTGTGCAGCGAGGCGTATCATGCATACAACCGACCGCGCCATGGTGACGGTGATGAAGTGAAGTGGAATCGAGACATCACAGTGCTTCAGGAACTTGGTCTCAAATTTCTCCTCCAGCTCGTCAATGGCCGCATCCTTTTCCGATAACGGCACGGACGACGAGCGAAGGAACCCCCAGTGTCCATCGAACCCAGACTTCGTCCCAGCGCGGTGGCGTAACCATTCGCCGAACTCGTGCCGGACGAGGCAGAACACCATCTCCGTCGGACCAGTGCATTCCTGCGGAGGCTCCGTCATGTTCGGGTCTAGATTGCTGTCATTGACGTTGAGAGGAGGGAGTGTGGTTTGGGATGTAGGAGGGAGTGAAATGGCGGAGCCGCAGCCCGAGTAATATCCGGCGGTGGCATCGAAGATGATGAGTTGAAGCCAGAGGCGCCGCCGCATTTCTGTCTCATAGACGGACAGCCCGAGATGAGAGCCGTCCTTGTGAAGGCCGATGCGCTGGGCGATTCGCATGGCTACGCCGCAGAAGGACCACAGTGAATGAGGGTCGGACAACAGGCGCAGGGAAAACTGCGGATTTGTCAGTGGATGTGGGTTACGCATGAACGTACGAAGGGAGAGTTGCGTTACAAGATATAGCAAGAAGGACTGCAATACAACCATATTTGATGTTTTCAATAGCCCGGCGTTGCGCAAGGCCGTCTCCGCACTGCGCTTGTATCTTGAAATAAGGGTGGCGCGTGACTCGCCAAAGGAACGCTTTACCTCGTCCTCGCCGAGGGAAATCACCGAAATACAGTAGATGGAGAACATTAGCGCCTCCATCTCTTTGCTGACCGCGTGCAGGTCTCCGGCTGCCTCCAAGATCTGCTGCTGCACGACGGGTGCATGGAGAACTTTGATGAGCGGGTTGACGTTCTCAAGAAAGGTTTGCCAGAGCTTGAAGATATGCACCGGATTTGGATGCATTGAGCTGAGGGGAGTGCGTCCCGGTGAACTGAAAATCAAGCCTGATTCAGCATCAACCACCGGGGAATTATCGTTTTGGCCAGACTGGTCAGAGTCGGCAGGAGATGACGACTCCCGTATGGCATCTTCCGCTTCCTGTAACTGTTTCCCTTCGTCAATATCATTCACAATGCGGATGGCTTGCGTTGAGGAAATCACACCTCGTCGCTCACACTTGTCCATAAGTTGCTTGCAAGTTGCACCATCAGCTTTGGTCTCATCCAAAATTTCATCAAGTGGTAAAAAAACAAAAAATAACCGATCCAAAACTTTCACACGCACCTATCAAGATATACCGAGTTTCCTTTTTTCGAAACAAACCTCCGTAACTCGGTATGCCCTGCATGACTAGAATTGCTCGTACGAGGAGCCGACAGAGGGCCGCTTAGATCAGTCAGCTCAGTGGCAGAAGCCACCGTCTTTGAAATCACAGCCTCATGGGCCGGCGAAGACACCGCACGCGTGGTTGAGAAAACATCTGGATCGATGCTGTTTTGTCTCAACACTTCTTCATACCGTTCTAGACGCGCCGCCAGATTCGCTTCGGGGTGATTCCTCTTCCGCCGGCGAGGCCGTTGGGGAGGGTGGTAGACACACTGCACTCCATACTTTGCGCACCAAGCACACGGTTCTTGTCTGTTGCACTTGACTTTTCTCCGCTGACAGGAGGAGCATGAATGTGTCTTAAGTGGTTTCGGGTCCTGTGTTGACGACGTTGTTATTGTAGAGCCCTGGCCCACTGGCTGGCAGTCCGCCATGGTGGGTGGTAATCAGTGTGCAGAGGAGTTGAATAAAGGTGACAAAGCGCCAAACCAGCTCATGTAGCTCCAGATGAAACCATGGAGAAGAGTACACAGGTCAGGTGCCGCTTCCCAGAAGCCGTCAGCCGGCCCCACTGGTCTTGACACAAGCGGCGCGGCACCTCAACCTTTAAATACCGTACTACAGACGATGAAATTCAATTTCAACTCTCCCTCCATAAATATTTCTTACCATCGAATATTTTCCCTACTCTAATTATCCGTACTTGCTAATCAATTATCAACTACTTATACCAACCAAATTAATATGGATGTAGAAGATTCATCGTTACATTTTAGTGAGGTTGAAGACACATCGAATACTGATTGTACTGGGGAGGTAAGAAATCTAACTAATTCTTAAGTACTTACTAACTGCTTATGTATTACTTAGCAATAAGTGCTTTTATTTAACTAACAGATATAAAATCAAATCCACTTCGAATGCTATTTATTAAGTATGCAGATAATCTACCAGAGTACCCTAGAACTGATTAAAATGGATACACTTATATTGTATCTATTAGTGGCCGATTACAAGAGGCAGAACATATAATACAAGATGTAAGTGCTTCTTACGTAGTTAGTAAGCAGTTATTAACTACTTATAGATACAATACTCGAGGTCAAGCATCCGCGGTGCAAGATTAAGTGTTAAGTCATCCTTTTTAAACTGCTAGTTAAAAAATGGATGTGGAAATGTTCTGGAGCTGTAATCTGTAAATATTTAAAGCCAAGTCTTCGTACACTACATCATACTTATCTGGACGAAACAACATGGGAGGAAATTCAAAACATTCGAAAGAATATTAATTTAATTGAAAGGGACATTCGGAAACGAAATGTGTACAGGTAAGTACTTTATAACTAGTTAGAAACTAGTTAAGAACTACCGAACTGTTTTTCTGCGGAAACTTTTGAACTTCCCCTTTCCGTTTTCGGCCCGACTTAGCGCCGCTTTTGCTCCCTAAGCGAACCAGGAGCGTGGGGTGAGCATAGTGGTGCGTGTGCTGAGCGCTCCGTGAACAATCCTGGACCGATCCCGGATTAACCCGGAGCAACCTTGGATTGATCCCTGATCACCCCAGAGCTAGCCAGATCTCGGATATTAGGGGGTCAAATAAAACATACAAAGCCAAGCCTGACGGTCTCGCTCAGCCACGCTCAGCCCTCAATTTAAAACTTATACCCGTCACTATAATGACTAGGCCATCACATCATTCCACTGGGTCAGGCCTGAATGCTTGACCAAAAGACGACTGCTTGAAAAATGGACATGTATCCCATCTGAACAAGACGTCCACTTGTTTAAAGGTATGAAAAAGGGTTCCAATTGGTGGTACAGGGCGTCGGCTGCATAGCTGAAACCACGCGTCGGACATTTGAGTCCACCAGACAAGAAGTTTTAGATTTGGAAAGCCATCGCGCTTCCTTTCCGCTAGAGTTTTCAGGCCTTCATAACAGGAATACAAAACCAGAATGTTATCATAGCATTCCTGCTGTTGCAGCTGTAGCTCTTCCAGCTTTGGTGGTAATACAATATCGCAATGGGAGCCTTCGCAATACTCTAAACAGCTAATTGGTATTGCCAATTTCCTGAGGGAAGAGAAAAGCATAATACTGTGAGTTGGTGTGGTTCGACGGATGAAACCACCATCACTAGCAGCAATACGTATGTCTTCAAGTGTGTCCGCATGGGATCGAAGTGTGCGAAGAATTTCATCCAAGGACAACCAATCATGTACCATATGTGATATTACAGCATCGAGCTCGGCGTCAATAGTGAATCGTTTTAAGGATTTGACAGAGTTTAGGAGAGTAGTCAAAATGCCAACAGGTTGGTCCACATGAGTGAAGACGTGAATGTGAAGATCGATAATAGGTGACCTCTGATGTCTCTGTAATGGACTTAGATCTAGCCATTGAGTATCCAGTTCAAGAGATTCAATTTGTAGGACACGAAGAGTTGGAACTCGGAAGGGATATAAAATAAGTTGTATCGGTTGAGGATCACCAGCTATGTCGTCAAAATCGAGTCGTAGATACTCAAGGTCCAACATGCCAGTGAGATCCAAATGCAGGGAAGGTGGGCTGAGAGATAGCCCTTGAAGGCTTGGAAAGAGGTTCGAGATTTTGATCTTATAGCTGGGGTCAAGACCTTTCGGGCGATCCAGCTGAAGATCGAGTACTTTCACAAGACGGCAGTGTTGAGGTCGAGCAGACAATGCACCAATAAGCCCGGCGAGATGTCCTAGGTTGTCGGAGCCTCCGTGGGAGTCTCGCGATGTGGGCGTCAGGGCTAGCGGTAAATGCATAGAGCGATACAGAATTGGTTCGATCATACCCCTGAACAGGCGACATACTTGCATAATGTGGACTAAGCAGCCACCGTTGGGAATGTAGCTGAATATGACACTTAGAATCTCGGTCGGGAGTTCCGCTAGGAGCATCTTGATTCAAGGGTAGACCAATGCAGTCTCTTATTGCGAACTGGCCTGTAGGAGCTCTGACGAGGTATTTGATCGATTGTGAATTAGAAGAGAATGCTGGAGGTTAGATAGTGACAGCAGCAAGAGATGTGAGGTCGGAGGTGACAATGACCTTGTGGGAATTTAGGAGGCCGCGAAGGAGTCTCATGTTTGTATGAGTTTATATGCAATTCTCCCATTTGGACTGCACGACAGAACACGAGGAAGCCCACAAGGTACGGGGCTAAGGATGGACCAAGGATCGTTGGTAGCCGTCTCTAGTAAGCAGACCCACCCACCTTCGGGGGGTTGATTTGCTTCATCCCCACAATAATTTTCATCTCAACAATAAAAATTGAAGCTATTCAAACACTTTCTCCACCACCATCATGAATTACTATGCTGAAATCGAGGATCGTATCTTAAAAGGCCTCTAAAGCCGCTAAACGCGTCCAAAACCCCAATATTAGCGCGTTGGCGCGGGAATTTGATGTTCCGTACCAGCGCCTCGGGGCACGTCTTCAACGACGAGCAAATCGATCCTCTCGTCCTACTCCAACATAAGTCTCTCTCAACAGAACGCTTGCAAAGGCCGCCGCACATAGTGTGAACCATTTTGTATATGACCGCTCATTGTCTCCTGACGAGGGCCGTGCTGCGGTGAAATTTCAGGAGCCCGCCAGGTTTCTCAAGTTACCACACTTAAGTTCAAAACTGGCGGCCGGGTCTCATATCCAATTATTTATATTTTTCCTAATCCATATGCCAAGACGGGTCCAATCTCCTTTGGGACACGTTCGGAACAACAGATAGCCGATGCATCGTATTGTATCATTACATATTGTCACAAAACCTGACCCGACTCCATGAGCCACATCAATATTACGTACCTTATAGCCCACCTTTTCATATCTTACCTCGTCAAACAATTGATAGCACCTAATGAAGCTGAGCCAAATCTCCAGACAATAAGTCCTGTGTATAATAGCCACAATGTAACCTCAAGTATAGCTTGGTACAATATACTAAACACCACAAGCACTATGGCACTGATATAACATTCAGTAACGCCACTCTATCAGCAGATCTGCTCTAGTACTGACTGCTCAATCCAGGTCTCAAGATCAGGCGCATCATTAAATGTGTACAGAGATTGATCTGGACATCCTGGAAGAATCGTGAGCCCAATATAGTCAGTATTGGGCGCAAATAGGATCACCCGGCCACTCTTCCGATGAACATGTTACGGAAACACTATGATCCGCCCGACTTGTACCCCTGAATCCTTTACTGTGTCGAACACCCACGATCTAGAGGTAGAGTACCTTAGATAGGAATACAGTTGATTCCTGGTGTTTCCACCGAATGACATCTACTTCCTAGTATGGCTAGATTGGCCTGTAGCTGATCTATAGCTCCCTGCGCCCCGTTTCCCCTGAATTCCACAACATTGGTTATGAGCCCGGGTTTGCAGCGTCTGCTTAACAACCAGGCCTTTGCACCTCGGGAGCTTATATAGGCTTACAACCCCTATCTAAGCACGCAGGTGAAGCTATTTATCAGTGTGTGTATCCTCGATATCCAGAACAGTGGCTAGCCGATCATCCTACCTACCAGTTGGAATTGGGTAATATTACCACGCCTTCCTACCGCCGAAACGATTAGATGTCAGAGGGCTCGTGATCCCCGAACAGGAAGATTTCTAAGCCGAGAAATCACGGAGAAACCCGCCGGGCCGAGCACAGTACCCGGGGCATTCGAGACCGAAGACCTACCGGACCGATCGGAGGCACCCGAAACGACTGAGACGGACGAGGCAACTCCTTTTGTATCCACCCTAGTTATTAGGTTATAGAGGTTTAGCCCTTGACATTGATGTTTCGAATCAGTGTTTAAAATTTGGTATATTGCCTTTTTATGGTCCAAAACCACATCTTCTAACGTAAATTATTAAATCGACGCTAGAGTGGTTGAGGAATAGCAAGTTAAAAACTGTTATTTTGTATGGGAAACCACATCCGCCGCTCGGTGGTTGATTACGTTAACTATATTCACTAGGTTAACTAGCACCAGACACAATCTAATTTCTAATCATCTCTATAAATTTTGGACAGATGAGAGAGCTCAAGTTGATTTTGCAGTAACATATGCCATTCAGAGACTAGTCTGTGTGATCATCAGGCCCATTTAGGTAACAATTTTGACCACATTCCCTCGCAGTATCCTATTAGAAACCAAACCAATGCACGACAATCGGAATTACTGCCTTCTCAACAATGGTCTTGCCGACCTCCAGCACATCGTCCCAGAAATTATGAGCCTCGGCAGGTGTTAAAACACGATAAGTTTGCCCATTTCCAATGCCGCGCGGTCCCGTTTGAGAGGTTCCATCATTGCTTGCCGGCGGATCGAGCAGTCTCACTGTCATACGCAATCTGGATCCGATTTCATCGTCCTCTACGCACGAAACATTGAACCGCACATCAGGGTGATTCTTGGCAATGTACCCCGAGAACATGGTTTGGATGGGCATGATTGCCTTGGCAGAGGAGCCTATGGGCACCCGAAGGAAGTAAGACTTCTCCGTATGCGCAGAGCCACCGCCAGGTGCCGCCGCTGGTGGTGAGGTAAAGTTTGCAAGGAGAGGCTTGTGATGGAGCTGACCGGGAAGGTGAGCACTTGTGCTGCTACCCACAGCACTGGACATGTAGTACTGGTTATATTGAACTGCTTCGTCACCTTCACCCGTGAGGGCTCCCACTATGTTGTCGACGAAGGTGTCTCTCACCTCGGGATCATCTGCTAGCGTGACAAACGTTTTCTGAACCACTGCATCAAGGGTTGGAAGGACGCTTTGGCGATCGACACTGGATAGCACAGCTGAGAGGGTAAAGGTGCTCTTGGTCACGTCATGGAGGGCTGTTGCCTCTGGGGTGAATGAGAGGAAATTCAGATCAAGTCGGTACAGATCTAGCCATCCTCTGATCCGCGTGGGGTACCTAACAAGGTCAGCTTCTTCACAGTGAGTAGGCAGGGATATCTGTGTACGTAATGGTATCATCGGGAAGTTTGTCGTCTCCTTTTGTGCGGACACGTCTGAGGCGCTCTGAGAGATCTTGTGCCATCAAACCCAAAATTTCCTCTGGGATCAGGTGAAGCAGGTTCTTTCTAAGGAACGCCCTCACCTGGTCCTGGTCGGTTGTTGCATTGAGAAATATCATCGAATCTTCAGCTATGGTGGAAAGAAATGGGAGACCTGTCTGGTCCAGGAGGTAGCGCCTTGTCCTCATAGTTAAAACATGATCGTATTGCATATGGAGGAACTTACTTCTCTGGAAGCATGAGAGCATCAATTTGCTGCCGGAACAGGCCCTGTCTTCCGGATTTCAATCGTTCTACCAACATGAAAGCGTCTTTCGCGGCTTCCTTGTCTGAATTGCGGACGTCACGTCGCTGCAGGAAACTTTGATACGATTCCCAACTTTGAGCCATTGTTCTGATTCCCAGTATGAATGTGTGTTTTTGTTAAGAAGATTTCGATGATGAAAAGTCATCGTCTAGATTTATATATCCATGCCTAAGCCCATGGTGACCCCGCAGTTGCAAGCTACAGGCGATCAAGTTCTCCCCTGATCATAATCCAAGCAAGAGAAACCCAATTAGGAAACTGCTGAGGGCATTGCTACGGGCCTTTGCTCTCTTATTCATGATATCCTTCATGTATCCTGGCATTGAATCTCACTTAAGACAGAGGAATTTCCGTGTCTAGACCCTTCTATGCAAGTGAGATGGAAAGGGTGAGCATCTGCTCGCTTGGCTAAAGTACGATCCAGGCCTACCTATGGATCCGCACTGAACTTGCCTGGGCCAATCGCCAATCTTCTACGTTAATTCATGGGTAGATATGCAGTGATATCAATGCCCACACTTTCCATCTCACTTGCATAGAAGGGTCTAGACATGGAAATTCCTCTGTCTTAAGTGAGATTCAATGCCAGGATGCATGAAGGATATTATGAATAAGAGAACAAAGGCCCGTAGCAATGCCCTCAGCAGTTTCCTAATTGGGTTTCTCTTGCTTGGATTATGATCAGGGGAGAACTTGATCTCTAAGGTCCTGCCAAAGTGTACCCCGGTACGGAGAAAAACCTGTACAGTCGCCCGAAATATGAGACTTAAAGCGTTTTTTGTATCTGGAAACGATCGATCTTCAGTATTTATATTTCAGGAGTGTCTAACGTCACGGCAGATATTACATGCTATATTAACCTCCACTCTAGATCCGGTTAACTATCTAAACCTAACTCTACGCTTTTTGGCCCGCTCATATAATAAGTCTCGGAGATAGTCAGAACTGTCTCCATCAGCTGTGCGTATTCCGAATGTGCTGATTCCTGCATTGCGTATGCATAGGATATTCATTCCCCGCAGGACCCCTCATCTCCAGCTGGTTGCGTGAGCCATATCGTCCTATCCAGGAGACCCTACGCTTCCGATTCGCTCTGAGCTGTTTTCTAGAATGTTTCAGTTTATAGCAAATAATTCAGCGGCGTCAGTAACACTGTAGGTGCATACATAAACAATTGGCAACTGAGACACTACGAGGTCCAAACTCACCTGCTAGCATGTGAAGGGTCTTGGAAGATAAATGCAAAGTGAAAGTCGAATGATTGACTTATCTCCTTAATATTTCGTGATTCCTGCAGCGTGCAATTTAATGGCAAGAACCCTACTCCTTCACTGAAATCCCCCAACCCCAGTTCCACCCTTTTCCTCCCCCATTTCTGTCAATGTAAATTTTATTATATAGACCGCAACTCTTATATTGAACATCCACAATCCAGGGAAGAAGCGTCCACAATGACATTCGGGAATATTCGTTTTCAGTCCGCCGAGCATGAACGAATCGGGGACAATGTCTGGCTCAAATACCCAGAAGAGAAAATTATGTCTGGTAAAGAATTTGCGTATCCAGTCGATAAGACAGTGCTGTCTTACGGACTTATCTGTGCCCTTGCGGGAGATTTCTATGGAAACTGCAAGGTCATAGGAGATGCCGAGCAAATCAGCGACAACTGGGATGCGGATGAAAAACGATCTATAGATCTGTTCCTTGCCAACACGAAGAGGCTTGCAACTAACACTGGTGGGTATCTGAGGAGCATCCTGGAGCATATGAAAGGTCAGACACAAGAAGTCGTCGCTGCAGAGCAAATAGGGAAAGACCCGGCTCAGGTTCGTTAATTTTGACTGGAGTCAGATTCCGTTGCGGGTGATATGGCTAATTTCCACGAAAACAGGCATATTCAGAATGCTCCTACAAGTACGACCTGCTGTATTTCTGGTGCACTAATTGGGACTATGTTCTGCTCGCACTCTCCAACTTTGACCATTTTGGGGAGGTAAGGTGTCCTCTCAACTTTCTTTGAAAGAAATAAGACAGGTCATTAACTCCAGCAGGACGCGGTGAAAGCGTACAAGGCAGGCCACAAAGCCGCTCTGAGACAAGCAAGAGCAGCAGGGAGAGAGTCGGACACGAAAAAGAAAATCAAGGCCCTCACAGAATCATACTTCTTGGAAGCTTTTGCCGCCCATTTCCTGACAGATCTGTTCTCGGCGGGCCATATGAGAACTCCCAGGCGCATCCTTCATAAAACTTACACTGGCAGTACCAAGGCCGAAGAACCCACCATGGAACATGAGAGATTTGTGTTTCCAAAGCCCTGGCCAGCGGATCTCTGTGCCCAAGCAATGCATGACGAGGACTGCGCAAATGGGCTGTGGGTCACCAATAAACTTGGAGAACAGTGGGCAGCGTATGGAGATGGTCAGCTCTTTTCTCCCAAAAATAACACCGGTTACGAACGGGCTCTGGCTGCGGTGCAGAAAGGGGCGGACGAGATCTGGAGCGCCTTTGACACGAGGGATACAAAGGACTGTTTTGGAGCTCTTGATATGGTGAGCAGCGTTCCTCCACAAGGAAGGGCTTTGAGAAGTTCCTTAACCTCTGTAGATACCGTTCCTTGATGAGGCCAATGCATTCAGCAACTTTGCTCCTTTGTTTAAGGTTGATCCGGCTGATAAAACCAAGGTTCTGTTTCGAAAGGATCTGGATTCTAGGGGCCAAGCTTCATTCACCACCTTGAACACTGCAAATGTCAGTTGGCGCCAGATCCTAAATCAAATAGAGGAGTCGGGACCATGCAAAAACCAGCGACCGCTTTCATTACCACTAATGACACCGTCCAGTCTCCTACAGCTTCGCTTCTGTGGAGACTTCGGGAAGTTCATCATCGCCAAATACGGACCGGTATTTTCAAAAGCCCCCGATCGGGAAGATAGGGTGGAGTCGTGGAATATGCTATCCCAACACAATGTCAGTCTAAGAAACAAAAATTTGGAGACTAACTGGACCTCGGTAGAGAGGATTGACGACACAGTTTATGCCCTCTCTGGACTGGGCCACAACAACTATCACCATGTGGGAATCGAAATTCACTCCGACGGCACACGAACCCCCAGGCTCCTTTGGGATGTACTAATGGAGAGTTCGGGGAGTGCTCTGCCTATGCTAACCTGCTACGGAGAGTTCAGCCTTGATGGTCAGACCACTATGGTCACATACTGGTGCGCAGAATCTCGCCATGTACTAGAAGTTCGGCCGCTGAGTGGAGACACTGGTCCAACGCCGGTTCCATCGACAGTATTGGCTCTCGATGGCCAATTATAGTAGGCATTGTTCAGTATTCACCTCTTCCTGTCAAAGCTAATCGAGTCCAGTTCCATGTTTCGATTAAGGGGTGATGAGACAAGTTCCGACACTCTGGTAACGATTTGTATTAGCAATTCCGCTACCGTATGGAACTTCATAACCTGGCCAAATGGTTATCAGAACTCCCCACAACGCAAGACACACCTAGAATCTGGCCGGGTTCGTCCTGCACAGAAGATTCTCCCTCTAAATGTTAGTGGGAGTTCGGGTTCCAGGTTTTTGATCCGCATGTTCTGCGGGGAAAGGAATGGTACCTGCCACAACCCTGGCGAGAGCAATGATGTATAGATTGAGATTGACCATTTTTTGTAGGATCCGTACAGCTCGACGTGCTAGAAGTGCACCTCGAAAGCAATGACCCATACGTACAATATAAGTTCACGCGCGATTACTCCCTCAGCTGGCATCAAGCAAACTCAACAATCGACTTCCCAGAGCAGTATCTCACATGGCTACTAGCCGATATAAACGGTAACGGCAGACCCGATTTGGTCAGCCTAGTGAACGCAGGCATGGGGCTTGGAGTTGTTGTTTTCCCTGGACTTGACGAGTTCGCGTTTGGCAGTCCTCAGACGAGCGTCATCAGCTCAGACAAAGGCCGTCTCTTCAACGCAAGTTTTATGAAGCCGGTCTATGCCGCCCAGGCCCGGTACAGGTTCTCAGCAGAACCAAGGACATGCGTCTCTGATGGAGCTATACTGCAAGTCTTTGACAACTATGGTATCTTGGGCATCAGGCTTGTAGCACCGCTGGTCCCGCAGGGCTCTTATGCTTACGAAGCAAAAGGGCAAACCCCTGCTGTTGCGGGACAACTTTCATGTGGTTTGGGAACAAAGCCGGGGTCGAGCTTTGAGACATTGGGATTCTTTATCATGTAAAGTCGAATAACCTTAATGATATTTTCAATACCGGCTTCTTTGGAAGGTTATTTCTTGCGATTGTTTCAGCACTCTATCCTCTTTCGTAATTAACCTGGATGTATGCTACGCGTCGTTACCCCGAGATGGCTAGAGAAAATGGATGATCCTCTGGAAGACCCAGGAGCAAGAACTTATGTCAACGAATATTATGTGCCTGGAATAAATCTGCTCGGGAACGAAGAGGCAGTTGGTCATAGAGACAAGTATGTGGTTATTCAACGATACGCGCAAGATCTGGTGAGCTCAACAGAGCTATCTATTATAGAACAAGGACATACAAATTCTCCCTCAAAGACATTTTGCCCAACCCCTCTTCTTACCACGTGGTGCGGCGTAGCAGTGAACATCTTTCAGATAATACTCTAACTCGGCCAGACTGCCGAGTTCCAGAGCACAAGCGGGATGGCGGCAATGAAATTTACCGTCCAACGCTTTGGGGGAGAGATGCAAACCCAGGTGCGCAAACCACGCTGGCTAATCCAAGAACTGCTCCATCCTTTTTGGTGGTTTTAAAGATTTGTCGCCCAGGCAGAATGGACAGTACGCGGCTTTTGCTGGAGTATTCTAAAAGATTATTAGATCGCACCGAAGCAAGTCCTCTGGCCTCTCTAGATAACGCTAACAGTGATAAGACCATTCCTGGACACCTTAAATCTATAGGTTACACTTGAAGTAATATTCCGCATGACAGTTTTCCCCTATTTTAAATAACCGGTGCTTATAGCATTTATAAAGATGCATCCACTGACGATGCGGCCGAAGTCTGATTCTATAAGCACTTGCTGTAACACAGTGAATGGTTACTTACCTTTGCATTAGCATTCCACAGACGCATTTTCCATTAACGGGTCTTATCCCAGACCTGTACACAACAGAGCTTTCACGCGTGCAGAGGCTTCTAGAGCCTTAAGGCCTCACGGCCAGTATCGCTCCGTAGCGTTCCACTTAGGGGAAGAATTCGCGCAAGCCTGTCCCGCTACGGCATTACTCTTCTGACATAATAAAAAAATGTCTGCTCGCGGATAATACCCGGTTGGACTGTGGACTGTCTTGGTTAAGCTTTTTATATCCGACAAAGGTCTTCCAAGTACAGACTTTGCTTTTGATTATAGATGCGGTGTTGCTGTAGCTGAATCTGCCGCCTTTCCTAAGGGCTCTGCAAACTTACTAGTTGTTTGCTGAGTTGTTGCATAGAGTTGTCAAGAGAAATTATGTCGCTCCGCTCTTGGAACTCGAATTCGGCTTTAGCTGGCAAGGATTGCTATAGCTATGGATGGCGGTATATTCCTATGCTTTGTCTATTTTAAATATACTTATATCGTGTTGAAACCCTAAGATATGTTGCTAGTTTATTAACTTTGCTTAGCAGTATGCATACAATCTGCTAAATATATTTTAATAGATATAGCCTGCATATTTCATGCGTGCAGTCATGGAATAGTTCTTATCTATACTAGTATTGTCAGTAGATATTAACACTTAATAGATAACATTCGACCTACCCGCTTCTATTAAAGCCCAGCACTGACAAGCACGACTGGTAACATTATAAGTATATCCACTCCTGTGGCCTAGTTCGGCAAACTCCTTCCTAAAAGTATCTGCTCCCCGAGATCTCCCTGTGGAGAGTCTAATATCCTGTTCGTTGTTAGGGCGAAGACTGGAACATCCAAGACCTCCGGCTTGAATTTAATAGTTATGATCACCTTTTCTTCAGGCCCTTACTCTATAGATTCTACCGTATTAAGGATCTCCTAAGCTGACTTATAGTCACGAAAGGCTATGTTAGCAGAAGCCATGGGAATAAAAAATATAAGAAAGTTAAAAAAAAGCAGGAGCTTTTTTTAATAGATCTTATAAAATATATAGATCGGAAGCTCCCACCTTTTTTTATTCCAGTATCCCTTTATATAAACTTAAAAGTATATTAGAACAAGCATTCTTATACTATTTACTAATTTAATTATAAGGACAAAGTGCTGCGCAACTATTAGTATAATATATTTAATTAGTATACTATATTTTACCTTATAGCATGCTGCTATTACATGTACTCTAATATTCTTATTCTCCCCTTTGTATTTCTGTTTCCTAGACAAGTCTCGCCGAGCGGTCGACTCATGCACTTCTCCTGACCGCGCTAATATAAAATAGTAAAAAAAAATCACTATATTTAGCTACACCCTTGTTTAATCAGGACATGTTCCCCTGTACTCTTTAAAATCTTAACACCACAGTTGTGTTATAAGAATGGTGAGATTATTTAGTAAGAGGCTATCTTTCTTTATCTCCTCCTCACAAAGGCCTACTTTTTCTTTTAGACCTTGCTTTATCCACTATGATACCAGTTACTTGTGTTTAATAACCACGAGTATAAGGATATACTGGCCTCTCGGACGGTTATAGAGATATTTTCTGGCATATTTTAATCTCGCCGTAGAAGTAGCCCAGCCTCGAAATCTTTACAAAACCTGTCAACAGTTTCTACTGTCGGCATTTCCTTGCTCCCAAGTCGTCCCTTCATGTTTTTAGCCACGAATTCCAGAAACCCTTTGTAGGATCGAATATCAGGCGGAGATACCGCTGTTGGATGCAGAGCAAGGAATCTGCGACCTGTTAGTTTCCAGTCTCTGGCTCTGGCAGGGTGCCTATAACTAACTTGTCAAATCTGCGAAGAGCCCGATCGTACTTCTCTTCTGTGCGTGGGAGAACCGCTCGAGTTAACTCGGAGTTGTCATGGTCATCCAGATTAATTGTCTGGTTAAACGTTGACACGCCTCGTCCTGCCATATCGTCCACGTCTTAGTATGCAGTTATAGCTCAAGAGCGATATTATTCTAAAGAGAGAAGACCGACTACCTAGAGAACAAAATCTTTACGCTTACGGGGAAAGGGGGTTGTTGCTACGTCTTGGTCTCATTTGCGCAAATGTGACTTCCTACTAGCTCGGGTGTATAGTATTCGGGTGGGTGAACAGGGGCCTGAATGGCCCTGAAGGTAGACTTGAATAGGGCGGCAAGCCGCCCACGCAGCGCCTGGTGAGCACCACCATACTTAAGCTGTTGTATGTTTTTATATCGCTAATATCTTGGACAGTTTTAATAGGATTATGTTTTAACTGTGGTAGGTTATGCTGTCCGCGTTCGTGTGCGCTTGCAAGGGGCAATACAGTGTCTGCCTCATCTCGGACCGTACCGGCTGGTCCCCGGCCATATGCATATCTTAAACCTGTCTAGATAGCTCTGTAGGTAACGGTGTAGTCTAGTCGCACCAGGGGAGATCTGTGCGCTGGAGCGGTCAAAGATTGCAGACCACCTTTTCTTAAATAATTATTTCGGTCTTCCTTTCCACCTATAAGTGAGAGTACACAGGTCAGGTGCCGCTTCCTAGAAGCCGTCAGCCGGCCCCACTGGTCTTGGCACAAGCGGCGCGGCACCTCACCCTTTAAATACCATACTACAGACAACGAAATTCAATTTCAATTCTCCCTCATAATATTTCTTACCATCGAACATTTTAGCCTACTCTAACTACTTGCTAATTAGTTATTAACTGCTTATACAAACCAAATTAATATGCATGTAGAAGATTCTTAGTTAAGTTTTAGTAAAATTTCACAAGTCTAATGCAGCAGGCAAGCGATTATTATTAGTGGCAGCAATGTAAGTAGTTACAAACTAGTTATAAACTAGTTTGTAACCAGTTTATAACCAATTATTAAGTAGTTGCCAATTATACTTTTCTAGTTCTGCAAAGCTTAATAAACAAGTTGTTTTTTAATATATAATTAAACTCGTTTTGGTATTTATTATTCATATCAAACAGCAAATATAAAAGTTAATTATTTACGATATATAGCAAGTGAAGGATATGTATATATATATATTTATTTTATAGTACTATTTACTAACTACTTAATAACTACTTAGAACCATGGAAGTATTGTCGCTCATCTTTAGCTTATTTATAGATGCACAAAGAATTACAACCTTAACGATCTTAATCCCAGTCACAAAATCCAGGGTAGGTATAAAGCGGTTGCGAACTAGTTGCGAACCAGTTAGTAACTGGTTCCTAAGTAGTTTTGTATCATCATCCTTAGTGTCTCACAAAGTCTTTAGCGGATCTCCTTGCAAAATATATTAAATATTAAGCAACGACAAGAAGCCCTGGATAGAGTTGCATTCGGTGCGGATTCGGGCGGCCGGAGGGGGTCAGCGACCGCCCGCTGCGGATTGCGGTTCCAGTATACAGAATCCGCAACCGCTGCGGTTTGGTGCGGATTCGGTGCGGTTTATAGTGGGGAATCCGCAGCTTTACTACATACGGTAAGCTTAGCGAGCTTACAAATTATACTAATCCAACCATGGTTAGATTCGGTGCGGATTGTACCAACCGCACCGAATCCATGGAACCATATCCTTACTAATTATAAATTGAGCTAAAAATTATCATATTTTATATAATAAATAACTTTGAATTAACAAATCTATAGAATAAGAGCCTTAGATAAATAGTCTAAGCTATAAAAATTAGCAATTTTCTATATAGTTAGAGAGAAAAAGGAATTTAGTGTATTACAGGCAAAAATACACTATATATATATATATATCTGTGACGGTAGCTCCAAATATTCGTGGACATTGTAAGAAATTGCTTATCTAAGAAGAAAAAGCACTTGAGGAGAAAAAATAAGCTATATAACTGTTTAATCTAGCTATAGTTAGATTAGATTAAGCTAGATATATTCACATATCTTTTATAGTAATTAAAGTACTGTCCTATTCGGTTAATTATAATAGGTATAAAAGATGTGTTAATTGGTGATTAACTAATATAGGTAAATAATATTATATAATCCTATCCAGCTAATTACAGTAGTTAACTATTTAACAATATCAACAATATTATATATAATTAATTCACTAGGAGAAGTATTCACTATTAATAAATACTATATAATTTAGTATGATTCGAAGCACAAGAATTAAGCGGAATTCTCCAGCTAAATCCTGGCTATATAAAGTGCCCCTAATCTAACCATAGCTAGATTAAACTATCCTTTCTTTTTATTTATGTTTTTTAAAAAAGACTTGTTTTTTAAAATCCTATAATTATCAAGAAATTTTCCCATATCTGTATTCTTGCCCCTTTTAGGGGCCCTATTATCAAGCACTGCAAAGAATATTAATATCTAATTTAACTATGGTTAGATTAAGAGTATGTTTTTAACATGCCACCTAAAGTTATAAGGCTAGCGCCCAAGAAGCCCCCTACCCCCTTTAAAAATAGTAAAAAAAAAGTGGAAACTATTTATAATAACACCCTTTTTAATAATTTGGAGGAAGCCTATTAAATAATATTAATTATTAATATGCGCCAACTTGACCTTAAATAGCCAGAGAAGATTTATAATAGATTTATTAATTAATTACTAATTAACAAGCTTAAAGATAGCTTTAGGCTTGGTATTCGTCGATAGTCGAATAAGGATCAGCTAAAAAATATTATTAAGGATAAAAAAACTTTTCAAGCGATCTTTTAGCATTTTTTAGAAAAAACAAATCTTGATAATAAGGCTTTTATAGACAAACTTAATTATTATGGAAATAAGCGGGTAAGTAAATCCAACCATAGCTAGATTAAAGTAATATTAACAATTATATAAAACCAACTAATTAAGATATGCAAGTGGCCCTCGGATGTTAATATAATTATTCTAAAAAACAGGCAACATCGAGTATAGGCCCTTATAGGATTGCTTAAGGAGCAGGCCAAGAACGCCACCTTTAGAGTGAAGGATCTTAATAATAGGCCAATTTATGCCCCCAAGGATTTAGTAAATTAGTCTAGCCATTAGTAAATTACTACGCTAATTAAAATGCAGGATTATTAATAGGCTATTAATATTTATAAGCAAGGGGCTCTGAATCTTGATCTTCTTTAAAGTTTGTGTGCCAACAAAAGTGTTGTGTGTAAGACAAATTTAAAAGGATTTAATTTATTTTAGATTATTCACAGTTTTAATTAACTACCCATAGATAAACAGCAGCAAGTTCTAGCGAAGGGTGCCTTAGCATAATAGTTAAATAATATTTTTAGTATTTAGCTTAAATATATTACATAGATTCACGCTGTTCTTTATTATAATAATTTTTAGAAAATAGTTTTTCGGTACTGCTCTACTAGATATAAAGAAAATATATTCTTTTAATCCCTTGCTAATAAAATAGTTATATTAAAGCTGGATTAGGTAAATACTCCACCACACTATTATTTTACATATAATTTAACCATGGTTAGATTTGGTTGGGCGAGTTTAAAAGATTTTTTAAGTTCTGCCAGTGTATTTTTAATAATACTGTGATAAATATCTCCTATAATAATTAAAAAAAAATTATTAACCTGCCTTATAGGTGCCCTAATCTTATTCTACGTATTCTTTTCTTCCCTAAGTAAAATAACTACTGGGTTAATAAAAAGAAACGAAAAACACAATATTTATTACCCCCCGAGTATAAAAAGGTAAGAGAACTTCCTAAGTTACTTAAGCTAATTTAGATTGCTAGTAGCGAAAATTCGGAATTAATATTTAAAAATTAGCGCCCTGAGTTTCTTGAAGAGTTAAATAACACAAAGTATATTTTTGTTTATACAAGTCTCTGTGAGAATAGGGATCTCCCTATCTCTACTTGGTAAGTATTATAATCTAACCATGGTTAGATTAAGATACTAACTATATCTGTAGGCATAAGTAGTATCTCTTGGAAAAAAAAATAGGCTTAAAGGTTAAATTATTATTATATTATATTATAGTGTGGGTCGACCCTAAATAAAAGTATCCAGCGCAAGCCTCTAATACTTTTAAAGATTTCTCTTGGAAAAAAATATTGTTAGATAAAGTGTTTATAAAATATTTTATAAATTTAAAAAAAGCGGATAAGAAAACCGACGTTTTTTTAAAAGTATTATAAAAAAAGATAATAACCAAGTTACTCTAGCAGGATCAGGCTGCTTAAAACTTAGTAAGATTTTAATTATAATAATAATTAAAATAGTTAACTAATATACTATCTAGTTAAAAGTCCCTCCCTGTCTTGCTACTAGGTTTAACTTAATCCGTGGTAAAGATAAGTATGACGAGAATATTAATATATATTTTAAATAATTTAGAAAACAGCACTAGGCGTGTATTATTATTGTATTAACTAATATAGTAGGTAAAGTTTTTAAGGGGGCTATAGTAAAATTTAATAATCCTAAGATATTAGTTAGTTAAATCTAACTATAGTTAGATTAGTTAAAAAGCTAATAATTTTTATAGTATATAATATACACCCTTTATTTTCTATAGGGAAAAATTACTTGCAATGCAAACTTTGCAGATAATTAGTATTTATATAAATATCCCGTCTTTTAAAATACTAACACAAAGGATTACTTATATACTAAGGTAAGTATTTTTAGTGCTTTGTTTTAGTACTATAAGTTAAAGTCTATTATATTACTTATATTAGAATAGGGACTGTTTTATGTTGGCCCTGGTAAAAAGGGTGGGAAAAAGATCCGCTTTTTAATTTATAATAAGGTAAGTCTTTATTTTACTTTAATTTAACTAACTATGGTTAAATTAACTACTATATAGCAAGACTATTATAAAATAAAACTACAGCTTAAAAAATATGCATTGGTCTTGCAGAATAATAAATAGCTAATTAATATTAATAACTAGAATAAGGACTTGTCTAAGTTTACACTAAAATGTGATATTCCAGTGGCTGAGAACAAGC